CCTCAACCTCAACCTCAACCTCCACAACTCCTCCATCGGACCAAATTGTTCAGGATGAATGTGAACTCGAACTAAAAAAACCATGTATAGGATATAATTCAACAATTCCATCAATAGTAGACAAAGGTAATATCTTATGGATAACTTCCAATACAATATATAATCCTCAAAATCAAAACAGAAAACTATACTTTACAGAAAATAATAATCCAATTTCACATGAAAGTAATTATTGGATGGGATATAATTTCATTCAAAATAATGATACAATATTTACTCTACTTTTTAATGAAACTTATTTAACCATTAAAGATTGGAAAGGACAACAAGAATATTATTCTCCATATACTAATGAAAAACTTGCATATAATAACATGAACTTTACTATAGGAATTGGATTAAGTAGATTAGGTCTATATATTATGAATTCTAAATTACAAAGTCTAATACAAATCCAACCTCAATATGATTATTCATATAATCATGTTAAACAATTATATAACAATCAAGTTATTTCTAATTATTTATTAGAAGATGGATTCTTTTATCCTAATACTCTTCTTTATGAAGGATATCAAAAATGTTCATTATATAATAATTGTTTAACTGAACAATTAGAATGTTATTCACAAGTTCTTACTGGAATATGCCAAACATTATCTCCTGGATTACATCTCAAATTTGAAACTGAAATTAAAACTACTTATCTTAATAATGGAACCTGGGGTGAAATATTTCAACAATCTGACCTTTTAAATACTTATATTATTAGTTCTAATAATCAAGATCAATATATTGTTTATATATATCATAATAGAATTGCTATTCAAGATATAAATAACTATATTAGTTGTTCTGGACCATATCCTAATGGAAATTTAATTAATATTAAATCAAATCTTATTTGGGAAATTGGTTTTGATTCTTATTATTCAATTTTCCTTAATGTATATGATCAAAATGATAATCAATATTATTCTATTTGTCAACTTAAAGCTGCTAATCAAAAAAGTCTTAATCTAATTGCTAATACTAATCCTGAACTTATAATTACTAGTACTTTTGGAATAGAATCTATTGATTACATTTATACAAGAGGATATAATCCATCTAATACTAAATTTACTCAATATATTAATCATTTCCCAAGAGGTGGATATAAATCATCATCTTCTAATTCAAATCTAATTACATCTTATTATTATCCTTATTATGATCAATCTATTAATGAATATAATCCATTACATAATTATGGTGAAAATTATCCATTCTTTCCACCTGGTATTAAACCAGCTCCAATTATAGGAAATTATCATACTACACCACCAGGATATTATTATAATAAAACTACTAGTCAATTTGAAAAGAATCCAGATCATCCAAATCCTAATGAATTAAATCCATTTCAACCAAATCATATTGTAGATGGTATTTCAGAATGTAATCTTTATTTATTCTCAACTTGTAATGGTACTTCTGCTAAAATTATGCCAATAGATTATAATTTAATATCTATAGAAGAATGGACTTTATTTGTAATTTTAACTACTGGAATACCAAATTATGATCAAAACAATAATTATTCTGGATTTAATTATAAATATGAATTTATTAAATATAATGATATTACAAAAGATGAAGAAATTATTCTATCTTTATCTCTTACAAATGAAACAGTTACATTCAAAAATCATTTAATTGATATAGAAAAAACAGTTTCTGCTCCTCAATGTGGTCCTTATTGTTCTACTTATCCAAAAGGATTCTTTGCTTTTTGGTTAACTTATGATAAAAACAATGATCTTTATGAAATATCAATTAATTCCAACTCAGAACTTTTAATAACTTTACCTGGATCTAAACAAAATATTAATAAGATCATTACTCAATCAGGTATAAATAGTAATAATCCAAGTTATAATATATGGTATATAACAAATGTTAAAAAAACTCCAAAGTTAATTTCTACTACTACTACAACTATTTCTCCATGGGATAAAATACAACAAGAGGTTTGTAATATTACAGAAATATGGATACCATGTAAAGGATTTAATGCTACAATTAATCCAAATTTTAATCTTGGAGATCTTATTTCAATGGAATTTATACTTGAAAAAGAATGTAATTGTAATAATAAGATTAATCATCTTGGAAATCAATACTGGTTAGGATTTGATTTAAATGATGATTATAATAAAATCTTTTCAATCTTTATTAATGAAAGTTCTATAATAATGTATGACTGGAAAAGTCATCAAGAATATATATCTCCATTCACAAATGAATCACTCTCTTATGATCAAATGAATCTTGAGATATTAATTGGATGGAGTAGACTTGGAATCTTTTTAATGGACAAAAATCATAATGGATTAATTCATATACAAAATTTACCAGAAGATCAAATTAATAAGATCAAACAATACTCTGATGAACAAAATACTTTGGTAAAATTTGAACTAATTAGTAGAGAATTCTTATATCCTAATGAAATTTTATATCAAGGTTATCATACCTGTTCTTTTTATAATGATTGTAATACTGAAATAATGTCTTGTTCAAGTCAAGCTTTAATAGATACATGTAATAAACCTCGTCCTGGAATGAGTTGGATTATAGATACTGAAATTTCTGAAACTAATGTTAATAATGGTACATGGGGATCTAAATTAGAGTTTCCTACTTTAATTAATGTATTCAAGATTAATAATCTCACAGATAATATATATTCAATTTATATCTTTAATAATAGGATCTCAATTCAAGATGAACATAATAAGATTTCTTGTGATGGTTATTATCCAGGTCTTGTAGATATAAAAATAGGTGATCATTTAAAATGGTCTATTGGAATAGATCATTCTTATTTACTTTATTTAAATATACATGATATAAAAAATGGAAATAAAAACTATACTGTTTGTGTTTTACCAATGGATATTTCTTCTGGAACTTTATCATCTATATATCCAAAAGGTTATTCACCTTTAAAATCCACCTTTATTCAACAGATCTCTGGATTCCCCAAAGGAGGATATGAGAAATCAAATCCCATAGGATTTTATGATGCAAATTATAACTCATCTCTTGGAATATTTGAACCTGATAAACTATATAAAAAAATCAATTCTTTCTTCCCAGTTGGAATTAATGCTGCTCCTACTTTTGGAGATTATCAAAACACTCCTCCAGGTTATTTCTATAATACAACTTCAAGTTTATTTGAAACAGAAGATTTAACTCTTAAAGATGAAATTAACCCTTATCAACCTAGAGAATTTATTAAGGGATTGAATGAATGTAATATTGAACTTTTATCAGTTTGTAATAGTTCAAATATTAATTTTAGATCTAATAATAGTAATTTAATATTTGGAAAAGATTGGACTTTATTTGTAATGATTAGTACAGGTATTCCTATTGGAAATAATATCTTATCTAATTTGGATTTTAATTACAAATATAATTTCATAAATGACATAAATGGAGAAGAAGAAGTCATTCTTTCTCTTACTCTTAGAAATGAATCAGTAATATTCAAAAATGAAAAGACTGGAGATGCTTCGATTTCAGGATCTCCCCAATGTGGTCCATATTGTTCAACTTATCCAAAAGGCTTTTTTACTTTTTGGTTAACTTATAATAATGAATCTAAAAAATACCTAATTTCAGTTAATTCTAATAAAGAACATTTGGTTGAAGTATCAGGTTACAAATCAGTATTTAACAAAATTAGAGGAGAATTAGGTAGTAATAATGGAAATGTTTATTCACTTTGGCAGTTAACAAACATAGTTGAAGTTCCAGTATCAATCTCAACAACAACAACAACAACAACTTCTCCTCCTTGGGACAGTATTACATTTGATAACTGTGATATTGAGATAGGTACTCCTTGTAAAGGATATGCAGGAACGATTCAAAACAATTTGAAAATGAGTAATGTTATTTGGATCTCAACAATAGTACATAATGGAAACATTATATTACCCTCAAGTGGAGAAAAATATTGGTTTGGAATTAGTTTGAATAGTATCTCTTCTGATAATCTTATGAACTTGTTTTTCAATGAAACTTTCATCATTCTAATAGATTATGTACAAGGAAAACAATATTTCTCAAGATATACTGATGAAATTCTTATTTATGAAGGCTTAGAACTAACTTTTGGATTAGCATGGAGTAAATTTGGAGTATTCTTACTAAATGAGAATGGTAATTCTTTAATTAGCTTCCAAACCAACCAAGAGTATGCTATATCAAAGATTATACCACTTCGTGGAAGTAGAAGACAAGTATATCATTTCCTACTTTCTGGAGGTTTTCTATTCCCAGGAAATACTTTGTATGAAGGATATAGTACCTGTTCACTATATAAAGATTGTGATTCAACATCTACAGGGTGTTCAGCTCAAACTCTTACTAATCCTTGTGGTAAACCTCAACCAGGAGTTAGTTGGATTATTGAAACAGAGATTCTGGATACAAAAGTAAATAATGGTACATGGGGTTCTGATCTTGAACTCTCAAATCTTCTTAACATTTATTTTGTAAATAATGGTGTTGAAGATGTATTAGCTATATATTTATTTGATAATAGATTAGCCTTACAAGATCTTAAAAAGAATGTGGTTTGTAATGGTCCTTACCCTCAAGATCTTTCTCAAAACTTTGGAAGCAGTATAAATTGGACTTTGTCAATAGATGAAACTGAAATGCTTTACCTTAATATTAAGCAAAAAGATGAGATTTTTTCAGTTTGTGCAATTTCATTTGGAAATCATCTAATTCCAATAGTTTATATTTACCCTAGAGGCCATGCTCCAGCTACTTCGAATTTCACTCAAATACTTAATAGTATTCCAATAGGAGGATTTGAACCAACATCTAAAAATTCTAAATCAGGATTCTATAGACCAATATTAAACACAACTTCTGGAACATATAATAATGAACTATATAATTCCACTACACCTTTCTTACCAGTTGGTATTAATCCAGTTCCTTATTATGGTACAGCAGAAAATACTCCAATTGGTTACCATTATAATAGAACCACCAACCAATTTGTTAGAAATCCAAATAATACAAATGTAGACGAATTTAATCCATTTAGACCTCCTTATATAATGAATGGAGTCTTAGAATGTGATCTATTTATTTTTGATACTTGTAATGGAACATCTGCAAGGATTATGCCAGAAAATACAATATTTAAGCAAGGATGGACGCTATTTACATTAATAAGTACCGGCATTCCAACTCGTGATCCAAATACAAATAGTCAAGATCCAAACCTAAGATTTGATTTCATTAACTCAGAATTAGGAGGAAATACTGAGGAAACTGTTTTGTCTCTTAATTTATTTAATGAGACAGTAATTCTTAGAAATGAAAGAACTGGAGATTCTTCTATTGCAGGATCTCCACAATGTGGTCCTTTCTGTTCTACTTATCCAGATGGATTCTTTGCATTTTGGTTAACTTATGATCCAGAAATCAATGTATACACAGTTTCTGTGGACTATAATAAACAGAAACTTGTTTCTATTAATTCAGCAAATATGAAATTTAATCTAATTAGACCATCATGTGGAAATTCTCAAACAAACTGTGGTATTGTTTATAATATCTTCCAACTTACTAATAAACAAATTATTCCAAGATCCATTTCTACTACTACTACTACTACTACTGCTATCCCTTGGTCTAGCCAAGTTCTGGATGAATGCAAACTCATTGTTGATGTTCCTTGTAGAGGGATTAATGGTGTATCAGTTACTCCATTTTCTCAAGGAAATATTCTGTGGTTCAATACTACAATAACATCTTCTAAAGATAAGATTCATGGATTAGACTTTTCTTCTCTTCATTGGTTTGGATACCAATTTTTATTGGATTCAAATCCGATCTTTTCCTTATTATTCAATGAAACTTCCATAACTTTGACAGATCAGATTGCTAAGATTGAGTATTCTTCTAGATATACCAATGAAAGTTTAGCATATCCAGAAATGAATATAATCTTTGCTATTGGATGGAGTAGATTAGGTCTATTTGTCATCAACTCTAAAAGTGAAGGCCTAATTCAAATCAACAGTCTAACAGATATATCCTTCAACAAGGTATCTCTCTATGGATCAGAGGCCACTCCAAGTAATTTCTTGCTTACTGATCAATTTGTATTCCCTAAACAAATCCTCTACAAAGGTTATGAGAGTTGTTCTTTCTTTGAGGATTGTCCTACAGAGGCTTCCTGTTCTTCTCAAGTATTGACAGGAATATGCAACAAAAAGAATCCTGGATCCTATTACCAAGTAGACACAGTGATCACAGAGACATTCCTTACAAACTCTACATGGGGTTCGAGACTCGAGTTAAGTTCTCTATTGGCTGAATTTGTGATTAATGAAGGAAACTCACAAGAGGATCTCTTGTCTATATATATATTTGAAAATAGATTAGCTATTCAAGATCTAAAGCATAATGTAGTATGTTCTGGACCGTATCCTTCAGATTCAATCATAGATTATGGGGATTCTCTTAGCTGGAGTATCGGGTTTGATGATTCAAACCAGATGTACTTAAATGTTCAAAATTTCAAAGGAATGGGTAACTTTACTATCTGTACTTTAAGTACTGGAATTCAGAATTCTGATTTCTTGTACTTATATCCACAAGGATATGCTCCTGGACCTTCAGTATTTAAGGAATTTAAGATGGGATTCCCTAAAGGTGGATTTGAATCTTCTGTCTCAAATTCTTCTTTAAATGGTTACTATAAACCATTATATAATACAAGCTCTCAAGAATATGATCCCGAAGCTACCTATGGTATAAATCATCCCCACTTTCCTCCGGGTATACAGGCTGCTCCTCTTAATGGATCCCTTATTAATACCCCTTCTGGATATTACTATAACACAGCTACAGGACTCTTTGAGAAATATCCAAACAATACCAATATTGAAATTAATCCATTCCAACCAAAAGAACTTCTTGAGGGACTTCCTGAATGCAGTTTGCATATGTTTGATATTTGTAATTCTACCTCAGTCTTTTTAAAACCTAAAGATACATTTTTCAAACAAGGATGGACTTTGTTTGTGATGCTTAACAATGGAATTCCCTCAAATGTTTCTGAAAAGTATGACTTCAACTATAAGTATGAGTTTCTCAATTCCAAGCAAGGAAACAAAGTAGTACTTTCTCTTTATTATAACAACGAGACTGTAGTCTTTAGAAACGAAGTTTCTGGTGAATTTTCTGTTGCTGGATCTCCTCAATGTGGTCCTTATTGTTCAACATATCCAAAAGGCTTTTTCACTTTCTGGCTTTCTTACGATCACTCTTCCAACAATTACATTATCTCTGTGAGCTCCAACCAAAAGTATCTCCTTCATCTAGATGCACATGGAGCTATTTTTGATCATATAAAGCCTTGTTGTGAATCAGAAACTGCAAACTCATTCTCTCTTTGGCAACTTTCCAATACTGTAATTTATCCTCTTAGAATGTCCTCCACTACTACCACGCTCCCACCTTGGTTTGAGACAGTTCATGATGAATGCTCACTTTCCTCCATTGACTCTTCTCAACCGTGTAAAGGACATAGTGCAACCCTAATGGATGGAAATTTCTCTGATAGTTACCTCCTTTCTCTGAATTTCACACTATCCAAGGTTTTGGTGAACGGAGCAAACAACGTACTTACTCCCATTATCCCCACATCAACTTCCAAAAGGATGAATCTAGATAATTCTACAAATGCAACTGAAGATCTAAAATACATATGGAATGGTTTTGAATTCAAAGATAAGAATGATCAATTAGTACTTTCACTTAAATTCAATGAAACAACTATCACGCTTTATGATCACAGAGAAGATCTTGAATATATTTCTCCATATACTAACGAAAGCACAGTTTACTCTGGGAAATTAGAAAGCCTATCTCTTGGTTGGAGCAGACTTGGGTTATTCTTGATGAATAGTGATTTTAACAGCCTAATAAAAATCCCAGCAAGAAATAATTTTGAGTTCAGTAAAGTCTCAAAATCACTCCAAGATAACATTCCTCTTAATTTCACGCTCCAAACAAATTTTATGTATCCTAATGAGATCTTATACCAAGGATACCACTCTTGTTCTCTTTTTAATGATTGTCATTCTAAACCAATCTCCTGTGAATCCCAAGTTCTTTCAGAAACATGTAACAGAAATCCGAGTAGGCCACAATGGATTGTGGAAACTGAGATCTCAGATACTCAAGTAAACAACGGTACTTGGGGGCCCAATTTTGAACTTCCAGGACTACTTCATGCTTTCAATATTAATAATGGAATTGAGGATATAGTTTCAGTATATATATTTGATCAGAGGATTGCAATTCAAAGCCATCTTGGACACTCTTTCTGTGATGGATTATACCCAGAATCCAGATCTTTAATAATTGGAGACTCTGTTGTTTGGTCAGTAGCTGTAGATGATAATGAAATACTTTATTTAAACGTAATGAACGAAAATAAAACTAAATTCTACTCAGTTTGTACTCTAAAATACCATGAAGACTTTATACATTTTAAATACATCTATCCTAGAGGCTACTCACCTTCAAGATCTATATTTACTCAAATTATTGGAGACTTCCCTAATGGAGGATTTGAAAGTTCTAACCCCAGAGACAATATTGGATTCTATAGGCCTGAGTTAAATAATGAGACAGGACTATATGAACCAGAAAAAAAATACAACTTTAGTTTCCCATTCTTCCCAGTTGGAATCATTCCTGCACCAATTTCTGGAAACTATCATAATACTCCTCCTGGTTATTACTACAACCAAACTTCTGGTCTCTTTGTTAAGTATCCAAATAATACCTCAGACCAAGTAAATCCCTACCAATTCCAAGAGCTTTCTCCTGGTATAAAAGAATGTGATCTATACATTCTTTCAATATGTAACAGTACTATTGTTAATTTGAAACCAACAGGAACACTCTTTCAATCAGGTTGGACCCTATTTGCATCTATTAATACTGGAATCCCAGAATCTGACCAAAGTTCATCCGTGTTACCAAATTCAACCTTACCATTTGTCTATAATAATGGAGTAACTTCTTTTTCGTCCCAAAATTCAGCAACATACAATTATGGTTTCCAGTTCATTAACACATTCACTAGCAAAATAGTTCTCTCTATCAATTTGTATGATGAATTTACTGAGATTAAGAATGAGATCACGGGAGAAAGAGCCGTCTCAGTTTCTCCTCAATGTGGTCCTCTATGTTCAACATACAAAAAAGGATACTTTACCTTCTGGATGAATTATGATGCTTTCAGTGAAGAAATGACCATCTCTATTGACAAGAACAAACAGATTCTTTTGAGACTAAAAAATTCTCAGGCTGTCTCATCCTTTGATAGAATCCAACCATGTTGTAGTAATTCAGTAATGAGTTCTTTTAGTTTGTGGCAACTTTCGAATATTGCTAAGGTTCCTCAGATTGAGACTACCACTACAACCACTACTACTATCCCTCCCTGGCAAGATAATATTCAAGATGAATGCTTACTAGAGAAAGATATTCCTTGCAAAGGCTTTAATGCCACACTTATAGATCCCATATTCAATCATGGTAATGTCCTTTGGCTCAGCTTCAAACTACCTATTCAGAACTGTAATGCTCCTTTCAATTTAAATGAGATTTTCTGGTATGGTTACCTCTTTAGTAACAAGGATAGACCAGTTCTTTCTATTTTGTTTAATGAGACTTTAATTACTTTATATGATTGGAAGAATGATCAAGAATTTTACTCTCCTTATAAAGATGGAAGCCTTGTTTTTCAAGGAAAGAATCTTAACTTAGGACTTGGATGGAGCAGACTTGGGTTCTTCTTACTTAATGAAAACTCTGAATCTTTGATAAATATTAAATCCATGACTGACTTCTCTTTTGATAAGATCTCTAACCATGGTAAAACACCTGATCCATCAGTATTCCTTCTCCAAACAGGCTTCCTTTATCCTCAACAAGTTCTTTTACAGGGATATAAAGACTGTTCTTTCTACAATGACTGTTTTTCCAAGTCTTTAAGTTGCTCTGGCCAAGTACTTTCTCAAATATGCTCTAATCCTATTCCAGGGATGAGTTGGGAAATTGAAACTGAAATTACCAATACACAAGTTAATAATGGAACTTGGGGAAGAAGATTCCAATCTCCAGATATAATCAATGTATTTGTACTCAGTCCTACTGAAGATTTGATCTTTTCTATAAATTCCAATTCGAATGAAAATAACTATCAAGATTATGGATACATTTATGTACTTAAAGATAGAGTTGCTTTACAGAGCCATTATGGATCAGTCTGCTCTGGACCACTCCCTGGAGCTAGAAAACTCAATATTGGAGACAAGCTTAAACTTTCACTTGGAATAGACTCATTATCTATGCTTTACTTAAACATTTTTAATGATGATGATTCTGAATATAACACAGTATGTAGTATAGGTGAGATTGAGAATGGATGGAGATTTAGATATATATTCCCTATGGGAAATTCTCCCCCAATCTCAAACTTTACTCAATTTAAACTTGGGTTCCCTGATGGAGGATTTAAACCAACATATACAGGCCCAGATTCACTTTATGATCCATCATTTGATAATACAACAGGGACTTATCATCCAGAGTTGAAGTATTTAAAAAGTTATCCTTACTTCCCATCATCAATAATTCCAGCTCCTACTGATGGTAATGAAACTAATACTCCTCCTGGGTATTTCTACAATAGGACCTCTAGTTTATTTGAGAAAGAAGGAGGTATTCAGAATTCAGATATTAATCCATATAGGCCAGAATATATTAAAAACGGAGTAGATGTATGTGATCTTAGCTTATTCTCAGTCTGCAACTCAACAAATGTATACTTAAAACCTGAGAATACCCTCTTTAACTCAGATTGGACTTTAATGGTAATGATGAGCACTGGGAATCCAGAAACTCAGGAAAGCCCTTCAAATAATCTTAAACAAAACTACAAATATGAATTCTTTAATTCAAATACCAAATCTCTAATATTGTCAATAACTTACTCGGACCTCTTCGTTAGTTTGACTAATGAACAAAATGGAATCACAGTCTATTCTTCCTCACCCCAATGTGGTCCCTTTTGTTCTACATATACTAATGGTTTCTTTACATTTTGGGTAACTTATAGTAAAGAGAAGAATTCTTACACAATTACCGTTAATAGAAATACAGAGAGATTGCTTTTCCTGAATGGAATAGATAATTCATTTAACCAGATAATCGGAAAGAGCTTTGGTTCTAAGAAATCTTACACTCTTTGGTATCTTGTCAACATCTCAATAGATCCTATTGGACTTTCTACTACTACTACTACTTCCACTAGTACCACAACTACAAGCACTCCAAATACAAATATTACAAGCACTTCAACGACTACATTACCTCCTGATCTCACTGAAGGGTGCAATTTGAAAATTGGAACAGCTTGCACTGGAGTATTTGGATACTTTGAAAAAACGGATGATAGTGTTTGGAAGGAGGGAGTTTATGTGACAATCAGTTTCAAATTCCCTAAGATTGTTAAAAAAAGATTTACTTACTATGTAGACAGCTCACTTAGAACATTATCTAGCCAGACAGTATTTAGTCTAATTCTGATTAACAGGGATTTAAACGTAGGAAGCATATTGTTTGAGCCAAATAAGTTAACAGCAGTTCTGAATGAGACTTCTATTTCAACTCAATATAGTAATGGAAGAATATTTAATGAAGGAGATGATATGGAGATAACTCTTCTGAAAATTAATGGACTTTTCTATATTATGGATTCAAATGGATTTGCTCTGATTGAGTATCCAAATTTACTACTTTCCGAGGATGAAATAAATTCAAAGCTTAATTATACTTTCACTGAAATATACCCCTCAACTCCAGTTAGGTTAATCTTCTCAGTTCAAAACTATCAAGGATATCCATTTGTTCTTTTAAATGGATACTTACATTCCAGCTTGACAAACTATTGTGGGGTGGATCAAACTTCTATTGTAAATCAAGCTGTAAATGGCTTATGTAATTATCCTCAAAAAGGTATGGAATGGAAAATATACACCAAAGCCACAGACAATAAGTTAAACAGTGGATATTATGGAGATTTATATGATAATGATGATTTGATTTCTGCTTATAATATTAATAACGGAACTCACAATACTTTAGGATTCCTATTTTATCGTAAATTTGCCTTATTAATCAACTTAATTACGAATGAACAATGTTCTGGAGTACATCCAAACTCTGAAGAACTTGGTTTTGGAAAGGACCACGATTGGAGTATTGGATTTAATGGGAATTCAATTTTCTTAAATGAACACCAATTTTCGGACTATTCTAAAAAATTCACAATTTGTACCTTGCCTTTAAATAACAAAATCCTGCCATTCAAGTACTTAATCCCTGTTGGAGAAAATCCATATAGTAAGATGAAAGTTTCCCAACTTGGAAAAGGATTCCCTGAGAATGGTTATTCCACAACAGAAAAGGATAATGAAATTCCAATAAACGGAGTTCTGATGGTTCAAGCGTTGATTACAAACTTTGATTATTTTGTTCAAAAACAAATAGCTGATGAGAGATTCAAAGAATTTAAAGACCTATTTATCTCATCTATTAAGACTTCTTTCGGTCCTTATAAGAGGAACGTAGGTATTATAAGTTTGACCCCAAGGAATGTCCAAGTATCCAAAGTTGGAAATAGCGTCTTACAGACTGCAACTGGGGATATATTGGTTACATTCTATATTTACTCTAATGTAGGACAAAAAATGGCAGACTTTTCACTGGAAATATCCTCCAAGATCATTTTCAATCCGACAAGTATTTTCGGACAGATATTTGAATGGAAACAACTTAACTTCTTAACCAAAGATGCTTCCCCTCCTATTGAATTAATCGTTAACAACACATCCTGTATGGGAATAAACAAGGGGAAAACTGCACTGGAAAGCATAGTTTATAAGTACGGTTTCTATTCAGACTTAGTTACTGAGTATCCTCCAGAATCTTTAATTGGATATTTCTCATTTAATCACATTGTTCCAAATGTTCCTACTTTTAATGACCATAAAGAGTTTGTTCTTTCCTTCAAGAAGGCACTTGGTGAATTACTTGGGATTGATTATAAACTTATTGGAGTCATTGCAGTTGGTGATACTCCTGTTGAGAATGGAGTACTAGGATATGGAGTAATTAAGTTCTACATTAGCTCAAATAGTATGGAGTTTTCTTCAATTATACTAGAACAGCTTTCTCTTAGACTTTCAAACCCCAAAAATCCATTTTCCAAAAAAATGAGCTGGAAGCAAATTGAAATTGGATACTGTAATAAACCCAAGTTCTATATGTATTATCATAACCGTATGAACAATAGGAGATTTAAACATTACTTAGAAAGCAATGGAAACTTGAATGTTGAAGATAACCCATTTTACACTTATTTAAAAGATGATGATAACTTCAGTGATCCATACGAATACGATTACAATGATAATTCCGAAACAGACAGTGATGGATTGGATGAATTCATCAATAGTTTTGGACGTCACAATAAATAGTCTAACTAGTTCGTTTTCTCGTAGAAAGTAGCACTTTATCACTTCTAAATATCTTATTTAAATCAATTTTATTTGTTTTATTTACATATTTGACAATAAGACTATCTAGACTAAATTAAAATTATAATAAAAAAGCTGTGTAGGTGGCTAATTCTACCAATAATACACTTTATTATCTAAATATAATTTATAAAATACTAGTTTTTCTTTTAAAATTGACCTTTAAGACTTTATTTGTTTTTATGTATTGCATGCATAAAATATCTCCGGAAAAGTCAGGTGCATGCATTCATAGGTAATTAATCACTTATATCCCAAAACCTAATATAAATTTTGTTCAAAACTTTTTGTATAGAAAATGGCATTTAATATCATCTTAAATAGATATTGTTATAAGAGTTATAATTCCCATGAGATTGAACGTTATTTAATTAAATAATTAATTTAATTAAAACTTCATTTCGAGATAAAGAAACACACAATTTTTGCATATTATGAAATAATTTCTTCTGGCGGGAAATCTGAAATTTGAATGAAAGTTAGTTTCGAAAGAGTGGAAAAAGAAAAAGGAGAGGAATAGATAACGATTGATAGTTACTATTTGAGGTAAAGTAATGGGTTATAAAAAGAGGATGGGTGTGGTTCTGAAAGAAAATGGGTCGTTTTTTGATTGTTTAGCAAAAAAAACTAAAATTTGTGAAGAAATATATATTTTGAAAGATTTATTTACTAAGAATGAATTTAAAAAGTTGATTTTTTTTTGAATTTGTGGGTTTTTGATGAAAATAGTTTAGCGGTAAATATTTAAATGCTGGGAATTAATTTATTAAACAAGTTAAATGTTGTGCGGGAAATTTTCGTGAACTGTAATAAGTTACGACCAGATAAACCTATTGAGCAGACTTGAGAAAGAATTACTGGTAAAGAAGGAGTGTTTAATAATTAAAGGGACTCATCCATAAATTTAGTGATTGAAGAGTAGTTGATTACTAAAAAAAAGTGTGAAGGAGTAAAAATGGATTTTTTCGGTCAGAACAAAAGTGGATTATCAAAATGCAATGCGCAGTGCGTAGTTAGTAGAATCATTATAATTATTCTGTCAATAATTTTATTATTAGGGTTACTTGTTTGGATCTTTCAGGAAAAACTTTTGTTCTTTCCGAATATTAATGGAAAAAGAGATTTAGCCTCAAACTTTCCAGGATTCAGACACCCTAATGAGAAAAAGATTAATTCAGAGGACGTGACTTTAATTACGGATGATAATGTTAAATTACATTGTTGGTTTATGGTACACAAGGAATTTGACAGATACGTTAGCAACAAGTTTGGTACGTTGGAGACTGATTCTAATTTAAAAGAAAATTTTGAAGGGGAAATTGAAGATGATAACGAGGGAGAGTATATGAATATAACTAGAAAAGCTCCTAAATATATGAGACATTATTTTGCTGAATTTGCAAAAAGATATGAGCAACAAGAAAAGTCCCCGACTATTATTTTCTTTCATGGTAATGCTGGTAACATTGGGCACAGACTTCCCAGGTTCTGGGAACTTTATAATCTTATTGGTGTTAATGTTCTTGCAGTTTCTTATAGAGGATATGGAGATAGCGAAGGAGTACCTTCTGAAGAGGGTTTCTATTTAGATGCTAAAGCTGCATTTGAATATGTTCTTTCTAGGACTGATGTAGTGGATAAAAATATGATATTTGTATATGGTCATTCTATTGGTGGCGCTGTCACTATTGATCTTGCTTCCAAATATAATATCACTGGTATTATTCTAGAAAATACCTTCACTGATATTGGCTCTATTGCTTTAAGAGTTTATCCAATATTCAAATATTTTGGTTTCTTATTTAAAGTAATACAAAGACTTAAGTTTGACTCTATCTCTAAAATTTCCCGTGTTAAATCTCCAATATTATTCGTGGTTGGGAGTGAGGATGAAATTATACCTCCTACTCATTCTATTGAACTTTATAGAAAGGCGGGAACGAATGGTTTTTTAAACAAAGTCTATACAGTCTCGGGAGGGCTTCATAATGACACTTGGCTTAAAGGTGGAATGGAATTTTACCTGATGTTAATAGAATTTATTTATAATGTTATAGACTTTAATACGGCGGAAATGGTAGCTTCTTCCAATAAAATATTGAGGCAGAACGAGGAGGAAAGTTCAGATTCAAAAGAAGAGATTTTGAGGCACAGGGAAAGGTCTTCTGTAATTAAGCTTCGACAAAAAACAAATTAAACTAAAAATATATTTTGCATTTGATTTAAAATAATGAAAAATTTTAATTCCTTTTCTTACATTAATCTTTTTTTTTTTTTTAGAACAACTTTCATTTTTTTTATTCTGCATGCATTCTTCTTTGGCGCCTTTTGCCATTTAATTAAAGCTAGTTGCCTACATGCATTATATATACACTAACATTTGGAATTGGTTGATCAAACCAATTATATAAAAGAAAAGAAGTCGATAGAAAATTTAATATAGCCTATGAAATAATAAATAACTTAAAAATTAAACCTTTTCTAATTGGTCATCATTTGAAATCAAGGCAAGCTTTTCTAATGTATTTTCTTTAATCACTTCACATTTCGATTCTGAGCTACTAATAAAGTAGCTATTTGGGAGAGGATCCACTAAAAGGTTTTTTTCTCTAAATAGAAACCAAAGAAAAATCAGGAGAAGCGGATAGAACAATGTGAAAATGAAAATAAGCAAACTTGGGGCTATCTTTATATGACTCTCATCATTAAAATTGAAAAATGTGTACAAATCATTTATACTTATAGGTAGTAAAGAGAGATATGAATCTGGAAATAGCTTTATTATACCAATGAATAATAGTATTCCAATAATATAAATATATAAGTAAAGCCCATGTAATAAGAAGAATGGCTGATAAGTGGAGTAACAGTCCCAAAAAACAAGAATACTTGCAATTGCATGTTTGGCTATTGCTAATATGAGTGAAATGCTGGTATTAGGGTGAGAAACCATCCAATAACCAATATTGACTATAAGTCCTGTGGGGAGAAGAAAACTTTGAATCATCCATGCATACCAGCATGTCCAATTTAGATAACCTACATTTCCGATAATGTCTTCAATTTCTGGTATGTTTTTTCCATATACATTACCGTCAATATTTGAGTTTACTACATTTTGTGCCTGCATTGATACAATACTTAAAACTAAAAAGTAACCTATTGTTGCAATACTGCACCAATTAGTAGTGTAGTATCTGGCTAAATTTTCAATTTTCCATATCTTTATTTCTGTAAAAATATCATATAATATAACTGTACAAAAAAATATAACGCATGATAATCTAAACATTAGTACTTTTGAATGATTAATATGTGGTAACCAACTGTTTGAGAATATGATTCTACAGTCTCCTCTGGATAATTTGAAATATAATCTCGAAAATTGGAATTCCCAAAGAAATGATTTCCAATAATCAGCCAGGCTTTCATTGAATTGTTCATTTTCTAAAAGTAAATTTTCTTTAATTAAATTATTTAAAGGCTTAGTTCCTAGAATACCTAGTACATCGTTGTTCGCAATCATTACTTTCCAATTTAACTCAATCCACTAATGTTATTGTTCTAAAGGAAGGATTGTGTGAGAAAGATAAATAAAGATTACACACAAATCTCAAACTTTATTGTATCACTTTCTTAATTTCAGATTCAAATTGATTTTGAAACAATAATGTCATTTAAAATCCAAATGATCTTCTTATATTGAAAAAATTAAAGTTATTTTTAATATATAAAAATTTTTTAAACCAAAAAAAAAAATTGGTGCATGGCTTTAGTCACATTGGGAAATATGCACAATAATTTTAAAGGCACACCACACAACAAAAGTGGAAAAAGAAAACAAATAATAAAAATAATTGAAATCTAAAATTTTAATATATTTCGAACAGCAAATTAACATTTTCAATAAATATCTGAACCAAATTTATTGATCATGCTATTACTCATTAGAGAAGAATGAGATGATTGAATATACATATTCAGTGTTTCATTTGCATCGACTAATTTTTTGAGTTGGACTTTATACTCACTAAGTTCCCTGTCTTTTTGTGAGCACAGCTCATTCAGCTGTGAAAGCTTATCCAACAATGACTTAACTACCTTTTGCAAGGTAGCATGGCTGTTTTGTAGATTCTCATACTTTTGAACAAGCTGCCCGTAATTTTGCTGTTCTTCTGCTGTATCCAGTACTGCTAATCCTCCTCTTTCTACTGTTTCGGAAACAACTCCAGTCACTAATCCGGGTTCAGCTCCTGTTTCAGTTTCAGTTTCAGTCCTAGGAATTTCTCCTCTTCCTGAAGAAAGGGTGGAATTTTCCTTCTCACAAATATCTCCAATAAATCCTAGTAATTGTCTGCCATTGTAATAATCATTCAAGTTTCGCCTCTTATCTCCAAATCCATATATATCAAAATTATTACCCACCAGTTGCTCATGGCAGGGCACCTCAATTCCCTCAGGTCTTTCCTTACGTTTATTCATACTCTAATAGACGTACTTGATGACAAGAACATAAACTATCAGTACGTCATGACGCTTAACATGATTCTTCTTTCCCACCCCAGACGTCCTAAAGTTTATTATCACCTCCTAGTTAGACTATAATTCCCCTATTTTTACCAAAAACTTGGTTATCTAAATACTCCACTTTCTTGGTGAAAATATAAAAGCTCCTCGAAGTTTCTAAAAATCCTAAAATATGACTTTTCTGCTTATATTTTTAGTTTATTCTCCCCCAATGTACTTGTTAAAACTTTGGTCTTTTTCTTTAATTTGTTAGAACGCACTTTCCTTTACAAAAAGAAATAAATCTCTTTTCCCGCCTAATTGTTAACGACAATAAGTACATTTACTTAAAAATATTGAATAAAAAAGTTATAATAATTCCAAATTAACAAAAAATGTGGATAATTAAGAATTTTATTTAAGTTGGAGTATATTTCACATATTTAGCAGTACGGTTTGTTTTTGTTCAATTAACTGAGAAGTTTGCGGAGAAATTTGTTTAATTGCAATTTGCTAATGCGTGTGAATATGTAGCTTATATATATACATATATTCATCAGTCTATTCAGAATATATTTATTTGTCTTCTATTTAAATGTTAAAACTCACTTGAGTTAACTGAGGTTAATATTCTCAGGAACAGGTCTACTTTGTTCTTCTACCTACCCTGTGTTATGTTTTAGACTTAAAATTGCATATAGAAAACAATTGTTCTGTGAATGCGAAGATTAGAATATATTTTCTATTGGATTGTAGGATTATATATTTAGGGAAAGCTATTAGTGAGTTGTTCTCAGAAATTATAGCAATTTACATTATAAAATATTCAAATTTCCAGGATCTGAGAATTCTTCCAGTGATTTATTAGTCTGAAAGTTTAAACAGATTAATTACACGTTTTCTTTGGTTTTTTTATAGCCTAAATTTTATATGAATATATGTTCTATCACTGGGAAAAAGTGGTCAAGTTGCATGCATAAACATGTACTTTTAAGTAATTTATAAGAGGGTAAATAACCATAACCTTACGATAATTAATAAAATTAAAGCAAGAAAATACTACAGTTTAAATAATGAAAATATTGAAAAGTGAATAAAACAGTGTGATTCCTCGAAAAAAAAATGCTTAATAGCTCGGCGAGATGACTCTTCATTTGCAGCCCCAAAAATTTTTATGAAAAGCAACAACTTCCTCCATCATCCTATTCAAGTTGCATGCATATTATTTGTGAGAGAAATACTCTAATAAATAACTGTTTTATTTTTTGAAATAAATAGTACAAAATTTATTTAATAAATGTGGGGAGGCGCCACATTAGTGATTTAAATTTCAGAAATAGTGTGCATGCATCTTAGGCCACAAAGGCTATGAATACAGTAGCTACGCATATATGCAATATAGATTTGTATTCTAAAAGTAATCTTAGGTAGAAGCTGTCTGAGAAGTCCAAGGTATTGAGTAAATGCGGTTAGGGTACCACATTTCCAAGTAGGATGAAACACTGTAGAAAGAAAGAAAAATATTTTAATTTAAAGTAAAATTAATTTTAACTCTAGTGATTTTGGTATTTATTTTTATAAATAGCATTAATATATATAGTGCATGGGAAAGTAATTATATACTGTGTGCCGCCTAATCTCTTTTAAATAATATATAGCAAATAATAGCAAATAAAGTATGTGATTGGTTTATACGGAGTTAATTCTAATTTTTTTGGTCAGATTAAAATAAAAATCACGCTTTGATGCTATTGTTAAAAGTAGGAACTCAAAATAAGAAAGTTTCTGCAACGGTTTACTCAGAAGTGGTTGAATATTAGCAACAATTACAGAGTTGTGGAATCAAAAAAAATAATAAAATGGAGAACATTAGGATAAACGGCGATTTATCAAGTAAGTTTCTTTGTAAATTTCTCTCAGACCAGAAAGAGTGCATTTGTTAACTGGTTGAGAGGTAATGAACAGAGAGAATATCATTATCATTGCAAATTACACATATAATAATATTGAATTATTATGTAGATATTGAGAATTTTATCAAGCTTTCATACAAGCAACAATTGGAGCTTGTCACAGAGCAAGAGAAGCAAAGGTTGAACTTATATGGTGATTATATTATAAATTGTATTCCCTTAAATATTAGGAAACTAAAGATTAGAGAGATACTTGAAGATCAGGGAAAAAATATAATATTATCAGGTAAGTTTTCTGATCTAACTCTAATTGAATTTTAATACTAATATTAATGAACATTCAGAGGATGAAAAAACTGAGATTTTAAATAAGCTGAGTGAAATTGTTAGTTTGAAATCATTCAAATCGGAATCAATGCTAGAGAGCTCCTCTCCAGAATTAAAGAATGTTGGACTTTATAAGGATCACCTTAAGAAGTCAAGAGTGAAGCTCTTGCCAATCTCTAATACATGTTATACGATAATTAGAGAAAAGACTGAGGATTTCTGTCAAAGTGAATGCGATGAAAAGATGGAAAACAATAATTATAATGAACAAATTCAACGAGACAAAAATAAGGATACTTTAAAAAATCAAATACTAGATTCAAACGTGGTTAGAGACATAATAAGCTCATTATAAAAGAAAAAAATATCTACCATAATAATAGTATCTAATTATATGTATGGATGCACCTTTTTAATATTTGAGATAACTTTGCTATAAATGCTATAAAACGGTTTATCTTGAACAGAACTTTCGTTGTTAAATGAAATCATTAGTACACTAGCTGGTCTCTTTGATTTACATATAGTCCCCAAGGTCTTTTTACTTCCAAGATATCCATAGTAAATATTTTTTTCTTCACACAAAATCGGAATATGTGCAATAATATCCACTGGATGAATATCACAGGCTATTAAAACAAGCCCTTTCTGACCCTTACGTATGCTTTTTGTAACTTCGTGTACTCCTCTACGTATATATCTAGTCTTCTTGCTTCCTTTTTCCTTTCTCTCTTCCTTTTCATATTCTTGAACTTTTTTTACAAGCTTAAGACACCTTTCCAAAAGCTTTCCTCCAAAGATTGGGTCGGCTATTGCAGATTTGTTCGTAATTGCTTCTTCACCTTCCATCTCAACCTCGTCTTCAATATGAGTCAATTCTGATTTATCTTCCTTCATTTCTTCTACTCTATATTCTTTCTAAACTACTTCCTATAACCAGGCAAATCCGTAGCAATTACTCTCCTTTTCCGCTTTTTAAAAAATTATTCCAGGTTTTATGTAGCTTTTTCCTTATTAATTAAAGTCAATTCTTACTTTAAAAAAAGTCATATTTCCGCCAATATTTGGGCGGGGCATTTAGGGCGGGTTAACACTATAGTCAAAAATAATTGTAATTGCGAGTTGAATGTGGGAATTTAAGGTGAGATAAATGAGTAAATAAGGAAGAAATAATAAGAGGTAAAGAGTAGGAATAGAGTTGTGGAATAGATTTGCAAGAATAAGTTTTGTTGGACTTAGTTGAATACAAGGATTATAAATTAAGTACTTTTTTAATATACTTTTTTTTAAAATTAAATTTATTGCATACTAGTGGCAACGCTCCCTGGAAAAAAAAAGGCAAAAAAACTGCTTATAAGGAAAAAAACAAGTCTCGTCATGCATAATAGTTCTAGCTGAGTTTGAGATTATTTTATTGAATCTTTTTTTTTTTTTTTGAGATTAATGAAAAATTAATACAGGGACAACTGGGTATTCAATAGTGGTATATTAAAAGGAAAGGGAGTCTTAAATACTCACAATTTACTTTTTTGAAAAAAGAAAGTTCTGTGTGAAGTAGTTATTCAAACAGAGAAAATGAGTGTAATTTCCACAAATAGTTATATTCAGGGGCAGAAATCCATAAACTTCAATGGTATTTGTTTGGGTTTGGATAAAGCCATAAAACAATTAAAAGATAATGGTTATTTGGATGACTTGATTCTTGACTTTTTTATGGAATTTTCTAAGGAATCATGTGTTGGAATTAGAGAAAACTGTTCTGGTGGTAAATACTGTGTATTTAGTAGTCTATTCTATACAATTCTAAGTATGTGTGGTGATAATGATGAGGAGTATTTAAGACTAAGGAAATGGGTCAAAAGAGTTTCTACTCCATTACTACTAAATGATGCAATTGTAATTCCAATGTATTGCAGCCAAACTAGCCATTGGTGGTTAATCGTTATTTGCCATCCCTATAAAATTTTTAATTTGATGAAATCTTCTTTATATAGAAATAGCTCACACGCAAATATTGAAGGCTCCAACAAAGGGTGGATTATATGTATGGATTCTCTTGGAGGTAAAAATATTGGGCAATACGAAAAGAGAAAGGCAATAATGAAGATTTTGAAGTTCTTAGATATAGAGAGACGAAATAACGATAGCTATTCGGATCTTCTGGAAACTGGGAATGAACCAGCCATTCTTAATGCTAATATTACCGTTACAAATACTACTACTACTAATAATAATGTCTTTACAACTAAAACTACTGTAAATACCTCTGATATAAATAATACAAATGATAGTATGTCGGTAACTTTTAGATCTCTTAGTAACTGGGAGATTATATATAATCCAAAGAATCTTCCTTTTCAGGAAAACAACTTTGACTGTGGAATATATATTATTGAGTATGCCCATTGGCTTTTTCATTATGGAACGGCAATTTTCAACTCTATGATTAACAGAGATTCTTCTTTGGAAATTTCTAACTCTATTTGTTTGGATCAAAACAAATTATCCAGAAAGTGGTTTCAAAACAGGAGAGCCGTTTACACTAAAGTTTTGGAATTTATGAGTACTAACATGGGTTGGAATGAAGATAAGTTTTTAAGAAATCAACTAACGGAAATTTTTGATGATAATATGAACACTTTTAATTACAATGAAAAAGTTACACAGGAGAAAATTTCTTCCTTGCAAGCCAGGAAAAAATTTGTAATGTCTTCCTTAAACAAAAGCTACTTCAATAGGTAGATATGTATTAAATGATTATTCCTTTTTTTTTTTTACAAAAGTACGAGCACATAGCTATGCATGTTTACGCGGTATACTGCCTAAATATGGGGAAAGAGTCAAATAAAATAAAGCAGTAAATATAGTTATTAATATGTAACTATAAAAAATTAAATCGGGATCCTGAAGCAAAAACTATGATTGCGATTGAATCTTATTCCAGAAACTTTCTATGATAACTTCAAGCTGTAAATTTAAAAAGAGAAAGATAGTGAAATAGTAATATTTATATGTAATTTCGGAAACCCGCAGTTTATTATTAATTAAGCTTACCTGCGCCTTTGTACAATTCGGTATAATTTTTAAAGCACTCATAATGAGAAGCATTTCTTTGGTTGTTGATGCTGAGAACCAAACAACGCCATTTTGTCCAACACAAATCTCATAGGCAAAGTACTTGGAAAGAACTTTTAGGACATAACTTTGGTCAGCAAGAAGTATTTGAGCAACAGACTGGGGCACAGTAACTGCCATACCGTCTTTTATACATGAGTGATTTTCTCCAGAAGATCCGGGCCTGACGGATTTTGAGTACTCCTCAATAACATTGGTATTTTTATAGTTGGAATTTTTTAAAACCCCCAAATAATTTTCGTTATTTGACCATGCTTTCTTCTCCTCAGGAGTAATGCATGTAAGCTCGATTTCCCCGCTTTCAAGGTCTACATAGCTTATTCTTGAACATAAATAATTTCCAGGAATTAGATTTGGTTTGTTTCTTTTAGTTGCCCCTTCAAACGCCATATCTGAAAGGATTCCATCATGAGAGTAGTTGAGTGAAACCTTGAAGTTCAGAGTTAAATTTCTTGAAGATTGAAGTCACTTAAAGATAACATACCTTATAAAATTCTCCAAGCTTGTTAATTACTGTTCCCACAACAACATCTCCTTTTTTTGGAATGTACTGAAACAATAAATAAGAGAAAAATGGGAATAGATTTCAAACTTACACATCCTTTAAAAGATAAGATTATTTTATCATAAGGCCAATATGGCCTCTTACATTCAACACCAGCTATTTGGCCTACAATAGGATTAATAAGCCAAAATATATCATCAAAGTTCAAACTTACTTTTCCTTGATTCTTGAGAATTAATGGATATTTTTTCTCCAGGAAGAATAATTTTGAAGTCATCTGGAATTCTGTCATTAGTATTCATTTTGATTTTAGTTGTAAACTATATTCGGAAAGTAGTAGAATTATATATATGTATATATATATATATATATATGTATATTCCTATAGTAGTTAAGTTTTAAGTATTTTAAATTACAATATGGGTACCGAAAAAGTGGTCAAAATAAGCCACTTTTTTATCATAAATGATAAGCAAATCTTCAAAGTAATGTGTTGGAATCTTTTTAATATCTTTTACTGATATTTGTCGTTCAGAAGCTCAATTCTAATAGTCAATTGATGTTACCTTGGTGCCTAGCTTCTTAGATTAACCTGATATTAACTTGATTGGTCTCAGAGCCTAGATATATACCATATACCCACTTCCAGAGCCTAAAATCTATCTTAGGTAAGACTCGATTTGTATTGAGAAATTTGTTTTTATCTGATTAATTTTATATTACGTGTTTAGGCGCCAAAGTGAGCTTTTTATAGAAGAAAAAAAGATGATCATGGAAAAAAGTGACAGGAAAAAAAAGGAAATTTGTAGATTTACCCAAAATTGAGAAGAAATTAAACTTGGGTTTGACTAAAGAGGAGAGCATGTCAGAGGTGGTCAAAAGAAAAGTTTTGGGAGGAAGAGGAGCTATGGGAATAGTGAATAGTTTGCGTCGCCAGCTAACACACCTGGTGAATTGGGAATTAAGTACGTCCGTGGATGAAAGTTCAACATTAAATCTTCTCAGATTGCTTTTAAACAGCGTGGGGTCTGAACACTTTAGAAGTATGTCGGCTGTGGAAATTTTACAATGTTTGGATAATGTAATGAAAGTTGTTTTAAAGAGAAGAACAAGAAGTAGCTGGATATTGCTGCTGAATAATATAGGTAAAAATAATGTTATATTTAGAGACTATATATTATACTGTACTTTAGAGCTATTGAAATATGAGGATAAAAGTGAAATACTACAAAGTCTGGATGCAAAATGCATATACTGGAAATTGGGCAATAACTTCCTCTATACCTTATATAGTTTAATACTAAGAGATGACACAGAAAATGATGATATTAAGAAATGTATGATGAGTTGTTTAGCTGAGGGGATTTCCCCTCCAAGAGAACTTCTGGATCTATATTTGAGTAGGAATTCCTGTAAGGATTTGTCATTACTTACAGGATTTAAGGTTACATCCAATTTGTTGGGATATTTAACATACAACCTATCAGAGATCGAAAGGCTAGATGAAATGGAAGTGCAGGACTATCTTGAGGTTTTTTCAGGTCACCAAAAAAGTCTGGAGAGAAAAATTAGTTTGGAAGCTATTAGAAACCCATTTAGTGATGTTCTTAGTAGAGCATTAATGAATGTGATTAAAAAAGGAGACAGCTCCGAAATTGCTGAGGGTTTTTTTCATCATTTGAGTTTGGTTTATTTGATCGAAAGTATTGAGTGTTCTCCTTGGAATCTTAGACTATGGAGGGAACTTTTGGAATATTTAAATAGAATACTTACTTTTCTTTCATTAACTTGCGTTCTGGACAATTTTTTTAAAACTGAAGGTAGAGTATTGAGAAACTTAACAATAAGTTCAATTTCACAGAAGGATTCTCTTCAAGAGTTGGTCTCATTTTTTAGATTAAATTCCAATTCAGAATCTGATGGTAATTTTGATTTAGTACAATTACACAAAGTGGAACCTTTAATTAGGTCAATTGTGATCATAAGAAAAAAGCTAATAAACAGAGATTCCTACTGGAGATACTTTAATTTTGAGCATATTAGCAATATTAGATCAGAAATGCATATAATCAGGTTCCAGATCTATTCAATTCTGGTCTTAATCAATCATTCTAGCTTATACTTGAAAAATCATTTAAATAAAACTGACGATTCATTTAATTTGTTTGACTCAGAAAAAAACTCCGAAGCACACTTAGATCTGGATTTTCTTCTAAAAGTATCAGAATATAATGATTTTGAAAGTTCTACCTCTGTCAATCAAGAAAACATCAAATTGTTTCTTTTCATTTTACCAGTTTCCCTTCTAAATCTGTTTGAAAATAAAGAGGACGCAAAATCAGCTTTTGAAGCTGTTCAGAATAGCAGTTTACCTGAAAGTACTCGAAATAGAAGTTTTTCAAGTCTTTTTGATCTTTGGACTAAATTGGAGAACAAACATACAAGGAGAATAGATTAAAAGTATTGGTAAAGTGGTGTATTTACAGACAAAATATATCATTGAGATACATAATAGAACAGATAATTTTCAATTATCAATTAATCAGCAAAAAAACAGGTATTTTCAAATATCACTATTTTATATTTTTCCAATATTAAAAATATTGAAATAAACAAAAATCTAAAAAATGGCGCCAAAACCGGGCACAAATAGGTTTATTATAAGTATTAATCAGGTTTTGAATCATAGTAAATATTTTATAAAATTCTGAAAGTATCAAATCAGAATTAAAAGCAAAGTGAGGTAAAGTTTGATGTGGGTCGTGTAGAAAGCATATATATTTTTATATTTTCAATGGAGAAGGATAATTTTGAGAGTGATAGAGGCCATTCAATTTATAGTATTTTCACTGACCAAGAAAAAGTGCCATGTTTTGGAAACGATAATTTGAATTCAAAGACAGTCTATGGTTCTTTAGAAGATACTGGCCTTGACTTAAAGGTTATGAGAGATGTGGAAAATTATTTGGGGTATTCAAGTGGTATGGATGAATTAAAACAATTGGGGTATGGGACCTCAAATCCAAAGTTGACAGGTATTACAACCAGTGTAATCCGAATGGATAAAGTGAAGGAAGAAAAGCCGGCTCAAAATGAACAAGGTCTGAAGAAGTTGAACCATAAAGTTTTTAAGAACGAGGGGTTTTTTGATATCGCCAAAGAAATTAAACTAAAAAAGTTAAGTTATTCACATTTCATTCCACTTCATCAACTTTGGAAGCAGTATATTAAGGGACTAACGGAGTCAAGCTCAACATATGGTGGTTCTAGTGGTGCCACAGGAGTAAGAGGAGGAATCAGGTTTTCTCAATTATCCCAAAGTATTTCCCAAGCAGATTTACATGGAAGTATAATGAATGTAATTTCTAGCAGAAACAAAAGCTGTGTAAATATTCAAGGAATTGTTGTTAAGGAAACCAAAGAGACCTTTGTAATCATTTCTACTGATAATAGGGTGAGAACCATTTTAAAAAACCAGAGTATTTTTGGAATTGTGATTTTTAATGATTACATAATAACTATTTATGGTAGTCAACTTTGTTACCATCCATGTGAAAGAATTAAACATAAATTTAGACATAGAGACTCTTTGAATATCATTCCCTAATTATTTCATTGGGTTTCCAGTCCAAAACCGCTGATAATTTCATTTACACCTTTTTTATATTACTGCTTAGTTAGGTTTTTAAATTAAAATAATTAATTTATATAACATAATTCTTCTCCTTAATTTGTATTTCTTACTCTATTCACTTACGAATCACTCTTGGTTTCATTAATTCAGTTACATTTACCTTTATTCCATTACTTATTAATGATCTAAATCCCAAATTTGGTTCTTTTCTTGCCAGGACAGGAACTTGTGGTTTATTTTGACTATTCACACATTTACCGCCAAAACTATTATTATATACCGGCCCTCTAGTTATTTTTTCGCATGTAAGTTTATTTGTATGTTGATTAAAATTATTATATATGTATGGTGAATAATTAGAACTTGGAAATGCAACAGAACATGTGTTCATTCTAGGTCTTAAATTTGTGGTATTTTGTTCATTTCCATTTGTGTTGATATTATCACTATCATTTAAGTTTTTATTGCTGTTTGTAACCAGTTTTATGGTCTTTGAGTTGATTACCCTGCACTGAGAAAGTCTTGTTAAAATTTCATTATCTTTTTTTGCCTCTTTATTGGAATGATTTCCCGCCAAACTGACATTTTTTTGTGTAGAGTTTGCATGTAAAAAAGTTTTTCCTTTTTTATTAAAATCATTTTGTGATTTCTTTAAAATGTCAGGTTTAGATATTTTTTTGGGAATATCATCTGAGCTAGGGATGTTAATCATTGGTATTTTCACTCTTTGATGGCATTTTGTTGAGTTACTTGATATTAAAACTGTTCCAGAAGTTAAGTTAGGTGCCGCCATTTCAGTTTCAGTGTGGCCAGGATTTACAGTAAACAAGTGAGCTTCTTGGCTTGCATTAGCAGTAGATTGGGGGTTTTCTGTAGGGCTTTTCACTAAAGCTTTTGTATCTTCAACATTTATTTGGCTTAAATCTTGGTTTGAGCATTTTTCTTCTGGGTTATGTTTGTTATGGACTAACTTATTGGTAAATACTTTTCCTGGCTCTCCAAAAGGAACTAGACTATTCTCTTGTTCTTCACCACTAATTTTATTTTCTATCCCTGCTATAACCTCATCATCCTTGATCTCATCTATATCTATATTAGCTTCAGAATCGACTTCAGAGTCAGCAACAGAACTGGAATCTGACTTGGAGATGGCATCCGAGTTGTAGGAGGAATCCTTGAATTGGTTATTTAAGGAACTCATAGCGTTTTCATAGTTTCTCTCCCATCTGTGAGTGTTAAGTCTTGACTCACACACACCTAGAAGTCCTTCGTTGGCAAAGTAGTCATTAATCGCTTGAATATATCTCTGCACCTGTTCCTCACCTTGCTCAAGTTCGTTTTCTACATCGTCCAATCTTTCAGAAGAACTCTCACATTTACTATTCCTTACATCCTTATAAATAATATGTGAATTACTGTCATAAATATCCTTGACTGTGTCCAAAACACTATATTCAGAAATGCTTTTGTCATCCTCTGACTGGTTTTCATCCAGTTTGTTCTCATTATCATCCAAATCCTTAAATCCACTAGCCATATTGGAGCTTGCATTCCATTTTTCACTTAGAAATGCTTCCTTAAATGAAATATTCATTTGCTCCATTTTATTTATCTTCTCCAAAAGCAAATTAAACCTCTGAATCTTTTCATTTAGTTCTTCCAGACTTTTCTTGCTATTACTGGAACTTTCTGCTTCACTATTAGCATCTGTCCCTCCCTCTACCTTTTTTTGTGTTTCTTCAACCTGTTTCTCTTCTTCTATCTCTTTCCTCTGATCTTCATCTTTGTTTCGTTGTTGTTGTTGTTCCTCATCATTTTCCTCCTCCCCGTCTTCTAAAATCTCAACAAGTTCGGAGTTATGACAAGCTTGCAGAAGAGAGTCATGATTGACAAGATAGCAGTGATTAACTCCAAATCCAATCAAGTTTTGTCCAGCTTGGTCTTCGTAAGAAGAATGATTTCCAGAGCTGAATGATCTCACAAAATTCTCATAGTAATAAGAATTACCATCAATTACACAATTGTCAATGTTCCGTTCCATGAGGTCTAAAATATCTGTCCCAACATGATCATTTTTGTACTTTATAACTAAAATTGAATCCTCCTCTATCTCAATTTCTCCTTGATTGTCATACGAACATCTCTCTTCGGGTTCTGACTCACTCCCTAAAATTTGTTCATCTTGGATTTCATAACACTCATTCAAATCCACTTCTATATTGCGATTATTAAGTGAATCAGAACTTAAATCGTCCAATATTTGGGTAACATCATTTTTTGAGCATAAATCTCCTTTATAGATCTTTGTCTCATAAACATTTACCTCTATTTCTTGATTTTTATCAGAATTCATACTGATCTTCTTTTCACTGAGAATTTCGTCTCTAATATTTTCAAGCTCAATATCTTTATCCCCTTTTTTAATCTCAACCTCAATCTCCATTTCTCGAGATCTAGAGTTCCTGTTCTTACTTAGATCTACATGTGAAACATCTCTTACTGTTACAGTATTATCGCACTTTGGTATTATTATTATTTCATATGGCTCTAATGATTGAAATTCTTCTTGATTATTTGAATAATAAACCCCTGAATACATATTTTCAACCTTTTCATTTACTTGGGAATCCACTGTTCCTGCTACTCCCGTCAAATTTACTTGATGGTTGTGAATGTGTGGATTCTGGTGTACATTTAGGTGGCTCTGATTTAATTGTTGTTGCAGTTGGTATTGGTATTGAAGTTGTAAATTGTATTCATACTGTTGTTGAGTAAGTAAAAGTTGCTGCTGTTGCTGTTGAAGCTGGGCTTTCTGGTACTTTATTAGCTGTTCTAGGTAATTCTGTTGATTCACAAATCCAATTCCATTGTAACTTACTACTCCCCCCTTATCGTTCCTGGATATTCCTTGATCTGTATTTCCGATTCCACCATAAGAGTTTAATTGACCACTATTAAAAGAATATCTCATGTTGAATATATTTTTAAGTACATTCTGAGAATTTATATTATTATTATTAAACTTAAACATAACCTAAATTTAAACCTCCACAATCCTCTTTACCTGTTGATGTAATTCAAAGCCTTCCAATCTTCTATTAATATCTTTAACTTTTTAATTTTTTCCTCTGAATTTATGTGATCTCAAATCTTTTATTTTCTCATTTTTTACAGTAACTTGGTACTATAAAAATAAATTGCATGAAGGCGCCACATTTGGGCGCCACAATTATTTTTTTTGTGTATGTTAAAATAGACCGGACAATATACAGAAGAGATAATACATAATACAAGTATTAAACATTCAATATTCAGATATAATAAATAATATGAAAAATAGTTGGCAGAGAAAATGAGATAAATTTAAAAAATCTATGTAATATTTTTTATGTTGGAAATGATTTACGGAGAAAAAATACACTTAATTTAAACAAAATAAAGAAAAATTTGACATTATTATTCTTTAGGAAGATTAATAATTAAAATAGTTTTTTATTAGGTTTTCTGAAAAAAAAACTTTTTTTGTGCATGCATGAAATTTTGTCATTTTTTGATGAATATGAAACCTACACACAAAAAATCAGAATAAATTAAGAATCAATATAATCAAATATTGAATAGAAACAAAAATGCACACAATTTAAAAAATACTTAGAGTTGATTGCATTTCACGGCATTTTTTTTTTGTTAATAACAAACAACTAATAATCTATTCAATTAATCTCATCAATATTTCACTAAATCATTTAAAATTATAATTCTATTTCTCTCATCGTTTTTTTTTAAATCCGAATCTAATTGCAATATTACTTTGGTTAAATGTAATTTTGTTTCAGAATTGTGTTATTTAGCAACAACAACAAGGTTTGCAAATACATAAACAGTGAATAATTCCTGCAATTATGATGATTGCAACAACCACTACGGCAATGATAATACCAGCTTTTGCTCCAGTACTTAAAGAATCCCACTTATTTTTTGCTTCTTCTTGACCGTGAGTAGCCAAATCTTTATAAAGATTGTTCATATTGTCCGATATTATATCCCCAACTGATCCACTTTGGTCATTAGAACTAGTGTTATCTTGAAGTGATCTGTTATTTTTTTTTTGTTCACAGTTCTCACCACAGGAATGTTCATTTTTAGAATTTATTAAATCAAGAGCATTCGATCTAAGGGACTGATGGATATCTTGAGAATCTGCTCGGAAGTAACCGATGAAAAGCAACAATAATGATAAAGCAAAGCCTAACTTCATTTTAGATAATTTCGTAAACTTAAATAACTAACTAAAGAATGTTTTTAATGTTGGTGATGTTTTTTTTTTTTTTTGTGGAATTACAAGCACCTTTTATACGTATTCACACCTATTAGGTCTAAAAGGCGCTAACCATAAACACTTTTTTTTTTTACATGCAAGCAAATAATTTGAGGATATTTCTTAAGTTTATGGTTAAAACTTATTGAAGAAATCGTAAGACTTTTTTGGATATACCAATAGATCCATTCTATACTTGAATCAAATAATTCTTTTTAAATTTGAGGTAGAACAGTTAATACACAAATTGAGCTCTTTTCTATTATTATTTGATGTATGTGGAATAACCCCCCTCCCCCCACATAACCACTATTGAGTAAATTTTAATACACCCAAAAATAAATATATATAAATTGTTCTCTAATTTAACTTAACAAAACATCTTCAAAGTATCTATTTCAAAATGTCACGATTTGTTTTTCACAAAAAATGCTTTCTTTAGAGAGTTGGGGGCAATAGGTTAGCTACTTTTATCCCATTACTGGTGGATAGAGAGAAGAGCTATTGAAATTTGAATGCAAAAGTGCATCTTATACACGATTTAACCAAAAAAAGTATTTTTTTGAAGTAACCCAGAAGTATATTTCATCCTTTAAATTTGTGTTATCAAAAAGTGTATTGACATTTAATTCCTTCCTCTATATTCTCTTATTGACTCATATTTCTAAATCCTTGTTTTTGATTCACATACTCATGTTTGTATATATATTCTTCTCTGTACATTAAAAGAGAAACAGTCTGGTAGTTCTTAACAGGAAGTTAATGAAAAGTATGAATAGAGAAGAAAAATAAGTTCAAATGGTTCTGACAGTAGATAATTTAAAGAATAATTTGAGAGTTTCCTGAATAAAATAGATTTGGGCCAAATCTTTAATGAAAAAAGGTTCAGAATAATTTAAAACATTAAAAGGAATCTTTTCAATAATTTGATTTGTCTTCTTTCAACAACCCATCAATATTTGTTAGAGATTCACAAAAGGTTTCTACATTTGTTCTGAAGTCAAAATATATTTATTTCTTCATTTTTATTTGCAAGTCTTTGTAATTTTAAAATTTGTTGGCTTTCTTTCTTGGAAGCTGGTTGACTAAATTATTCAATTCTAAATAAATTTTTATTCTGAGTGGACTTAACGTTTTTGTAAAAAAAAAAATGGACAAAAGGAAAATACTTTTTTTTGAAATTGAAATTCGTATTTAATCTGCATGCATGCAAATTACATGCAATATTGGGAGACATAATTCTTCACTATATTATAACAGAATTAAACGAATAACTTTAATTTTTTTGATTTACATTAATATCTGTTCTAAGTGGTAAGTTTATTAACTTGAAACTCAACAAAAAAGGTACAAGACATTTATTCAGAGTAGCAAATTCAGAAAAGAACTATAAATATAGTAATTGTGGAGAAGACAATTTCAGCATTTATTTTGCGAGTAGTTAGAAAAAAGAATTTGGAGGAAGATGTTCGCCCTATTTAACAAGCCAATAGGAAATGTTTATTCGGAAGGGGGAGGGGGGAGAATCTATATATTACTTGCGAAGAACCTGTTTATAAATTTGGGTTAAGTTAGCAGTATAAGACTAAAATCATTATATAAAGTGGGAAAACAACAGCACAGAAGAAGTCTTAATGATTAATATTTAATATTTACGGTTACTTATTTTATTAAAATTCTGTAATTCATTCATTACTTAAAAACCAAGAATTTCACCAGAAATGTTCTTAATATATTAAATTAATATTTATACATAACATAAAGCTTTGCATTTATAATATATTTATTATCATTTCATAACAAAAATAGTAATAACATTTTTTAAAAAATATAACCACATTTTTTGGCGCCCTGAGACAGAAATGAGTCATCATACCGGTATTATAATAGTGCCGGCATAAGTCTTTTAAAGAAAATAATAATAATAATAAATAGTAAAGACGAATATTAAATAATAAAATGAATATAATTTAATGTAAATAAAAAATTTATATTAAATTGCGCTTAGACTAGAAATTTAACAAAATCAATTAAGAACTGATTTAAAGGGTGAGAATTCTTTGGTTGGTTTTATCTTTATAAGGCTTGTTAAAAAGGAACATCTACTATAAGGTTACTGGAAAGAGTCAAAAATGAACAAAAACTCAGGATTACAGATTAAGCAGTTAATTTCACTCTCTGAGGAGGAACTTACTGTTAAGATTGATGAACTTAAGAAGGAATTAGCAAGCTTGAGAGTTATTCAATCCACTGGTACTGCTCCAAACAAGCTTTCTAGAATTAATGTTGTCAGAAAGGCAATTGCTCGCATCTTGACAATTTTGTCTCAAAGAAACATCAAGAACTTAAGAGAGAAATACGCAGGTTCTAAATTTATGCCTTTGGACTTACGCAAGAAGTTGACTAGAGCTAAAAGAAGAGCTCTGACACCACAACAAGCCAAGAAGATGACTGTTAAGGCCAGCAAGAAGGCTTTGAATTTCCCAAAGAGAAAGTTTGCTATCATTGCATGAGCAACTTAACGTTGGTGGTTTATAAGAGTTAAAATAGACTAGGCTTTGATACTAGCATTCGGGTGTAAGCACCTCGTTTTAGTATTAAAGGCCTATTTAGAATCTTTAGTACTAGGAAAGTAAGCTACTATAAAAGAATTAAAGCCAAAAAAGTGCCTAACTTATGATTCTAATTACTACTACACTTTCTTTGCTTTGAATGTGAAGATCAATCCTTGAATTACGAAGGATTGTGGTGACTTGGGTGGCTTTGGATCTTCTGATCCTGGCAGAATCCATTACGTCTTCTAATCTTTTCACATGCAGAGACTGAAACTACTGTCTTATTTACTCTCTCTTCAAAATTTTTGTTCTTGGATGATAAATACTTTTCTATTGCTCTAGGTACCCAAGGCTGTCTATAATATTCAGCATATTTATCAGCAATTTGGTATTCATAAATAGCATTAGGGTCCGATAGTATGTTATTAATGGAGTTGTTTCCATACAATTGGAAGTGTTTTGTAGTTAAGAGTGTATGAATAAACTCTACAGGGTCATTTGCAAATCCTTGGTAAAAGTTCATTTTATTACAAGAGCTATATATTTTCGACAAAATACTTTGATTCTTATGGTAAAGCTCTTCTAAAGCTTTATTAATGCTGGAGAGCTCACCACTCTCTTGGATTCTAGTTGACATATTTGGTAGCCATAATGTAATGTCACCAGGAACATTCTCAGTAAGATCTATAGTAAAATCATAAGTTGACTCATTGTCAATCCAATCCCCTTTCAGGGTTAATCTATGCCTAATTTTTATTGGTCGTGGAGGTAGTAAATGCTTTTTTAAAAGATCTGGAACATCTTTAAGCAGAACATGTTTACTATCTACTGAAAACAATTTCCCAAGATACTCATCTATCATAATGCTGTCGTGAGAAACTTTTGAGTTTTGAAGTCCTTTTAGTTCTACATACTGCCAAATTCTTTTTACTATGCTTGGAAGGTTTGCTAAACTCGTTCCCATAAACTCCTCTAACTGAGGCGATAGACTATAATGGGGAGTTCTATAATCTAAGAAAAACAGTATATCTATATCTTTTTCTTCATCTCCTATACGATGTATTTCCAATCCATCACACTCTGGGGTTGGACTAGTCTTTTTATCCCATACAATAGTTTCCGTATCTGATAATTGAATTATAATTCTGGAGAATATCGAAGTAAATTTAGGCTGATAAGAATCTCCTTGGATAATTGACCCAAGTATTTTGAGTGTCCAAGATGGAGGAACCCTTCTTGTCCAGTCATTATCCAAGTTAAAAGATTCCAACTCAACATCTGCTGGTTTTTGACTCTCATATGTATTGAATATATGAACTCTCAACTTTTTCCTATAACATCTGATACTCTTATCATCCATCAGAGTTAGCCATACATCACTTAAACTATATCTCTGTTGTAGTATTGACTCATCTAAAAGTCTCTCATACTCTAATAAACTTTCATACTGGTCGTACTGCTCACGAGAAAACTCTTTAATACATTCTGGTAGTCTAACCATTTTTAATTGGAGACTTCTCCAAGCTTTTTTTTATTCACAGGAAAAATTCAAATATTGTAATTATCCAATTAAGCTTATTTTATTTTCTAAACAGTTTTTCCTGATTATATGTACTTTTTATAAAATGTAAATAGCCTATTGCTTCACAGTCTCTTGATCCGAGACGAACCAAGAAACAAGAAGCTATGTCAAACTTCCTCCTTCTCTCTATCCCTTATTACTCTTAAAATATTTTAATAATAGCTCCCCCCCTTAAATCATTTAATTCTTTCTCTGCCGGTTTTAACCCTTAATTTGCCTTAAAATTTTTCCCCAGTTTAAGATGATTTAGGCATACAGACTAAACGAAATAAATATTAAAGCAGAACCCGCCAAAAGCTACATGTGGCGCCATGATTGGGAAGTGGGGAAAGGAATAAGTAATTGTAAATACAAATAAAAAATAAATATATAGTGTTTTTTAAAAAAGTCATTAGATTGATTGGTATCTATAAAAATAGTTAATTGTCTAGGGAGAACTCCATTATGAGTCTTTCGTAATCAGTTATGGGAGTTTCTTTAGAGACTGATTCCTGATGAAGTTTGCATTCTTCAGGAGTCATCTTTAGAATTGCTTGAATATCAATCTTTTCAACATTCTTCGCTGTAAATTTGTTGTTATTGAGCAGCAAAATCTTTAGTAGAGACTGATGGTAGTTTTTCTCAAGTTCTCTTCTGGAGTCTTGACGTTTAATTAGATTGAGTGCAGCCAGATCTTGTTTATATAGTTTATCAGCCTAAGTATGGTAATAATATGTAATAAAATATGAGAATTAATAGGGGTAATTTAGACAGATAGGATCAAATTTTTTAGGTCAGCATTTAGTGAACAGAAAATGAATAAACGGATGTATTAAACTTACTTTAATTAACAATGCTTTGTGTAGAGATATAGCTCTATTGTCAATAGAAGACCAAGAATTCTGAATAACTTTAGTTTTCCTAATTTCTATGTCTTCTCCTTCATCGGATCTAGACAACATTAATAAGTGCTCAACATAATCAAGGAAACCCCAATCCATAGTGTGACTAACTACGTCACTTTCTTCATCACTAGATTCCTCAGGAGGTGGTGTTGACCCAGTCTCACTCAAAGTTGCTTCTGTATTTTCGGAGGCACTGGCATTTGTTACTTCTCCAACATATCTATTGATGAAATCAAACATTTCTGCAATCTTTTCTTAAAATTTTTACAATTAAGTGCTTTAATTAAAATATACATAAGAGTTAGCCAGAAAACCGAGTTTCAACTATCTTGTTTTCATCCCTTTTGAATCAATTTTTTATTTTCCTATCTCTGCTTTTCTCTAACAATATTTCTCAAAAATTCTTTTTGTCACATATTACATTTATGTATGCATACACAACGGTTGGCGCCAACAACACTCAGGCGGGAAACCCCCGGCTACATGAGAATAGCACCAAAATAAATTAGCAGAGATGGAGATGGTGAGCGAGAAGTCTAGAAAAAAAAAGAGCCGAAAAGAAATATGATTTAAATGTGCTTATGAATAGTAGAAAAATTGGGTTTTTATGATAAGAATAAACGAGAATTTGAGGAAAAATAAAATGATTGTAAAATTTTTTAATTTATTAAAAATGGTAATTTGGCTAAAGAAACCGGCAAAGTGTATACTGGGATAAATAGAGCGCCTGTGGGGCTAATGCTAAGATCAAGGTATAAAAACAAATTATTACCGAGGAAATTAAACTAAGTCTTGAGGAGAAAAGATTATCCAAGATTGGAAAGTGATCTTTAAAAATTAGTTTTTTTAAGAATATCCAGTATAGGAATCGTAAAGGTAGAAAGTTCAGACGACAGAAATGGGGTTAGCATTGACCAAAATATGGAGAAACTTGTTCGGAAAGAAGGACATGAGGATTCTCATGGTTGGACTTGATGCAGCAGGGAAAACAACAATTTTATATAAGTTAAAGTTGGGTGAGGTGGTAACAACAATTCCAACTATTGGATTTAATGTTGAAACTGTCGAATATAAGAATATTTCCTTTACAGTTTGGGATGTTGGTGGCCAAGATAAGATCAGACCTTTATGGAGACATTATTATTCTAATACTGACGGTTTGATCTTCGTCATTGATAGTAACGATAGGGAACGTATCAATGATGCAAGAGATGAGCTGGCCAGAATGCTCGGAGAAGATGAATTAAGAGATGCTGTTCTTTTAGTATTTGCAAATAAACAAGATCTTCCTAATGCTATGAGCGCTACTGATATTACTGAGAAACTCCAACTTAGTGGAATCCGAAACAGAAATTGGTTCATTCAGTCAACCTGTGCTACATCTGGAGACGGTCTCTACGAAGGTCTTGACTGGTTATCAAGAACACTTGCTTCTAGAAGCAATAACTAATCTTTCCTAGTTAATTCTACTTTCAAGTATAATGCCTAGTATGAGGTCTAGAAATCTAGAATTGGATATATTGAGAGTATATTTTCTTTCAATATGTACTGCTAGAAGTAGCGGAATCTCTAATAACAAATAGATTTAAATGTTTCTAATAAGTCACTTTTTTTTAGCATAGACTTAAATTAACTCGCATTGAGCTTACATTTTGGGTAAATAGTTTCCCGCCCCAAACTAAATATTTAATATGCAAATTAGAAAAGGCTCCGGTACAATTATTCGAGCTAAAAAATTATTTATATCAAATGAAATTATGCTCCAGGCAATAGAATGATATAATGATAAAAAGTTTATTATTGCGGGAAATTAAATATTTATTGATTAATATAACCATAAAATGACAGACGTGGTTCGTAATCCCACGTAGTCTAGGGGCTAGGATACTCGGCTTTCACCCGGGCGACCCGGGTTCGATTCCCGGCGTGGGAGTGTTTTGCCTACGGCGAGAACTGCGCAGGCGGGGTTGGCTCTGATCATTTCAACTTGCGAAGGTGAGTTGGAGGGTCTGTTCTGACCAGGCCATGGGGAGGGGCCCACCGGTGGTAAACTTTTTGCTTCATTTTAGAGATGAATTTTAATTACTGTGTATTATTAAGCTGGCCAAATTTTTTTCTTGAAATAAAGTATGCAGTTAAAGCGTATTTTAATAAGGGGAACTAATGAAAGAAAGAAGAAACATATTAATTGGTGCAACAGGAAGTGTTGCAGCAATTAAGGTTGGCGAATTTGTAGAGAGATTGAAAGAAATTAACATTGACAATATTGAAATAGAGATTAAAATAGTTGCAACTGAATCAGCAAAAAACTTTTTTAATGATTCGGTTACGGATTTAATGCTCAAGTGTGAAGACGAATTCAGTAACTGGAGAGCTATAGGAGATGATATTCTTCATATATCTCTCAGGCAATGGGCTGACCTGTACATTATTCTTCCCCTAACAGCAAACACACTGGCTAAACTATCAAATGGACTTTGCGATAACATTTTGGTAAGTTAATTAAAGCAGAAATATGTAGAGGAGGATTGAAATAAAGACACGGCTTTATCATTAGCGCAAGTTATAAGCTTTTCAAAGTGATGTTTAAGATATTATGAGTCCTGTATCGGCATCTTTGACTTATGTTCCACGTAATAATATGAAATTATAACCATATTAATTTAGTAATAAGAGATTTTGGTTATTTATGAGCTTATTAAGCATGCTACCCATTACAAGACTAAATAAAAAATTCCTCCTCTCATTTAAAGCTTGTTTCATTTTTCTAAACAATTAACTAAACTCAGACTAATATTGCAAGAGCTTGGGATTTCAACAAGCCTATCATAGTTTGTCCTGCAATGAACAATTTTATGTGGGAACATCCGATTACTTTAAGACAAATAGACACTCTAAAATCTTTTGGTTATAAAGTAATATTTCCAATAGAGAAGAAATTGGCATGTGGCGAGTATGGAATGGGTGGAATGCAAGAAATTGAAAAGATTATTGAACAAGTTATTCTTGAACTAAATCTACCTTCAAAAGCTTAGCTTTTAAATATCAATTTATTTGTTCAAAATGTCTCTTTTAATTTAAAAATCATGTATGCATGCAAATTTTTGTGTTTGCATGCATAAATAGCAAATTAAACACAATCAGGGTAAAATAAATAGAAAAATTGTAGACTTAAATAAATTAGTACTCAGAAATTTTATCTTAAGTGACTCAGGAGTGCCTATAGATAGTTAGCAGATCTAAATTTAGGAAACGGATGGACATACTAGTTGAAACAAATCTGTCTAGTTATGTTATTCTAATTGTCTCTTTTGCAAAATGAAACAAACAAATTAGGGATGAAACAGAAATAAATAGTATTCTTCAAACAAATTTTACTAATAATTTACCCCATACATCCTAATGGGCGTGATGGTTGAGTTTCAGTCCAGTATTTACCAAAGTTTTCTTCTCCCTTTTCTAATTGCATTATTCTGTTTTTACCATAATTTCTTTGGAAAACATTTCTTCTTTGTTCAACACTAATATCTAATTGCTGAAAGAAGCTTGGTATTCCCAAATTTGACATATAATGTACTACATATGGTGGAGAAGATACAAATGGATAACTACATGTTACTTCAGGATACTTATATCTTGGAGAATATGGGTAGTAGTCGAATGGGACAGCAGATACTGGTGGTAACATGACCGAATCTGGATGAAACACTTGTTCTTCTGGAATCTCCTCTTCAACCGGATTCATACATTGTGCCAAAATTGATAAATCTTTTCTTGGCGAATTCACATTAACCATTTTTATTTTTTAAACTTTAATTGAAATTCTAAATTTTGCTCGCAATAATTGAAAATCTATTTTTCCATTCGTTTTATCTCTTCGTGACTGCACTTTTATGATTTATTATTTCAATAATTTGCGCGATACGTCTTGTCTACGACATGCATATTTCGGTACTTTAAAAATAGAAAAGGTTTTAATTGACATACTTTTGTCATGTAAAAAAGAGAGGTTTAAACTTAAGGGGCAGAATACATATGTATTAACCTAAAATTTATAAATACATATATTCTACAGTTCAGGGTTGTTTATATAATTTCATTCTTTTTCAAACATTTATATTAAATTATAATGAAAGTAGTGAAGGCGCCAGTATGTGGCGCTATAAGATTAATTGATTTTAATATAGAAAATAAGATAATGTAATCAGAATTATAAAGGGAAAAGATCACGAATTACATTACTTTGGAAGGAAAGCTTAATTAATCTGTGAATTTTCCTAGATTATACTTAATATGTAGTAATTTTTTGTGAAGCCTTTTATTTGAAACTTAAAATTATAGACTTGGGATAAACATAATACACCAGCTTGGTAACTAATTGATATTTGACTGATCTTTCTTCTTCACAGATATTCTTCTATTCTGTCTAGATCGATTACTTCAATTCTAGAAAAAGAAATATTAATATAAAAATTAATCATTATTTTTAGTAATCAATGGGCAAATTAAGTAGAGATCGCAGAGACATTTACTATAGGAGAGCAAAGCAAGAGGGATTTCGTGCGAGATCAGCATATAAGTTGATTCAGATAGATGAGGAATATGATATATTCAACGATGTTACAAGAGCAGTGGATTTATGCGCAGCTCCTGGAAGTTGGAGTCAAGTTTTGAGCACAAAGTTGTTCAATAATTCGGAGAAAAGTCAAATTCAGGCCAAAGAAGCTGACAATTCAGACTCGAATAACAAGGAAACACCATTAATTGTTGCAGTTGATCTCCAAGAAATGGCTCCGATTGATGGGGTAAACATTATTAAAGGAGATATTACCTCACAGAAAACCGTAAATCAGATTTTGGAGTATTTTCAAGGTAAAAAAGCAGACTTGGTATTATGCGATGGAGCACCAGACGTAACAGGATTGCATGATATTGACGAATATATACAAAACCAGCTCTTAATATCTTCACTTAGCATTACATCCAAACTAATGAGGAAAGGTGGAACATTTATTGCAAAAATTTTCAGAGGAGAAAATGTGTCAAGGATTTATCAACAGATGTTTTATTACTTTGAACTTGTTGATTGTTGCAAGCCTGAAAGTTCTAGAAATTCAAGTCTAGAAGCTTTTATTGTTTGTAGGTTTTTTAAATTTGATGATAATCAAGATCAATCTGAAAGTAGTTTAAGTATCCCAGATCCACTTACCGTTCCTTTTATTTCCTGTGGAGATCTTTCTGAATATGATCCTGACAAAACATATGAGGCTGAATATAGTAACTCACTTGAACCTATACAGCCTCCAATAAACGCACCATATCACTAACATTTTATATTTTTAGTTATTAATTCCAATTACACTCAAATGGGACTTTAACCTCTAATTGCTCTTCATTTTCAATTCCTATTTCTTTAATTTGCATCTCCATATTTACATAATCCCCATCAAAGTAAACTTTTATATCTTCCAAATGATTCTTTGGCTTAGGATTCAAATTTTTTGAAATATATGTTACTAACTTTTTTATTGAGTCTGTTCTATATAAAGCCACAATTAGAGTTTTAATTACTACTATCTCAGATTCTCTCCTTTTGTATACTTTAATATTTAACTTGATTACAGTTTTCTCCTTCTCTTCATCCTCAATTGTGATGATTTCCGAAACTTGTTCATTATTCATCCCAATTTCCATTCTTTGGCTTTTTTCTTTGGTAAAGTCAGAATCTTTTGTTCTTGCCTTTTTCTTGCTAACTTTCAGTATAAACTCTTCATCATAAGAGTCTTCTTCCATATGATTGTTATCTTTCTTGTTAACTTTCTCATTACTTTCTTTTTGCTGTATTGGCTTATTCATCCCAACTTTTTTTGTTAATTTAGTTCTTCTTTGTACCTTTCCTAACCTTTTCTCTACACTTTCTTTGCTAAAAGCAACATCTTCACCAAATAAATCATCATCTTCATTGTTATCTTCCATATTTCTCTCATTCACAATTATCCCAACATTTATACATGTAACTACCAATCTCTGGCTTGTAATTGCCTAGTCTTTTCAGTATAAATTCTTTTGACAATGAAAACAGTAATCACACAAAGTATTTGTATATTATTTGCTTCCCACAACACCATCCACAATGTATCAAAAATTTACAAACTAATCCAGATCAACAAGTTCTGACTTAAATATAAAAGAAATACAAAGGCTCTCTACGAATGAACTGTAGATAAAACGATACTTTCTTGTTAACCTACTCTGACAGTTCTGCCAAATAGTATTTCTATCATTTCTCTCCCCCTTATTATTTCTAATAAAGCACTATTATGACACATAAGCCAACTTTTACCGCCTATTATTTTTATTATAATCAATTTACTGCAAATGTGAAAATTTGCATGCATAAGGGCGCCAAAAACAAAATATTAAAAATAAGTAATAGATAAAACTAACTAGTAAGCAATAATAACAGCTAAAAAAGAGAAAATCCTCACCTCTTCAGTTTAACATGCCTTGTATTTTGAGAATTCGATCATGTCTGTATCCGGTAACGTTGAATTATAAGGATAGAGTGCAACCTTTAAAGTTTCAAGATCATTTGAAATTAAATGGTCAACAGAAGGTAATTTACAGCTATTTTTGTGAACAATTTCAGAAGGAGGCATCAAACAAAACTCTTTGATGTCTTTCCATTGGCAAATCTTCCTCATCCTAGGGCTTTTGTGTTTGAAATATTCCTCCCACTCTTTTCCAATACTAAATTCTTTTTTAACCATATCGGAAATAACATTTCCACTATAACCTGTTACCATTCTTAATAATGCCTCTTCCACTCTAGAATCTGGAATATGGTCAATATTGAGTTTTTCGTTACTAATTTTAACAGAATCACCGTCAATATCAATAGTTTTTGAATCTATAACAGAAATATCATAATCGGGAACTACTGATAAGTGTTCTATACACATATTTAATAGATTTAGGTCGTAAAAGTAAACTGGACTCAATGATTTGTACAACCAATTGATTTTATTCATATCATCCAGTATATTTACATTATTAATTTTTGACCTTATAATTACCTTTCTCCAGTTGATTCTTACATCTACTAACGTATTGTTTCCTCTTTTATATGAATTTATATCCCAGTCTCCATATCCTATAATTTGTCTCGAATAATTCTCGAGCTCGCACCCACTTGTGGAGTTATATTCATACCTCATAAATTCTACTCTTTTTTTTGGAGAAGTCATGTATGTCCTGCTTTCTCTGATATGAACTCTGTTGTATCCTAACCACTGACACCCAGAAACTGGAGTTTTAAGCTCAGAGTCTGTCATTAATTCAGAGTTGATTTTTTCCTTGCTTTCCCATCTCCCACATATACCTGTACTTGCAATATACTCATTGAATTTTGCTTTTGTTACTAAAATACCTATTCAAACAAAAATTGTTATTTGGTCAAAAATATTTGAATTCACACTCTTTTTACTCACTTACTAGTAAATAACAGAACCAACCTTAAAATAAACAAATTTATTCTTATCATTTTCCCACTTTAATTCATTTCATTAACATTTCTAAACTTATCTTTAATTTTTGATACCTAATTTGATAGTAACCAGAAGTTTTAATTAATTATCCTTCTAATTACTCAATTTTTACTTTCCTAATATTACAAAAATAGCCTATTTACCTTCAATCTCCTGTATTATGTGGCTTAAGTATTTTTATTTATATATTTTTTATTAATTATGTGGGCAAATTTGTACGCACAATTCATTTTATTAAATGCACACACAAAATCGCACACAATATGATCTAGGGAAAATATATACTAAAATTTAATTTGATTCAATTCACCTATTAATTACTTTAAAAAAAGCCGTTAGGGCTTAAAAGGACTAAATTACACTGAATTTGATATATTTTTCATACAACTCTTTCACTCTTTCTTTTTTATTGACTATATTCTATATATTATGTATTAAATATTCACACTAATTTTTTTCAAAAAGCTTTTGACATGTAAGGCGGCAAAGACACCATACATATGCCAAACCCAAATTGCATGCATCAGTACCGGTATTTACAAATAAAATTACGTGTAAAAAATAACTGAATTAAAAGAAATCTTCCTTTCTTTAAAACTAAATTCAAATAACTAGATGTTACGATTATAGTTTTAAATTAAAAGCTCTTTTTTCTTTCTTTTTAGCAACCCGTTAACTATTAGAAAATCTCTGGTACAAATATATTCATGGAATTTTTTTAACTACAACTACTTTCTCAAAACTCGCATTAATAAATTAGCTTACATTTTTCTCAATTTTATATACAATTTTAACAAGTTAAAAAACTGGAAAAATGCACATTTTTAATTTAGAGGGATTTTTCTCAAATAAAAAAAAATGATTTTAGTAAAAATGACAGATTTAATGGTAAAAATAATAATTCATTAAGAAATAAGAAACCATACCCTTGAGAGATTATCCAATATAGATATTTTACTTGATGTTATCTTATATTTAAATAGTTACATATACATATACATGATATGTGTATTCAGTATACATATACAACCTAGACAATACGGATACAATTTAAGAGTAAAAATTTAATTTAAATGTGACAGATAACTTGAGTCTAGATAGGAATACATCCAAGGGAGAACGTTTTCTGAACCATATTTCAGATTAAATATCACTGAATTAAAGTTTTAGTTCAGAAAATATCGAAAAGATTCTATTATAAAGCCTGTCTATCAATGGGAAATAGTCAAATAGGACACACTGGAACAAAGCTTAAAGTGCCAACAGAAGTAGTGTTAAATACTAACAATAAGAAAACACCTATAACTGAAAAGACAGCTGATGTACAGGTATCAAAAAAAAATATGGATGACAAAAAAGGAGGAACAATAACAGGAGAAAGAGGAAGTGTAACAACTGGAATGTTTGTTCAGAATGGGAGTGGTACTTTTGCAGAAAAGTACAATATCGTGTGTATGTTAGGCAAAGGTTCTTTTGGAGAGGTTTTGAAATGCAAGGATAGAATCACTCAACATGAATATGCAGTTAAGGTAATCAGCAAGGCTAGTGCAAAAAATAAGGATATCAGTATCATTTTGAGAGAAGTAGATCTCTTAAAAAGGCTGGACCATCCAAATATTATGAAGTTGTTCGAAATTTTGGAAGATTCAACAAGCTTCTATATTGTTGGAGAGCTCTATACTGGAGGTGAGCTCTTTGATGAAATCATTAAGAGAAAGAGATTCAGTGAATATGATGCTGCTAGAATTATTAAGCAGGTATTTTCAGGAATCACATACATGCACAAACATAATATTGTACATAGGGACTTGAAGCCAGAAAATATTTTACTGGAATCTAAAGAAAAGGACTGTGACATCAAAATAATAGATTTTGGATTATCTACATGTTTTCAACAAAATACTAAAATGAAGGACAGAATCGGAACTGCTTACTATATAGCCCCGGAAGTCCTCAGAGGCACTTATGATGAAAAATGTGATATTTGGTCAGCTGGAGTAATTCTATATATTCTTTTATCAGGAACACCTCCATTCTATGGTAAAAATGAATATGATATTTTGAAGAGAGTTGAGACAGGCAAGTATGCCTTTGACCTTCCTCAATGGAGAAACATTTCTGATTATGCAAAGGATTTAATAAGAAAGATGTTAACTTTCCATCCTTCTTTGAGAATTACTGCAACTCAATGTTTGGAGCATCCATGGATTCAAAAGTACTCAAGTGAGACTCCAACAATTAGTGATTTACCTTCATTAGAATCTGCTATGACAAACATTCGCCAATTCCAGGCAGAAAAGAAACTTGCTCAGGCTGCTTTGCTTTACATGGCAAGCAAGTTAACAACTTTGGATGAGACGAAACAACTTACCGAGATTTTCAGGAAATTAGATACCAACAACGATGGTATGTTGGATAGGGACGAGCTTATTCGTGGCTATCACGAATTTATGAGATTAAAGGGAGTTGATTCAAACTCTTTGATTCAGAATGAAGGTACAACAATAGAGGATCAGATTGACAGCTTAATGCCATTATTGGATATGGATGGTTCTGGTTCTATTGAATATTCAGAATTCATTGCTTCTGCAATAGATAGAACCATTTTGTTAAGTAAAGAAAGAATGGAAAGAGCTTTTAAAATGTTTGACGAGGATGGTTCTGGTAAGATTTCCACAAAGGAACTTTTTAAACTCTTTTCTCAGGCAGATAGTAGTATTAAGATGGAAGAATTAGAGTCAATTATTGAACAGGTTGACAATAATAATGACGGAGAGGTAGACTTTAATGAATTTGTAGAGATGCTTCAAAATTTTGTCAAGAACTAATTGCTAATTCGCGAATTAAGGGAATTAACAACAAATAGAACAGATTAAATAATAATGGGACTTCTCTTTTGAGAAGATACCTCAACCATGTATTGTTTTCAACATAAAAAGGACAGAAAAATACAAAGTAAGAAAGAGAAAATAATTATTCTTAATAATCGTTACAATTGGGTTTACCTCTTTAACTAATTTAGTAGTATTTAAGACAAATAAGTTTGGAAATAACCCAAATAATTAGTCTTAGATGTTAAACAATTTCTTTCTTGAGTAAGATGTATTTACATTTCACTATTCACAAAAATTTATATTAAATAGAATTTGTTGTTTTTTATAGAATATTGACTTACCTCACTTATTTAATTCATAATGGCTATTTCTACTATTTTTTAGAGTTCCACATTTTGCTTTTCATTTGGAATTGTATCTGGTTTTTGTTGTTGGTCTGATTCCTTTACTACTTCTTCATTATCTTCCTTATATCCTCTTTTTTTCTCACTTTTAGGACAGAAAAATACAGAGTCAAAGAGTGAGGAGTTCAACCAGGTTAATAAAGGCATAAGTAGAGTGTAGAGAAACTTACGCTAGTTTCTTAATACTATCTGCTCCTTCTTGAGAACACATTCCTGGAATTTGTACCATTTGTGGCATTTGATATCTGGATTGAAAGAAGGTAATAAAAGGTTAAGTAGAATTAGTTGTTAATTTGATTAATAGTTTTAAAATAGATGATTTATTACTTACACATCATTGACTTCTTGTAATGGTTTATCTACTGTAGTTCCTTGTCCCTCAAAAGTCTAAGATATATGTTTTATTGATCAAGTTAAAAACAAAGAAAGAATTTCACTTACATTTTCAGCCTGATTTTTTGACTTTGCTCTAAGATAACATCAAGTTTGATGAAAAAGTATGATTGATTTATATTAAGTAATTTACATGGATTAAATACTTACTTAGCTGCTGCTTCATGCACCAATGGTAAACGGACTCCTCTAAAAAAAATTAGGGGGAGGAAATGAGAGTAACACGCGGTTACAAACCGGGGGAATGCAATGGTTACTTGCAAAAAAAGATCCCTTCATTTTTTCACATAATAATTACCATTAGATTTGGGCAAAAACCTTGAAATAACTTGAAAGGATCTCTTATTTACGGCTAAAACGAAAATCAACTTACTTAAAATGCATTTTTAGAGTATTTAATTTCTCTAAAGATCTTTAGGGAATTAAATTTTGTGTTTTTTTAACCAAAATGATTTCTTCTTATTTAATTGAATTACATGCTATTTTTGTATATCTATAAAAGGGATTTTACCGCCAAAATGTCTGGCGCTGACAATCATAGTGAAGTTATAAAGAAAATAAGTTGATGAATTGAGGAAAGGATCTTGATTAAAAGTTTGGGAGGCTTGAGACAAGTTATTTGGAATTCTGGGGGTTTATAAAGAATTTGATTTGTATAAGGAGGATTAATAAGTTTCTTACTTGTAATAATTTCGAAATATATAAATGACAAGTAATAGGAAAAATGCATTGAATCCATATTCACTGCTTGGAGTGAAAGTGGATGCATCCGAGCGGGACATTAGGCTTGCATTCTTGAGGTTAGTTAGGAAATTTCACCCTGATAAGAACATTTCTGAACTGAGCCAAGATAAGGAGAGTGAGAAGGCGAATCCAGGAGAAAAAGGAAGTGGTGCCAGTAATGTAATAGTCAAATACCATGCATTGTACGAGGCATACTGCATTTTGAAGGATCCAGAAAGAAGAAAGGAGTATGATTTGTCTGTTTTTAATGAATTAGTGGGAAGCGGTAATAATATGGTTTGGCATAAATCAGTTAATTTTGAAGATCTTGAATATATAATTGAGGATGGAAAAGAAATTTTTGGTTATTTTTGCAGGTGCGGGGAATTGATTTTGATAGAGAAGGTGCATATTGAAGAAGGTTACAATTTATTTTGTTGTGATAGTTGTTCTTCGAAGATTATTATAACTTTTTAATGATGAATTTTTTAAAGATTAGAATTTTAATTTTTTTAGTCGATTAAAATGATTCTTGCTTAGTTAACGCTTGATTTAACAAAGTTTCTGCATCACTATTACTTTCTGAATGATTATTCATTGATTTGGCTTGAGTGAGAGTAAGTTCTATCCAAAAGTCGACCAAGTTTTCTTTAATATGGTTAATTTCAGCAATCATACTTGAAATTTCTTCAGAAAGAGTTTGCCTGGATTCATTGATCTCCATACTAACTAACAACATTCTTTGATAAATGCCTTGAATATCTCCAATGTTTGAGTTTTTTCTTACTATTAGTAGTTCTTCGTGTGATTTTTGAGTATTGGTAATATCTTCTGTCTTATTAGCTCTTGAAAAACACATTTCTTTTTCTGAAAACTCCTCTTTTTTCTTTATGGCATCTATACATTTTTTTTTTGAAATGCTTGACCCAAGCTGAAAGATGATTGTATTTTCACTATTCACATTTTGAGAAAGGGCATCTCTGGATTTTTTTTTCCTGCATTTTGGGTGACTTTCTTTATGTTCAGACTTTTCACATTCTTCTTCAGACTTTTCAATAGAAAGATTTAAATTTAGACAAGTTAATCTTGGAAATTGAGGTAATTTGTTCAATTTAAACATACTCAAATCATTTTCATCGTTTTCATGCATTCTTAATGATTAACCAAGATAAAAAATGATTTGAGTAAAAATGGAGAATGATTTATATTTAAAAGTTTTACTAAATTTTAATCAATTAATTGTGTTTTAAAATTAATTTAAATAATTTTTTCTGCAATGCTCATTTTTTTTCGCATGCAAATGCATTAGTAATGACCACGTAATTGCATATTTTTTAATACCGGTGCAAATTTCTTACAGATTTTTACTGCCACTCCGGTATAGTAAAAATGAATTATTTTTCGTCCACATTTAAAAGCAAAAAAAATTATGTAATATAAAAAACAATGAAAATAATATTTTAATTTATTTTAAATTTTAATTAATAATTTGCAGTTTAAAAAATATTTTAAAAATGATGTGGGAATATTGATAAACAAGTAAGTTCAGAGATAGCTTATTATATAAATAAGTTAAAATATTGGGGAATGACAGAAAGAAATTAAGGATGTTATAGGCAACTGCTAGATTAGATGTTGATTAAAAATTTCATGTTGTAATATAATTATTAAAACAACGCAAGTATAATAAAATGAACAAAATCATGCAAATATCTAGTCGCGCCTAATGAAAATAATTATTCTCAAGATAATTAAAAGTATACACCCCACTAAAAATTTATTTATATTAGTTGTTTTCAAATTAAAAGCAAGTTAAATAGGATCAAAACATCCGAATAATTCTTTAATTTGAGGTTACATGATTAATTGACAATTTTGGTTTTATAATGATGGAGAATATTCCATTACTGAAATCAATTGAAAATAAGGATCCATCATTAAATTGGAATATTGATGTTTCGGCAGAACTTGAGAAGTATTTATCAGCAATAGAATTACTAGATGAAGATATGAATTATAGCCAAAGTTCAGAAGTTAATGTTTATAGACATAATAGTGAGAATATTAGTGGTAGTAATGGAAGCTATATGCAATTATTTAATTTTGTTGAAGCAGCTTTAATTATACAAAATTCAACAAGTTTGTATTCAAAAAAAATAGAGCATTTGCACTCATTGGTGTTTGATACCTTTCATTTATTATCTACTGGAAAATCACAATTAACTGATGTTAAATCAGGAAGTGATGAACATGCAAATTTATCCAGTCAACTTAATAATAAGACAAATATTGCAGAAAAAAGTACAGCGTTTTTAATGTCTAATATAGTTTCAGTACCAATAAATTTACTTCAGCCAGGAAAAAATATTAATTTGTCATATGAACAGTTTGAAAATAGTTGGAGTGACGAAACTAAAACAAAATATTCTTCTTACTCTTCTTATATAGGAGTTTCTAGTTTGGGAAGCAACATATCTTTGCCTCAATACAGAATAGATACAGCATCAAATACCCTTTTTTTGGATGAGGCTGATTTGGGTTACTTTTCATCGAGTTTTTCTGTTACAGAAGATGAATATTTGGGCAATTTGTTTGAAGAACAAACTATGGAACACGAAAATTTTCAAGAAGATGGCAAATTTTATCAAATTCAAGAGAGTGATGAGGTTTATAATTTTGAAATAGAAGGGAAGGATGAAAATGAACATATCGACGTAGAAATTGACGGAATGGAAATTGAAATTCAAGATTATATTGAAGTTTCTGAGAATCCTGAAAATGAGGTATTTAACAGTGTAAATGATAAGGGTAAACAAGCTACCAATAACATAGCTGGCGGACGTAGGGAAAAGAACAAGGAAGACTATTGGGTGTTTATGGACGAGCATATGAAGATTGGCAAAGACAAGCCATTGAAGCTTGGAAAAACCTATAAGATTCCATCGAGGAACTATACAATATCTTTGGAAGGTTTATCTCAAAAAGAAGATATTTTGGATTTTATTGATGTTTATACTTTAAGTTCTTACTTTATGGGTTTAACTGAAATTGGGGGAGAAAAATATAAAGTTGGTACTCAAAAGTTGCCCTATTTCTCAGATTTGAAACCTCCAAAACTAAGTGTTGAAAAGTTATTAATACTAGATAGCCCTGATAACGACTTTCTGAGATCATTAGAGCCGGAATTTAATGAAAGCATCTCTAGTTGGAAGAAATACCATTCCAAGATATTTTTTAGTAATATGGAAAAGAAAAGAAAGGAGTTATTAAATCATGATTCAGGAAATATAGATAATGACCAAGAGGTTTCAGAATTTAATGAACCAGTAATAGGGGAAGCTTCCGAATATGACATTGATCAGACTCAAGATGTTCTTTCGGATTCAGAATTAGCTTTGGATTCAATAGAGGATCCGATCCAAGATGATGAAAATCTAATGGATGATGGGCAGAACCAAGAGGAGCAGATTCATTTCGACTCAAACATAAAAGATATTACAGATTTTGAGCAGGACCTGTCAGAGTTACATGAAAGAGTTAATACATGGACTGTTCATGTAGAACCACTATTAATGGCTCAAAATTCCAGACCTGAGTTTAATATTCACGAAGAAGGGAAGAAGATTATTGAAATGATGAAAAAGGTTAGTGCAAAGGACCAACAACCCATTAAATTTGAAGAAGTTACTAGCGGATTCTCCAAGTGGCAAGTATGCAGGTCATTTTTGGCAACTTTAATGCTTTCAAATAATAGGGAGATTGATATTCTTCACGAAGAACAAAACAGTAGCGACAGAGACTTAGATTTCTTTTCAATAAGATTACTGGATGAAAAGGAAAAGAATGAAATGCTGAATACAAATCTTCCGAATATCGAGAAGGTTAGTAAAGCAAAACTGGATTTTCCAAGAAAGAAAAAAACAAAAAAGGATACAATTAATCTTGAAGAAGATAACAGTGAACTGGAGAACAAATTAGATAAATCCCAGAAAATATATAGGAAAAGAGGAAACAAAGCTTAATACAAAATATTGGTAAATGAGATATTCTTAACAATGCGGAAATAATTAATACAAACTATCTGAAGTTTTTGCTTGAGTAGTAATGTTGGTTTGAGTTATAATAATTCCCAAATTGCGAAAATTGAGGATGGTGGTGGTAATTATAATTATTTGGGTTTGGGTAATTAAAAGAATCAACTAATTTACCTTGAAGCTTGTTTAAGCGCTTAATCTCTTCTTCTGGGCTTTCAAGAGGATCATAGAAGTATTCATTAGATTCCATTTTATCCAGTCCATCTTCATTAACCTTTACTTCTCCGCCAAAGTTTGCAATCATAGCAATCCCTATTCCAAAAATTAATGCAGCAAAACAAACCCCCAAAAGTATTATCCATAATGTTGAATCCTGCGATTTCAGTATTAAAGGAGTCCCATATATACCATTTGATTCTAGATAACCATTGGATGGGTATTTACCCGTCTTCCTAAAGAAGTCAATATTATAATCGCTAGGGTCTTCCAATTGTGTTTTTGACCCACATAATACTTGTTTACAAAAAATAACGGTAATAAAAATTAAAAAAGTTAACAGAAATCTTACATATCTATTTTTACAATGAACTATTCTCAGATTCCAACCCATTTATATGTACTTATTTAATATGGAAAATATTTAATCATATGTTTTTATTTTTACTACCAAGGACATCAATAAATTATTTTGTGGATTATTGGGAACAAAGATTAATAGCTCCTGCAAAACTGATTACCCCACTATTAATAAATTAAGCCATATATCTTGTGGATAATATATAAGAATTCTTTTTGCTTAAACCTCTACCATCTTAATCAATTTATCATGCAAGTTTTGGCGCCAACATGCAATTTATGTATATTTATATAAAATTGAAGATCTTAATATTAGCGTGGGAAGAGACGGAATTACAAAACTTTGAAAAGGGTTTTAATGCAACAAAAGACTGAGAATCAATTTATTTTTTCGATAATAACTTTACAATTTTTTTCTTCAATTAAAGCTTCTTCATTATCGTCTATATTTTACTAATACTATATTTGGTTATTATTAATTATAAAACCCCATTAATATTTGGAGTGGAAGAATAGTGCCTTTTAAGACGTGGTTAAGCCTACAAACAAACTAAATCAATAAGTTACAAGAAAAAGTCAAAAAATTATAGGTAATGAGTTCAACTTATTCAACGTTTATAAGCTCAATTGGAGCTATTGAGACAGGTATTTTGGGAACTTTGGCAGGAGGACCTTCGTATTTTCTTCCGTTTGCAGTATTTGGATACTTTAAAACGCGGGGAGATGTTAACGCAGCAACGAATAGAATGATGGAAATTGCAGATTCTTCAAGGAATCCAAGAAAAAATTTTGCTAGGAGTGTTAAGTTAAGAAGTGCTCAAGACTTTTCAGGCCAACAAAATAGCTATTTTTGGATATTGACAATTTTAGCTGTTGCATTTGGTATCATTGCAATTAGTCTTCTTTCATGTTTGGTTGGTGTAACTCCAGATGAAGATTATAAAGAGTCTAAGAAAAGAAGAAGAAAGCTTTTAGAGGACCCTAAGATAACACCAGAGGAGTTTGCAATTACAATGGCCAATTGTACTCCCAACGAATATAAATATAGGGAGTGGAATGGGATGCAGAGGTTGAGATAAGAATAAGAAAAGCTAATACAGATAAATTAAAGTTATAACATGTGTTTTCAAGATTCTAAGTTGATTTCTTTGATCCCTTCAACAACACTAATTCTAAAGGCGAATGATTACTCGAATAAGTATAAGAAAATTACAATTAGGGAGTATTTTATTGAAGTAAAAAATGTAAGGAGGAAGAGGACTTAAGTATGGACGTTAAAAACAAATTTGCTTAATTCTATCCCATACTGTTAGACTTAAAGTGGAAGATGAAGCCCTTTAAGGATTCATAAGTTTCTCTGGAAAAACTACACATGGGGTAAGCTCAAATGCCCATATTCTGATAATTGGGCCAATTAAAGTGCATGAAATTAAAGTGATAGAAACTCCAAAAGCAGCTTGATACCATTTTGGTTTTAAATCTGACCTATAGTTGCATATAATTCCAAGACAAGTACCAGAAACAAACCCTCCAATATGTCCCCAATGGTCAATAGCAGATGATGGGTTACCCCAAGTAATCAAGATCATAAGAATTCCAAAAAGGAGTATATTTATGACTACTTGTTCTTTGTTTTGCAGGGTATGCCAAAATAAAATAAGTTCTGCAAGTTGTGCTCCGATTAATCCAAATCCTGATGTGGAAGCGCCCACTGCCACTACGCAGCTACTTCGAATTGCTGCAGAAAAAATATTTCCGAGCATCCCTGAAACAAAGTAAATCATAAAGTTGAGTATTCTTCCATATTTTGCTTCGCATGATAGTGAAAGTCTTAGCTGGAAGATTATATTGAAAACGATGTGCCATATTGAGGCATGCAAAAAAAGACTTATAAGAATTCTCCACACTTGACCCTCCTTGACTAATGAGGGAACACTAGCTTGGAACTTTATCAATGTTGTCCTAAAAATCGTAAAAAAGGTTATAATAACTCAGGATTTCATAATAATTTGTCTTAAACTTACACGTATGGAGATAATGCATAAGACCCCACTATACAGGTAGCCACGTATACAATAAATTGAACGAGACTTATCCAAATAATACTGTGTTTCCAGGTAATTCCCGGAAAAAACAGATCAATAAATCTCAGGCTAAGTCCTGGCTCATTGTTAAAGCTTCTGCCACTCTGGCTTCTGACTTCTCTTTGAGGAGGTAAATCTGAAAGTCTGTGGATATTTGACATCTCAAAATTCAATATTCACTATCTCTTTTCTTTATGGATGAGTATTATTGCGGTTTTTTTTTCAAATTAATTATGTATCCATGAATAGATAATAGTAGTTTCAAAGTATAATATACTTTTATTACACCAAACTCCCCAAATATCTGTTTTACTAAAAATAAACGATAGTAGTAGTTCCAATTATCTTAATAACTTTGTAATTGTTGCATTTGGGAGCTTAAAAGACTATTTAAATATTAGTATACAGCTTAGTGTTTATATACATATATTTATATATGTATATATATATATATATATTTTAAAATAGGTGCACGGGAGAAAATATAATTTGTAAATGCTATTAAGCTGGGAACTGACGCCAATTTTTGTACTGTAAAACTCTCTAAATACCGTAATCTTCTATCTAGATTCAGGAGTATGAAAAGAATTTGCCAGATTTATTTATTTCTTGTTTCCTTTAAAAGAACTATTTCTTTTTAAATCCTGTTTTTACAATTATTTGCCTTTGAATATTATTAGTTACCGCTTGTGGCGCCAACACTTGGCGCCAACACTGTTCGATATCGAGTTTTTGTAAAAAAAAATGAAGCAAAGGCAAAAAGGGAGGGGGTGATGTTGTGGGGATAGTGAAAACTGTCATATAAAGATTTAGAACACAAAGTTTACTTGACTGGAGCGAATTAGTTTGTTTGTGTAATATGATGAGGTTTAGTGTAATACTGGGTGTAATTAGCTGCAGGTTTTCACAAACCTAAAGGTTAAACTTGTCCTAAATCCCCTTTTTATAATTGAATCGGGGCCTAGTTGAGGGAAGTCATTTAGATTCATAATATTATAATTTTTTAGATGATCTTGGTGTCTATAATCAATGATTAAAATGTGATATTATAATTGTCCATAATAGTAATAGTGTTTGTAGAACTTACCTAGATGAAATTCCATGTAGAAGTTGAGTGTAACATGTATCTTGGAAAACTAGTAGACTAAGTCTAGGAACAATTAGGGAGAATATGGGGAGTTTGTTTTCCTGGATATCAAGGGAGGGATTCCAAAAATCGAACAGGGTATCGGATTCTAATGAAATGATTGCAACCTTTGGGAAATAAAGGGGGCCATCTTTATGTGGAAGGATTCCCTTATATTGCTCATATTGGTTTATTAGCACGTGGTTTGGAGTGGTTTCTTTAGAGAATATATTAAAATCTACAAAAGATTGGGAGATGGATTTTAACCATTCTGGTAGATCTTTTTGATTAACAATTCCAGATTCGGAGACCGTCCCTCCCCATACTTGAGTTTGCCTCCCGTTTAATTTGACATTTAAGAACGAAGATCTTGAAATGTTTTCCAGTAGTATCTTTTCCTGTTCTAAAGTAATCCAATCTAAATATTAGGTAGTGTTATACAAAAGGGTGAAAATATGAATATTAAGTAACAATGAAAAAGATAAAAAAGTAGATTACTTACTTTGAATACAGTATATAGTGGGGAATTGCGAGGAAATTGGTCTGATTTCTCCATATATATTAGGCTTTATAGTACCAAGTTTAATATACTCTTTGGAACTAGATTCAATAGTGGAAACACTTTTCTGAGTATTCTGATTAAGATTCTCCTTTCCATTATCCCTAATCTTTCTAATAAGATCCTTAATCATCCACAGATTTTAAAAGGAATAGAATATGAATATAATTGAAAAAGTAAAAGGTTAGTGGGAAAAGCGGTAAAGCTATAGGGGACTAATTCAAAGGAAAAATCTACAAAACCCTCTGATGGGTAAGAGAAACCAAAAGTTTGCTATAGATAAAGGATGTATAAATTACGGAGAATGAAAAAAAAGCAGTCATGCCAAACAAAGTATTATACATCCATCTTGAAAATATAAAGTAATAGTACATTTTGGTACCAGCAAGGTATCTTGACATAAATACTTTGTATGAAATCCAGCATCCCCATAGAATGGCTCCATATTGGACAAGATTAATAATAAGTATTAAAATAAGCCTGTTAGACCACTCTAAATCACTACAATATCTTAGAGATCCAAGCTTTGAGAAGAAAATTGAATTAACACTTCCAATCAGAAACACAATGAAAAAGTAGGTTGAGATTTCGGATCCAAAATTCGCATTCGTGAATTTGCTATATAATATTGAAGAGATGCTCCAGATAGCAATAAATATATTCAGAAACATTAAGCTATAGCACTGCCTCACAATTTGATTCTTTAATAGTGGAGCTGGACCCCCTCCCAAGGGAGTAAGCTTGAGAATATTCAAAAACATGGGACTAAGTAAATTATTTGGTCTTTCTTCAATTATTTTTATATTTTAAAGATTCATTATTTATTATTAAGGTAATTTTATAGATTTTATCATCTACTTTATATTTTGTTTAATAATAAATTGAACTTTAATGTATATAATATTAGTGGTAATTTGGCGCCACATGTTTAATTTCTATACTGGCGTTAAATACAGCTAAAAATAATATACTTAAAATTAATTTAGAGGGGATAATGGATGATGAGGTAGAGAAGCTTAGGAAACAGGCAGAGATTAGGAAAAGGAGGTTGCTTGAAAGGAGCAGTGCCAGGCTGAAGCTGATTTATCCGAATTATGAGGAATCTACAAATAACGAGAGCTTTGAGTCTATACCAGATGACGAATCTGGAGAATTTTCTAAAGCAAAACTTATCAAAAATGATAATGATTTGGATTATAATAAAGACAATGATAGTATTAGTGATGGGTTTAATACAAGTAGAGTAAGCACAAGCAGTACATTTCCTGCTTTTTCTCAGGGGAAAATTTATGAAGAGACTGAGGAAAAAGATTTTTGTTCAGACTTTAGACTGGTTTCTTATATAGAATATTGGAACCAAGGAGAGTCTGATAGGTTAAGAAAGATCGGATCATGTATATTGGGAGTATTGTTATTTTTAACTCACAATTTTGTTCCAGATTCCTTTTCGTTTCAGTTTTTACCAGTTAAAATCAATTCTATTTCTGGAATCATTTCATTTTTTATATACCAAATTTTGATTTCACAAATTTACTTTTACAACTATTTCCGTCTTTTAATTGTTCCTACTGGCTCAAATAAAGTTGAGAAAAAGACATTGTGTAAAATTATTCTTGGGTGTAATAGTACTCAAAAAGTGGACTATTTTGTTGCCATGAATAACATAATCCAATACGCTCTGGCAATTAAAAACTTTATTTCAGAGTGGCTTCTTCTTGTTACTTTTTATTCTTTTGTTAGTTTTATTCATAGCTCTTTCCTTACTAATTAATTTTTTTTTTATATTTATTACTCGGTACCTTTTTTGCATGCATGCATGCATGCATATATACGTGAATTAATAAAAGTTTGCATTCCCAAATCTTTCTTTTAGATTGAAAAGGGTAAAGAATAAAAGTATTTAGGGGTAGGAGGGAAGAAACTAATTTGATAAAATAATTTAATTAAGGATTAAAAAAAGTTAATAACTAACTACCTAGAACAAGATGTAAGTAATAATTCACCAGAAATATCTTCATCAAGCTTTGAAATGACTTTAAAATCATCATTGTTAACTATAAAGTCTTCCTCTTTTACAGAAGAATTGGTATGATTAATTGAAATCAAAGGATATAAAGCATTCATAATTGAAGAATAGATTGTAGGGTTGTGGGATTCTTCTTGGCTGAGTAGCTGTTTTACATGTCTTCTTTCTTTAGGCTGAGAGAAACATGCTGGGCAGTTTTCAGTAATTATTGGAAGTTGAGTTTTCATAGCAAAGTTTGCGAGATCCTTTTCTCTACAATAAATCATTGGCCTAATTACTCGGATATTATACTCAGGAACAAAATAATTTGCCTTCATTGTATTTAGTTTTCCATTATTCATTATGGAAAGCAAAAAACTCTCACAAATATCATCCACATGCTGTCCTAGAGAAAGTACGTTGTATCCATTTTCCTTCATACAAGAATATAAAAGTCCTCTCTTCATTCTGGAACAGAAAGCACAGTAGGAGAGTTTCTTCTGTTTCTGCTTAACATTGGCGGCAATATCTACAATTGGGTACGATATAAAGTGGTATTTTACTCCTATAGATTCCATATAAGGTATTAATTTTGAGGCATCCATCTCACTTGTCTGAGGATCTACAGTTGCTACAGAAATCTCAAATCTCACTGGAGCAACTTTCTGTAAGAATAACAAAACGTGAAGCATTGTCAAAGAATCTTTTCCTCCTGATACTGCTATTAAAATTTTATCTCCTTCTTGTATCATATCAAATTTCTTTATCGCTCGCCCAACCTGCTTTCTTATTACTCCAAATTCAGTTGGATTTGGAAATAGTCCAATGTTCTTCAAAATCTTACTTTTATTACAGTTTTGCATCTTAGGCTCTACTTTTTCTTCTTTATTTTTCTCTTGTCTTGTAATATTTAACTTTTCATCTACGGCGGCACATTTAATAGAGTCAGAATTTGCATGCATGTAATTTGATGTGGACAATGCCGGCATAGAAAAATTATTATTATCATTGGCAATATGATTATTAGTATTATTTAATATGTGAATAATATTTTGGATATATTTTGGAGTGATGAACCATCTTAGATTCGATTCTGAAAGAAGTTCAAAATCATTAATATTTGACAAATCACTGGAATTGATAGAATTACTAAAATGTTGGTTATTTTGGTAAATGATTTCTTTAAGGATAGGATCAAGTTTGGAATCTTTTTCATAAGCTGAGTTTGCGTAGTTCTTAGAATTTAGAATAATCTCTTCTAAATTTCTAAGAATTTCATTAGCCATTTCAAAATTTCTTTCAAAATTATATTCTTTCATGGAGGGCAAATAAGGTTCAAAATCGACTGAATTTTGAGAATCTAAGTCTTTAAACTTATCGAAACAGAATTTCCCAACAGAGTCTCCTAGCCACCTCCTATGTATTTTGTCTAGAGATTTCCACTCTGATCTATGTCTCCAGGTCCCAAGCGATTCTTCAAAAATATATAAAGGAAGAAATTTCCATCCATGGTTTGCAATCCAAATAACTGATTTTATGATGTAATCCACAATCTCTATACTGTCAGACCAATGCAATGAAATTCTAGAAAATCCTGGTCTTACCGATTCTATACCTCTGATTACTAAATCTGTATATAATTGTTTAGTTTTTTCTTGATCATATCCCAATAGCCTTTGAGAATATGGACCTGCACAGGAACATCCTCCTCTGGACTGTATACCAAATAAGTCATTCAGTAATGAGCAGACAAAGTTATAGTGAAGGTAATGGTCTTTTCCTTCATTGTCTAAAGTATTGATAATTTTTGGATTATTTTGAGATAGAAAGCCCAATTTCACTCTGTCATTTTCAAAATTAAATGGTTTAATTAAAAATGAAATAATTGGAAGAGTTAATAAATAATGTTCTTTGTTAAGCTCCTGATTTTCAATTATTAATTCATCAAATCCCAAAATCTCAATTTTTGATTCATTTATTGAATTGAACTTATTCCATTCTGAAATAACCTTTTCAAATAATAGTTTTTCTTTAGATTGTTTAAGGTATTGTGGGATTTTCATGTCCAGTTTCATGACCATTCCTAGACGTGAAATGCCAAGAATATCCAAAGTCCCAGATTCCTCCCTTTCTTCCTTATTTAATATATATTCATGGTCATCCATAGACACAAAAAAGACACTATTCCCTCCGGGATCAGATGGTTTTTCAGTTAATAGTAAATCCCTCTTAATAATTAAGACCCCTGGGGTGGATGGACCTCCCAAAAGTTTGTGAGAAGAAAATACACCAACATCTAGATATCCTTGAGGATTTAAAGGAGGAGACATATTTGGTCTAACATGAGGAGAAGTTGCAGCAAAGTCTACCATAGTAATTCCTCCATACTGGTGCGAAATTGTTGAGATTTTTGAATAATCATTAAGCCTTCCAGATACATTGGATCCAGCAGAAATTAACAATAATGGAATATTTAAAACTTTCTCATTTTTTAGCTGAATTAATCTGTCTTCTAAATTTGGAATATCAATCTCTCCTCTTTTGTTTAACTTTAAATATACTAAGCTAAAAAACAGTCTGTACTTTAAACCAGAATGAGAAGCTTTAACTCCTTCAGTATATCTTTTAGTATATTCAATAAAAGGTAAGAATAAGGAATGATGCGATGAAGGATCAACCATGAAAATGATTCTATAATCCTCAATATTTTCTTCATCTTCTGTAAAATCAGATTTGGTTTTTTCACTACCACTGTAATCTTTTTCTCTGTGAATCTTATTGTAATGCCTTCTAAATGCAGCCTCAGTATCGTATTGAGTACCACAACTGACACATTTAAATGATTTCCATCTATCCTGAATAACATTAACAGATATATCTTTAAACGAATTCTGATTCATATAACCAGATCTAAACTTTTTTATAATACTAATCCAGTAAGATGCATCAACCATTTTTAGAAACTTAGCTACCGCACCTGTTGAACCATTTCCTGCAAATATAATAGCATCATCTGGATTTCCCCCAACAAACTGTCTCACAGATTCTCTTGCTTCATGAATAAACCAAGTACTTTGCCTTGCATTATTCGATGCAATGCTATGAGTATTGCCATAATATGGAGCTACATCTTTTTTTAATGAATCTTCTATAAACTTCAGACTTCTCCCTGATGCAGTCCAATCAGAATATACTATATTTCTAACACCAAATGGAGTTTTTATTGGAGAAAGCTCTCCAATAATGTTATCTCTAATAAACCTGCAATACTTTTCAAATTCATTGTTTTGTTCGTTTGCCTGAATAAAATGATTCTCCATATTTATATTTAAATTTTTAGACTATTTCTAAATTTGAAAAGTTTTTTTACCATCACAGAAGACCCTTAAATATTTCAAATTTTGACTTTTTTAATCAATTGCCTTGCATTTATTGTTCTGTACAAATTAGGCGGGTAAATTGACCACATTTCGGCGCCACATGCTATTTGTATCATTTTGTATGAGATCAAGTACAAAGAATTTGATTAGGGGAAATTAAAAGGAAAGAAGAATAAGGTGGGGGGGGGCAAAGTAAGATAATAGTATAAGGAGATATTTGTTATTTTATTGTATTAAATAGATGAGAATCTCTGAAGAAATGCAATCTAATATACATGATACTGCCCATGAAAGGATTGATGAAAAAAAGGATGAACAGGTGGGGGTAACTTTCAGTGAAAGAGAAGCTTATATGAATCAGATATCTGAGGTTGAGGAATGTGGGGAGGAGGAGGAACATTATGAGGAAGATGAGGATGAGTTGAACGCCAATTTAGATCCCGAATTTTTGTTAGATGAGGGTAGAAAGCTAAGAAAAGAGAAGAAATTTGACGAAGCTATTGTAAAGTTATACTGGGCCATGACGAACAAAATGAATCTTTTAAATATTACGGAAGAGAGTGGAATAGACCCGAGACTCTCTGAGTATTATTTGATTTATGCAGATGTACTTTTGGAAAAAGAAGAGAATTCTACTAATTTCTTTTTTTCCAAAAAAAGTGAACAGCAGGATTTAATGAACCCATTATCGTCTTCTTCCTCTTCTTCCTCTTCTTCCTCTTCTTCCTCTTCTTCCTCTTCTTCCTCTTCTTCCTCTTCTTCCTCTTCTTCCTCTTCATCATCATCATCATCTTCACAAACTCTTAAATCTTCAGAGCAAATGTTAATAGAGTCAACTGTGATGGGTATGGCAAATAGCAGCATGGCTGAAGCTACAGATGAAGAGGTGGCGTGGGAGAATTTTGAGGCTGCAAAGCTAGCTTATATTAAGTTGATTTACCTAAAAAAGAAAGGGGACTATGATAGATATTGCCAAGGAATAGTTCCAGAATATATGAAGAGTTTGTTCACATCTAGTGAGTTGAACGATGGAAAGTTTGAGGAGCTTCTGAAGGAAGTTTGCACTTGTGATTCTGAGGAGAGATCAAGGATACCAGATAAAGATATCACAGATTTATCATTTGTTTTTATTAGGTTAGGTGACATTTTACAGTTGGCAGAAAAGTATTACGAAGCTTCAATTGAATACAAAAATTCCCTATTTATCTTAGAGACATTCAAGCTACCAGAAGATACAATCGAACCTTCATTAATATGTTTGGCTCAAAGCACATTGTTTTCAGGTAAAATTAAAGATTCGAAAGTTTTGTTTGAGAGAGCTTTAAATTTAGTTAAAAATCACTTAGAAGGGAAAAACGGAATGTCTGCTCCTACAGATCCTAAACAAATTGAAGCTTATAAACTGACATTGGAAGATTTACAATTAACTTTAGATGATATTAATCGTAAATTGGCAGTGAACCAAGAAGACCAAAAACCTATTACAGCTATTCCCAAATTGGAAGAAATAAAGAAAGAAAATACCTTCAATAAAGCTCAGCTTCCCGAGACTGAACCTGTTAAAGTTATTAATACAGTTGAGATAAATGGAAGCTTTTGTGAAAATACCGTAGATAATAAGAAGAGAAGAATTGATTTATCTAAGATATAACGATTAATATTGAATTATGACACTATATCTATTGTTTTCATCTATCAATTAGATTCTTTATCCTATTATATATATTATTTACTAATTAATTATCCAATTATTATCCAATTGGTTGTTATTTCTGACTAATCGATTGATCTAGTTTTTAATTTTTTACTATCTTTACACCAAAGTATTTAAATGAAATTAAGTAAATTTAACATAGAAAATAAAGACATAGGTTTTTTTCATTGATAGAAAAGGATATTTCTACCAAACTTTGCCGATTTAACATTACGTAATAATTACGTGGTAATTATATTTTGGTATACCGGTATATTATCCACTTAAAAAAAATACTTGCGATTAAAAATTTTGATATAATGTTTGCATGAATGCATGCATGTATAAAATTGAATTAGTAGGAGAAATCTCTGTTTATTTGGTTGATTAAATTAGTAATTGACTTTTTGAATTGAATGGTTTCATTATGTGTGAGGCCATAATTTTTTTTTTGAAACGAGTATTGATAGTGTTTGTTTGAGGAATTAACTTTGTTAAATAATAAAGAAGCAAGCTTATCATTCAATAAATCAAAATTTTGGAAGTTTATTTGAGTTGAATTTGAATAATTTTCTTTTTTAATGTCTGAGTAATTGTTAATTGGTTCTTTTGGGTATATTTGGATAGTATGTATTTCTCCAACGTTCAGATTAACCTTTTTCTTGTTATCAATGCTTATCATTTCTAGCTTATTATATATTTTGTCGATAAATTCATTTATTACCTAAAGGTTGGTAAGGAAATGGGAATATTAAAATTGAATACAAAACAGAATTTTCCATTTTTAAACTTACAATGAAGGCTTTGTCTATCTTTTCGAAAGCAACATCAGTGATTCCTTTACTATAAAAACTCTTATTTCTGTCAAAATTTATAAGTTGGTCTTTGCCACGAAATTGACTTTTTCGAAGTATCTTAATATACTCGGGCTCATAAATTCTTTTCATTTCATGTAATTTATTTTTTTTAAGTCCAATGTTTGAGTAAAAGCATGTGCAGTATTATTTAATAATTTTTTTTTTTTGTATTAAGCTGTGCAATAAAATAAGTATTAAAATTTAGTCAATTCAATAAAATGCGATATTACTAGTCGAAAAATTTAAGTTAACTATATCAACTATTTTTTGATTTTAAAAGAAATTTTTTTTAAATATATTTGTATGAAAACTAAATGCACCCTTTTTCTCTTAGTTTACACCAAATCAGAAAAATTTTGAAAAGACGAAAGAAAAAAATATTGCGGAAAAAATTAAGTGTTTTTAGATAAAATAACATAAAATTTGGTCGTTGTATTTTGAGAAACCCAGAAATGCAAAATTTTCATAAAAAATATCACATTAATTTCAATTGGTGCAAATTTAAATTATACACATAAATAAATTGCATGACATTGGCGCCTGCGGCATGCACTTTTGTAATGATAATAACACCGGTATTGGAAAAAACTGAGGGGTGTAGAAAAATTGTTTGTGAATAAAGTTGAAAGCAAATTGACAAACTAAATTAGAATAATAATAATATTATTAATATCATTATTGTTATTTCTAATCTCTTAAATTTTATATATTACACATAAGTTAAGTATTTGATGTTAATATAGACTAAATATTTATTGAATGAGGAGGTTTGATGTGGTTCAAATAACCTCCGAATTTAGCGAAAATCCTAATGTAATAATAACTTCGTTGTGCTATGTACCAGTTATTGGGTATATATATGCAGGAACCAACTTTGGAGATATATTACTTTACAAGTATGAAGATTATAATGGAATTCACAAGAATAGTGGAAATGATGTATTGGGATTCAACTTGAATAAAGAGAGAATGACAGGAAAAGAAAGATCTATTCGAATTAAAAATATTTCTCAAAAGTGTAAAAGAATAGATAAAATATTTCCTATCATATCCTATGATACTGTTGTTAATGATGATATGGAAAGCAGAGTACATATTGGGGGTGTGATTTTATGTATATGCGATGGAAACTTACTATATTTGGATTTCAGATTAAGAGGAAAAGTCAAATTACTCTGTAAAGGAGTTTCTTCGGTCTCTGTTTGGAAAGACAGTTTTAATATTAATACTTTTCAAACCAAATTTTGTATTGCTACAAAGAAAAAGATCATCTTTTATAATACATGCCTTTTGGGTGATTTATTAGATATACAGGATATTCTGGAAGATGATGAGGAAATGACTGCTAATTCTAATATTAGTAATAGGAGGAGATCAAGTCTTGAACGCCGATCTTCACTCAATAGAGATGCAAAAGATTCCACAAAAAAGGATGTAGATATTGGGAAAAGCTACACTTCTGGAGTGAATTCTTGGTTTGGATTTTCCACAAACAGTTCCCAATCAAATAACGGTGGCCATAAAAATGATAATAATGCTGATCATTTACTTGAAGCACCAGCAATAGGCGAAAGAGGATACAAGGATGATTATTTGGCCAGTATAGAGTTTATTAAAGTTGATGAAATTCAGATTCCAAGTAGGCTCGCTTCGTTTACAGAAAGTATAAGTAATATTGAATGGTGTAACAATTGGGTTTGTTTTGTTATTGCAGGTACTTATTTTATTATGAATATTGACGATCAAAGCATAAGTGATATATTAAATTTAGACCAGTTAGGAAACAATTTTCAACCTCAAATAATAATACTACCAGAACAAGAGTTTATGTTGACTTGTCAGGATAATCTGGGAGCATTTTTTAGTTTTGAAACTTTAGAACCATCTCCAAAATCAATGATACAGTGGCCATCTGAAGGTCTTACGGGAGTAGTGCTATCATCTCCTTATCTTCTTGGAGGAACAAAGAGTGGGATTATTCAAATCTATTCATTGGCAAATTATGAGGCTAATTCCTTGGTTAAAGAAAATAAGGCAGGTACTAATGTATCAAACTTTCAATCTAGAAATGAAGCAACATCAAACTTAGGAAGTAATAGAGGATTTTTAAATAATAATCACAACAATGTCCAAACATTGCAACTGGATGATGAAATTACTTGCATCTCTACAGGAGGGACTTGCGAAGGAATATTTTTTGGTTCTTCATCGGTCATGAAAGCCCCTTTAGGGCCTATGGTCGTTGTTTCAACCAAAACAAGAATATATGCTTTAACTCCTATTCCAATTGAGGAATCAATTTTTGAGCTGGTTAATAGGAGCCAGGGAAAGCAGGCATTTAATCTATTGAAAACTTACTGCAATAGCAATGATTTGTTATTTAAGAGTTTACTATATAAAACTCAGTGCCTAGTTGGATGGTACGAATTCAAGAATTTACAATTTGAAAAGGCTTTTCAATCTTTCAAACAAGCTCATATTGATCCAAGGGTTCTAATTATATTATTTTGGAAGGACTTAATTCCATTAGAATGGGATCACAAGTATTCAAAAGATTCTTTGGTAGATTCGTATGAATATGCAAAATTACCATGGACTAATTCAAAAAGAAATCTTTCTGAAGATTTAACACCAGATGTCAAGTTTCACGAATCCTTGCTTAACTCACTATTGATAAAGAAAACTCATAATAAACTTCCTCCAAGTATTGATTTATTTATTCAGAACTTGCTGTTGAACAAGCCTGATTTTAATAGTAACTTGCAGATAGACATAGAAGGAGATCTGGAAAAAATTGATGAGTATATTTATTTGGCCAATAGATCACTTAAAATGTTTCTATTGCATGAGAGAGAAAGATATATGCCAAATACTGAGGACTCAAAAGACATTTTTTGTAAGTTTGGAGAACAAGATGAAAAACAGATGGGCTATTCTACTGGAAAAATTATGGATATCGCTATCATTAAGTTAATAATTAATGAGTTTAATAGCAAGTACAAAAGAAGCCATGATATTTCTTTAAGCAATAGAATCATTTTAAATTTACTTGATATAGAATCTGAGACAAAAGATACTGAAGCAATAAGTGACTATGCTTGTTTTCAAAAAACAGATCAAATGGAAATAAAAGAGATCGAGGAAGAAGAGTTAATAATCAAAAGAGTTATTGGGAATGTGTTAACGGAATTTAATGTTGATGAGTATGAAGAGTTTCTTTTAAATCATGGGAGATATGATTTATTAGCTATTCTATTGGCTTACAATTCATCATACTTAAGATCTTTAGAGATCTTAGAGAATGTGGTTAATTCTTCAGATAGGAGTACCTTGGAAACTTACACGGGCAAGAATTCGAATTATATTAATATTTATTTGATAATATACCAAGTTTTGTTAAATTTATGTAAATCAGAGATTACTCCTATACACATTCAAGCCAATTTACTAAAGCGTTATTCAAGATTTATTCTAGACAAATTTGAAATCTGTCCAATAGATCATTTATTTACTTTAAAGCCTGTTGATAAGTTTCCTTTAACAATAGATGAGATACTTGGATTATTTAATCTACTACCAGCAATAGCTTCAAATCATCTAACTAGATCTTACTTGGAAAAGATAATAGCAACTCAAGGAGAAAACATCGAATTAAAACATAAAATTCATTTGATTGAGATTTACATTAATGATATTTCAACAAAAAATGAAACTGGTATAAAGCCCTCAGATGAAGCAAACTCAAGCTATACAAATCTTTTCAATGAAAACTTTCAACCCTCTAAGTTGGCTATTATGCTTGAGGATATTGAGAATTTTGACACAGAGATTCTGGTAAAACACGTATATTTTGACGATACTTTTAAATATAAAGTTCATGACCATATTATTATTGAGTATATAATCATTTTATTCAGAAGCAACAGACATACTCAGGCATTGAATTATATAATTAGTGTTTTAGAGAACATTGAATTGGCAGAGATCTACACTTTAGCGTGGATTTTTCACAACATATATGCTCTTCAGTCTGAAAATATAAGTATGAAAGGTATTATAATGGAAAAACCGGGGTTTCAGGTATCTTTTCCAGATGATCAGGAAAGCACTCTAAATAAAAATAACAAGCAAAAGTATCGCAAAATTAAGCTTTTTACGGAGTTTAAACTTTGGAGGAATTTCATAGAAGAATATTCAAATATCTCAAGTCCCCTAGAACAGCATCGCTCAGGCGACCTAGAAATGAATTCCTGGCTTGAAATCCTGGGCATTTCCCAGAATGAATTATCACTTATTTCAGATGAGCATACTAAAAGCAAGGACTTTAACGAACAAAGTAATTACGAAAAGTTGGTGAATAAATTGATATCATTGGGTGTAGAGAAGACTTCACAGAAAATTTATACTCACAACATTGTGGATTCTAACGGAGAGCTGATAGCTTTGGTTAGAATCTTGATAGACTCTTGGAGGTCTTCCAGAGAAGATTCTCCTTGTAAGGCTGAAAAATTTTTGAATTCAACAATTAATATTTTGAACAAGTATTCATTTCATCCTGATATTTCTATTGGGAATATTCTTCAAATTATTCCAGGAGAGTGGCCTTTACTAAAGATGATAAATTTCTTGAAGAATAGTTTAGCATCATCAATTCACAATCAAACAAGCAAAGCGATTTCAACTAATTTATCTGCAATTTCTTTTCTTCGTCTCTACGAAAAGTGGTCAAATGCCCGCTCTAATCATGTTACAATTACCCAAGATATGATTTGCCATGTATGCTCACTTAAGTTGGGCAATAAGCCTTGTGCAATATATCCAAATGGTTCCTGCATCCACACTCATTGTTTATCCAATGAATATTATTCATTCAACTCCTATTAAATCTGTAACTTTTAAAAATAATTAAATTTCGGTATTGGAACTTCCAAAAAAAATCAATTATTACTAATATCATTTATATTACATGCTTACACGTAAGTATGCAAACATGCATGCAAAAGAAAAGGTATTTATTTTTTGTTTCCGAATTTGGCGCCACACCACTTTATTAATAAATGTGGAGCATTAAATACAGAATGTATATCAGAAGAAAGGGGGAAAATAAATAAATATAACATGAGAAAATAAGGATGGTGATTAAGATACAAGTCTGATAATCGAATTTACGCTTGATTTCTTTCTTTCTTCAGATTTTTTTTTATGATTGGTCTGAAAAAAGGTAAATTAATACTATTAAATTGCAGGAAAAAATAACGAAAATGAGTGGTGTCAATAGTTTGGGAAGAAAAGTTTGGGATAAGGAGTTTTATAGCAAGAGTAAAGAGGAAAGAGATCAAATCAGAAATCTTGAGAATGTGAGCCATGAAAAAAAGGTTGATATAAAGAAGAATCTCTTTGAGGAGAGTGCAAAGAGGAGGGAAATGTATTTAGACATCTCAAAGAATGTTGGAGTATTGAAAAGTCATACAAACGGTGAGGATGTGAGAAAGAGCATCTCTGGGTATTGGTGTGAGGTTTGTAAGTTCGGTTTTAACGATTCACACTCTTGGATTCGTCATTTAAATAGTCAAGGCCATAACCAAAAGATGGGGACTTCGTTATATGTAGAGAAGAAGTCACTTGAGTCTGTAAAAAGGCGACTTTCCCAGTTAATTTATGATTACGATCACGGTTTGGGAATATTCAGTAAAAAAGGTAGAGAAGAAAGTAGCGGTGGTGTTTATGATCAATCAAAGGAAAGAGGCCAAAACCTAAAAAAGGTGGAGGGAATAACAAGAGGGGATAAAGCGAATGATAAGACTGTAATTAATAAGGGCGAAGAGGAGGAAAATGTATCAGATGAGGAGACAAGAAAGGATATGCTACAATACGATTTCCCAACAACCTTTTCATAAAGATTATGCTCCTGATATTTGAAATCATTACAAAGCAAGGATTATGTTATTATTTGTGTTACTATGGGCTTTGCTTGTAGTAGAGCAGTTTTTGAGCAAATTCAAAAGACTGATTCCATTTCCAAATATGGTATTGAACAAATTAGCAAAAACCACAATAAATATTAGTGATATTATACAGCCAAGAATGAATGTATATTTAACATTTTTCCACCAGAACTTTTTCTTAACTTTAACAGATTCCTGTAGGAATGATTCTGTTTCATCTTCAAGAATTTCAGCTTGTCCATCTAATGCTTGAAGAATCCCCTGAAAAGTTAAGATAGATAAAACATATGAGAAAAAGATTCAGACTTACCCTATTATTTAATAGAATTTGGATGTTATCTTGTATAGTATTGACAATTTCTTTTGATGAGCCTTCTAGCTGAGCGATTTCATTAAAATTCTCATAGTCATCATATTTTGAGAGAAGGTTTTTAATGTCCTGCTTGAAATTTTTTATTCCATTCAACTCATTTGTTTTGTTTGGAATATTTTCATTGATTCTTTCAATTCTCAAAGTAGATTTGTTTAATTCTCTTAAATATGAGTAAATTAACCTTTGTGGATATTTTTCATTCTTACAGCATACTGAATATGCAATATTTCCCTTTTCTAAAGGAGGTATCCAAATATAAAACTTCCATTCTATTTCCTCAACTTTAACTACTTTTTCGATTCTTGGACTAAGTGTCTTAACATCTTTTTTATTTTTTAACTCCTCTATAAAAATCTCGTTAATCTTTATTATTAATATAGTTTTCTATCCCAAACACAAATTTTTTCTCCATGTCATATTTGCATTGTGATCAATATAAAAACTTACCTTATCTTTAATTAAACTTGAAATCCTATCAAACCAAGAAAAAATGATAATACCATTATTAATTGATCCAATTCCTGTGAAAATTAGGTTTTTGTTTTGTGTTGGAAAAGCCTTCAAACCAAGCATTCTTTTCCTGAATTCTTCTTTCTTTAATTGAAATTATAGTATAATCTACTAATTTAAATAAGTCTTAATATAATATAATTGCTTTATTAGTATTTAATAATAAACCCACATAATTTTGCATACAAAAATCATTTTCCTACAATATATATACATAATAAATGTAAAACTTTTTTTTAAAAAATTCATTCATTTTCATACTTTTCAAGTAATTAAACATTATTAAGTCTAATTTGTTCCAAACTGACAAATTACTCTCACCCATTCATACTTTTCGTTGTATTTTTATTTTTTTTTATTTTATTAAAAGTACATGTAAAAGGCGGGCTTTCCATGCATTATAGGGGAAAAAAAAATAAATTAATTGCTAAGTGGAAAAAAAAGGAGATAAATAATTAAGGATAAACCAAAGTAATATATACAACAATTTTGTAACTATAAATTAAAAGATGCAAGAAGAAGAGAAGAAGAAAGAATTAAGATCCAAAGAAGAGATAATGGAGAGCATATTAAAGCTACAGAATGACTTAACAGGTAAGTTTTGGAATGGACTATAAAAATGGTATAAAAAATGAGTAGTCTTATCTTATTTATGAAAATTAACTTCATAATTATAAATTTAAAAACAGAATTAAAATCAAATTTGGACAAATTAGAGTCTGACAACAAACTACTAAACGAAGAGAATGAAATGCTAAAAAGCCAGTTAAAAGTTTAATTTAGACACTTTAAATGATAAATAAAAAATAAATGGATTAAAATATATAAGCAATTATAGGTAAAATTTTTAAAACTAGAGTTACAAAAATATGTCGGCCTTATTAATTATAGTAAGAAATAGGTACAACTAATAATCCATTTTTTGAGTTTTTGATAGAATTCCACCTACCAAGTCTATGTTCTTGTCCAATAGCAGCAACAATCAGTTTATCAGAGACTGAAATATCATTAACAAATCCACTAACTTTAATAGAATTAATAAGAGAAATGTTGTTATTTTGGTTTGACCATTTCCAAGCTTTAATTTCTTCATCATCACTACCAGTAAAGAATAAGTCAGTAAATGGAATACTTTTAATGGAGTATATGCCTCCTTTATGTAAATTATTACTAGTAAATAAAGGTTTCTTTTTAAATTGGGACCATATATGTAAAGTGCCATCTTGCTGTCCAGTAATATAATTTACATTATTTAAACAAGAAACAGAATCAATAGGAGATTCAATCAATTTTGAACCATCAACATTTGAGTTATTATTTGGATAAAAAATTAAATGTGAATCAGCAGATAATTTCCACAATCTGGATGTATTATCTTCAGAACCAGTAAAAGGTCTGTCTTTAAGAATCATATCACATGATGTAATCTTATTTGTATGTCCATAGTAAGTATTCATATGTGATCTTGATTTAAGACTCCAGACTTTAAGTGATTTATCAAAAGATACTGATATAATTTGATCAATTTCAGAATTAGGTTCTGAAACTATACCAGTAATAGTATTAGTATGACCATGAAACCTTTCAATACATTTTGGTACTCTATGATCCCATATTCTTATAACTTTATCTTCTCCACCACTACAAATCAGATTAGTTTCTTTGTGATAACATATTGTTTTAATTTGTTCAAAATGCCCACCACATTCAAAATCTTTTCTACTACCTGGAAAAATCATTTTTTTTCCAGTTTCTAAATCCCATTTAATTATAGCACAATCTTTTCCTCCTGTATATGCAGTTTTTCCATCATTATCTAAAGTTACACATGTTGGACTAAGTTTATGACCTTTGTAAAATACAGAATCACCTGTTATATTAAAGTTATCAGCTATTTCCCTTTGAGAAACTTTGTTCTCTAAATTATTTAAGCTTGCTTTAATTTCACTATCTTCCAAAGCATCAAGCTTTTTTAGAAATTTCTTTGCTAATGAAACTTTTTTCTCATCCTCATTTTCAAAAAAAACATCATCTTCATCATCTTCATAATATTCATTTTTTCCATTATTGTTATTATCTTCAGAATCAGATTCAATATTTGAGTCTAAAGTTCTACCAGAAAAACGTGGATTATCATGATCTTGGTAATCCACACTTTTTCTATTCATTTGAAATGACTCATCATCTGAAGATGATAGTATCTCCTCATTATCATTTTTTTTCTTCCCTCCAATTTTTTTTGTCTGTTGAAATTTCCTTTTCATAATTTTGTATCTAATTGCCGTTTTAAATTACTATTATTACTTTAATCGTCCAAGCTTAGCTAAAATTTTACTGTAGTATGCTAACTAAAAAAAAAAAAGTAAATCCTTCCCTCTTCTTTCTTATTCTTCCTTTCTACAAAAGTATATTTTTTCTCTTAACTTTTTTTTTAATATTTTTCTATTAATTTATTTTTTAAATTTAGTTTTTTTTTGACATTTCAGATTTATTAGTCATTTTTTTTTAATATACTAACAAAAGAAATAACCCGCCTTTTTTTTTAAATTAACAAAAAATTATTTTTTTGATACCTTATACCGGTATAGAACAAAAATTAAGGCGCGGAATACCGCCTAAATTTTGTTGAGAAATTATAAGATGAAAAGTCATTTAAATAAAAAGATTAGAAATTATAATTAAGATAAGAGTAATATCAACATCAAAATGAATAAGAAATTTTAACAATTTAGGAGATCCCACACTATTTTGCATTTTTCCCTCTTTTAATTTCTCACTTTTCTTTCTTTTGGTTTATTCTTTATTATTTTAAGTTTAGCTACTTATCTACACATTCTTTGAATTGAGTGATTATATGTGTTTACTCTGGTTTTATTAAGTAATTCCAAAACTCCGTACAGATGAAAAATAGTAAATATCAAGGATTTGAATTATTACCAGATTCTTTAATGCTTGAGAAAAAAAAGCAAGCATTAAGAAAAGTGAGAAAGAAAAATTCATCGGTACCGTTTTTAGAAGAAACGGAGAATCATAAAAAATCACACAAAGATTATGATTCTGATACTTTTGATGATTTGCCTTTTGTTGTTCCTTCAAAGAGAATTGTCATAGAGTGGCCAGTGGACCTTCTAAAAAGTTTAACAGCTGTAAGTTTTGAGAATGTCCACTCTAAGTATGATTTGGAAGAAATTCAAATTTTTAAAATAGCTTCCAGTACTGCAAAAGAGGAACAGAAACAAGAACAGGAACACGATCACGAGCACGACTACGAACACGAACACGAACACAAACACAATCACAAACATGATCACGAACAGGAACGTGATCACGAACAAGAACATGATCATGATCAGGATCGGGATCAGGATCAGGATCAGGATCACGAACAAGAACACGAACACGAACACGAACACAATCACCAGCAACAGCAACAGAGCCGAAGCCAGAAACAAGCCCTGACCCTGGGAGTGGAGAAAACAATCAGCCTTGAAGAACCAGCAACAATGAGTATCAGGCTGATGTCCATGCAAATCTACATGATGGGAGGATATGCAAAGAAGTATTTTTACAATCAAAAAGAAAGATCTTACAGTATAAGAGTTGAAATTAAAAAGAATCAAGAAAGTCAACCAATTAAAGTGATTAATATACTAGAGAAAGATGATATGCACTATTATCCCTATAGCAATAACATTCTTTCATCATTTCAAAATAATCACCAGTACCATAGATTCATATTATCACAAATTAATGCAAATAAAAGAATGTTTCGGCTCAATACTCAACAATATAAAGTTCAAATATTTAAATTCCTGAATTTCAAGATTCTTATTGAGCGTGATGACAAAATACATCTTAATTTAAAGTCATTCTTACCAATAAATTTCGGAGATCATAACTCAAAACAAGAGTATGATCACCAATCTAAAAAAGCCACATTACTCATCACAAAACAAAATCTCTCCAAATTAACAAAAGATGGGGGTTTCCAAATACTTTTAGAACTTAGAGATTGTATTCATCATTCCCAAAAGAACGTTACCACCCCCATACCGGAATCTACACGCTTTTGTTCATCCCAAAATTATAATAATCTTGATACCTGTACTGGGTATATTCTTTTATCCATCCAAAAGGTATAAATATATATAGTATTAACCAAATAACTAATTCCTGACCTTAAATCTCCATCCTCTTTTCGTTGTTGTAAAGAATATTCCTCTTAATCAAATTTGACATATTCTCCGAATTTGAAACCTTGCTAATTTTTAGCTGTACATTTCTTCTAATTCTCGTCCTATACATGTCAATCTGCTGCTTTCTGATTGAAACTTTTCCTATATAGTTGAATTTGAAAAGGTGACTGAAATTCTTTGACAAAACTTCGTGTAATTGTCCTGAAATAGTGATATTTCCAGGAGCACCGCATGATTCCATCTTATTTCCTATAATTACATCATGTCCCCAAACCTCATATCTAAGTCTAGAGCTTCCAACGATACCCCCAATACATCCTCCATAATGTAGTCCAATTCTCATATTCAGTTCAGGAAGTGATAGCTTCTCCCTAACAAAGGCAATCTTCTGCAACATATCGTGGGCCATTGCAATACTTCTTCTAGCTCCTTCAGCTGGGGAATAGCCTTCCATCTGAAATATATTCAGATTGTAAATTTGGTTATCCTTACTTGCTCCAGATGAAGATGACGATGGCGGTTTGCTGGAGGTTGGGTTGCTTAAAACAGTTGGGGAAGAACTCCTACAAGAAGAATTATGGCTCAAATAATTACTGTGGCTCAAATAATTACTAGCTGAATAATTACGATTAATCCCCAATCCAAAACCTAAGCTTCCTCCCATTCCTACTCCTAATGTTCCTCCTGGCCCTGCCAATGGCCCCACTCCTAATCCTGGTCCTGGCCCTGGTCCCAGTCCTAGTCCTGGTCCTGGTCCTAATCCACCTCCTCCTGATCCCAAACCCGTTGTTCCTAAGTTTGTACTTGCTTGCAAGTCCTTAATCTTCTTCTTCATCTTTTGAGAAGAAAATATTCCATTTTTATCTTCATAAGGATCAATCTCTGGCTCACTCATTGCTACATAGGCATCTCCAATAGTGAAAAGTTTAAAGAGCCCAAATTTAGAAAGGGAATCATCAAACTGAGCATATAGACTACTCAACATGCAAACTACACTCTCCGCCTCCACTGACATAGCCCACTGAGTAAACCCACATATATCTGAAAACAAAAAAGTAACATTCTTGTGAATATATGCCAACTTTAACTTATCCTCTTGGAAATCTAACAAAACTTTTCTAGGAAGCATTGCAACCAATAGTTCCTCTGCTTTTTGCTCACAATTACCTGCTACTAAAGTACCATAAAAAATTGCTCTTCCTGTCTTTTCTCGTGAATAAGCTGCAATTACATTTATTGATAGTGCCACACAATATACCACAATTCCTTCCAAGTTAATGTTAATCCCAACTAAAAAAATGGTCAATAAAAGGAATAAAATCAACAAATCAAACAAAACTATGTATCTGAAAAGCAAACCAGCATTATGATGAACTGTAGCCAAAAGTAAAAGCTCAAGAACTTCCTCATCACACCACAAAGATATAGAACTATCTACCATTGTAAATTGCCATAATATTGTAAGCATCAACATTGATGCTCCTCCTGCCAGTACTGCATTCAAAAATAAAATAGGACCTCCCACATGTTTGTTGTTTTCAAAATTTAATTGTGTTGCTTCCTTACTTATTCTTGTACTTCTTCCTATTTTTGGTACTGTTGCTAATCCTGTCCCAGCTCCTGTTGAACTCTGAATTTGATAGTTAGTGTATGTACTAAACAACACCAACCATGAAAGAAAAACAGATGATATATAGATTATTCTAACTGTCCAAAGTATCCTAAATCCTGAGATTCCTTCTTTATTTTCACCACATGGTAGTACTGTATATATTAAAGTTTGCAATACAAGAGTAACCACAACAATAACAAGACTTTCTTCAATAGTTTTAAGGGTAGATAGATCTGAATAGTAGGTAAGTAGGTACTTTTGTTCAATTTCATTGTTTTTGAAACCAAGAGTGAAACTCATTAAATCTGAGATATTCTCTTTCTTCCATCGGTCCACACCATTTTGTTGATTGTAGGGTTCTTTTCTATTTTGGTCATTAGAGTTTATATAATTGGAATTACTTCTTTCAAATTTGGAATTATTAATTGACGAGGAATTATGGGAAATTGACTTAGAAGATGGTCTCATTGTTTTTCTTATTCTTACTCTCATTCTTTTCTTTTTAGGTTTAGTCATTTGAAAATAATTTTTGGAAGGATTATCAGGGGAAGCAACCTCTTTAAACTCTTTCCCCCTTCTTTTAAAAAATCCTAATGAGCTAGAAGTTTGATTATTGAATAGATTCCATCTGCTTTTAGAACTGTTTTCATTTAAGAGAGTGAAATCTTGGTCCTCAGGTTCCTGATTGAACTTAACATGAGAGGGATCACCAGTATTCTCCTCCTTATCATATTCCACTTCCTCCCTATACTCTTGATTAGTGTGGGTATATGGCTCTTCTATTTGCTTTAAAGATGAAGAAAGATTTTCTTGAGGAAAACGACCTTCATATCTCTCATTCTCATGTGAAACGGAATTTTTGGGAAGCATAGAAGATACAGATTCTCCTACTTGTGCAAAAGTCTTGTTTTTAGAAGTAGAACGCAAACATGAAGCTGAATTTGAAAGATGTTTAGAAACATCATCTTCGTGATCCATGTTAAGATATTTAATCAAAACATCATCATGAGCCATAATATCAAAATCAGAAGAGCTCTTGATATGGTAATTTCCAATCTGAACAGCTCCAACTCCCTTTCCACGTATTTCTTGTTTTATAATACGTGTATAATTTGGATAAGCGGATCCAGAGACTCTTTCTAGAGTAAAAGTATCCATCATTCCTTTGCCTTTAACAAAAGATCTTTTTTCTTTCCATTTTAATATGGAAATATCCTTAACCAAATCATGGGTCATCGAGGTTACCTGGATCTTTCCAGTTTCACAAGAAGATTTCATTCTACTTGCAGTATTAACAGTATCTCCAAAAAGAGCATATTGAGGCTTATTGGTGCCTACAACTCCCGAGATAACTCTTCCAGAGTGAATACCAATCTTTAGTTTAAGCTGTTTAAGAGTCATTTCTTGACCAGTGTATATGAAGGAAGCATTATTATTGCTTTGTCTGTCTTTAGAATAAGGTGTATTTGTAAGGTTAGTGACTCCATTTATAAGATTATCAGTCTCAAGCTGTACAAGATCGAGATTTTTGCTGAGTGGAACCTCATAGAAGAATGATGACCCTATTTTGTGCATTTGCAAAGCAAATCTAAGTAGATTAATAATGTCTCGTAAAGCTCTGTTAATGAAAAGCTTTTTGGATTTTGAACGATTAAGCTCATTTTTGTTCTTGGAAGTTTTCAGGTTCTCAGATGTAGTTGAAGTTTTATCATAAGGATCCAAACAAGAAGCCACTAAATATGTCTCAAAAACAGTCTCAATCTTAGTACAATTATAATTGTCAATTAGACAATCTAGTGTAAGAAAGAAATGATCAAGAAGTGAAATAAGCTTTTTTGGTTGTAAAACTGCAACAATGCTGTGAAAATCGTAAATATCACAGAATAATATTGATACAGTACCTCTATCTTCAACACTTTCGCTTGAGAAACTTAAATTATTCCTTTGGTAAATTAGAAGTCCCTCAACAATGAAAGAGGGAAGCATTGTATCTAAAATTTGTCTCTGTCTTTGTCTTAAGTCATTTGTATGTGTTTCCAATAAGAATTGTGCTCTATATAATAATTCTGATCGGTACCCAAGAAATCCACAAAATGTATTAATACCAAGCAATATTGGTAAATATCTTATCCAATATGAATTTGGCATTTCCCATAAGAATTGGCCAAGAATAACACTCAAAAACCCAATTATTGTTACATAAACTCCAGAAATAAATCCGAGTCTGAAAATAATAAAGGATAGAATTGGGTATATTGCAGCCAAAGCAAAACCATGACTTGAAGTTAATATAGAAGAAACTGAGATTATGATTAACAATGGAAGTTGAGATTTCACACTAATTTTATTCTTTCCATAAGTGTAGCTCAATGCGAAGTTCAAAAAAACTGATGAACAGAAAATGACTGAAAGTACTCCAACCCATTTAAAGTCAGTGTTTGAAACGTTGACAGAAAAAGGGCCTAAAGTTAAGAAGATGGCTGAGATTACACACAAAACTGCTCTCAAAGAATTTCTGTGCTCATAAGCTTCATTCTGTCTTTCAATCTGGTATTCCAATTCCAATTGATTTACCTTAAAAGTCAATTTAAAAGGATTTAAAAGAGCTTTCACATCTTCAGAAAACGTTGAGATTCTTCCATAACTTGAAGAACTATTAATTAAGTTAATATTCAAATCGACTGTAGAAGCCTCCTGTGTTCTGGGATAAACTGAAGAATTCTGTGGGGTCATAGAAGTCATCGTGTTTGTAAATTCTTCACAATTTTTGCCATTTTTGAAATTTTGAATCGTATTTTCATTTGAACCCGCATCAAAGTTAATTGAAATCAAATTTCCCAAAGCTTGAGGATAGTTTGTGTCATTGAATGGTGCAGTTACCACTCCAACCCTATTATCTGACAAGAATGAAGCATAATACAAAATGAAATTATTATAATCCTCCAACTCTCTAGAAGAAAACTTTCTCAAACTCTGAGCAAATTGTAAAGATCTTATTCCCTTCATTCTCTGTTCCTTTATAACCGGATTAACACTTCGCATATATATCTGTTTGGGATTCCAAATTATGTTTGCATGCAAAATTACCCGCCTTTTCCATTCTTCAAAAGACCCTTCTTCCATAAAGACTCGGTTATCACCAAAATAATTAATTTCAATCGGTTTGAAGAGCTTTATGGGTTTTTTGCTTGATATATTACTAACTGAAATGTTCTGTGTCTGATTTTTAACTGTGATCTCCGACTCAAGAGATCTTTCTTTAAAAAGGTCTTTACAAATGATTTGATTTTGGTAGGTATTTTTAGACTGGGATGAGGTGATTATTTGGGGTTGTAGTGTTACTTGAACAATATGGTGATGATTTTCATTCATATCTTTCTTTTCCTCAGAAGTTTTGTTATTTGTAGAGTTGGATTTTTCATCCTTACTTCTGTACTGGAGTTTATTTTTAAATTTGGAAATAAAATACTTACGGTACTGGGATGCAATAAAATCTGTCAAAGTCGGAATCTTCAAAAATTCGAATAGGAAAGGATTTACGTATTCATCTTGGCCATCTTTTCCAAGAAGAATGTGATTTTTGATCATTATCCACTCATGCCAGAGTGATATTCTGATAAACAATAATAAATTATTTAGGAACTGTCCTGGCTTCATTTTCTTAAAAGAGTTCTTCATTGCAAGGATAACTGGTTTCTGTAAGGCTCTTGAGCTCTGGTTTATATGAATTAACCACCAATCTCTTATACAAGTTGAAGGATCTGGCAAGCTATGGTAAATGATCATCTTCCAAATCAAGTTAAAAAGTACCACATAAGAGATAAATAGTGGAATAGTAAGAAAGAAGATATAGGATTGTTGCATATACAGTTCATAAAGATAGAACATATAGTAATATCCATTCTTCTTGAGTGTTAATACAAGAATTGTTAGTATAATTAAGCAAAGCTTGAGCAATATCATCATTACAAGGGATATCGAAAAGGATTTGATTTTAATCAGAAATGAAAATAGGGTTCCCAAAATACAGTACATTGCCAGGGATGAAGACAATATAGAAAAATCTGCAGAGATTCCATTCTTGTACGGCGAATAAGAACTCAATATAAGTGAAAAATAAAATGATAAAATACCCATTAACAATGATTCAAGAAAAGAACCAATATAATTAATCCAGTGTGAGTGGTAGCCAGATCTAGAGCAGTTATATAAATAAGGAAGATCCAAAAAGTACTTTGGAACATCTATTCCATCATATCCAAAAAATATTGGTAGTATTACTGTCCAAAATATGAGGTATACACCTAATATATCCAACCTTTGTAGTATGGTACCAGACCATTCACAGTAAAATTGGAAAATTAAATTTGGAATAATTAGAAAGAAAAGCTTGAATATATTATTAAATAAGGCCAAACTAATTCTGAAAGTTGTGAGCCTTCCTGCTCTTGTCAGCAGTGGAACAATCTGATGAAATTTACGTACCATTACATCAGTAACTGGTGTGACCACGAAGCTATTATTTTCAGAGTCTTTAAAGATATCATGAATTGTATAATTTTGCATTGAAATGCTGGATTGTTCTCTTAACTTGTTTTCCGTTTTTTCAGAAAGAAAAGATTCACTTGTCAAATAAGAATTCTTCTCAGTCCCTATCTCAAAATACCCACTACTAGCAACAGTTAATGAATTGGTTTCTTCTTGGTAGTTATTCAATGCATATTTTATACTATTGGTAGTTTCAACCGATTTTTTATTCCCCTTTTTAACCAGCTTCCATAGATTAAAAATGACTCCCAACTTATGCAACCTTACTCTATTCTTAAACTCCTTATTCTTATCACTTTTATTTTCATAAATATCTTTATTAATTTTCGTAACTTTATTAGAAGTATCATTTGATAGGGAAACTGAAATTGAAATGTCACAAGATGACAAAATTGGAACGTTACCTGTATTTCCAGATATTCCAAGTATTACAGGCCTTGGTAAAACATTATTCTTGAGGTAATTTGTAATAGTAGTAATATCGGAAAATGATGCATTACTGATCACAACGAATGGTGATATTAGGGCCACCGAGAAGAAATAGTTAATTAAGTCTCTGGATTCAAAAATTTCATTAAGCTGCAAAGCTGAAAAGACAATACCTGGAAGGGAGTTAAGAATTCCGTGTCCAGATACACATCCTCCCCATCCAAGCCAGTCTTCGTTGATATTGTAAACGGTATTCTTACATCCCACAGTCTCTGAATAATCCGTCATTGAGTAATCTGCCACTGCAGCTCCAAGTTGGGGGAGTTGGATTTCCCCATTTAAGCTGGAAATTGTGATCAATGCTTTCAAAAATTCCACATTAGAAATCTTTTTTTTTGTGTTAAAAAAATCATTACTATCTTCTTCAAATTCATTGTGCATATCACCATTTGAAAAACTATTCTTGAACTTAGAGAGGTCATTCATGTTGACCATTTTCTCTGCAATCAGATCAAGTCTCTCAATAACTCTGTAGTTATTTGACACAACAATCTTCAGCTCATTATACACTGACGATAAGAATGACATGGCCTTGCTCTTATTCTTCAAAGGAAGCCTGTCCAACCTGATTAGAGGAATTTTATCACAGTTTGGAAAAATCTTGTGCATCAACCTAATTGAATTAACAGATGATATATTAAATAAGAACCAAGGTTTGATCCCAAAGTCTAACATGCTCCTGATAGTTTTTGGTACTTTATTTTGAATCCTGTATTCTATTCCAACATGACCTAGATATTCAAGCTTGGTCTTTAGTTTTTGGAAATAGTCTTCAGCAGAAGAGTCCAATAAAAACCTAAAGCCGTTGTTCTGTTCAGTCAGATTGTGTCTAAGGCTCATTTTTGCTAGCTCCTCTTCAGATATTGTTTTTTTTGCAAATATAAATACTTTATATCCCTGATACTGTAACTTCCTAATCTTGTAAGTAAGTTCTTCATAATTTTGGCTTGCCATACTACTTACTAAATTGCTATTATTATGAATTTTTTGATTACTGCATTGACAAAATTCTGAATTACAACCTTGAGGTCTTATTAGAGAGGGATTAAGTAAGGGAAGGATGTGCTCTGCCACTCCTCTCACATACAAAGTTGCGTTCTTCTTCTGAAAGAATTTAACTATCATGGAAATTTCTTGTTTAGACTTGTCCTCACTTTTGTATATCAAAGACGAAAAGACTGTCCTTCCTAAACTCTCCACTACCACGTATTGGGAATTCACTAAAACCAACCTCATTCCACAGGATGCTGCAGTGTGTACTATTGTCAGATCATTTTCGTCAATACCAGAATACTGAACATAGGATCTTGGGAAGTTCTCATTGTACTTGCAAATCTTCTCCTCCCTGCTCTTTATCCTATACGAAAAATTCAAATTCTTGAATTTTTTTCCGAGATCCTTCCAACAATTGCTCATAAACTTATTTTTTGTTTCTTTACCACGATACCTATACACTTCATTTTGGTCCTGGTTTTCCTGGAAATCCTTTCCCAACTGAGAAGCATTGAAATAGTAACTCAAGTAGTATTTTGTCAATATAATTTCCTTTGAATGGCTATTTAGGCATCCAACTCTCCTTTGTTTGTGCAGCTTCTCATAATTTTTATTGTATCTGTGAGTAATTCTATTATTTCTTGTACCACTTGATCGTTTGGGAGTGTTTCCGGTACCTCTGTCATTTCTGAAGGACTTTCCAAAGTAGCAGCTTTCATTTGAAGAAAGGACTCTGCTTGAGGGTCTTCTGAGAAAGTCTGAGCTCATACTTTCCCCCATGCTCATAGATTTAGATGCTATATAGAGCATTCTTGCATTATTAATTGTACCAGATCTAGATAGATCTTTTGATTTTCTCATGATATTCGTTTTATTTTTGGTAAAGAAAGGTATTTTTAAGTCACTCTTAAGCATATTTGTCGGACTCTTTCCGAATTTCAATTCACTTTTACTGCTAGCGTTGCTTGAATTGCTGTTATTAGATCCATTGAAAGGAAATAACGATTTATTGATGATCTCACGTGGAATTTCATGGTAGTAATTGATCTTCTTGCCACTAGTGATTTTGTCTCTTTTGTACTCTTTTATTCCACCAACTCTGAGATGTATCTCTGAAGATTCATGAGAATTCGAAGTTTTATCTGGAGTCTTTCCATTTTGTTTTACAATCCTTAAATGTGGCACTGTAGAGTTACAAATTGCCATTGCATATAACATATCAACCAATACAGAGTCTTTATTGTTAAAGCCTTCACTTTCCTCATTTGTGACAGCTACTGAGCTATTTGCCCCATCATTTGAAGAGTTTAGCCTTCTCAAGATTCCATTTTTGTCTTCTCTCTCGCCTTTAAAGCAAGTAGCTAGGGAATAATCAATAGATTCCATTAGTAGGTTTTTTACTAATAATGAATATTCATTTGGTATTTTATACTTTCTCCTGGTATTCCAACCATAAAAATTTCGGGTAAGTTTTACAATATTATTAAAAAGTAAATAAAGAATCTCTTCATTATCTTCCTTGCTTATCTGAATCTTCTTAGTGTCAAAGACTTGATAATCTTTGCTACTGTGGTGTTGAACTTGATTATCTATTTCTGGGCATTGAGGTTCTTGCTGGGGAGTGAGATGGTCATTAAAAGACCCAATGTCCTTTAAAACCACTCTTTTCCTTTGATTGGAGAGGATGATGTGGTTTAGTAGTTGAATTATCCTTTTTGGAAACAAATGGATTGGCAAAGCTGGGTGGAGGTGGCTACTGTAGCTCTTACGTGTTTCTGAGTTTGGGCGTGGATCAAGACACAAATCATTCTCTGTGCTTCCTGAACCCATACTATATAGTTCGTGGATACTTTTAACTGATATTTGTCTATTTCTCTGTTGATTATTCAGCCTAACCTTTGGTAAAGGTGGCCAGGCATCTCTGGGCTCCAAATTAACTGGATCAGGAGGCAAATCAGCAAGAGCGTTCTTGAGGCCTTTAATCTGGAATAAGAGTTTTGTGTAGTACCTCCTGATCTTTTTCTTATTGTTCTGACCATCCAAATTCAGAGTTTTTCCTTTTGTTAAGGATATATTTTTGTCAGACTTGAAGTTTTTATTCTCACCACCAATTACGTTAAGCTTGGAAATTGCCAGCAGGACGCTAAAATAGTGAAACAATTCTAGCTTGTTAGGAGATATTAGTCCAAAATTAGTTATTGAAGTGCCTCTTCCAGGTCTTACTACCTTTATCGAGCCTTTTGAAAATCTAGATATCTCATTCCTTCTCCAAGAAATTGAATGATGCTTCCAAAGCAGGCCTGAAATAATAGAGAACTTTGGGGAAGCTTTAATTTTTTGAATTTTCTTGAAAATGTACTCTTGGCCATTATTCAAACTGATGATCTTGAGTCTTGTTGGTTGGGCCTCCATAATAGAGTTCTGATGAATTAGAGAAATATCAACTTCTCCAAAAGAGTCCAGGGAATCGCATTTGTTAAATATAACATCCAAAGGCTTCGAGCTGGAACCAGGAATCTTATTCTCATGGGATTTAGTCTTTAAGTCGTTGTAGGTTGAACTTTTTGAATCTGTATTGTTGTTAGCTCGAGCTTTATTTAAAGCCCGAAAAATGCTTGGTTCTTTAGTAAGTAAATTATTCAACTTTGTATTATTCGAAGATAATTCGTTTAAACTCTCAGTGCTATAGTCAAAAACTAAAGCTTTATTTCTTGAAAACCTAAAGACTCCAATAATCCTGATAATATCAGTAATAGCAGTAAGGGTAACTGGGACAAAAAAGTTAAAAATTACAGCAAATTCTGCGATAATATGCCATTGTGTTCTCTGGGATTTCCAACCAACTTCTGATGATGATACGATCTCTTTCATAAATACCTGAAAATCGGAATCTTTGTTGATGAGAATGTAAATCCCCAAACATACAGCCACCAAAAATAGGCCAATACAGACCTTAGAAACAGTATTCTCGAGCTTTGTTGTTGGATTATATTTGTTCTTGTTCTCTATTGCTCTATGTTGTCTTATTGCAATTCTTGTGTCGGTACCTGCATAAACAACTATAGCCAGAACCCAATTTGCAAACCTCAATCTTGAAAACATCTGTGCAAAATTGTCTATTGTCAAAGCCTTAGCTCTAGGTTTTCCCTCCCATTTTAATGAGCCTTCAAAATGGTTAATATCATCAGAAGGAACATCACAAGTGATTCGAGCAGGTGAAAGAATGAAATCCTTTATCGCTCTTTCTAAGTCTGTCTGGATTCCAGTAGGTTCGCATGTTCTAACTAATCTTGAACCGTCCATCATTTCAGAAGAAATGTAAGCTTTTTTGCCACTAGAATGAAGAACCACCACATCAGCTGGGAATTGTTCACCATCTAAAACGCAAACAATATTTCCTACTTTGAGGTTTCTCCATCTGGAAACCACAAACTCCATTTTGTCACTGTCAAAAACTATGCAATACCTGCTATTTACCTTATAGTCGTGGATCCTTATTTTTGCATATACAAAAATATCCATAATCAGTGATGGAAGAATGGAAAAAATTATTGTGAAGCCCAAAATTATCCATTTAAAATCACTATTTCTTGAATATACAAAAAATGAAATAATAAATGATAAAAATGAAATGATGATTGGAAACCTCTTGCATCTCGACCAAAGAGAAAGAAATATATACTGGAATAGACTATATTTACATCCTGAGTAGTTATTTGATGGGTAATTATTAGCGTCTTTAACTTCGCCAGATAAGTTTAAGATGATTTTTCTGGAGATCCAGACGGGTTTCTTGTTAATCCCATTTATATTCTCATCCTCTGTTGCCATTATAATTGACTTTCCAAATGACTTTGTCATTTTTTTGTTCGTAATAAAAATTATATTACTGAAATTTTTGAATATTAAGCAATCCTCAGTGTTATTTCACACTTTTTGAACGCATTTAACTTAGTCAATCTAGATTTCCGTTAATAAATCTGGGCTCTTTTATTTTGACATTGATAAATTAAATCTTAACTCTAAACATATATTTAAAAACTTAAATTCTAAATTGCTTCATTTATTTTTCCCAAGTTGGGATTAATTTATTGTATGAATGGCTCCACTCTAACTTTAGTCCTAGAGCTTTTGTGGCAGTTTGGGGAATGTAAATTAATGGAAATAATTATTTCACTTTTAGTTAAGTGTCAAGAAATACACTTTTTTTAAATAAATATATTAATTAAATTTATCAATATATTTATTATTTATTACATTATTTATTGCTAAATTTATATACCGGTGTAATTTATGCATATTGCTTGCGCATGATGTGGGGAAAACGATTAAACACCGGTATAGGGGCAAAATAGGAGAAAAAAAAAATTTTTAATAAAATTAAAAATGATTTAAAAATAACTAACTAGTACCTCCTCTTTATTAAATTAATTAGAGAACGCTGAATCTTAAGCAATATTTGGTCCACAAGCTGGTCATTAGTCCTATTTTGCTCTAGTTGATGAATTAATTGATCTATAGAAAAATTGGACAGACCATTTTGTGAATTAAACTTATCATTATATATAGAAAGGACATATTGGGCAATACTAAGAATATTTTGAGCGGGTTTAACAAAGAAGTCCGATCCGGATAACTTCGGCTGAATGAATTCATCTTTTTTAAACCCCTGACTCTGTTTTTGTATTGTATTCAAAAGTTTGTGGTTTGATCTAGATAGACCAATCCATTTATAACTAAGAGGAAGCATGTGTTTTTGGGTTGCCCTAATAATGTCATATTGGTAGGAAGATGCAGGGTCTAGCTTTTCCCATTGTTTTGAGCAATCTGCATCTGTTCTTCCTATTACAAAGTTTTTAATGAGGCTCCAGTTACCAGGGCCAAATCTGTTAACAGCTAGAATTAGCATTTTGTTTTCTTCTTCAGTCCATTTTCCTTTCTTAATATCAGGTAGTAGCATGTTCATATACCTTTCTCTGCACTTTGAATCGCTTCTTCCTTTAATATGTCTTGAGATTTTGGTCCATGAGTTGCTTCCATATACGAAATAGGCGAATTGGAGTCTAACATCCTCATATAGTGACCAAGATCCATGTTTTAGATCTTTCTTTAAACTCCGAACATACCTAGTTCTACACTGTTGATTAGTTCTGCCCGGAAGAAGATTTGCAACAAGATTCCATTTACTTGTAATTCTTTTGTTTAGTTCAAGAAGGTCAAATCCTCCAAGAGATTTTACAGCAGATAACAGTTTTTCATCTTCTTCCTTAGTCCAGGAGCTTTTGATCAAATTTTTATTTAAGCTTCTTTGATATCTTAGAATACATTGATAAGGAGTTCTGCCAGTATTTAATTCCTGTGCAACTTTAATCCAATTAAAACCTTCATTTTCTGAAACTAAAGCCAAAAGACGAAGGTCTTCAGCTTTTTCCCATGGTTTTCTATTAATATTTGGATCAATGAAATGATACCAAGTAATTTGACAGTCTCTTCCAGTTCTTTCACATCTATTACCCAAATCTAAAGATACTAAGTTCCAAAACTCTGTCCAGTATTCATCAACATTAAAATTAGTGTCTTTCTGTGATAAATTGAGTAGTAGCTTGTTCAGCTCCATCATTTTACTTGAAACATCTTCGTCATAAACATCCTGCGAATCTTGGTGATTAAACCTAAAATCATGAATTCCTAGTTTTACTTTCACCTCCAAAACTGACTTAAATAAGTGAACCTTAACTAACTTCTCAAGCCTTTTTATTTCATTAGGGAGCCAAATGTTGTTATTCCACTCGTACTTTTTTCTAAAGTTTGGTAAATTTCTTCTTAAATGGTTCTTTCTAATAGCATCGCTATTGCTTAGAGGAAAATTCCCTTCAATATCTACGAACTTTGTCATTAGCTTATATCTTCTTCTAAAATCCTTTTGCTTTTCCAATTTCTTTGCAATCTCCTCGTAGTTCATTACTAAATCTTTCTGCCACAAGTAGATTTCATTTTTCATCAAAATATCTATATAGTCTAGTTCTCTTTCATCAATCTTTTTAATTAAGTCCAAAACTTTTACATATAATTTGTCCATTTCCACTTTCTTCCTCCTTTCACTTATAATTACCAAAATATACCTAATAATAATGAAAATAAATAATCAAATTCAACTTTGAGATAAAAATCTCTATAATAGTTGAATTTCTAGCATTTATTCATAGACTAAACAAACAAATAACAATCCTTATCTTTTATTCTCTATCTTATCACTTCGTTTTCCTTCTTTTTTTTTAATAATAATTTATAATGGGTCAATCTTTACCCTTATAAAAAAATTTTGGCGCCAAACTATACTCTAATACATGTTAAATTAGATATAATTATGAATTAAAATAAATTTAATTTCGTTGAATTCTCTTTAGACTCGATTATTATCGTTTTTAGTACTCTCACCTACTATTTTGTACTCACCTCTCTATCCACTAACTTGAAATTTTCGAAATTCTCGACGGTTTCCTTTGGGGTGACAGCCATATAGAAAAGTAATTTACTTGTAAGCAATTTACAATGTTCATTCGCCTGAAAAACGTGACATTTAGCTTTGTAAATCAGTGACCTTATAAATGGCGCATTGTCTTCTTTAATTATCATGTTACTAACAATATTATCTATTTTCTCTTTAACTTTTATTTCTGTTCTAATTTCATCCTCCAAAGTCATTTTGTTAAAACAGTAAATTCTTTTCAACAATAGCAAATCTAAAAAGTCATTGCATGCAAAACCAATTTCTTGAACTCTTTTAGAAAGTTCGTCTACTAACTCTTCTTGGGTGTTATTATCATCACATGAATTGGATTTTTTTTTTGCTAGTTTCAACCTTGCTGAAACTAATTCATTGTTTGCTTGAAGTAACAATGATGAACAGAAATTAATTTTTTTTTGTAATTCAGTGATTTTTAAATTAACTGAATACTCTCCTAATTCACTTAAAATTGATACGGGATTCTCTATAGACGAAATTTTATTATTTCTTAATGAAATCACATTATTTACCTTGAAAATAACTAAAATGTAAAGACATTCAACAAAAAAATAAAAAATCATTTGAAATACTTATTTTGAGTTTAAATAGATTAATTTAAGCAAAAAATTCTTGTCTAATTTTAAGCTTTTACAAATAAATGTGGTTTTAGAATGTAAATTTTTTTTAATTTAAAATGACCTCTAATATGAATAACCAAGATATAAAATAACATAGTAGATAAAAAAACATTAATTTTTACTTTGGAAAATAACCAGTCAAAATCTGGTTGATTTAATTAATTTATATTTAATTATTATACAAACTATGACCAAATTATTCAATGCAACATTTTAACAAATATTTTACTCGTTTGAAATTCCCAAGTCCCCACTTTTCGACCACTTTCCCGCTTATTTCTTTTGCATGCATTTTTAAAAAACTAATAAGGCAAAGTTAATTTAAAATTAATTGATAGATATTTAAGCTGTTATTAAAAAATCCCTCAGATATTTGCTTTAATACGTTCTACCACATGTTTTTTTGGCAAACAAATAAATTATCCTGTAATGGCGATGACTTTGTATACCTTTAATATCATAAAAATTGAATTGTGACAAAATAAAACAATTACATGATTTTACCGCCATTAACAAATTTTTGTTTGAAAATATTGAATTATCTGTTAAGTAATAATTCGTAATATTATTGTTTAAACTGTTTGAAACTGTACTTTTTTTCTAACTTGACTTTTATTTTAAAATATTTTTATCTCTTTTTTAAAGATTGTTATATTAAATTTTTTTTCAATCAAAAATTTTGTCTTATTTTTTTGAAATTATTTCCAATTTCTTTTTATTATTCTTTTAAAACTATAATTATTACAATGAATTTCAAATATTAGTGATTTAACTAAATAAATCTGAGAAAGAAATAACAATATTCCAAGTTTGAAAGAATACAATTTTTTTTTTAAAGGAGATTTATCTAAAAATGCTCTATAAACATGATGCTTAATTTAATTTGTTTTTTTTTGTTATAAATATTCTTATTCATTACCTATATAATTTAATAAATAAATAATAATAGAAAATCAAGGAAATAAATCAAAGTTAAAAGTTTTATGGCATTTTTGTATATGTTTTTGCTATTTGCCTTTTTTCCTTTTAACATTGAAACTTATCATTTAATATATTTCAATTTATTATTTGTATATAAAAAATCTCAAAATTTTCTTGGAAAATTAACTCAGAATCGTTAAATTTTGTATTTAACATGCAAAACTTTAATTTTTATTGTTTTATTCACTCTATTTAATTATATTTTTATCTGTTTACTATAAGAGCTTTTCTGTTTCACATTACCACCAAATTTATTCACACAAAAAAATGCAAACAATAGTAATTACATGCAATATATCATTTATATAACAGACAGTATATTTTGTTTTTAATTGTGTGATGTATTTTATATATTCATTTTTATTACTGAAATTTCTCAATTGGATCTAGGTATGTAAATATATTAATTTTTGATTTCATAAATTTTCAGATATATTTGAAATCGTTTGGCTTTTTAATTTACAAATGTGTATAACGGGCTCATCTTATGAATTATAAAAGTCTAATTAATATTCCTAATCAGATAAATTTTATCTTTATACTCAATGATTATTTAATTAAAATTAGTAATTATGTCTCATTTTAAAAATAAAATTCTTAATTAAAAATTTAATTGTGTATTTCTCAAATTGTTCATGCTTATAAATGATATAAAAAGAAAATCAACAACTGAACTAATGATCTAAATATCAAAGAATAATAACTAATTCTTTTCAAATGAGTTTTGGTAGATTATCTAATGAAATCTAAATTGTATTATTACCCAAAATTCAATTTGTGTTTCTATTGGTCTTCTTTAATATATTTAATTTAGATGTCTTGGCGCCATATACCATTTTTTGTATTTAAAATATTTACTAATGAAAAACCATTTGAGTCTTTTCTCTTTTTTTTTTAAATTATCGTATATTTGTATGTTTATATACGCGGAAATTCAAAATAATATATCAGAAGGAAACGGAATATAGAACAGTAAAATTCAGTTACAGTCACTCAACCAACTAGTTGATAAAGACCATTTATAGTCATGCATACAAAATTATATTAATGCAAAATTCATCTTCGTCTACTTTTAAATTTTCTATTTAACTTTCTTGTAGGCTTTAACTTACTTTTTGATTTTAATTTAGTTCTCTTCTTCCCAATATTAATCATTTTAGCTTTGTTTTTAAATATGTACTTATTTGACCTGCGCCTTCTATTGATTATTTTGGGCTTTGGGACAGAAGATTCCTCTTCAATATCTTCCCAATCATTTTCATATATATCATAAATTTCAGAAAAAAATTTAGTTTTTGACAAAAACTTTTTTTCAGTATCGGAATAAACTTTGGTTAAATAGTTGCATAATTGACTGCTTTTGGTTAGTGGTTCCTTACATTTAAACAAATAAAACCAATTCATTACTAGGCTTTTATTTTCTTGATAGAAAACAATTTCTCTTCGAACCAATTCAAATTGAGTAAATCTGTTTGAGTCTAATATTCCTCTATAGTCCAAATCAAACTTTTCTTGCTTTTTTTCAAGAATTCTTGTCAAAAGTATTAATATATATCCTAAAAGCTTATTAGTAAAACTATTAGATTCTTGTAACTCATCAAAAGTTTCTTTTGATTCTAATGACTCCATTTTTGACTGATTTAAAAGCTCAAGATTCCTGTTTAGTTGTAAACTTAATATATATCTGAGCTGATCCAGAATCAATTCTAATTGATTTGTAGATAAATCCATTAACCATGAACCACCATATATTTCAAAATTTTTAAATAATTGATCGGGATCTAAATTTTCAAGCTGTGTATATAAATCAAAAGTTGAAAATTTACTTAAACCTCCTGAACTTTTACTTTTTATTTCGGAAAACGAAACTTGGTAAATCACATTTTCGGGAATAAACATCCAATTGCTTAAAACTAAATTACGTAAGTCACATTTATGTGAAAAAAAATCAAATTGCAACATAATTATAGATAAAGTCATGAAAACAAAACTATATGTAAACATCTTTTCTTTATTATTCTTGTTAGCTTTGTTTTAAATTAAATCTAAATAACATCAATATAATACTATTGTTAAAGTATCTATTCTTCAAATCCTTGAATATCTTATTTACTCAGTCCTTTTTTTTTTTATTTAGCAGACATTTAATTATTAAATATTTGATTGTTATATTACTTTAATTAATCATACCGGTATAAACATTACTACACTAGTCGGTATTATCTTCCACTATTTTACTATCTAAATAAAATATTATCTTTCTTATAAAATATACATTTTTCAACATTCCATTCAGACCTTTATATATTCTGACACTAATATTACTCCAATATAACAAATTATCGTTTTAAACATGTAACCTGTTTGGCGCCAATACAAAAATCATAAACATACATGCAAAACATATCCCCCACATAGTAACTAAATTATGAGAAAGAAAATTAATAATAAAATTTTAAAGTTATTTAATTAAAATGATTTATTCAAATATCTAAAAAAATTAGTTTCATAGTTCTTTTAGTTAAAAACTCTAACGATACGAGGATAAAATTGCATTCGAATATATACGTCCACAAACACTGTTCAAAAAAAAAAAAATTTAATTTTTTACCTTTCAAATAACTAATCTTACTCATAATTCACTCACTTTCTTTAGTTTCTCACTACTTAATCTAATTAATTATACAAACCATTACTAATCATTTATGACTTAAAGCGCATGTAGCGTGTACATCAATTCACCCATTTAATTATATATAATTACTTCGATTACTAATAAAACCACTGATATTTATAGTGATTACAACAATACTGATGATTCATGGAACAAAATATCGCGAAGAACCACGTTTGAAATCTCTTTAACTTTGTTTCTTAGTACTAAATAATCTTGTAACTTTAGAAGAAGCCCTGGAAAGTAAACTTCTCCGACTTTTTTTATCACTACTTCTGCCAATATCTCTTTCTGTGTCACTATCTCTTTCTATATCACTATCTCTTTCTATATCACTATCTCTTTCTGTGTCACTATCTCTTTCTATATCACCATCTTTGCCTTTGTCTTTGCCTTTACCTTTACCCTTGCCTTTATCTTTACCCTTGCCTTTGCTTTTTCCTCTCCTCCTGCTTGTGCATCTACCTTTGCTTCTGCCTCTTTCTCTAACTTGATTATCTTCACCAAAAGACTCATCTGTTCCAAAGTCGTAACCAATTGCTTCTTTGTATTCTTTCATTACTTCGATTTGATAAATTTTTACTTTAGTCAGTTGTTTATTGATGAATTCACATAAAAAAAGTTGCCCAAAAATCGCATGATCACATAAATAATATGTCAAGGAAGAACTCAAAAAAGACACTAATTCAGATAGTAATGCAATTTTTGCTTGTAAATATTTGATTTTCTCGGCATTTTTGTCTTTATAAATTTGACTTGATACTAATTTAAATTGTATACATTTACCTTTATAAGTGTGCCTGAACAGTCTAAGAGCATGTCTGTCGTAGTATAATAAAACATTTCTTGTTGCTTGAATTAATTCTTCAAGCTTCTTATCAGTTGCTCTAATTTTCCTGATATTTTTTTTCTGGATGTATTTTGACAGTTTTTCTTCTAATTTTGATTTACTAGTTTCATAATCTTCGAGTATTTCCTTAATAATTTCAAGCATGAAATCCAAGGCAGATCCAATTGTACTCGTGGATGCCTTTGTTATTGATTCAGAATCTTCTTCAATCATTCGAATTAATTCTTCAGGGGGAAATTCACATTTACCTTCTGGGAGACTTATATGAACACTTTCTAATTCTAATTCTGAACAGCAAGTTTTGTAACTTTCCAAACTGAAAGTTGAGCTCAAACTACTGAAAGACGAACTTTTGGAGTTTTCTGATATTTGGTTGAATGAAATACCTAATAATTTCGCCTCTTTATAGTAATTTGACGAATATTTTAAACCATATAATAGCTTAGATCTATTTTCAAATATTCTAAACTTGCCATGGTCCGATTTAAATGAGTTTAGTTGGTTCCAGAAAATCTTAAGTAGTAATATTAATATTATATTAAATATAACTTTCATTTTTTTCTTTAATTAGTCAGATGTAAACTTGAATACTAAGCCAAAAGTAATTATATATATATTATATAACTACATATATATATATATATATAGTTATATGTGATATTATCTCTGGAATGGCGTTATTTTTATGTGGAAACAAAATAATTAATAACTTGAATTCAAACTCTATTGATTATAGTAAAGTAATGATTATTTGAAACCGGGATATTTTTCAAATTGTATTTAGACTTTCTTTAAAAAAATCCACTTGAAAAAAAATTTCAAAATTGGTTCTTTTCAAGAATCAAAGGCTAAATCAATTATATCTTAATAATATCTATTTTTAATTAAATTGTTCCAAAATAAAGTCTATTCTGTAAATTATTCTTTAAGTTACAAATAAACTCAAAATATATATATCAATAAAAATCTTGTAGCTTGAAGATGATTTTAAAAACATATATAATAAGTTTCATAACATTATTATTTAATTGCTAAATTATTTTTTTTTTTTAAGTATAAAAATGCAAAGTGGTGCGCAAAAAAATAATTATTATTTTTAAGTTATTTTTGTTTGAGAAATTGAGAGAAATATCAATTAATATTTAATCAGGGTAAAGAATCATGTAAGCTATATTTATTGTTAATTTTCATTATTTCTAACAATAATATTCTAAAAATTTGGTTAATTTTGGTAATAACATATTTTACCTATCTACTAGATATTCAGCTATTTAAATAACTAAACTATATATTTTCAATTTATTAAGTAATATTAAAAATTAAATAATTATAGTGTAAATATTTTTAAAATAATTTGAAAAATCTCAGATATTTATATAAATGATTGATATTTATTTGATAATAATAAATGCAATATCATTAATTATAAAAAATTTAAAAATATGATTTGATTTTCTTATTTTTCCATTTTTGATATCTTTATTTTGAAATTGAGTTATAAAAAAATTTTTTTTTCATAATTTTTTCCTATACCTTTTTTTAGGATAAAATATGTTTTTTCATATTAGAAAAAAATAATATAAAAATTGGATTTTTTTTTGTTTTTTTTTTAATTTCAGTAGAGTCAACTAAATCTTGTGATTGCAAAAAGTATAAGAACAAATTCAATCACAAACTTTTAGTGAGCTTCCATTGGAAGAATTAAAATTAAGTAAAAAATTAGATTCCGTTATAGTTAACATTACCCATTGAGTATTATACTGTTATTAATTTTCATGGATAAACTCCATTTTTTTTTTTAATGCCGATTTCTATAGTTAAAAATATTACATAATTGGTATTTTCTTTAATTAAAAAATAGTAATTATTGAATTAATCTTTTTGTTCCATCAATTTCCTTTCCTAAAGCAATTACATATGATTTTGCTTGGGGTTTGTGAGGAATATTAGCCAAAAAAGTAATATAATTTTCTGTTAATTTTGCAATTTAAGTTACCTGGTGTAAAAATGAAATGGTATTTATAAAAATATATTAGGAAAAAACTCTTATTTATTTATTATCTGATCTCTGGTGGATATTTGAAGTATTTAATACGCCATAAAATGTATTTTTTTTTCCAATATACCGGTTTGTTACATGTAAAGACCGTTTTAAGTATTACATGTAAGAGGAAAGAATGTGGAAAATTAAAAAATAATTGTATACCGGAGTTTGCATGTAAACAATTAATTACAGGGTAAAACATAAAAATTCAGTACAACAAATTCGTATCATATTAAATAAACTGTATTATTTGACGAGATTTGAATTTAAAAATCTCATTCTTCATACAGTCTCTTTACAAAGAGGGAATTAAAATTCTTGTTAATTCGCTTTTCATTGATTGTTAATTTTTTTCCAGATTTTTTAACAATTGTCTTATTTCTTTTTATTATTATTTTTTTACTTTTTGGAGTTTTCTTTTTACTAGTTGTCTTTTTTGTGCTTTTTCCCTTTCTTTTGCTTTTGCTTTTGCTTTTACTTTTTTTCTTATTAGTATCTACGGAACTTTCAGTATCAATATCCACATACATTTCATACTCTCGAGTCCCTGGCAAAGACTCACTCAAACTGAAACATCTACTTTTATATTCGGTAATTGATTTTACAATAAAAACACATGAAGAAGTTACACTCATTTCACTTTTCTCACAAAATATTAAACGGTAAATATTAGTTAAATATGAAATTAAACTCTGATAAAATAATAGACCTCTCTGAATTGCTTTAATTTTATCTCCTTTTAATTGGTATTCAGTTCTTGAAACTTCTCTATGATGAGCAAGCATTCTATTTAATAAAACAACCAATATTCTCTTCAAAGTTCCTGAATATTTGCGTATATCATTCATTTCTAACTTAATTAAATTTTCATATTTTTCTGTTAAAATTTGAATTCTTTCTTGATACTTATCCATATCAACTAAAAATACTGACAACTCATTCTTAAGTTTATTCCTTAAATATTCACATTGATGAAAATTATGCCGAATAAATTTCATCAAAAAATCTAAAGCTTTTTCCAGACTATTTTTTGATAAAGTTTTTAAAAATACATCGTTGTATTTTTGTGATAAAGCAACTACTAAAGTTGGGTGATACTCATGCTCAAACAACATTAATCTATTTTCATATGGATGGGTTGGTGGCCCAGCGGATCCCAAGCGGTCATAAACATACCTTAAATTACTTTCTCTATTCCCTCCTCTTGTATTTGCCTGTAACAATGAAATCTCCACTATACTCATACTCACATTATCTCTCAAATGTAAATTTTGACTACACAATGGCGCCGGCGCGTCGCTGACATTATTTATATGATTTAGAAGAAATATGAAAATAAAGAATTTACTCAAGTTACTGATGAAATAAGTTTTCATTATCTTTAATTACATTCGTACTTTGATTTGACGGTAAATTTTAAAATCAAAAATATAATTTTTTTTTTATTAACTTGAAAATATTGACATATATTTAACAAGAAATTATAGTTGCAATAAGTTTATTTCTTTCAAATAATAAGGCTCTCTTATATTTAAAATAAGAATTCATACAACTTGGCAATCGAAATATTGAGTACTTAAATTCAATAAATTGTTCAATTGCATAAAGCTTTGGCCAAATCTTTTTGTCAATTACATTTAAGAAAAAATAGCGGAATGACCATTAATTAAAACACTACTTATCACTATATACATTTTGGCGGGAATTCTACCTACTATTAGTTTTAAGAACCTTGAAAAAAAACAATCACTGTCAATTTTTATAGTAAATTTAGTATAAAAATAAAATATCTAACTTTTATATCTAATTTATTTTAGTTATTTTCAAAAAAACTCTTTAAATTTTCTTTTTTTTTTTTTTTTTAAACTAATGCAAAACCCTCCTTACCCTCTGTAATAGCTTGTAATAACTTAGCCTTTAACTGCTCCTTGCTTGAATAGTCTGGAAGATCTAGCTGATTAAAACATGTATGAGCAGATGGCAATCGATTCTCACCAAAAGATTTATGAATACTAAATTTTTGTGGGCCTCTCATACCCATTAAATTCTTAAATCCACCTATTGGTACCCTAGAAGTACCAGTAACAAATTGAACAAATGTTGCGAGCCTGTTTTGATCAAATTCTTTTAAACATTCCCAGAACCAAATAATTTGTTGGGATTTTCTATCATAATTATGATATTCAGTATTCTCCATTAAATCTTCCAAATCAATTGTAGGAGATCCTGAAATCAAAAGCTCTAACTCTTTATCATCAAAAATTGCTATTAAACGAGCAGGAATCAGCTCATGGAATCCTGATAAAAAGAAACTGAGCTGTTTCTCAATCAGTTTCACTGTCTTGTATTCACACAGTAAGCATACATATTCATACTTATTCTCATCATTTACTGGAATATTTGCACCATTTGGTTTTAGTTCCACTAGTTTACTTCTACCAAATTCATCAATAGTTGTTGTAAAGTTTAATTCTAGCCCCAAATCTTCTATTGGATGTTCTAACATTACATTCAAGTTCTTGTAAAGCTCAGGATCTATTGATTCTGCATCTGACGGTGTTATTGGTTGTCCTAACATATTCTTATAGAAAGAACGTGTAAACCAAGCATCTAAATGTTGTCCATCATAAATACATTTTCCTATAATACGTCCAATAAATTTAAAGAAGTGAAGATGGTCAGCATTAATATAACTCAATGGATTTGGATGATTAAATTCACTTTTTGACCCTTCTCTTCTAAACAAAGCATAATCAGGGTTGAACATTTCTCTAGCTAAAATATTATACCACTCTCTAGTAACGCCCCCAGCATCTAGTCCTTCCTCATTATGGAAAGTTATATGTAACTTTTGCTTTAGTTGATCAGGACTTTTTGTACTTATTTGTTGAAAACTGTCCATAAATACTCGATTTCTTCTAACTACTAACCTTAATTGATGATTATCTCCACTTCTATAACTTCCACTTTCTTTTCTTAATTGTTTAAGACGATACCTAAAATAACATCTTTTATTCTCAAAATTTACTACCATTGGAGCTAAACGTAATAAAGGTACTAAACTGCCATTTGGTGGTAAAATTAATTGAGGAAAAGATTGTAATAAAATATTTAAGGATTTTTTATGTCTGTAACTGAATTTAATTATCTCATGATGTTTTTCTATGCATTCTTGAGATAAGTTCTTCAAATTTAAGCTTGAACTATGAGATATGTTTGATCCTTCATTGCAATTATTATTTGATCCAACTGAAATATCTGAACCATTTCTACCTAAAAGCTGATTATTTAAGTTTTTAGATAAAGTTCTTATTAAAGAAGGAGTTGTGGATTTTAGATCTTCATCCATTGTTTTCAGCTCCAATAAGTTTGCTGACTCATTTAATAATTTTGTTGTGGAATCTGAATCAAATGATGATATTGAAGAAAGTCCTAATAGTGAAATTATATTAATCTGTTGGATTGTAAAACATGACTCTAAAACTGGAATTAAAAGTAATATTGTGATATCAGTAGTTGAAGTACTTGTTAATATGCTTTGATTTACCTCCAATTTACTGTCATTCACATTTGAATTCCCATTTAAATACTGTTCAAGTAAATTCCATTCACTTAGTGTTTGATCTAAAGCTGTCCATAATTGTTCAAATCCACAATCTTTAAAGAATTCTGAATAAATATGATATTTTAATGAACCAAAGTTTAATTTTCCAGAATCTAAATCTAAAGATGATAGTCTTGGATATATCTTAAACCATTCATATTTATTATCATTATTAACAGAATCACCCAAAATATCCAAATACTGATTTACTATTCTTAACAATAATATTGCATCATCAACTCCAGATAGCTTTTCTTCAGTACCATATTGATTACTTTTCATGTTATTAAAGAACTTAATAGTATTCTTCCAACTTGTTTGAGAAGTAACATATGGTGTAATTTCTGAGATTCCATCATCTAAGATCATTTTAGACAAAGATTCTTGTTGAATTGTCATAAACTTTTGAATTGTTGATTGCAAAAGTCTCAAATTTTTGACTAAGGACTCTATTATAAGTTTAGTATTGTATCTGAGCTGATGATGGAATTCTAATCTGCATTGAGAATTGGAATATATACTATTTAATATCTCAATATATTGTTTAGTTGATTGTTTTGAAACTGTATTTGAGTTGTTGTTACTGTTTGAAGAATTAGAGTTATTTTCTTTTTGAGCCAATGTGACAGAATTACAATTATAAATGAAAGAAATTGGATTAAATAAAGGTTTTAATATCTCTCCAATATATTTTGGAGTTATAATCTTCCAAATTTTCTCACATGTAAGTTTCTTTAGAGACTCAATGATTTCATCAGCTGCTCCTTTTTTATCATCCAAATTATCTATTATCATTTTGGAATCATCATTTTCTTGTTTTTTATCTTTATTGTCATTATACATTTCTATCTCTAATTTTTCATTTTCTTCTTTATCTTGATTATTCCTTTCCTCAGGATATGTTGATTCTGATTTCGAGTCAATTAGATCATTTGAAATAGCAAATAACTCTAACTGAACTTTAGGTATCTCATCAAATTTGAGATTAAGTATTTTCTTCAGAATAATTAAAAGCTTTTGTGTATGTTGTGGAGAGTTTTGAATAATTGGGCTGTTTAACATCTCAAATAACAATAACAATGGAGTGAATTTTGAGTGACCAAGTAACTCAGTTGGGAACTTTGTGTTAGATAGTTTTCTCTTTAGTCTATTAAATTGTATCATCATACTTCTTTGTTTGTTTCCAATTCTACTCACTAATGTTCCATTCAAAGAATGGTTTCCATTAGATTGATATTTACTATGGCTTTGATTTTGATAATGATTTTTATGATTAATTTGGTGGCTTAAGTTCTGATCAAGCATTTTAGACTGAGATAAAGTATGAGTTTGGTTTTGATTTTGGCTCTGGATCTGATTAAAGTCTTCATTAATGGAAACTCCTTCTGCTCCTTCAAGAGAACCATTTGAATTATTTCTACCAGGAATAATTTCGTTACAGCTGTATAGGATACAATTTGAAGAGCTACCATAAAGCATTGCCATATTCTCATCTTCCTCACTCAAATTCTCATTTGCATCTAAAACCAAGTTTTCTTCAAATGCAGAATCATCATTATCTGGAAAACCATTTGACATAATACTTGACCTTGGATTATAAGGAGTTAGTTCCATATTATCTTGAGCCCTAATAACACAGTTTGGTGTTGAAATATCAACAGATTGTATTCCTCCATCATTTATACTGCTATTGTTATTATTATCATTATTATTATTATTATTATTATTACTATTATTATTATTGTTTATATTACCATTACCATTGAGATCAAAACCTTCTTTAGTAAATCTTCTCTTTCTTTTTCTACTAAGCTCCACACTTGAGCTCAAAGGGATGGAAGATCCAACTCTTCTTCTCTCTTCAAATTTACTTTTATTTGACTGAGGAGGAGACGAAATAGAAGATATACTTTTAAATTTAATCTTATTATCCTCTAATACGAAATTCTCATTTGTATTATCTTCTTTTTTAATTCCAGTTATCTGAATCTCCTCATCCTTAATATCCATAAAGACTCCATTCTCCATAATTGCAGAAGAAATAGATCTTCTTTGACTACCATAATCGGTACCAGTAATACTAAGATTATTCTTCTTAATAAACTTATTAAGTTTCAGAATTGGATCCCATTCATCCAATAGATACATGACAATAACTGGAAGATGAGTAATAAAATCTCCAAGAATCTCTAATATTTGTAACAATGAATAGTACATCATGTTAATTGGGTTAATATCACAATGAGTTATTAAAGATGTGAATAATAATTCATAAGGTACTAAATTAGAAAAATGACCACTAATACTTGAATCTTTATAAGTTACCAAGTAGTTATTGCCAGATTTAAACTGCTGAATCTGATGATTTGTTGCATTGGATCCATTATTATTATTTCCAAGATACCTAGTTAGTAATCTCATAGGAGTAACCTCTAAATGTGTACCTCCAATAGAAATGATTGCAAATAAGGTATCTAAGGCCATCCACTGATTTGGGCCAAAAGATCCTAACATATTAAATATATAAGAATATAATAGAGGCTTAGAGATATTTTGTCTTGTAAATGTACTGGAGCAAAGTATTTCTGGAATAATACTCAACTGGAGTAAATTTTGGTCCATTATATTGTTATTCTTAATATTAGTCAAAACTTCTTGTAGGTATAGAAATATGAATTGCTTATCTGGGAATCCGTAAAATGGATCACTAAATGAAATCATGTTACTTAAATTTTCTTCTAAAATTTGGTTATTGTTATTCCCGGTATCTGCAGATGATGAGAAATCCTGAGTTTGCTCTTCTCTTTGATGATTGTTGTTTCCAGAACCAGAATTACTATCAATAAACCTATCATCATCTCCACTTCCTCCGTCGTCATTTCCTCCATCTCCCCTTCTTCTTCTGGTAACATTGAAAATACTTCCTGTAATATTCCCAGTTCTTCTGGTAGATGCAGATCTTCCTCTTGTATGCCCCGTACTAATCGTGTTAACTGATGATCTCGCAGTAATAGAATTAATATTTCTGTTACTTAAAATTGGGAATATTCTCACATAATTAGAGTTATTGTAAGCTGAGTTTCTTGTAGAATTGGAGGATGAGCTTATATTAATATTAGAGGATGAAGCTGACAGATTATTTAGTGCATTAGAACTTGATCCTGTCCCAAAAGTAATTATAGACGAGATATTATGGAGCCCAGAAGATGATGCGTTACCACCTCCAGTATTCACTATCTGATTATATTCACTCCTTAAGATTGGTAGAATGTTTTGGATTGATAATGAAGAAGATGAAGATCTTCCTGCTGAACCAGAAGCACTATTTCCTTGAAGCTGCTGCACCAAGGACATCTGGTTATTGTGTCTTCTGTTAAAAGCAGAACTTGATGAGGATGTGGATGTCAAATTCATTAAAGGGTACATAGAGTTTTCTAATGCAGGACCATCAGCTTCATTCGTTATGTTCCAGTTAGAGGTTGGAGTAGAAGTTTGGGAAATTTCGTTCAAGAGCTCATACAAGATATCATATGAACTTCCAGCACCTCCTATATTTCCAGTTCCTCCAGAAGATCTAGACCCAATATTACCCCCTAAAGATGAGATTAATGGAATTGAAGCACTTATATTTAGCCCTCCATCAAAGTTAATATTACCATTCTGGTTACCAATGATTGAACGTATCTGGTAAGCTCCTCTTCTATTATTGTTGTTACCATTTACAGCACCTCCAGAAGTAATACCAGAAGCGGTGGAGAGGTTAATGGTATTATTGTTAGATCCTCCACCTGTATTATTTAGTCCGCCAGAAGTCTGCCCAATTCTGGAAACCAAAGTATTTGTTCCATTATCTTCAGTAGCAATCATATCATGATCTCCACTTTGGTTAGTACTACTGTTACCACTGGATGTTGTATTAGCTCCTCTTCTAGAATCCGATAAAGCTGATGCTGCTGAAAGTAGACTTCGAATACCTAGGCTATTTCCAGAAGAATTGACATTAAACCTAATTGTGGTTATTCCTCCATTTCTGCTATTAGAGATAAGTGGTAGTAAGTCATAAAGATTATTACTCAAATTCAACAATTGAGCTGAGCCATTTGCATGATTATTGCCTGAACTCCCACTACCACCACTGGTACCTCCACCTCCTCCACTACTAGATATATAACTTTCATCTCCGTCCAAAGTTAAAGAAGAGATTCTATTACTTCTTCTAGAGTTATTTCCCCCACTGGATCCATTTGTATTAGTTGTACCTCCCGAATGAGATGAATTACCAGCATTTGATTGGTATCCTCTTTCTCTAGTAGTACCACTACTATATGAAGGGAATGCTCTTTGTTGCAAAGCTCTAGCCTCCTCTGCTATTTCAGTTGGAAGAGTTCTTAAAAATTCTTCAGTAGCACTCAAAAGCACTTCTTGTCGCAATACAGGGTCTAATGAAGTAATAAACTGAATATTCTCTAAATCTTCTCCTTGGTTATTTTCATTTACATTACTCGTTGAAAGACTACTATTATTGTTGGATCTATCACCTCCTTCGGCAGCACTTTCATTTGCATCTTCTCCAGAATTTTCAACTGAAGTTCCATTTGCTGAGCTTCTCAATCTGATTACATCTCTTAATGATGAAGGGAGCATATCCATTATTGAAGAAGGAATATTCAATAAACTGGAAGAATCTCCATCTCTTGCTCTTGATCCAGAATCTGAGAGAGTCATGTTATCCAAAAGTCTTCTCGTGGTTTCACCATCAGTTAGCTGTAGTACAAGAACATCTGTTTGTATATCCTCAGGTAGTTCATAAAAGACTCCAGTGTCAACTCCCACAATTTCCAAAATCCTATTTCTACTTAATCCAATCCTCTCTTCTAATACACGTAATAACACACAAATTGGGACATCTTCATGGTTAAAGCTCTCAGATCCTTCGACATTCTGGTGATTTGTGTCACTTGCATCCGTTATTGTATTATCCAAATTACCCTGAGCTGTCCCCTGATGATCATCCACTTCAAGGCCAATATTGTTTGTACCTTCAGGTTGATCCTGCTGAATTGATTGGCTTAAAGAAACTTGAGAGACTTGTGCTTCTCTGTTTCCGGTCTGACTGTTCTGTTCCAGGCTACTAGAATTTGCTCCTTCATCAATTAATCTCTCATCTTCCATATTTTCATCGTTTTCTTCGCTGTCTTCACTTTCTTCGTCATCACCATCTTCTTCCTCATCATCATCGTCATCGTCATCTTCATCGTCATCTTCGCCATCATCATCCTGCTCCTGATCCTGTTGTTCATGTTCCTCACCGTCTTGCACCAAATCCAGGTTCTCAAGACCATTACGTAGCTGAGTTTCGTCAACAATATCGCCCCTTTCTTCGAGATCAAACACTTGTTTTTCATTCTCTTCCTCAATAATCGTTGTAAATAAGTCAACGTTATTAGTTTCAATGGGTATTTTGTTCGATACCGCATCTCTAAGGAAGCTTGTGGCTTGAGAAACAAGTACAAATGGAGTCAAACTAACTGTACTATTATTCTCATCAGTTAAAAGCCTATCCAAATTGTTGTTTCTGTTTATATCACCAATGTTTCTTATTAATGTAGATACATTCAAGTTGTTTCCTCTTAAAGATGATGAGGTTAAAGACGAACCACCACCCAAATTTGTATTTGGATTATTGGCGCCATTTTCTGTGCATGCATTTGCCACGCTACTATCATTACTTGTATTATTTTGCATACATGATATGACTTCATCATTACTTGTAAAGTTTTCAGCATTTCTAATTGCATCTAATAAAATAGAAAGTTCAGAATTATTTCTTAAAGAACTGGAATGGATTTCGCCAATAAGAGATCTCTGAGACTCATATAATGGTCCATTACTGTACCAAGAAAGGTTATTACTATTGTTGTTATTATTGCCGCCACTCCCATGGCTATTAGAATTTACATGGCTATTTATTCCCAAGTTGTTGTCAATAATGATGTTTCTTGTCAAGAATGGATGCTCAGTTGGAAGGGAAATATCATTATGAAAGTGCCATCCAAAGGCTGGTTGGGAGTTGCTGTTGCTAGTATTATTAATAGAGAAAGAATTCAAGTTATAAACATCCCCAGAAGAGTTTCCTGATGTATTTAGGTTACTAATGTTCCCAATATTGTAGTGTGACAAAATAGGATTTGTTAAATAGCCACCATAACTCATCCATTGCAAAATTAAATCATTATTAGACGGAGGATTCAAATTGGAAGTATTTGGAACAAAAGTTAGAGAGTTAAGAATCAAGAATGGAAGAGGAATATTTCTTGAATTAATAAAAATGTTTCTTTGATTTAAAGGTATTGGTGGCCAATGAGCTTCAGTTGAATCCAAATAAAAGTTTGAATTCAAATAATCATTATTGTAAACTGTATTGTTTGAACTTGAGATAAAGTTATTCAATAAATTAGTACCTACTCCCTGAGAACCAATAAACTGAACTTGTAAATCATCCCGTCCACTACCACCTAAAGAGAGACCTGCAGATCCTGTTACTCCGCCTAAAGAACTCAAATCTTCCAAAAACTGTAAATTATCAATTTCAAAGTCATCATCTTCTCTTAATAGTACCATCATCATATCATCTAGATAACTGTTCCCTTGAGAGACAATTCTTCTTCTTAAAGGCGCAGGACTCATTTCATTCCCTAAAATATCATCAGTCACTTCATTTACTTGAGATGAGTTTCGCATTGTTGTATTCAATGTTAGTTCCGCTCTTCTCAAAGGATGAGGAGGTGTTCTCATATTTAAATAGATGGACCTATTGTTGGAGTTATCTACTCCAGCCTCGTTCTCACCTGTAATCTCTCTTTCACTTCTAGACTCTGATAATGCCTGTTCCAATTCATTATTTTGTCCTAATGAAGAAGTATTAATTATGTTACTACTGCTATCGTTGTCATTATTATTATTATTATTATTATTATTACTATTATTATCATTATTATTACCATTATCATTGGTATTACCAGTAATATTATTTTCAGTACTCTGAACTATTGTATTGTTCACACCATCTGAGATTAGGAGGGTCGGGGTAATACTAGTATTTGTTACAATATTATTGATTCCCTGGAGAATATTTATATCCTCGTTTTCATCCTCACTATTGTATTCGTCAACAAAAATATCATCGTCCAAATCGTCAATATCTAGATCATTCTCTTCATCATCATCCAAATTTAATTCATTATCCAAATCGTCCCTGATTGATCTATTATATCCTCTCCCACTTCTTCTTCTACTACCACTACTTCCTCCACCACTATTTGTATTCCTCCTAAAAGCTGAATTTCTTAAATTGTTTAAGATGATTCTATTTTGGCCATTACGCTCAGCATCCCTCATTAAAATCTCATTGATGTTTTCTCCACCATCCTCCTCCACTTCTTCACTACTTGTATTCATTGGAACATCTTCTAATCCATTAATATTTGTTTGGTTATTCATCTGGTAAATATAGTTAAACTCGTATTCGTCTCTTATCCTGGGTGTTCTCCTAAGCTCATCCACATCAGAGTCTTCTGATGATAAACCTGAACCCATATCCGATTCATCATAATTCATCCCATCCTCTTCATCGTCCCCCTCATCATCATCATCATCGTCATCATCATCATCATCATCATCATCTTCATCATCGTCATCATCTACATCATCTACATCACTGGTTAAGTCATCGTCTCCCACAATGTCATCATTGCTCAAGTCGTCTTCTTCTCCTTCAATATCGATTACCCCATCATTTATCATAGTTTCATCCAAGAATAAGCCATCATTCTCATCATCATCCTCATCATCATCATCCTCATCTACCTCTCCGTCATCATCCATTTCGTTATCATCACTATCTTCATCATTGTCCTCATCATCATCAACCTCATCGTCATCTAAGCCATCTAAGCTCGTTAAGTCAAACTCTTCACTGAAGTTGTCCTCAAAACTATCACCTTCGAAATCCTCATCAGATGAATGGAACTGGAAACCGAACTGATCCAAATCAACATCCAGTTGATCTTCTCCAAATTGATCATTTCCATTACTAATTCCAATAGAGGCTCTACCCTTCTTAGCCTTACTATCCAAGCTTCCTTCTTTAATTGCAGCCAAACCCTCACTATTTGGGATCATCACAGATCTAGAATAAATAAGATTCTTCATACAAAATAATATTATGTTTGACAAGTCTGAATATGGTAACTTTATGTAGAGTTTGCTTAGAATATTATAAATGTTTGTCTTCCTTAAAAGTCCAGGATCTGAAATACTTGGGTAAACCTGGAAAAGAACTATCAAATACTGTAAAATGTTCAACAAAAAGTAAGAATTCACGTATTCACTTCTCCAATTATGTCTGCTCGAATTGCCTTTGAATTTATCCAAATTTGCCAGTAAATTCTTCAAAGAATTTACAGTATAAACCGTAAACTTCCTTAATACAAACTTATTCCAACCAATCAAAATATGCAAAAAGTAAATAAAGTGATCCATTTCCATGAAATGTACATCCTTTATGTTAGACTTCCTTATAGTTGATAAATTTGGCATGCACTTTAAATTATATGTTTGCCAATCAATATTTAACTGCCAGCCCGCTAACTTCAATGAATGGTTAAAGTCCTCAATACCGGAGTTTGTATTACCCGCATGTTTGCATTTCTTGCATGTACATGTGGGCACAGAAGTCATGCAATTAATAGAGTTCATTACAATATATGATGCAATATTTCTGAAAATAAATGGAAGAAAATTGATTTTGAGAGTTTGTGTTGTATAAAGTTGATTAAGTAGAAATTCAAAAGAGTAAGGCTTAAATTTAATGATATTATTTGTTAAGTTATTAATATTTGGAATGATATTTGAAATCCCACTAAAAACTTGTTCAAATGCTGACTTAAGTTCCTTTTTATTTTCCACATCAATACCTGACAAAGATTTTTGCAAATTCAAGCAAAAACAGGAAACTACCAATTTCAAATTAGAACTATTCTTGAATCTATAAGCATAAAATTCTTGTTTTTTTTCCTGCCATAAACTTAAATTTTGTTCATTACAAATAGATAATACTGGAATTTTTGATATTCTATTAATGTTTACAGGATATGTTAGAGCAATTCTGATCATTATATATGTAAGTGAATCCAAATTCAGGCTGAAAAGTCCGTCTTCTTTTCTTGGTCGTAAAAAAGTGTTAATTCCACGCTTTTTCACATACTTGCTTCTGCTCGAGATCTCCCCAAATAATACCATATGGTCAAAAATGCTCATTAAAATAAATATACATGTAGAACTTGGTCTCAAAGCGGCATCACCTTGGACAAATTTGAGCTTATCTTTAAGCTCTGAATATTCATCTTTGCCAGCTTCTTCTGAATCCTCAGATTTTCTATATTTTAAAGGCTTCCACTGAAGTAGTAAATTCTCATTCAATGGTATGTTATATTTAGAATAGATTTCCTGGCTCTTCATTATGTCATTGAAAGTCGTGAATTTGGTTGTTATGTGAGTTTTATCGTCTTTTTTTGCATTCTCATCCTTCATGGAGATTTCCTCACTATTGCAAGACTCGGATATAGCCTTAGAATTTGAATCTACTTCCTGTTCTTTTGAATTGTGTTTTTTATTTGATTCTAACTCGCTTCCGCTCTGAATGGAATGAAGAACACAGAAATAATTCAAAACTTGATAAAATATGTCTGGACATCTTTGAATATAGGAAAAAAGTTCTCCTATTACACTATTCAAGCTCAATACTATAAATGGATACTCAATTTCTTTTTTTTCAAGAATTTCCAAATCCTTCTTATTATTCAAAACAAAGTTTCTTGGGTAAAATGAAAAGTATTTAGAATTATTCAAATTATCACTATTTTGGTTTTCTTGATTGTTCTCTGTGTTTTTTAACAAGTTTAGCTTTTCTCCATAAATCTCTCCTGATTGTATCTGAGTAGCCAACTGTTTTGAAAACAATTCATCCAGCTTGTTCTCTATAAGTTGAGTCAATATAGTATAGTCCTCTAATACTTGTATAGTGATTAAAGAAAGAACCTGAAGAATTCCGTCAAAATATGCAGTCTTTGGAAGTCTGTATAAAACTCCTAATCCTCCACCAAGTGTGTTTCCCATGCACATACAAGCAATATTTTGAGCTTTATCCTTGTTCTTGAACGCGTCCATCATGTAAAATGGAGTATAGCTAAGTAGCAAAAGAGAATTATTGAATTTTCGAGTTAGTATTGTTACAACTCCTAAAATTGCCATACTTGTACTTCCATTGATTCCTGGAAAATGAGTTAATACATCCAACATAGTAAATATAATATCTTTTTGATTTTTTTGTGATACCAAAAACGGAGTATTGCTACTTTCTGAGACTGGTAGTGACTGTTCAAATAAAGGAAGTAGTCTCCATAATATCAAACAAAAGTATTCAAACCAAATAGGGCACCTACTTATTAGCTTAATTCCTCCATCGCTGTTTTCCTTGGACTCAATTTCTTTATTAATAGGAATCCAAACCAAGTTTGAAGATTTTGAGTTATTCTTTGAACTACCACAAGCATTATTGGTGCTGGCATTATTATTGTTTAGACTGCCTTGCCCATTTGTCTGTACGTTACTTTCTCCAGAATTCTCACGTATATACTTCTCCATATTCTTGAATGTAAATCCTTCATGCCTAGAATCAAAGATATAATGGCCCTGAGTAAATATGTTAACAAAACTTAACAATGAATTAAGTGGATGGAAAGATGGTTCAGGTGACTGGTCAGCATTTGAATTAGCGGCTGAATCATTTTTGTTTTTAGATTTACTTGAATTTTTGTTTTGAGCAGATGTTAACTTAATGTAATTGGAATCTATGGATATCCAGAATGATTTTAGATCTGACTTCTTGTAAAGGAGAATAGATAGTAAAGATAAGTCTGGAATTAAGCTTAGGTGGATCTTCTTAGTTGGAGCACACTTCTTCGAGTATGTGTCCAGGTTTGAATATATCTCTTGGTAATTCAATTTGTTAAAGTTAGAATTGCTGTCAATAAGAGGTGTTGAATTATTTAATGATGTATAAAATGAGCTAAATATAATTGGAAACCTGTCATTATTAAGTTTATCATCTTGCAAGAAAGCCAACTCTTCTTTAATAAACTGATAGCGTTGGTTAGAAGACTCTGTAGAAAAAATTGCCTGATTTCTCTCTAAAAGCATCTTCATAGATGTATAAATATGAAACAGAACCTTCTCTAACATGTTGATTTTCTTTAGTAAAGGGGAAAACTTTAACATTATGTCACAAACTATAGGAGAAGAATAGTAAACGTTTTTGCTTAAATAATATAATTCCGAAGGTAAAGTCGAGTAAATCCTCAAAATCTCGCTCTTTTTATCTTCTCTAGACAAAGTCTTGTAAGTTACAAGGCTATCCAGATCGAATTCTTCAGAAAGAACTTTGCTTATCCTTTTGAATGTGTATGTGTAATTTCCAGCTTCTTCCAAAATCATTGTTTTATTTTCGTTCCTTTCTGTAACTCCTGTCAAATACTCAACTATCACTTCAATATTATTGCCAAAACAGAATACTGCATGTTCAGATACTCTAGAATCAAAGCCCATCATACTTAACCTTTCCAATATTGAATTAACAGTATTCTCAGCCTGAATAGTTGAAGATCCATCCATGTTCTGCTCAGAATTGTCCATATTTTGATTGGAAGATGACTGCAAATTATCATTACCTGTTGAACTTGATATACGAGCATCTGCATTTGTATGAATACTAGACTTGGTTGTCTTTTCTGTAGATAATTCAAAGTTCTTTGTAATATAGCTATTAAATGAATCAGATTGAATATCAAAAATGTGTAACATAATTTTGAAGGTGGATGACAAACACTTTATTGGGTAGAATATAAGCCAATTATTGTGTGCCATATCCAGATAATAATTAGTTAGTACTTCCTTCCACCATAATTGGACATTTGTGATAATCATATATAGGATAGACTCCGTCAATTCCACAGAGTTGAATCCCATTCTAAAGAAAGAATTCAAAACTGAATCAGAAACATTAATTTCAGTGGATGAATTACTTATAATTATGGGTTTACAATCATTCAAGTGGAATTTTGACTTGTGAAGATGAGTAGTTAACGTCGAATTCAAATACCTCTTCCAAGAAGAGAAATGCTCCAATAAGAGGATGTTGTTATGCATGCTCTTTGTAGCTAAGTATAGAAGTCCATTCAGATTATGGACAGAAGAAAGCTTTGGAAGAATATACTCACCCAGTTGACTTAAAAATTCAGAGCTATACTTCAACTTTGAACTTGGATTCAAAGGAGGTAACATCTTGTTAACGTTTTCTGAACTATATTTACCAATCATCTTACCCAAAACCATCCAATATGTTGACATGGAGAAATGGAAAAGACTCATTATCTTTTCAAAAATCCCAGTTTTATATGATAAATCTATCAGCAAAATATAAAAAGTGTTGTTTTGTTTGTCATCTATGCACACCCTATAAAAAATATCAATGATTTCTGCCATATAGCAACAAATCTGACCCATCTCATGTTTTTTGTATTCATTACATGCATAGGCGGGAGATTCATGCATAATGTGGTCAGCATGTACAATACCGGCATTGTCAATATTTTCAAATGGTGTAGATAGTTTAGGAATTGATTGAAAAAGTTTATTAAAAATGGCCACAATTTGGAAAGCAGTGAAATATTGAAGAGGAGAAAGTTCGGAAAAATTATTAGAGTTTCCATTATCAGTTCTGAAGAGTAAACTAGCATTGTTTTTCTTTTTAAATGTATTTGTAAGCCTCGAGGTGATTATTAAGCAGCTTCTGATATTACAACAAGAAATTCGGCAAAGCTCCATAATAAATGGCATTAGATCCAAATTTTCAGAACTTTTGAACTGACTTTCAGAGTTTTTGTCATAGTAAACAACATTAGAGTAAGCATATTTTATTTGTGTTGACCACAAAAAATCGTTAACTGAAAGTTGAGGCCATACTGAAAGTACTGGGTATGAATTACTGTTTGAGGATAAATCCTGTGTGTTGTTAGCAGAAGAATTGCTTTGGATATTATTTATCTGATTATTTGATGAGTTACTTTTTTTAATAAGTAGTGGATGGGTGTGGGACTGGAAAGAAGGATTAAGAAGTGAAGCAGACATATTATTATCATTAAGAAGTGAGTCTTGGAGGTACTTTTCAGATGAGTTAAAGTAAAGGAACTCCAATAATTTTGGAAAAATTGGAGCAATCATATTCACAGTCTGATTATATAGGCTCATTATAGATGCTCCATAAGGACAGTAGTCGCAAGGAGAAGCTGAGTCTTGAAGTTTTACAATATCCTTTGAAATCAGATAGGATTGGACTATTCTCGAATAGTTATAATTGGCAGCATTCCTGAACATACAGTTTATAGCAAAAATGCATGTTACCACTCTTGATAGTCTCGAAATGGTATTCTTGTTTATTTCTATATTGTTAAAATCTATGCAGGCTTCTTGGAGAGTAGGTAACACTTGATATTGTAAATCTGCGATCGAGATGTTTCTACTCGTTCCAAGGAACGTGAACAGAGAAATTAGGGGATGATTTGTGAGAATTGCTGCGAAAGCAGGTGGAAGAGAATCATCAACAATGGACTTTAAGACGTGATAGGGACCACCCTGGAGGATAAACTGGTTAATTGTATCATGATTCGATAGGTAACCACATAAAAAACGCCCAACTATAGCCATTCTATCTGAAATTAAGAGATCTTTGGATTTTCTGGGAACCTTAATTGGTGTATAGTATTCTTCAGGAGATTCAAGAGATTCCTTATTTATTTCTGAAATTGGCTCCCAATTCGGAACGTCTTTTTGTATAAACCTTATTTGGAGAATTGTTGAGACAGAAATAAGGGAAATTGTCTTTGCTAGCTGAGAATGGTACCTAACAATCTCTTCAAATGCATTCCCGACAAGAGTTGCAATCTCTCCCATTCTATCAATGTGAATTGCATGGCTAGATGTCAAAAACTGAGAAAGCAAAATTAAAGGTTTAAAGTTGATACTCTTCATGAGCTTAATACCATCATTATGTAGAAAGAATATTGGAAGATTTACTGCTAATATATTCAATATATCATCATTCTGAAGAATTCCAAAGTTTATAGAGTACAGAATAAATGGAATAAGATGGTTGTTAATTAGATCTGGAACAATTGTTGGGTCATTCGAAACCAAAGGGATTAGTAATTGGATTACCAAAGAATAATTTAAAAGGGAGTATGTTTCTGGATACATTAATATAAGCATTAGGCAACTTCTATATATAGAATCTTCAGACATTAAAAGCTCATATTGTATTTTAGACTGAGAAATTATTGGATTTGAATCAGAATTTGAAACTAAACTGTTGTTATTTGGATGGATGAAAATTTCCATAAATTTCAGAGAAGTTTTAATAATCCACTGTCTTATTAGGATTATACCCTCATCTTTTATAATCTTCTTATGGTACTCCTCTTTGGGAGAATCAAAATAATACTTTTCAGATTGTAACAGTCCTATTTCGTACTGAAGTCTAGAAAGCATAATCTTATATATTGGCTTATTTTGTTGGAGCAGAAAAGAAAGATAAGTTTTCTTCTCTAGCAAAGTTTCCAACGCTCTGCAAATTGGCAAAACCAAAATAATGTAATATGGATGACGAATAGTAGAAATGAAATCTATGAATGCAATAAGTATTGTAATATGATGTGGAATATAAATATAAGAAGTGGAAGAAGATGATGAGTTTGTTACTATTGAATTAGGTGGTGGGTAGAGTTGCATAACCAAAATATAAATACCAATAAGTTCCATAACAAAATTGATCATTTCCTCCTCAAATTCAGCCATAATAAGGTTTGGAACGATTTTTGAAGAATCATTAATGGTTTTTTTCTGGAATTCTAAGTCCAAATTCTCATAGTAATTACTAATTAAAAGTATCTCATCCCTAGCACCCTCTAGATCCATATAAGATGATAGAGAGGTGTTATATTTCTTGTGTAATTCTACACTTGTCTGGTTATTAAGTTTGTTACCTTTATAGTAATCATCATCGTCATCTTCAATACTATTTTCCTCAATTTTCTCATAATTAATTTGGATCTCATTGAGTCGTTGTGTAACTTGGTCTGGTAATGGATAATTTACATTATTAAAGATATCGGGATTAATGTACTCTAATATATTAAATTGAGAATTATCACCTTCAAAATCTAAAAGACAGTTAGAAAGATCTTTTTCATTATATTTGAACAGATTTAGAGATTCTGGGGGTTTTCGTACAAACTTTGGAAGAGGTTTATCCTTGTGATCATTAATATAATAAAGTACATCCCAAATAATCCTACTAATAAGGCCATAAGAATTTGTGAAATTTAATGCCTGAACAATTACTTTTGGAAAGATTCGGTCTTGTAACATCAATGTAAGAAGTTCAACAATAGATCTCATACTGGTAATAAATCTATATTGTTCATTATTATTAGTAAGCTTGACCTTGCTATTACCTTCAAAGATACTCAAATGACAAAATTCAAGGATTTCGATTGAATCTGGGATTAAAGTTGTATTTACCTGACAAATATTAACTAAGTTATTGGTTGAGAAACCTGGAAAACTGAGTAAAGTAGTATACTTAACATCAACCCATTTTCTACGAAGCCATTTATCACTATAACTCTTCAAGATCCGAACGTAGTGGTTAATGATAGGTTTCAAACATATAGGTACCTTATATTTTCTCATTAAATCATCAATTTCAAGTTTGGAATTAACTGAAAAGAGATCCTTAAATCGAATCATTAGAACATGTGATTTGTGATAATCAAAGCACATCTTGCATTCCTTCTCTTCATGATCAGAATCTTTCTTAATAAAGTGATTACATATAAATGGTGGTATGTAAACTTCAATAAGATCTTCGTCATCTGGATTCTCCCAAGCTTCTTCCTTGTAAAATTTTGAGACAAATGATAAAGCTTCGTTTTCCTTAATTTCAGACCCTGTTTTATTATAGCTTCTAGTATGTATAGGTAAATAGCATAATGTTGAAAGTCTCATTTGAAGATGGTAAACAGTCTCACTATCAATATATCTTTTTGGCTTTTTCCAATTTGAACACGTTGTTGTCAAAGTTCTTAATGACCAACATACAATATCAGGATTAAATGAGTCCAAAAGAGCTATGAGTCCAATAGTAGATGCATATAATGATTTGGAAGTACAATTCTCCAATATAAGAAAAGTTGATTTCAATATTTTCTTCATGATTTCCTCACTAACATCATGAATATAATTATCTATTTGCTTTAAGGTGTCTTCTTCAGAATAGTTTATCTCCGTATTTTCATCAGTTAATGTGAGATGTTGAAGCAGAAACGTGTTTCCCAAGCCCTCTGCAATTATATATGAGTTAATGTAATCATCAAATCTATTTAAAACCGAAGCCCAACATTGTAGATCACCTTTATCCCAGATCCATCTCTGAAACGAATCTAAGTAACTATCATAATTTACTAAATCATTGCTGCTTAGCTTTAAAATTAATTCCCGTTGAGACTGAGGGAGAGAGGAAACTGCTAAGATATAATTGTCCCCTTTTGGGATACTAATCTTCATTTAAGTTGACTGAATAAGAAAACTAATTTTGATCCTCTGTGAAATTTACGTCTTTGAAAGAATCAATGTTTTCTCTTAAATCAGACCTCACTAGAAACTTAATTCCTCCTATATTTTTAGAAAATTATTATTGTTTTCTTAATTTCCCAATTTATTTGCAAGCTGTTTATTTTTTCTTGTTGGTTACCAATAGCTTATGCGCCAAAATATATTGGGTACCATTTTTGGCGCCACCTATGTGTTAACCATTTAGAGGGAAAGCTTGGGAAAGAAATAAATGTAAAAAAAAAAAGAAAAAGTGACAATTGGGATTTTCAAAGTTGGGCAAACTTGAGAACGAGCAGAGTAAACATGGCATCAACTAGTAACGAACATGAACTTATCACTAAGGAATTTTTAGAAACACAAAAGAAATTTGAGCAGATAAATGAGAGAAGACGTATTTTGATTGCACAAGAAAGTGAAAATCAAATGGTTAATAATGAGCTTGAATTATTGGAAACTGATGCTGTAATTTATAAACTTATTGGGAATGTAATGGTAAAACAGTCATTAGATGACGCAAAAATCACTGTTTCTAAAAGATTGGAATATATTACTGGTGAAATAGAAAGTGTTAACAAAACTTTTGAAAGTTTGCAATCAAAACTTGTTGAAAAATCTAATCAGGTGAGTTATATTTACTTATTTCTTTGTTTTTTATTTTTTTATTAACTTTTAATTTGCAAATTATAGCTTCAGAAATTGCAAAAAGCTTAACTCAAATTTATAAATTTAATTCATTTTAACCTTTCAATTAACTTTATAGTATTTAGTTGTGCACATTAACTATTTTATTCCGGAGCACTTTGCAAATTTTCTTTACTTAGCACTCATATTTTTCCTATTCAACTTAGATTCAGTATTATTGCTTTTCATTAAAATATCAATTCGTACTCATCTTCATATATCTGGAAACTATGGGTTTTTCATTTTTATCTGAATTCTAGGCTAAGAACACCTTTTTCACGACTTTAAATTGGCAAACTCTTTATCATTACCACTTCAGTATTTTTATTCCATTTCTCACTCAAACTTGGACTCAAAGAAATTATTCCTAAGAATTTATAGGCGCCAACCCCACATTAATGTCATTGCTGACGTGTATATGAAAATTTGTTATTTTTATTAGCATAATCTCCAAATAATATTTATTTCAGAAAAATAATCAAAAACAAGATATATACTAAGGAGAAATTTTGGGATGTTTTCTCAAAGTTACTCTAAGCATTTGACTTCATGAATTTTTTTTGCTGCCAAAACTGGAAAAAAAACACCAATTCACAATTCCAAAACACAAAATAGCACAACTCTTCAATTAAATAGTGCATGCAAATACATGCACAAACCTTTATATGTCTGATATATTATTCAAATAGTCTTTAATTCTATTAAAGTATTATGAACTATATATCAAAAGCTCCCGCTAATACACACAAACTAATTGGCGCCCATTTATTCTAATAATTGAGAATCGAAATGGTATCGGGTTGTGTGCGAAAATCCAAATTTTAAAGATCTATCTAAAACAATTAAATCGTTATTTTAAACATTTTAGTCAAACAAACGAAATTTATAAACAAGCTTTTGCCATTATAAACTTAAAATTCTCAATTTGTGTAAACAAATTTTACATACAAGTGTTGGCGCCATATATATGTTGAAATTTAAAGAAATATAGTGAAGGATTTGTTTAAAAATAAAATTTTCAAGAAATTAGGGAATTAAGATTTTAAATTAATGTTTTTATGATTTAAAGGAAAGGAAAACTCTGGACTTGGGGGATTAGTACTCAAGGTTTAGTTGAAATATTTATACTTAATTTCAATGAAGCTACCTAGACTTTATATTTTCAAAGTTAACTTGAAATAACTGGGAAAATTAAATAATCACAATGAAAGAAGTGGTTGAGCTGCCTTTACCTGCATTGATTGTTATTACTCTTCTTTTATCATTTGGATCTGCATTATTTTCTGGTCTAACTTTAGGAATGATGACACAAGATCTTTTGCATTTGAAAATATCCTCCTCTTCAAAAACGGATAAGAACGCTGCATACTATGCAAAAAAGCTGTTGCCTCTCAGAAAAAATGGAAATTTTCTTTTAGTTACTTTATTATTTGGTAATGTCACAGTTAATACAGGTTTGTCCATCTTAATTTCAGAATTAACTTCAGGTTGGCTAGCTTTTACTGTTTCTACAATTCTGATCATGATCTTTGGTGAAATCATTCCACAAGCTATCTGTTCCAGGTATGGTCTTTACATTGGAGGATTTTTTTCTCCTTTTATAAAACTTATTCAAGTCATTTTATTTCCACTTCTAAAACCTATCTCGGTTATTCTTGATAAAGCTGTTGGTAAGTCTAACGAAAAGGTATATACTAGAGATGAATTATATACATTGTTGGAACATCATTCAAATAAAGGGATTATCTCAGTTTATGAGCTTGAACTTATAAAAAGAATCGTCTTTTCAAATTCTTCAGTATCTGATATTATGACTCAAATTGATGAATTTCAAATCTACTATGTTGATTCTCAGCTTGAACCTAATCAAATTGATGAATTTATTAGAAATGGGATCTCAAGACTTTATATTATTGACAACCATTCCACATACTCTGAATTTTTCATAGATAATACCCAACCATGTTTATCTTATTCAAAAAAAAATGACATCATATTTTTAGATATCCCCACTACTGATAACAAACCCGGTTCTAATGAATATCCAGATTCCCCAATCACATCAGAAACTTATGATTCTGACTGCTCTATATATAATTATCCACATTCAAAAAGTGGTACTATATTGGGTTACATAGACTTAATTCAACTGTCAGAACAAAACAAAACATTTCAAAGTAACTCAAATAATATAAATCAGATTTCAACAATTATCAATACAAAGAGCTTTAAAAGATTGACCAATATTGTCATTTCCAATAAAATGATGGAAATATTAAGAAACAAAGATACTATGTCAATACTGAGTAACATCTCTAGTATTAAAGATAAAATTATCTGTATCCAAGGGACAACGCCAATTTCAGCCTTATTTGACATGCTTTATCAATACAATTTTTCACAAAAAGATGTAATTGTCATTTACTCGTCGGTAGGAGATGGATACAAAATAAGATATGACGGAGTAATCACTCTAGCAGTACTATATGAATACATGCTCTCTAGTGAAAAATACGTTGTAAACGAACTAAAAGAGGATATATGCAACAATCCATTGTTAAGACATCAACATCCGAATTATCAGGCTACATTTAATTAAGAAATTTAACAAATGCAAAATGATACAAAGACTAAATATCATTATAGGATCTCAATAATGTGTCCAAAAGTGGAGCTAAAATACAATAGAATAAACTACTATATTTGTTTTTTAAAGAGCATAACTGTCTGAGTAGATTTATAATAGATAAATTATTATCCGCACGATCACAAATATGAATATTGACATTTTCCTTTTATATTAAGTTTATTGACCCAATACTGGGAAAGCTCTGGTATCTGAAACATCAGGAGCTTCTCTTCTGATTTGTAAGTTATTATTTTGCTTTTGTTGGCCTCTGCTTCTTCTTCTGTCATCACCTCTTCTATTAAAAGAGCTTCTATTTGTGTATTTGTCCACCAACTCAAAGTAATTGAAAACTCCTTTGTCATTCTTAGAAACAGCTTTGTTTGTCCTGTTCTTGTTGCTCTTGGGTGCATTAGTATTTGAGCCATCATCACGAATATATCTTTGAAGGCCCTCCTTTTCAAAGTCCTTGGCAGTGGTATTGCCTTTAATAGTCTCGGTTTTTGGTACTTCAAGTCTTTTTGGAGCCATTTTCCTCATGTATTCTTCGTAGCTAATCATATGGGTTTCTTTTTCTCTGTCTTCATCTGCCTTCTCAGCCTGAACATCCTCAGAGTCTGCAACATTTTCATCAGATTGATCATTTGAGCTTCTTTCAGAAGGCTGAGTATTGTTATACCTCTTTTCCTTACTTACTCCTTCATCTTCAATCTCGACTGAATCATTTTGCTTTGAAACCCTATGGCCTTTGCCAGAAGCGTCTCTTCTATCAAATACCCTTCCATGAGTGCTGGTATAGCCTCCTCTACCACCTCTATGTACTGTATTTCCCTTTCTTGTTCCTCTTGACATTTTAGAGGTTGTATCAAATGTGGAAGCTGGAGCAGTTGAAGGGACTTCAGTCTTTGGGTAAATTAAGGATGAAGAATTTTCCTTTATGACAGCTTTACTCTTTACAGGTTCTTGCTTATTTACAACCTGTTGATCCTCCTCGTCATCGCTCAAACTTAGAGCTGCAAACTTATTGCAGGTATTAACTGTATAGACTGTCCGCATTTCCTACTTTGTAATCTAATTCTCAACCTTTTTTGTTTCTTTACAGTCTGACTTTGAACCTTATATGTTATATTGTCTTATGTAGACACCAATTTTAATTATGCTCTATTATAAAAAGCTATGATTAGAAAGCCCGCCTAAATAGAAAATTATTAATTACAAAGTCAAAAAAGAATAAATAAAGGCGAAAGGCGTAGTTAATGCAATAAGTGTTATGTTTGAAAAGAAATGAATGATATTATGTTAAATAAATTATATTAGAATATACTTTATAGTTATAGTTAAGTAAGAGGATCAATACACGAATATACTATTTTAGAGCATTGAATGCTACTAGCTAATTATGACTAAAAGAATTATTTTTCTCTGGCTCTAGGTTAAAATTTCCAGCATTCCCATTGTGATTAGAATCGTAGCTGGGTATCTCGGCATTTTCCTGGTTTAGGTTAATGGAAATGGAGTTGGTTTTGTCATTATTATTAGATTCAGCACTATTAGAGTTAGCATTACCAATAGTTTGAGACGGTTTGTTATTATTAATAATAAGAGAAGAATTCTTGTAACCTCCATATTTAAAGACAGGAACTTCAACATGATTAGGATCCCATCCGTTTGGATGGCTGTAGTTACAAAGAGAATTGTAACAGGCTAACCCATATCTACAAGGTACAGTGGGGTGAATAAAGAAGCATCCAGGGCCGTATGGACATAGAGGCCAGGATTTACAGGCCTCACTAGGGTGAATATAAAAACAGTGATCACCTTTATCGCAATTGGGCCAATTTTTACACTTAATTTTAATTTTTCCATGAGTTGAAGATGTTCCAGTTGATGCATTATTAGTTTGATTAGAAGAGGTGTAGGGAGTTCCAGATTGGTTAAAGTTGTTGGACCTTGTGTAAGGAGCATTTCTATAATTAACTCTAGGTAGTCTGTTATTTCCCATGATTGGACCAGAAGACGATTCATTATTAATTACTGAATGATTATTTTTATGTGAAGAAGTTGGCTGATAAGGTTTTGATCTTCCAGATCCAGATTTATTCTTGATAGCATTAGAAATTGCAAAGTCCAAAGAATCTTTATTTTGGCTAGAATTACTGGAGTTCTTATGAGAATCACCAGTGATCGAAGTACTTCTACCTGAGTTATTATCATTATTGGTGTTCGGTCCATTATTGTTTGAGTGATCGTTTTTGCTGGTCTCCACAAGATGAAAGACCCAGGTCCCAAACTGAGAAGCCTCGTCAGAAAGAAACTCTTTAAGTTCATTTATTATGTGCTCCTTTGGCTGGTTATGGTTTACCATATGACAAATGTAATCTGTTAATACTGAAACATCGTCATCTCCAAATATTTCCTGTAGTTTGCTTGTAATCTTCGACTGAACTTCAGGAGTGACAACTTCTCCAGCAGAAGAACCTCCTCCACTTGACGCATTCATCCTTTAGCTATCTCTATCAACTTAAATAATTGATATTTTTCTTTTTAATTTATTTTCTCCCTTTCTTTTGGGTTCTTTTTTTTTATATATTATTATAAATATATATAACTTATTAGTTGGCGCCAAAGTGCGGAATGGCTAATTGTCATAGTTTTTGGCGCCAAATTTAAGAATTTGAAATTTTACTGGATTTAGAAAATATATTGCAAATATAGGCAAAGAAAGAAAGATGGATGAGAATTGATTATTTGTAAACTGGGAAATTTCTATTTTTGTGGGAAATGTGTGCAATTAAATTTGAATTAATTAACTACGTTTTTTGTTTTATTTTGCTTTGTAATTTATGAAGAAAAATTCAACGTGTGGACTTTTATTGAATGTGCCATTCACAAGTCCTATTTGTACTATAAATTCTATTGATAACAAAGTTTTGGTTGGGACATGGGATGGTTACTTTTATCAAGTTTGTTTGAGTGGAGAACATGACGTTGTGGTAGTACAAATTGAACCTTCTTACCCAATAAGGTATATAAGTGCATTGAAAAATGCAGACAATAACAGGGAGCTCAATACTAAAGCTCAAATAAGCTATGAGCTTATATTGGGAGGCGTATACAAGACAAAAGTGAGAGTAAAAAATCGGACCAACTCACCAATAATTCCATTGGATGAGCTTGAGGTATCCCCGGATGCCCACTACCAGATAATTGAGACAAGGTCAAGCCTCGAATGTTTTGACTTCAGTAATAGAGTGAGTGGATTAAAAAACAAGTATTTAAGGAGTCCCTTGTTTTTATTTTCTTCGACAATTAATTCGTATTTTGGTTTTAATGGCGAGAAAGGAGAAATAGAAATATCACTCGGGAACTTTTACATTCCAGATAGAGAATTTGTTATTTTGGATTATGATTTTCTGAATAATCATTTGCTTATTGTTGAGAGATCCCCAGAGAGATTGGACTATTATGCATTGTGTTCACTGCAGATAATTGAGTTACCACGTTCTCAGAATAATTTAGTAAAAGAAATTGATCCGAATGAAATTACTAATTTAACAGAAATACCTCCAAAGTATATATTAAATTTCCCAATTAAGAATCCTCTATTAATTACATCTAATATTAAGTCCGAATTAACACTCAGTTCATCAGCAGAATATAATAACTTTAAGGACTTCAACCATATATATAAATATCTTTACTCTACAATGTTTAAAATGTCTGATTTCAGAAAGGATCGTTTCAATATATTTAAATCAATGTATAACCTTTGTGATGCAAAATTCTGGGGATGTAATTCTTTCGTATTTCTTGTTTCAAATCACACAATTATTGGAGTTGATATTCTTTTTTCAAAAGATAATGAACTTATTACTTATACCAGTATTAAAAATAAATTCTGCATAAAGTCACCAGATAGAAACATTACATCTATCTCCACCACTAACTACAACTATATGGTTGCATTAACCGAAAAAAATAGAGTGTTTCTATCAAACAGAAATGGTGAAATAGTATATTCTATAAATAATATAACTCCTAATAAATCTAATTTTAAATGGGTTTGGCCAGTGCATGTATTTGTCATGCACACCGGTATTGTACTTTTCTCAACTACTAAAGGGTTATACTACTTTTACTGTGATTTATTGGATAAAGAAAAAGTTTCCTGTGTAAATGATCAAAGCTTTACGATAGATTTACCTAATTAACTACTATATTATCTGGCTAAACGAGCTATGCTTTTATTTACATCTCTTAAGCTAATCTCCCCCCACATTTAACTTTTTTTTTAATAAATTTTTTTGATTAAAAACTCCCATTATCTGCATGATTTAGGCGCCAACTGTTTGTCTCGTCTTGAGACAATAAAGGGTGTAAGTAGTCATAGTATATTTTTAATAGAAAGTTCAATAATTACCTTATTAATTCAGTATTAATTGAATTATAATTTGAGTTATTCGAAATTTAATTAAAAATAAATTAATAAAATTGTCGCTTTACTATTTATTAACAATCCCAAATATATTTCAAGGTCAAATAAAGAATTAACAAAGTTTTGGCGCGTACCAAAGACAAATTAGTAATACAATAATTTATTAGCAGGAATTTTCAACTTTAAATTCTGATAACTAAGACATTCCAGAAATTATCACCATTCCAATAAGAAGGTATTGAATCATAAAAAATGACTTTATTTACTCGTTTCGTTGAGCCAGGTCGCCTTTGTAGAATCCAGTATGGACCAGACACAGGAAAGATGTGCTTCATTATTGATGTCATTAATATGAATCGTATTTTGATTGACGGTCCAACAACCGATGTAGCTCGTCAAAGCATTCCTTTAAAGAGACTTACTCTTACTGATTTCAAAGCAAAGATCCCTCGTGGTGCTAGAACTGGAACTGTTAAGAAGATTTTGGAGAAGGATTCCAGCATTGAGAGTTTTAACAAGACCACTTATGGTCAGAAATGGTAAGTTAATTGGTTATTTGGTTGGTTTCTGGTTTCTTGGATTTTTAGGGTTAAGTGCTTTATACTATGAGCAATTTGTGTTAGCAAATATAAATGTTATTTTGGTTATCCTATCGAAGATATACACTCAAAATGATGTAGATACATCACTTAGTCTCGTTCGTCTTAATGAGCTTCTCAAATAATTTGGGTGGTTTATTCTGATGATACTATGTATTGTCTGACTTGGTGTTATTTCTTCAGGATTAAAACATTTATATGTGCATGTTACAGTCATGTTGATCATTATACACTGGATTAGATCCCTGACCACTACTATATAATATACTTGGGATTATATTTACTAATATATCTATGTATATGAAACTGACTGTACACAACTGCTACCACACTTTAAGCCAGATGATCCTGAGTAACCTATGAATCAACCTACTTTTTTCGAACTTAGTTTTAACTTATTTTTCCTTTAGTGCTGCCAAAATTTTCAAGGCAAATATGACTGACTTTGAGCGTCATGCTCTTTTGGTTGCTCGTAAGAAGAGACAATACCTCGTCAAACAGATTCTAAAGACCAAGAAGAACTAAATATGAAATGATTATAAACATTCTTCCCAGAAGAGTAAGAAGCTGGTTTGTTAGCTAGATAGCACACACACGTGCTTGCGAGAAGAGAAATTCACTATTATTTCTATTATTTCTAAATGGGACTAGAAAATTTGAAATCTAAATTGAACCTTCTTTCCAGGCTTTTTTAGATATTAGATTGCTTTGGTAACAATGGGAACATGGTAATCATTGTTACCTTTTGTATCCATTTAAATTTATAATTTCGAACCCTTATTTTCTTTTGCAGTTTAATTCTTGTTTAATTCAACAGATTGTCGGATTAGTATAAATATATAAGGGGTTTTGGCGCCAAATGTGTTGAAATTTATAATATTAAAAATAATGCAATTTCTTATCAACTTACCGAGGGAATTGATAAGACGTGGGTAGGTAAACGTATCATAATCTCAGAAAGAATGGGTAATTTATTAGGAAGAGAGAATAATGAAACACGATATCCTGTGAGAGAACAAAGAACAAGAGGATTGAGTAGTTCTGAATATATTTACAGTGAGTTTTCGAATAGAAATGATCCCAGAATCCCATTATATAGTCAACGAGATCGCAAGCTAATTAGTATTAAAAAGTCCAAGGCAGTACAAAATCAGTGCCATATAAATGGTTTATCAATCCACTATGTACCTTCTTTAAGAAGAATAAAATTTGAATATGACTGTATTCAAGACTCCATTTTAAATATATATAATTCAGATTCTTTAGATGAAAGCTTAATTAATACTGAAAAACCAGCATCCTCTCATCATATTCCGAAATCACTGAATAAGGAAATTCAGATCGACCTAAAATCAGACTTAAAAAAGAACTTTGTATTAGAAATTAAGCCAAAAAACCACTCTTCTAATAGTGCTGGGACTACTCAGCTTACATTCTGTGAGCAAAGCTCAAACAAAAAGAACGATGTTTTGGAAAATAAGATAGAAATCAAAAGGCAGTGCGTACTTTATAATGGCAAGGCATTTGAAATCCAAAATATATTTGGACTATCAAATAATTCCATAACAGCTTCGAAAAATAATGAAGATTCAGAAAGCTGTGTAATCTGTCTAACAAATAACCGAGAAACAATATTGCTCCCTTGTAGACATGCTTGTCTATGTACAGTATGTAGCGAGACATTATTCAAAAACACTCAAGATTGTCCAGTTTGTAGAAACTCCGTCTTGGGTGTAGTAAATATTGAAAATAACAGGTGAAATCGATATTAAACACAATTACTAGCTTACATGCATGATTGCATGCAAATTTGTGAATTTGGTTAAAAATATAATTATAAAGGAAAAGGAATTTAAGGCATACATTTTCCCTAGCTAAAATAAATTAGTCTTCCTCATGATACGTATAAACTCTTCTTGGTTAATTTCCCCATCTCCATCTCTATCAGCTTCTTCAATCATTTCTTGAATTTCCTCATCAGTGATATTTTCTCCTAATTCTTTTGCAACTCTTTTCAAGTTTTTAAAAGTAATTTTCCCGGTTCCATCATCATCAAAAAGCTTAAAAGCTTTAATGATTTCTTCTTTTGGGTCTCTCTGTAGAATTTTAGTTTCAACCAAATCATAAAACTCACTATAGCTAACCATTCCGTTATTCATTTCAACATTAGACAATATTTTCCTTAGTTCCTCCTTCTTAGGATCAAATCCTAAGGCTCTCATCGCCACCCTAACTTCCTTAACGTCAATATATCCTATTGAATCACCATCAAAAAGTTCAAAAGCTTCTTTTATCTCCATCTTTTGCTGTTCTGTAAGTTCAGTCCTTTTTGCTATTGAACCCATGTAAGTACTTCCAACTCCATTTCCTCCTAAATTACTTCCACCTCCCACACCCAATCCACTCATCCCATTTACTCCTAAAGATGAGCTTGATGAGGGACGTGACCTCATAATATTCTTCATTACCAATTCTTTATCTCAAATAAGTAGCTTAACCCCACTTTGTTAAAAAAAAAAAAAAAACGATTAGGGTAATTAAAAAAATTTAAAGATACAGAAGAACAGACTAAAATGTCAAGTTTTCTCTCTTTCTTAAATTCTTTTTTGTCCCGAATTTTTATATTACCGGATTCTTTCCTTTTTTACACCCTAATTAATTGGTATTTTCAAACCTTTTTAGGCGCCAAACGCATGTAATTATATCTATACAGAATATTGTGTACAAAAAAAAAAAGTAATAAAAAAAAATTAAAAACCTAAAAATTCTGGAGTGGGGTTTGATCAATTGACATCATCATCCCCAAACTCTTTTTTGGAATTGTTACTTTCTAGTTTGGTTGTCTGATCTAGGTTTGAATCAATTTGCTCAGCATTATGTGTGTTATAAGTATCAACTAAATCACAGCTTACAACTTGAGAATCGTGGTCTTTACCATCGAGTCCACTTTTATCATCATTGTAACTATCACTAAAACTGCAATCACTATCTTTAAATTGCGGAATTTGTTCGTTTGGCTGGATTTTAGGTTGATGATAGTCTTCGGGGGCACTCACATTTTTGTCAGTTGGCGGGCTTTCTTTGTTTAATGTAGGCTTAGATTTTGACTCAGATTCAGAGTCACTGGTAGCTTGAAGTTTTTGGTTTTCCAACAAGGAAATAGTCTCAGCTGTTTCGGTTGTTTCGGTTGTTTCGGTTGTCTCGTTACCTCCATTTTGAGTTTGTATTTCCCTAATTCCATGTTCTCTCTCATCTTCTAGATCTTGTTTATTCATAAGGCTAATTTCAAAGCTTAAAACGGAGTGGATTTGACTATAAAACTTTTCAGATAATGAGTTCAGTATAATTGACATGTTCTCTGAAATTGCTTCGCTATTAAGGGAAAATTTACACTCTTTGAGTTGCTCTACTTTCAGCTTTAGTTGTTGCCTTCTCTGTTTTCTATTTAAGAGAATTTCGTGTTTGCAAGCATCCATTCTGTTGGTCTCATCCTGGTGACTTTTCCTAATCCTCTCAATCTTTTCCATAAATTCCTTTTCTTGGTGCAGTACGTTAGAATAGCTGTCTTCAAGCTCCAGAACTTCCTTCTGGAGGACTTGGATTGTTTGTGAAATCATGGAAGCTTCCTTGAAGTTTGCATTCTTGATCTTGTCAGATTTGGAGGCTTGAGAAAGTCTAATTTGTTCTTCTAGTATCTCTTTCTCCTCCCCTTTGTATCTCTTGATCTCTTGTATTTCTCGCAACTTTTCAAGGACTACTTTTTCCTGTTTTTCAATCTTGTAGATTTCTTCTTGAATTAGTTTGAGAATCTCGCTTTCTCTAGAAATTTCCATTTTGTATTCACTTTGTTTTTTTTGTATGGGGTATACAAAGTTTTGTAAACAATCCTCAATCCAACAAATTATTATTGTTAAACTTGAAAGCTCGTCCTTATATATTTCTCTTGTGTTTTTGTATTCTTCAATCCGAATTCTCCTTTCGCTTTCCTCTTTTTTAATCCTCATTTCTTCAAGCATGATTTCATTCTCTACATTAGAAAGTTCTTCTAATAACTTATTTTTTAAACTAATCAGCTCTGAGTACCTTTCTGATATCTTTATTGGGTCATATTGTGTATTATTCTCATTCACCAACTCATTGTTTCCAATTCCTGTCTCCTCAAAATCAACGCTAAAATTCCGAAGATCCTTGGTATCAGCCTCCAAATCTTGTTCTAACTTTTCTAAATTGCCTTGAATGTTCAAACCAAAAGTTTCAAATATGCTAACCATTTTTGAAAACCATTTGGAGAGCTCCTCAACATCGTGTGTTGTAGAAAACATTCCCATACTTTCATCATTTGTACCAGAAATCAAATCTTTTAAAGAAACCATGTCTTCGCCATAGTTATACCCATAATCCACCCTCGAATCATATTTATTCTTTCTTAATACTGTTTTTATGTCGTTGCTTCTTTCATAGGAAGCTTCTGAACCAGATCCAACCAAGAATGGGCAATTCAAACCCGAGTTTAGCTCAGCTTGCTTTTCAACATCTTCCTTAGCCACTACTATCGTCTGTTCTATCATATCCTCTTTAAAGCTCTTCTTTAGTATTGAACTCTTTCCATCAATATCTTTATTTCTATTATTCAATCCCATAGAACTTATATTTAGACCTAACGAGACAACCCTGTTTTCATCACCAGGCTCACTCTTTCTTTCTACTTTCAAATTAGTTGTTCTTTTAGAAAATATTGAACTTAAATTGGACTCCTCATGCCTTTGTTTTTCTATCCCCACTAAAGAGGGCCTGGAAATCGATGTACTCCCTATACCTATGTTACTCTCACCAACTCCCGGCCTGACTGCTTTCCTTGTTTTCTTTCTGATACCTGCAATACTAACATTTTTTTCAGAATTGAATTCCATCTTAACTAATTTCCACTTTATTATTCTATCAAAAGCAAAAGCACTTCAACTTTATTAGTTTTCTACAATACTTTTGGAATATTACACTAAAAATACTCTATATCTTTGATTTCATCACAATCTCCTAGTTTATAAACTCTGAATTCCTAGTTCCTTTTTTCCGGTTAATTAAATTGTATTTATTTATATTTTTTATAACTATACAAAATATGTTTCCCAAGGCACTACCCCCTTCTATTCCCACATAGTCGTATTTTTTTTATTATTAAATGCCGGTACAAAGAAAAAAAGCATGCACATGTATCCCCACATTCAATGCTTAATAGGTAAATGATCTTTCTCTAAGCATTTAAATTTATAAATAAGCTATTAGGGTCAAGAAAGAAGCTAAAGATATTACAATCGGATTTGAAAAATGTAGAAAAATCACTCTTTGAGCTTTTCTAAGGGTCCAAATCCCCTCCATTTCTTTATTCGGTCCACTGTGGCGTCTAATAAAAGCACCCTCTTAGTAGCAGCTAATAGGAGAAGATGAAATTTACAAACTTGGGAAAAAGAAATAAAGGTCAAAATTACAATGTTAATGAAATAAGATCGCGTCTAAGGTAAAGATTCTTTACATTAACTTTCTAATCTAATCCTATATATCTCCCATCGCCAGCATATGGAATCCAACATCTGGGAAAAAAAGACTATTTAGATAGGAAATGAATACAATCCCTTCCCGCATGATAGTAGTAGGATTTCTGACTCAGATGACTTATACAAAGTCTGGAAGTAATTATGGAAAAAAAGGACCACGAATACATTAGTTAAACCAGAATTGAAATATTTATGTCAAAAATTCTCCCAAATACTTAATTGATATTCCGTCAGAGACTTCTTAAAAAATATTGATTACTCGAATTTCAGTTAATATATAATGGCAAACCTAGAAGGCCTCGAGTCTGATAACAATTATCCTTGAAATAGAAAATCCCTTAGACGGAAAACTTTCCTTTTTTTATCGTTTCAAAAATCTTAACTCTATACTGCGTTGCTTATGATGCTTCTGGAGCGCCTTCTGCTTCTCCGGATGCTCCCAAATCAGCAGTCCACAATGTCAAGTTGTCTCTCAAGAGTTGCATAATCAAGGTAGAGTCCTTATAGCAATCTTCAGATAACTTGTCTAATTGTTCGATGGCCATTTCAAAAGCTTCCTTGGCCATATCTATAGCTGCTCTTGGTTCATTCAATATTTCGTAGTGGAATACTGAAAAGTTCAAAGCCAAGCCAAGTCTAATTGGGTGAGTTGGCTCCAAATCCTTGGCAACAACAGTGGCATCCTTGTAAGCCTTTAAGGCATCCTCAGCAGAGCTCTGTTTGGAATCTCCTGTAGAAAACTCGGAGATATATCTGTGATAATCTCCCTTCATCTTAAAGTAGAAAACTTTGCTATCTGGGCTTGTTGCTGTGGGAATCAAGTGTTTGTCAAGCATGGTTAAGATGTCATTGCAAATGTCTGTAAGCTCAGCCTCGACCTTACTTCTATATTTGCCACACATCTTGCTGGCATCCTCAGCATTTCTGCTGTGTTCCTTTTGCTCTACTGAAGAAATAATTCTCCATGAAGATCTTCTAGATCCAACTGCATTCTTATAAGCAACGCTAAGCAAGTTTCTTTCTTCCACAGTAAGTTCTTCTGATTCTTGTCTAGCCTCCACAACATCCTTCATGTACTTGGCCATTTCATCATAACGTTCAGCTTGCTCTGCCAATTTGGCCATGTAAACATTTGATTCTCTTGCATTAACTGAATCACTCATTTTTGAATTCTTAATATTAAGTTCAGAATCACGAATAGTGTGCCGAATTCTTAGCCTTTACTTATTGAGTAATATACTATTTACTTATTATCTATATATATAATATTCACGCAATAAGTAAATATTTCTATATTATTAATATCCAAGTGTTTTATCTAAAATTCCCCCAGTATAATAATTACTATATAGAATCTTATTGTATCCTTCCACGTTAATTAAGTTAATAGACATGAAATTTCTCACACTTGACTTTTCCTTTATATTAATAAGTAATTAATATGCACAACAATGTTTATTAACGTCTTATCTATTAGAAATTATCTTGAACTACCCCTCACTAACTAAAATGCAATATATATTTAATAACTTTATATCTTATATTCTTGGTGTCTATGTTAAGTTTATCCTCTCCTTTAAAATTCCTCTACGTATTATTTACCAGTCCTTATTATTTTCCACTATTTGTTTATATATCTAACCGCAATTACCCATTCTAACTGCTCCCCCACCCCTCTCCGACTAACTTGACCTAAAAATGTGGGGAGTATCATCTAATTAATTAAACGATACCAGTTGGCTTCCCGCCTAAACAATGGGCGGGAATCAGAACCGGCATTCTAAATATTTTTAATAAGGAAAATATAATGGAATACATCAGAACTAGGAGAAATATGCATTTTTTTTTTGAATTAATACTTAGAATTAAAGAAATACTTAAATGCTACTACTAGTATTGCTGTGCAATAAATAAGTTTTTTATCAAACAGCAGTTGGTGTTATAATAAAGAAAACTTTCTTTTTTGTTCTCTATCCCTCCTTGTTGCATAAAGTTGATATACCATATAAAAATTAATATCATCCTCTCTATATTGGCATCCAAGAGTAGCATAGCTCACGGAAAGCTCGCAATACGGCTATATGAATCTTGTCAAAGATGATTAGGTAAATCGTCTGGATGAATAACAAATTTATAAATCCACTAGGTCTTCAAGTTTGAATTCCTTTCTCCCTTTTACTTCCCGATTTAATTATGACTCATGCCTAAGCGTAGATACAAGCATACCATGAATGAGCCATAGAGACAGAATCTATGCAGTTGGAACCTCAATTTCACCTGCATCAATCATCTTTTGTAGATCAACAGGTTTTTGTCCATCTACAGTACAACCAATTGCATTACATGTTCCGAGAATCTCCTTAACGGTACCAGAAAATGCTCTGGCTCTTGATTTGAATTTCATTGCACGAGCAACTGAAAGAACTTGGTTCATTGACAGGTTTCCACTATGCTTAATATTTTTAACCTTCTTTCTGTCTCTAATTGGCTCCTTGAGCTCTTTAATCAACAAACACGTTGCTGTTGGGACAACATCAATCTTAGCCTGACGATTTTGAACAGTAAGTTTAACACAAACCTTCATACCCTTCCAAGCAGCTGTACCTTTGGCAATATCATCACCAACTTTTTTTGGTGACATACCCAATGGACCGAGTTTTGGTGCTAAGACGGATGTTGCTCCCACTTCGCCTCCAAGTTGTCTGATGTACAAGTACTTGACTTCAGATGGATCTGCTTTACCTGCTGGTGGCATTCTAATTTACTACCCTAATTAAACAATTTGTACAAAAACTTGGAAAATGCTCCTAATTCTGTTCGTCTAAACTCTCGAACTTTCTTTATTTGCCTCTCGTCTTTTTTAACCTTATTAATTAAAATGTTTACCGCCCAACACCCCCGTCTACATTTACACTAATGTAAGTAATATATGTACTAATATTAATAATATATACTGAAAATAACATGATAAATATGCTTCAAAATAATTAATTATATTTTATTAGTGTATTCATTTATATTATTATCTCAATTATTTATATTGATATTTTATTTATTACATAAATTAGTAACAAAGTCAGGCCAATATTTTTGGCGCCACATGCTATTATTAATAGATTAATACTTTAGGACTGAAATCAATTATTAATTTAGTGCATAGATAAGTAAATATAAAAATCTGGTTTCTTAATCTTCTGGTAAAAGATTAAGTGTATTTAGACAGACGAGAATGGTATGCACATAAAATTGTATAATACTTACCTAGATGTATTCCTTAGTAATTGGTAGAAATAAATAACCAAATATAGAGTTACACTAGATAGCAGGTTTTAGTAAGGGGAAAAATATATTAAGGAGGAAATGCGAGGCGAGTTATAAACAAGAAAAAGGATAATCATAGAAATAAGAGTAAAATTTATAATTTTTGTTCATTATAAAGGGCAAAAGAGGTCTAGTTATCAGAATCTTCATCAAAATTATTGATAAGTAGGAGAGTATTAGGATAGAATCCAATTTCATATATAGTGATTTTATTATCTATATACGATTCGTCAATTTCCACAGATTTGGAGTGGGGTAGTCTTAGAGAGAATTTGTCTGAGATTAAATTGCTCTCGTCCAATCCAAGAGAATCAATCCATTTGAATATCTCATATACGGAGTCATCTTTATGAAAGTTCCTTTGAAACTTTTTCCCTGCAGAGTTCTTTACACAAACTCTGGAACAGCTCTCTTTATCAATTTCCCTTTCTTTTTGGAACTCAGAATAGAATTTTTCTCTTCTTTCTTTAATCAAATCCTTATACTTTTTTTTCTCCAACGCCTTCTCTTGTCTCATTGAATCCAAATTTAAGGATCTCATATACTCAAGATCCTGCTCTTCTCTAATTCTCCTAGCCTCTTCAATCTGAGCTTGTTCAATCTGAGTTATGACCGATCTGTTCGAGTTTCTCATTGATATGTTATCTTGTATTCCGTTATTTAACTTTGGAACGCAAAATAATGTTTTAAAAAATCCAAAGATAGTGCTCAGACTTGTTCTACAAACCGAGAAGAACATTCTGAAAAACTTGTTCAGCTTAAAATTGCTTAGGCTTATGCTTTCATTCGCTTGATTAACTAAAATCCCCTGCTCATTAAAGTTCCCAGATAAACCTCCTGTTACATTACTAGCATTAGCTTCTCTAGTAGCATTAAAATTGTTATCTTCATATGTATTCATGTTCTGTTGCTCAAAGTAAAGAGATACTGCATTCTCTAGATCCCAGTTACTTGACTCCAAAATTGTTCTCCCAGTTGCTACATCACAAGTTGTGATCTCACAAAAAACCTGCAGCAATTCTGTCTGCCCTTCTGAAATCTCTTCCATTTATATATAATAGGAATAAATTCACTCAGTCTGTATTTGCACTTAGATAGTATAAGAAAGAAGTTAGTTATCTAATGGTTTGGTAGCGATTGAAAAAAAAATTGAATATTTCAAAATTTAAGGAATAGTACCAACCAAACTACTTTAGAACCTGACTTAAGATCAAAGAATAAAAATTTAATGTTAACCCACACTACTTCTTTTTCAGCCCTAACTACAGTGCTATCCAAATCAATTATAACTGTGAAGCTGAATTGTTAATTCGTATCTTTTTTCTCTCTTTCTTTTTTATTTATGATTACTGTTCTATTAGTTTTTATTTATGCAAAAATATAATACTAGCATATATAACTTATTGTATATTCATACTATTTTTATTTATATTTAATTTATTACTATTTATTTATTTATTATTTATTTATATCATATAAATTATACATATATATTTATCTTTGGCGCCAATCATACCCAAAGTGGTAGAACATGTATAATAAAGACTATAAATCTGGAATCAGTTTTTTCTGACTAATATAAGCATCATATATGTGTTTGGTTGTGATAAGTTTTTTGTTTGAGGAACTTTCATTTAGTTGTTTGTTGATCTTTCCCATTAGTTCCAAAATAAAGAGTTTCGTTGCAGAAGAAACTGCTAGAGTGATTTCTTCAACATTTTCTGGAATATATTTGCTTTTCTGATGAAGCATGGACTGAATATAGCTCAAACTATCTTCCACAGATTCTCCATTTTCTCCCCCTTCATTTAAATCCAAATACCCAGAATTTACTAAATAGTTGAGAATTGTGGATTTTTTAAATCCTGAATTCCTACAATTTTGTATCGTGGAATCTACTTTTTCTATTCCTGTTGCATTACTCCCCTCTCCAACCTTATACGATACATAGTCTAAAACTAAGTCTACCATTTCATTGTTTAAAATCCCACTCTCCTCGTTTTCTATTACTCTGCTGTTTGACGTATTTATACTATAATCCTTAGTTAGTCCTGAAAACTCCATCTCCTCCTCGATGTTAAAAACATCCTCATTTGATATTTGCGAGGATGAAGGAGATATTTCGTCGAAACCGTCTTCCATTATTCTTAATAATCACGAATTCCAAAAAAACTAACCCACTTGTCAACTACTTCCACAAACACTGTATCTATGTTCTTATCAAATTGTTCAAAAGTTTACAATACTATATTCCTTAATTTCTCTTTATTGATGCTAAATTACATCAAGTCAACAGTATTACATTATTATACAATTAATTTAATATTATTGTACACATTAATTATTATTTATATACAAATAATAATAAAATATTATGACATTAGGCGCCATTATCATGTATTTATTTAAAGTAAAAATTGGCAAAAAAAATATTAAAAAGTAAAAATTTACACATGCATACAGGAACATTATTTTTTTTCACTGAAATAAAATGACCCAATTAATTTTTATATAGAATATCATAAGGTCTATTTGTTATTGTTTGTTGTAACTTTAGTTTTACATTATATAATTCAAGACTATCTAGGAATGGCCTTTACCTTATCTTTAGTTAAACTCACCATCCTGTCCACCGGAGAAAAGGTTAAAAATAGACAGTAATCTTTAACCAAACTAGATGTTAAATGTGTAAATATCATTAATACAAAACTGGAAAATTATATCTTTAATTTTTTTAAATGGAATTTTTTTTTTTCTTTCTGCTTTAGTGAATATTTTTGTGTGCAGATATATAAATCATTATTTGTGTGATTAAATGTGAAACTTGTACAAGCAAGTATTAGATGCACCTAACTAAAGTCAGAATAAGGGAATTTCTTGGGGAGATTAAACATTTAAAAAACTTGAAGAGTAAAGAATCATACTCAAAAATACTCAATAAAACTAAAGTCATTGTTGGCCAATAGTCCCAACTTTAAAGTTATTTTGCAGTTATTAGATATCACACACTAACCAACAACTACAAAAAATTTAAGATAATTTATGAAAATCAAAAAATGAGAAATGTTCACATTTTAGGGCTTCTCCTAGTGCTATTATTGGCTGTTACAGATCAAGGACAATCATTAAAGGTGAAAAGCTTTTTTTTTGGTTTGGGAGGTGGAGATAAAAAGGAAGAGAAGCATGATGAAAAGAGTGAAGGAAAACAAGAACAAGGTCCCAAACCCACACAAGATACTAATGGAGTCAATCCTGCCGCAGGAGTATCTAAGTCAGAAGGCCATTCTCCTGAAAATCCTTCGAAACCACCAGAGGCGAAACAGAATGAAGGCCACTCTGAGGGAGGTCACTCTGGGGGAGGTCATCCTGAGGGAGGTCATCCTGAGGGAGGTCATCCTGAGGGAGGTCACTCTGGGGGAGGCCATCCTGAGGGAGGACATTCTGAGGGAGGCCATTCTGAGGGAGGCGGCCACTCTGGAGGAGGCCATCCTGAGGGAGGAAATTCTGAGGGAGGTCATTCTGAAAGAGAACATTCTGAAGGAGGTCATTCTGAAAGAGGTCACTCTGAGGAAAGCCCCCCAGGGAATCACCCTCCTTCAGAGGAGAATGGCTCAAAACATGATGGCCTGCCATTTATCCCCCCACCTCCCCCACCTCCTCCGGAGCATGAACCGGAGCATCCCCCTTTTTCTTCGCCACCACCACCATCAAACCCTCCATCAGGATGCAACTGTGGTGATGAGAAGCCCCTATCTGACTGTTGCCACGAAACTGTGTATGGTCAGAGGAAACCAGGGGAAAAGAGAAATGCCACAATAACAGGAACTATAACAGGAACTATAACAGATTCTGTATTATCAGCAAAAACAGGGGATTTGATAACTGTGAAACATGATTCTGATAGGCCAAATCCTGAGTGTGACCATTCTCATAAAAGGTCTCCTACAACAGTAACTCATGAAGCACATACAAATCTCCACTCTATACAGAATGGAAAGCTACCTTCACTTCAAGCATCCCCAAATATAGGTAAGGGTAAGTTTCCAAATGGAGCTAACTTTATTCCCTTGGTTTTGGATGCTAATACTGGTCAATATGGAGTTGAACTCAAGACTATGGACTTGCTTGTAACTGGCCAGGAAGAAAAAATTAAACCTTTTGATATGTTGATACCCTTTGTAAATGAAAATGGTCAGATTAAGTTTGTAACAAGAAGAAGGTTAAGACAGCTGGTTAAGTCTGGGCTTTCAAAGGGTTTCTCAGAAGGAGTTCCTCCATTTACTCAGGAAGCCTTGGCTGAAGGAATAGCTGAGCCAAAAGAGAAAAGGGATGAAGAAAAGAGAGATGAAGAAAGGAGAGATGAAGAAAGTAGAGATGAAGAAAAGAGGGACGAAGAAAGGAAAGATGATGAAGAGAAGAAAGATAGAGAAGAGAAAAAAGATAGAGAAGAGAAAAAAGATAGAGAATCATCTACAGCAGAAAATGGTAGAGAGGCTGCAAATAGTGCAAAGAGTCTTTTGCAGGAAGCCGAGGCTGTTCTAACTGGAGGGTCTTTATTTGAACCTTCTGAAAAGAAAGATGAGGAGAAAAAAGGCAAAGGAAAGAAAGACGATGATAATGATAATGACAAGGATAAGGATAAGGATAAGGATAAGGATAAAGACAAAGACAAAGACAAAGACAAAGACAAAGATAAAGATAAAGATAGGGATAAGGATGATGATCATAAAGAGAATGGCAGGAAAAATCACGGTAAGGGGGAAGAGAGAGAATCTAGTTCAGAGAGGAAGGACTCTAGTGAGTCAGAAGATGCCTCTGAATCATCAAGTAGTGAAACAACAAAGTCTTCAAAATCGGATGATGTTGAGAGCGCGATAGGAGTACGGGACTCTGTTAGTGTACATGCATCAGAAGAGGAAGAGGAAGAAGAGTGATCTACAAGTTTATAGAGTTTAGGATTAAAAACGGTGCCAAGAAGCATTACATTAGTGGCCTGAATATCTTTTTAAATGTCGTTTTAACCCAAAGAATTTGAAATCCAAAACCTTAGTAATAAATATACATATACGTTTAGTATATATATATATATATACTCGCAATTCATATATATATTAAGTTTTAAGATTTAATATAAAGAAAGCCAAGTAGTAAAATAGACTTATAATATAGCTACCTATTTAACTAGTTAAATATTTATAGTTGGAAAAAAAAAATTTGTGTAGAAACTTTGTGATCCTTCTACTGCAAATCATTGATAGAAAGCCCATCAAGAAGCTCAGAAATGTCAACTTGTTGAGAGAATTCTTCATCATGATCTTGTTGATAACCATCATCCATGACCATATCATCAGATTCAAAGTGACTTGATGAGTGGTTCTTTGAAACTTTATCCTTTTTAACAAGGTGTCTTGGTTTTCTTGCCTTTTGGTAAACTTCCCTTGATGATTCTTGTATTCTAGGATCCCAATATAGGTTAACATCACGTCTCATTTCGGAATCTTCCTCAAGTTCAGCCTTGAATTGCTCAAGATCCTGATTAAAGTTACTTTTAGAGTTTGTAGAATCAAAAGCAAGCTCTTTTGGAAGTCTTTGAAGGACCCAAGGCCTTTGAATGGATGAAGAATCCTGATTATTATGATTCTTTCGAAAAACCTTTTTGACCAAAATAACATCATGATTGCGTTCTCTCCATTGAATGAACTCTGAAATATCTTCAACAACACCAAAGTTATTCAAAGTCCTAAAATCATATCCAGAAACCCAATCTCCTGGATTCAAGTACGCTCCTAAGTGAGTGGTTACTATAACGCTTGAGTCTGGAATTCCTAAATCAGACTCTCTACAGATCTCAACTTCTGCAATACAAATTTTGCTGCTTATTCCTTGACTCTGGTCAGTTCCAACTGAATGTCGACCTCTGATCCTATCAACATTAATAACATAAAAGTCAACTAAACTTGAACGTGAAAGCAAAGGAATAAATGAACTGCTATTAGAACCTGAGTATTGCCAGTATTTCTCTTTAGTAATATCCGCCTCTCTACCAGTAAAAGGATCTATAAGAGAAATTCTATTGGTAACTTTCTTACATAGCATTAATGAAGAAATACCTCCTAAAAGAGATGTACAGAGGTTCTTTGGAATAAAAACTACATCATCTTTGCAAATAGGGCATAGTTCAACAGAGAAAGTGAACTTGTTATTATGTGTATTACAACTCAGGTCTTGGGAAATAAGTTGTCTACTGCTTTTAACTTTTGATGCAAAGTAGTGAGTAATAAAATCCACAAGCTTCTGAGCATGGCTTTTTTGTTGGAACTGAAAGTCAAGTCCATCAGACTTTTCAACTATATTAGAAACTTTCTCATGAGCTCCGTGCTTTAATATTAACTGTTCCAGATACAAAAAGGTCCTTTTATGTTCTACTCTCTGACGTACCTGTACCACAGTATTCCACGTATGAGGAGTAAAACTCTTTCTACAGTCATCACATTGTTGAGCTTGCATAAAAAACTCAACCACTATATTTTGCTGGATAATTGCCCCATTCATAACCTCCTTTTGAATTGTACACTTCACCTTTAATCTTCTACTATGTGGTTCTGTCCAAATAAATGATGCGTCGACTAACCGGACAGTGTTTAGACCTTTGATCTTCTTTAAACATAAAGCCAATAACTCCCTGCTCTCAAGCTGGCAGGATACCCATGGAGGCTTCTGAAATCTTTCGCATTGTCTACAAAATGATATTATTGCCTGTCTTGAAATACCTTCAGTTATATCAACTTCTGATCGAATGCAGTTTATACACATCCTAGATGGATTTATCTCTGTCATTATTCCACAAACACAACAGTTCATACACCGAGGACGTTCCATCTTAAAGTACATTCCTTCAACTTCCTCCTGACTATTTGTACTTGCATTTATATTCATTTGACTGATCTCCATATTACCCAACCTTTCACAACCACCAATGTCAAACATTCTGGGGTTAATCTTCTTTTCTGACCTTACCGGCTAATTTCTCCCAAAATGTAAAATTTAACTGTCCATTTCTAGATAATTAATTATTAAATGTTTCCCGCCTAAAATAAAAATTGACTCTGCAAACCAGTATAGGGAAATAATAAAACTAAATTCTGGCGGGTTTTAGAAATGGTTTAAATTTATAAATTTGGTAAGTAGGTTTAAGCAAAAACAAGGGGAAAAGATAGGTATAAGGGTAAGGGGTGGTTTTGAAGAAGTTTTTTGGATGTGTTTTCTAATTGATAATCGTATTTGAAGTTACGTGTTATTTGGATGTAATAGGTATGTTAGCAAATTTGGGTGTTGAGAAAAGTCTTTAAATTGAGCAATAGATGATTTAGAACATTTAGGTTTTGAAACATATGTTAGAAGTAGTATGAAAAGAATTAGGATTAAAAGCTGGCCAAACTTGCAAATAGCTTGGCAAATAAAAGCTATTTCTAGTAATTTTGATTAGTGAAAACTTGGTTAAAATTCGGATGGGGGGAGGGGGTAAAATTACACATATTATTTGTATATATTAAAAGCAATATTAATATATATGAATAAATATACTTAAACATAAACTATATATATATATATATATATATATATATATATATATTTATTTATTTATTTATTTATTTATTTATCTATATATATTATACATAAATATATTTATGTATTGAACATAATTTATTTAAATAAATGACAAACAAATATATTACTAAATATAATTACTAATTATAAATACCAAATATTATATGAATACTTCTAGTTAAGTGTGCTATTCAATTAAATTTGTTATTAATAGTAAACAACAACAAGGACTAAATTTACTCGGTTCTCGTGTACAAACTATAGAAAATTTGGATTTCAGAGAAACAAACAGGTTGGATATAACCACTAAAAGGGAAGTTATTTATATTACAGGAATAGATTCAAATTGGAATCTAGAATCATTTAAAAGGTTTTTCTACATAGTAGAGGCTTGCTAAATAAGATTCAAAGTCAACATAGACAAAGAATAGTGTAGAGAATACAGGGGATTTATTTATTTGTGAAAGATAACTCGAAATAACGAGAAAGATAATATCATCGGTAGTAGAGAGAGGAGCCAGGATCCCAGGACAGGAAGCAACAAGAGACGCAAGATGAATAGGGAAGATAATCCTTCAAGTGGATCCAGTGAGGAAGTCCCACAAGAGAACCCTGATAACCATGAAATTCCTGGTGAAGAGTACATTTCCGAGGATTGGAATCCAGTAGAAGGGAGTTCCGGAACTACGGATTCAATAAAACCTTACCAGGACCGAGAGAATAATTCGGATGTTGGAATTCAGGCTTCAAATAGTGTGAGTTCCGATAACTATGTGGTTGTGGGCTCCTCTGAAAGTGAGGTAAATGGAGAAAAAAAACTTAAAATTGTTGTAAGACCTTTAAATGGTAGGGATTTGACAGTAGAAGCTTCTCAAACTTCTACAATTCGCCAATTAAAAGTTTTGATAGAGGTTCAGAGTGGAATTGAAGCAATCAACCAGCGTCTGATCTTCAGAGGAAGATGTATGTTGGATGATGATACTGTTGGTGCTTATATCAAAGAGGATGGTGTAATAATTCATTTGGTTCCTTATGCAAGGAATCAGAGAAATGAGAGCTCAGCTCAGTCTACTTCTGAGTCTAGGCCAAGAGCTTCGGGAGTAGGAGGAGCAACAGGTAACGTCCACAATCTGTTTGCTGCTGCATCTGGAATGCCAGGTTTGAACACATCAATCGGAGGATTTCCTGGTGCAATGATGTTTGGAGCAATTAGACTAGATGGCGAGACTGGGCTCCCCATGGAAGCTGAAGATTTGATGCAGAGAGTGTTAAGAACTTTTGGAGATGCTGTCAATGGTAACGGACTAGACCCAAATTCAGTAGGTGCTTCTTCAGGAACTGGAGACAATAGAAACATAAGCTCAGTAACTTTTAATTCATTTGGGATTGGCCAGCCTTCAACAATTTCAGGGTTATCAGGACTTGTCTCCAGCACTGAAAGAAGAAATACGGACACTTTTCCATCTAACAATGAGACCAGAAGAAACAGTACATCCACCTCAAATGGTGTCTCAACTAATAATGCTGCAAATTCTTCAAGTACAAATACAGGAACTGAAAACAGAGGTAGTTCAAATATTGGTGGTTCTAATATTGACCATACTGGAAGCAATACAGAGCGCCGATCCAGCAGCAACTCAGCACAAAATCACGGAAGTTTTAGAGGCAGCAATGGAGAAGGTGCTAGAGGTGATCCAATGAATAGTAATCCAATTGGGAGGATCGGAACCATAGTTTCCAGAATTTTCCAGGCCTTTAACCAACCAGTTGGAGAGGTCATCCAAGAAGGATCCACCAGGTCTGAGGGTAGGGATAGCCAGGCTGGAGCTGGAAGAGGAACTGGAACTAGGACTAATGCTGGTTCCAACACTAATCTCGGTTCTGGAAATACTAATACAGGAACTTCTGAGAGAACTTCAAGAAACACCTCCCAAGACACAAGAGGAAGAGTTATCGCAACCCCAGCCTCAGGTCTAAGCTGGACTCAGATTGCCTCCTCTGGAGCTCTTAATACAGCTAGGACAGGTGTACTTCCTATAGGGCGTCCAGGGTTGGCAGTTGCAACAATTCCCATTTCTAATTTTTCAATTCCAATCACAATTAGAGCAACTTCTTCAGCAGGAATCCCATCTATAAATCTTTCTCAGAACTCAAATGTAATAGCAAGCGGAGCTACAACAACCTCCCAAGGGGAGCCTGACTCGGGGAGGGTTCCACATGATACTGGGAATGCCACAGAATCAAGTTCAAATGTATCAGAAGCTTACAGAACCTCCTCAGACAACTTCTTTAAGAATATTTCAAATGTACTAGAAGATTCAGCAAACCAGCTTCGAACGGTTGCAGCAGGAATCAGAGAAATGAGTGGATTAGAATGCACAAATGGAAGGGAACCGAATCAAGAAAGCTTTTCTGCCTTGCCTCCAATTCCTTCGAACGTGAGTAGCAGAAGTGTTTCAGGAGAAAATTTAGTTCTAGGCCAAGCTTCAGACTATATTCAGCACCACTCACATAGACTGTATATATCCAATGAGGTGGTTCATAGGTTTCTCCCTTGGGATTCTCTTAATGAACTAATGGACGTTTTAGAAAGGGACTGTGGCTGGAGAAGACCAAGAATTACGATCCCCCCTCCTATAGACTCTATGGATTCTGGTCCATTAGCAATATTCATATCAGTATATCTTCAAGCTATGTCAATAGTTCAATCAAATCTAATGCAGATACAAGCGTGGCAGGAGAGATTTGCTAGACTAGATATCCCAAGACTTTGCTATACAGTACACTTACTTGCACTTATCTCCCACATTTCGGCTCATCTTGGCTCACTTTTGGCTTGGTTGTTCCAAAACATGGCACAATATGTTGAGCAAGACAGGCTCATTGAAGGCTTACAATGGAACAGGTCTAGTAAAGACGGAGAGAATTCTGGAGCCTTAGAAAATGATGGTGCTCCAGAGGTTACTAAAAGAATAAATATAGATGAGGAACCTTCAACTGAATTGATAGGAGACTCTTTAAATAACGCTAATTTGGAACAAAACAGCTTAGATACTCAGAATAACACTATAGGCGGAGTTGAAATGCTTGAAAGAAGTGACTCCAGTCTTGGTATTAATAATGCTAACGCAAATTCATCATCTAATCTAGGCCCTGATCTTAGCAATGAAATAGTAATTAATCAACTTCCTAAAGAAATTAGAGAAAAGTGGGAAAGATGGACTGGGAACCCACAGAACTTCTCTAGAAATGTATTTGCTTCCTTCTCTACCAGACCTTTCAGTGATACCTACCAACAAGGTGATGTGTTTTCTAGTAGCTCAAGTTTTGGCTTCCAACAGCCTTCTAACGAAAGTGCAAATGTGTCAAGTGGTAGAATTAATAGTCATCCCACTACACAAGAACTTTTAAGAATGATTATTCACCAAACAGAGGCTAACTTGAACATTAGCGGTTCTTTAAACTCTCGTAATTATACAAATATTCAGAACGAGTATCGTTCAATGCTTATCAGAGACTTAATCAATATCGCGAGGAATGACTCAGATTTTCTTAATGATCGAAGCAGATTTCCGTATTTACAAAGAATAATTTCCCTTTTATATGAGTAATTTGCGTTGTACCTAGGGTGAATCGTACTAAGGAAGAAAATGTCTTCAATAATAACATAGAAGTTAAGTATTACGACTATTATGACTATACATTTTACTTTTTTTAATCACTTTCTCTCTCCTTTTTTTTATCAGGCAAAAATAACTTAATCGAAAGTTGACGATTAGTCATTATTTGAGCATGTGCGTTTTTTTGTGAATGATTTATAGGTGGGGGAGCCCGCCTAAACTACTTGTTTACAACGGTATACTATTACATGTGGGGCGGGTTTTCTGTAATTAATTTAAAATAGGGAATAAATAGGTATTGGGAAAATTGAATATTAAAATTTAAAAGATTAAGTTTGATTTTTACAGAGTTTTGATTTTGAGATTGTGGGTTAGATTTTAAATTTTGTGTTTCGAGTATAAGCTATAAGTATAGAAGTATTTCTGGTATTGAATTGGAGAATTTTTCGAAAAATACTGATTATTTACATTTTATATACGTTGAACTGACTTAAATCAACACGATTTTTTTTTTGTTTTGGTTGAATTTTGGTTAACTTGATTAAAAAATTATGGCAGACTACGGGACTACTGAATACTGGGAAGAGAGATACAAGAAGGATTCGAATCCATATGATTGGTATCAAAGATGGGAGAATATGAGGGAAATAATCAAAGATTATTTGAAATTTGACGACAAAATATTGGTAATCGGTAATGGAACAAGCAGATTGCCTGAAGAAATTTATGATGAGGGTTATCATGGAGTGGAAGCAATGGATATTAGTACTGTTGCAGTAGAGATTATGCACGAAAGGTTTGCTTCAAGAAATATTCCATGTCAAGTTAGTAATGTTTTAGACATGTATCAGTATTCTGACGATGATTATAATGTAGTCATTGATAAGGGGACATTTGATTCAATTTTATGTGGTGAAAATAGTCACATTAATATTGACACAATGATGAGGGAATTGGTCAGAATTCTCAACTACGAAAAAGGCAGGTACATATGTATTTCTTATGGGCAACCTAACTATAGACTGAACTATTTAAAATCCATAAAAGAATGGGAAGTAACCACCATTCCAATAAAGAAGCCTGCAAATGACCAAATTTATAAACTAAAAAACTACAATGATGAGGATTCTAATTCACAAGAAAATACCAACATTACTACTTCAACCAGACCTGACTTGTATCATTATATATATGTCTGTACAGTGATTAATAAGAATGTCCCCGAAATCGGAAATTCACTTGATTTAAATGATGATACTGGAAACGTGGAAACTGACAACTATGAAAATAAAGATAACTTAGAATTAAACACAGATAATTCTCAAGAAAATAATAGTTTTTCTCAAGATACTGAAATCAACCAGGAGAATAGGAGCGATGAATTCCAAATATGTGACGAGAATAAAGACCTTGATAATTCAATGTAGACATTCAAATTATTTGATTATCTTATAAATCTTTAACTTTTAAATTTTTGTTAACTTCTAGATATTTCCTGGTTTTAATTGCCTTAGATATATTTCTGTATTCTTCAAACCTTAAGATGGATTTCATAAGTTCAAGACAAAATTCCACTTAACCTTTCTTTCCAATTTTTCCTATATTTGTACTAAACAATCAAAATACAAGTTTCATTCCCCAAATAATTCCAAATATGGCCATAAAATTGTTAAAACCACTAAGCTTATATATTTGCTTTTTTTTTTGTCCCACAATTTTCTTTACTCAAATCATCCGTTTTTATTTCACCCCACTGCATTCCAATATTAGCCCGCTCGTTTTGCATGTTCAATTGTCATATATTGACTTTGAAACTACTTTTTAAAACTAATTTACTTTTTATATCCCTTAATTAATTATATTCGATATCTTAAAAATATTGTACGTATATATAAAGTTTTCAAGAAAACAAATAGCTTATTCTTAATACATTTCTTCTTTACTTTTTGCTCAGATTTCTCCTATCTCCAATTAATTACTTTCTGTACAAAATAATACTCAATATGGCGCCAAAAACATGCAATGGCATTTAACATAACATTTGTAGGGTAGTTTGCTCTTGACTTTTGTGTGTAAACAATAATTAATTGTTATATCAAAAAGCAAATAATTATTCAATTTATATGGCCGAAAAAAAAATTATGAAAATTTCTAATTATAGGGAATTTGAAGTGTATAAAGCTAATTAGTCAAATATTTAATTATTATTTCTCATTTGGAACTATTTCTAACAATAATTAGCATTTAATGCAAAACCTTATTATCTAACTCATAACCTATCAAACATTCAGCTATATCTAATTTGATTTAATAGTTCTCAGCAATTCCATGCTCTTTTCTAATAATGTATTAAAGCTCAACCCAAAATCCCTGCATCACTCCTCCCACCCACTCTCCCCCCTCACCCCCCCTTTTTGATTTTTAAAATCCATTTTACGTATTTGATCTAAATTTATTAAAAATTAATTAATTAATACGGCGGGAAAAAAATTACATGTAAAAATTATTATCGTTAGTCAAGAATACCAAAAGTGGAACAATAATGTAAGGTTTGAATTTTTTAATAAATTAAAATAAAGTAATAATTAGTTAGAAATAATAATAAATTTGAATAATACCTATTCTATGATATGGACGGTGAACCAGACTGGTGAAAAATTTACAAAGTTAAATGAAGTGTATTTATTTGACGTTTGGGCTTAAAAAAAAAAGTAGCATCTTGAAGTAAGTAATTACACATTGAGCTTTATAACGAGTTACCTCAAGTTTAAAAGATTTGTACTTTATGGGAATCTAAAACCCAGAGTTGAGATTGAGACGTAATAATTAAATATTGGAATTAATATAGTAGAAAAAAAGTTAAGTTAATTGGGCAGAGATGTTAGTAAATAATGAGAATGTAAGATCAGAAGAAGAAAATGGTCGTAAACAAATAAGAAATGGGACGATTGTCTATAAGATAGTGAATTATATGTCATCTTTAATAGGTGGAATTAATGATAATATGGGAAGAAATAACCCATGTATTGGTATTTTGAGTCCAATGTCCCCAATCATGATAACAGATCACAATAGGACAGTTGGAAATACTATGGTGCTGCCAAGTCCAGAGCCAATAATTCATATGATTCCAAATCAAAATATGAGAAACAATATGTTCTTTAACGTTTATAATGACAGAAATTTGGTCAACCAATTTGGACCTAGAGTTACTCCATACACTAATTTGAACAATGGATTACTAGCTATTAGTCAGAAAGGTGATCAAATAGTTACTGGAAATATTTCACTCATGAGCTCTCCCACTGGTATGTGCTTCAATTCTTCGAGAAATAGACTGGCTAATCCTAGAAGTTATTTTTCAAGGTTAAGGAATCCAATAGGTGAATGCGAAGCACTCGTCAAATCACCAATTAATTCATGTTTTAGTGGTCATATCAGTAAAGCTAATGATTCATCTGTTACTGAAATTCTTGTCTCTCCTGAACTTGCCCAAACACTTCAACAAATGATTTCAATCATTTCACACCAAATAGAAATTGATGACTCCGAAAACTCTTTAACCCCAAATAAAGTCAAAGGATGTATTAAGATTAATAGATATCAAAGAATTAACAAGAAAAGTACAATTGGAGGACTAAACTATGCTCTTATGAGTTATTCAGCTAGTATTATTCAAAAACACTATAGGAATTTTGACAATAATAGAATTGTAAGATATGTTAATCCCATTACTAGAAGTAAATTTTCCAAAAATCAAATCATGGATGCAATTCACGTAATTCAAAGGTACTGGAGAATATATATTTATCGTAATCAGCTTATGAGAGAGTTCTTGGTAAAAAGCGTTATGACTGCCAGAAATGTTGCAAGTTGTAAGATTGCTTCTCTATGGAAAGGATACAAAACAAGAAAATTTATGGATTCCATTATTAAAGATGTATACATTAAATGGATTTGGAGTAATGATGGTACCATTAGTAAAAATCACTCTTTTGAGACTAACAGTACCCAAAGCTATGAGTATACTAAATATGATGTTAAATTAAGAGGGTCCTTCACCTGTAAACCTTGGCAAGAATATTTAAAACTCAATTGGGACAGCCAGGAAAACTGCTTCCTTGTAAATACTTGTCTTACAAAAGGAATCCATTACCTCCAATTTATAATTAATGATGAAATCAAAGCCTGTGGAAGTATGGAGATTGTAGTTCTACCCATCATTGGAGTCTCTAACAAAATCAATATTGTTGGAGAAGCATACAAAAGTTCACGTAAGTTTATTTTATTATTTAATATACTAATAAACTTCTTTTTTCCATTTCAGTAAAGAGAATCAGAATGAACATTCAAAAATCTATTTCAAAAGTAAACAACTAACGAATTTGAGAATTTTATCGTTTTTTTCTTCCGACTGAGAACCTACTAACTCATTTCTCCTATTAAAATATTTTATTACAATACTATCGAACAGGTTTATTTAATTCAAAAGAAAAGTAATTATCTATTTTAATATATATCTAAATTTGCACTTATTTTTTCATCTGATAAAATAGTACTCACAAATTACATGCAAATATATAACGTGGCGCCTATAGTGCCCGCCTAGGTATGTATGCTTAAGACTAAACAATTAGGTCAGACTAAACAAATAGTAATTAAAGCTAAATAAATAATTTAATATTAAAAACGTACAAATTAAATTATAAGAGTTCAAGTTAAAAAAGAAATACTTAAAAATTATTACTTATGATAATGATAAAAATTGTAATATTTGAGTAAATTGATCACATTTAATAATTTATTTATTACAGCTAGTTCCAATTTATTAAAGTTTTTTGTGAATACAGTGAAATAATAAAGTGATCTTAAGTTTTGTGATCATATTGATTTAAACTATTTTTTGTGATAGCAGACTTAAAAGAAACAAAATTCCCTTTTTTTCAAAGTCTCAAGATTTCAAGGTAAATTAATCAACTTAATTAAATAGAATATTTGAAAAGTAATGATTTAAAAGGATATTGCAGTTTTGAAAATGTTTAGCCGTTTATATAATAGGAATTTGGATAATAATCATCAAAATTCAGGTAAATCTAACAGAATTAGGATAACTTTAAAAGATAGAATAAATTCTAAAGAAAGTAAAAACCTCCCAGTAACTGAAAGTATGTCTTTTATAAACCATGGAGAAAGAGATGATTATTCGCCAATAAGAAGAAATAACACAATAGGAAGAATCATACAAAATGGATCTCAACATATATTTTATCCAGTAAATCCAAATAATAATTTCACTAGACAACCAATTAGAGGTTGTTATAACTCTAATATAGTACATAATAGTCACTCAAAGATACAATATAAAGGTTCAATTGAATCTGTAACGAATAATAGAAAATCTGATGAGTTTAATCCAATTCAATCGTTAAGATCATCTCCTGACTTAGTTTCCAAGGTACCATCAAATATTGAGGTAACAGAAGATCAGGAGCTTAGAAAAGTGAAAACAATTACTTCTTCAATTCCTTTGGAATTAATTGAAAGAGATTCATTAGAAAGATTGAAATCTTCAAAAAGCCAAATAAATGAAATAGAGGATAGCGAGAATGAGAGATTGAATAGTAACAGAAACAGGCACGGAATACCATTTGATTTATATTCACTATCTGAAGATTCTATGGGAAAGATAAATTCGGAATTCCCTGTAGAAAAAGAAGGACCTATAATTGAAACTAATGAAAAGAATAAAAAGGATGATGTACTTGTAAGGAGTATATCATTGAATAAAGAAAAGTTACCTAATTTAGAGATTTTACCTTTAAAGAGTTTTACAGCCTCGGAAGAAACTATGAGTAACCAAAAGAAAACAAGTAATAGTGGAGAAAATTGTGAGTTAAGGGCCCTTATTAATGATAAGAGCAAGGAAATCAGTGGATTAATTCCAAAACTTAACAAATCAGCATTTTATTTCGTAAGATTTAATTTGCTTCTGCATTTAGCTGCAATTGTTATACAATGTTACTTCAGAAGGTATCTATGCAAAAAATACCTATATTTCAGAAAATTTGGGCCAATAAAGCTTTTGAACAGCTCTGCAATGCAAATACAAGCTTGTTGGAGAAGTTTCCTGACCAGGTTTGGAAAATCATTGTGTGGTGAGACACTTTCGAACAATAGAGGGAATGGATGTATGAATTGTTATAATTGGTCGTTCCTTCATGAAAAAAATTTTGTTGAGATTGTTAAAAAAAGAAATCAGAATGCGAAATTTATACAAAATTACTGGAAAAACACATATATAAATAATATTAACATTGAGAGAGAGATCTTGACTAATTCTATCTTTTCAGCTAGAGCTTTAGCCAGGGAAACTATTGAAAGATTTCTTCTTGGTTATTCAGTTAGAAGAAATGTTGATTCTAAATATAAATTAGTTCCTATTAAGTGGGGCTGGAGTACTCAAGAGATTTCGGAGATCTTTATTTTATTAAAAAAAAGGAATAAATGGTCAGAACCAAAGAGAATGTTGTTCAATCAGGAGGAAAATTTGTACAAATATCATCTTTTCCTCTCAAATGGCACGCATCAAATTGTATTCAAAGTCCACTACAAAAATAAAGAACTTAAAGAAGGTCAGGATTTCAAAATTTTGTGTGATTCATCTTTGGAAACCACTCCAAATGAAGAATTCCAATTTGTGAATAACATTAGTATTTATAACAATAACTACACAACCAGTGCTTTCAAATATTTGAGAAACAGAATCTCGTCTATTAATTTCCTAACTAGTAGTAATTACGTAGGCGAACCTAACTCCGATATTGTGCAAGATCTTGAGCAAGATCTTAGCTACATTGCATTATCTCCGAGCTACAAGGAATCTCTTGACAGAGAGTATTCAGAAACTGAATATGCTGGTTCTCCCTATAAGAACTCAGGCAGACTTAAGAACGATGCTATCAGCACTCCGAGTACAAATTTGGACTATAGTCCTGGAATTCAGCACTTTGTCCATTAGTATTCTGAATATCATTTAGTTTTGACGTTTTAGCACTTAAGTTTAATTCATCACTTATTGAATTTTTTTTTATCATACCTGCATCTTTTAACCTTAAAAGTTTCCCGCCAGATCTAATTTAAGTAATTTTATGGTAACTGAGTAAAAATACTGAAAAATTAGGTACAACAAAATATTAAATAAAAACTATTAATATAATAATATTTGCTATATAAAGTTATATAATAAAAACCAATAATATTATTACAAAATATACTTGTGTAGACAACTAATGGTGGATAATACACGAGGAGAAAAAGACCTAACAGGGTTAAATACAAATAATAACGAAGGTTTGGATGCAAGCTCTAACTTGAATTTTGACATTCAGTCTTCTCTTTTAGCAACAAAGAGGGCCCTGGATGAAGATATGAAGGTAAGTCAATCAACCAATGCATTGGTGGAGAGTCAAGTGTATTTTTAAGACTCTATAATTTCTATGCCATATTCTAATAATTATTTTAATACTTACTCTATGTAAATGCAGAATCTAAGCATTGTTAATGTTGATGCGGGAAATATCCAAAAACTCTCTCAGTTGTTTGATATATCACTTTTACAGGCAGAAAATATACTCAAAACCAACAATAACAGCATTGAAAAGTCTGTTGATGACTTACTATTAAATTTCTCTGATTTCCAAAATAGCAGACTTAAATATCAATTTTAACTTTTAGGCGCCAAAGTCATGTAATTTAGTTTTTACCAAATATGTTTTTTTTTAATATAATTAGGCGATTGGCGGCAGAAGTAAATAGAACAAAATTAAATAAAGGGGTACCTATTGATTAAGAATGTAAAAAAGCTTTTGAAAAAATTGGTCAACTTTTGTGGCAAATTTCTCAGAGTATATATAACTTGGTGCAGTTAAGTTTTCAACGGAAGATTTAGTTCGAAAATTTAAAAGTAAATCTGTTGTGGATCATGATTTTGGATTGTGTGTAAACAAGCTGATAATATTTTAATATACACTGGAACTATTTCTTTGAAAATTTTTAGAAGAATAAACATGGAAATGGAGAGCTCTGTGTTGAACCATCCTCTTAAGAAGAAACTGAATAGAGTGCTAGAACTTAAGCTTGGAGAGAATGAGGAACTTATTAATGGACTAATAAGCTTGGACACTGTAGATGATGTCTCAGAAGGAATTCCAAAGCAGTTAGTTATGGAGTTACTAGACACTAAAGGGCAAAATAAGTGTAGATCTATGCACTTTTCTATATATAAATACCATTTGATGATCACGGAGAACTGTTTGGATTCTCTGAGGCCTTTTGTTGAGGATCTTAGAGCAATGAATAATGAAATCAAGGCATTTGAAAAGGAGTTTAATGAGAGCATTACAACTCAGTTAACAAACTGGCACAAGTTCACATTTCCGCTTTTGGAAGAGTTTAAAAAGATACAGGATCAAATACAAATTGTTGAAAACAAAAGAAGTATGTGCAATACAATGTTGTCACACCTAAGTACTAACTTTGTTGGTGATATAAAGAATCTAAAATCTTCTATGGATGAGTCTAAAGGGAATCTTTTGCTCTCTTTAGTAGCAATATATAATAAATGTATGGTAAGCGAGACTAATTCTAAAAGATTAATTGAAATTTTTAGTAGTGATTCACAAAAAGAAGAAAGTACTTCAGAGTCTGTTCTCTCCAAACTTAAAAATGACCCTGAATATTCTAATATGATACCTAAAATTCTCATTAATATGAAGGCTCTAATATTAGATTTAGAGCTTAAAAGAAACCAACTAGCTTCTGAAATCACCAGTTTCTTAATTGACCAAGTGATTTCCAAATCACCTGATGAGTTTAATGACCAATTTGAATTGTCACAGAATACAGAAGACGAGGTAGATGGTATGGAAAAAGGAGCAGAAGGAAAAGTTTGTATTTTTGGAAGTCAAAGTTTCCAAGAGGCTGTGGAAATACTTAGACTTTATCACGAGGAGCAATGTTGCTCTTTACTTTCCTGTGTTATTGAAACCAGGTCAAAGTACTTGGAGTATAGATTTAATCACATAATAGAGCATGGAATCTCAATTGGAGATGCCAACTACTCTACCAACTTATTGGACTATTTGGAGTCTATTTTTGAATGGATTCGAGTTTGTGGAGTTTCCATTGAATCAGAATTTCTAGTCAAAGCTTTTGGATATGAGGTATGCCAAGATTGTGAATTTGAAGAGAAGCATCTGGACTTCAACCAAAATAAAACTTCTGGGCCAAACTCCGTGGATGAAATGGCCAACAATATTTTGAATAGTATAACCCACACTCTTTGTATTCCTTTTTCCGGAGCAATCAGAGATATCCTTCGTCAATTTCATCCTCCCAGGACGTCTAGGCCAGATTCTGCTCACCACTTTGGTAACCTAACTTTCCTCAAGACAGGAATTACAATTGGGATCAAAATTGCACATTTAATTGACAATTATATTGAGACTTTAATTCCATTGTTTAAAGTTTTGCCTAAGCGATCTAGCTCATCCCCAAAACAAGTCCGCCTTGCATTTCCTCTACTTATTCAACGATTTAAAGATTTAAGAGAGGAAGCAATTGCTCAGTACTATGTTTATGCAGGAATCGTCAAAGAAAACGTATCTTCTCGTATATCTGAAATTTTAACGGTAGACTTCTCAATCTCACTTCTGGTCATGGAATGGTCCTCTCTATTAAGAGATATTCTCTCTACTATACAGAGTGGAATTCTGGTTATATCAAATGACAATACCCCAAATAGAGAGGATATCAATTCTATTTTAACATCTATGCTTGAAACCTTTATAAACCCTATGTTTAATGCTATTTGCTCAGTTGCTACTTCAGATGAAACTCCTCTTGCTTCAATTATTAGGATTAACAACATAAGTTACTGTCTCTCTGTGCTAACAGCCTATCCGAAGATGAATTTCTTGCTGAAAAATCAGATTGAGATAGCAGATCAAATAATAAATGATGAAGTTTCCAAACTAACTAATTTACTAAAAGAAGAGTTTTGTGATAAATATAGGTTTGAGGAGCTTCTTAAAGAGCTTGAAGTCAAAAAAAAAAGTTTATCGAACTCACAAATAGTGGATGAATCTAGTGACAATCTCAATTCAAAATCTAATTCCAACTACATAAATAATGAAAGTGAACCAGGCCAGGACCCTCTTTTGATTCTCTCACAAGTAATTATTGACCAGTTCTTTGAAAGTATCCTACGATTTGGAGCTATTCCTTTTGCCAATGCTGACCGAATCCAAGATAAACAAATTAGAAATAGTTTATTAAAAAACCTTTTTGAACACATTTCACGTCAATATGAATTAATATTTGACCAGATTAATTTGATTTGGCCTCAAGAAAGTTCATTTCTCAAACATGACCCTCACCAAATCAAGCTGATTTTTTCTAACTTAACTAATTAAGGAGATTAATCTAGGTTATAGTAATTCACACATATATTTACTAGAACCGTCATATTTTTTTTTTTGTATCTTCCATTATTTTTTCATATTTTTGTTATAACTTTTAATAGTCAGGGAAAACTGGTTAACCAGAATTTCCCGCCTGCGCCACATGCAAATAATTTTCATAGTTGGCCCTAGACCGAGGAAATTGCATGTGAAAAAAAAAATTCTCAAAAAAAATAATAATAATAAGAAATTTATGTTAACCCAAGAATTAGATTTTTAAAGGAAATAGCAAGCTGGTTTGTTTTTTTTTGCTTTTTTTGAGAAAGACTTAAGGAGATTAGGAACAAAAACTAGTAGAATAAAAGTAATATATTATCAATAGATAAGAAATAACAATAGTTAAAAGGTTATATCAGAAATTAACAATATACTGCCAATTAATTTGAGATTTTGAGAGTAAACAACTATGAGCAACTATAAGCAAACTGAGCTTAAAAGAAACAAAGGTGATTCCAAAAATATCTCACTACTTTCAGCCTCGAGTCTTCATGAAGGACATTCAAATATGCAGATGTGGAGAAGAAGATGGGAACCATGCCTACCACATATATTAAGATCCCCATTATTAGTCAAAGAGGTTTCGGTTTTCGAAGGAATGGGTAGAATGGAAAGATCAGACGTTTCAGCTTACTTTCCCTTGACATCTGGAAGTAGCCTGGTAAAATTTGAAGCAATTTCGGATGGAAGTAGCTCTTGGAGGAAGTTTCCCGCCAGAAGAATTGGAGTAGTATTATCAGGAGGTCAGGCCTCCGGAGGCCACAATGTAATCGCAGGTTTAATGTCCTATATTAAGCTTTGTAACCAAAGTAGTCAACTTTTTGGATTTTTGGGAGGCCCGGAAGGAGTATATACAGAGAAATACAGAGAGCTAACTGAAGAGGATATTAATGGCATACTTAACCAAGGAGGTTTTAATGTAATATGTTCAGGTCGTCACAAAATTGAGACAGAAGAACAGATGAAAGCTTCCTTGGAGATTTGTGAAAAGCTAAAATTGCATGGACTGGTAATTATTGGAGGAGATGACTCGAATACAAATGCAGCAATTTTGGCTGAATATTTTAAATGCAACTCATCTAGTACAGTTGTAGTTGGATGTCCAAAGACCATAGATGGAGATTTGAAAAATGAGGTAATAGAGACATCTTTTGGATATGATACAGCAATTAAGACATATAGTGAACAGATTGGGAGCATTATGGATGCAGTTAGAACAGAGAAAGATAGATACTATTTTGTAAGGCTGATGGGAAGATCTGCATCTCATATTACTTTGGAGTGTGGTCTTCAAACAAGAGCAAATATGATTATAATTGGAGAGGAAATTAAAGAAAATAACCGATCTTTGATGTCAATTGTAGATGATATTGTAGATATGATTATAAAAAGAGACTCATTAGGAAAGAGATATGGAGTTGTGCTATTACCTGAAGGGTTAGTAGAGTTTATTCCGGAATTTGAGGCATTAATTAAAGAATTAAACCTCATTTTACTTAAAACAAGTGAAAGGAGGCAGATTATAGATAGCTTAAGCCAAGAAATGAAGACTCTTCTTTTGAAACTCCCTTCTGATGTACAGAATCAACTTCTTTTGGAGAGGGATCCACATGGTAATGTGCAAGTAGCCAAGATAGCAACCGAGGAACTGTTGGTACATATGGCAAGGGAAAGACTTGAACAGATTGGGAAGGCTCATATTTTGGACAGTGTAAAAACTCACTACTTTGGATATGAGGGAAGATGTGCTTTGCCTTCAAACTTTGATGCAAGCTATTGTTTCGCCCTTGGACATACTGCAGCAGCTCTGATTGACAATCAGCGTTCAGGTTATATGGCAGTGGTTAGAAAACTAAATCTAAGCCCCGAACAATGGGAGCCAGCAGGATGCCCTCTCACATATATGATGAATATCGAACTTAGAAAGGGGAAATCTGTTCCTGTTATTAAGAAGTACTTGGTAGATCTTAAGGGGCAGTCTTACTTAGCTTATTGCCAAGTGAGATCGGAGTGGAAATTGAATGATTATTACAGGAATCCAGGACCAATACAGTTTGATGGCCCTAATTCGGGAATAACTAATTATATGATATCTCCCCCAAAAGTGGAGGATTTATTAAGGATTGAAGATAAACATGAAATTAAGACAAAAAATAAATCATCAAGTTCAGATAACTTTCAAACCAGTCAAAAAGACGAGATAAAGATACCAAAGATTCTACTTTCAGCCGCCTCTAGATTTAATGATGATTTAATCATTTCCTCATCATGTAGAGATTTGGAAGCTTCTATTATTACCAAGTGTTTACCTCATCAGACAAGAAAGCATAACAATAGAATACTACAATTAAGAGAAGAGGAGAATTTTTCAGGACACACAGAAATTAGAGAAAACAGCCAGTGCAAATCTTCCATGAGTAACTCATTTGCTTGTGATTCACTTGGATTAATTCTATCATGTCTCTCAACTCCTGGAGCTCAGAATGTAATTTGTGGGTTAGTCAGTGGGCTCCCATCACTTAAACAACTCATAGTTTTTAAGTCTCTATCAGAGTTTTTACAAGGAAAGGCTCTAAAAGTTGATCTTAGTTCTGAGGGGTCTTTAAAGTTTTTTGAGGATTCTCTCAATTCTGGTGGTTGCACATTTCCAAACGGAGTAGAAGTGACAATGAATAGTTTCTCAGAAAAAAAAAGCTCTCTCACAGCTTTAAAGCCAAGTGAAGCTCAAGAATTCGCAAACAATTCGTGCATCTTTTCATGCAGAGGACTGACCAGCAATGACTTCCTTTCCCAGCTTTTGTCATTTTTTAATATTAAAGCTTTTGCAATTGTGGGGAACAGTGAGGCGGCAACATTTGGCGCCTCACTATCAGAACAATTAATTTGCATGTCATTAAATAACATAAAGAATGAGATTCCGGTGGTATTTATCCCTGTTTGTTTGGAGAATAGTATTTCTCACCAAATGATTGAAACATGTGTTGGATTTGATTCTGTATCCAAGAGTATTTCAACTTTGGTTGGGAATTTGTTGACAGATTCAGCTTCTGCAACAAAGTATTGGTATTTCATGAAGATAATCGGTGAGAAGACCTCAAATGTCGCTTTGGAAGTTGGGATTCAGACTCACCCAAATTTGGTTGTAATTCCAGAAAGATATACAGATGGGAAACTGTCAGTTTATGGTTCGGAAGTAATTGGGGCCACATTGGATGATATTATTACTGAAATTTGTGATATAATTTGTTTAAGGTCTAATCAGGGAAATAATTTTGGCGGGCTATTAGTATCAGAAGGCCTTTTTGACCAGGTATACCCAACAAGAGAGTATAGAAGATTATTTTCAAGATTTGGCACTCAGAATTTAAATAATGTTTTAAAGTCAGAAGTATCCAATATTTTGAGTTCTGAGAATCCGAGTAAATATGAAAAGAAGATTATTGAGGATTTTAAACTTATATTTAGCGATATAGATGCAAAGCTAATTGAGAATTTGGTCAATACGAAAAAAATATGCGACGTTCAGACTGAGGTTATTTTAGCATCTCTAGTTCAAAAGGAACTTAAATTTAGAAGATCCAAAAACAAAATTAAGAATGGAATGAACCCAGTATGTTTCAGCTTCACAGATCAAGTCAGAGCATGCTTTCCTTCAGATTTTGATTCCTCACTTGGTTTCATGTATGGAATGTTGGCATCAAAAATTATTAATAGTAACTTAGTTGGGGGATATGTAACAGGGATTAAAGGAGTGTTAAATCAAACAAATAATTGGAACATGTATGCTCTCCCTATTTCATCATTAATGACCTTAGACATTGAAAGAATTAAAGAAGTACAAGGCCTAAGAAATGACCTTAATGTTTCGTTAGAATCAAAAAAACTTTTAACCGAGGGTACAAAATACGAAACAAACCATCAACAAACATTTATTTGCAAGCTAAACTCTATTAATTTGAGTAATAACGCCTCCTTTAGACTTCTAATGAACCATATTGAAAAATGGGAGGTTGATAATAACTATGCTAATCCAGGCCCTATACAGTACTATAATGTTTTCAAAAACCTATTTAATAGGACACTGTTTGAAAATGAATACATTTATGCACGAAGCCTAAAAGAAATTGATCAAATCCTGCTTGAAATCAAAACATCATGCCAACTCGGAGTTGAAAAGGATGTTCTAAACTCTACTATACACCACTTAAGAGCCGTACAAAATTCAATTACAATTATGAACAATTGTAACCACAGAAAGTTTAAACCAGAACAAATTGAATGCATACAGAAAAAAAACTCAATTAGTGACTACATATCAAACTTAAGGTGCAGAAATAATATCAACGAAACTAATCTAGAAATGATTGTCGATAATGTTGTTAATCAAGAAACCTGTAATTAATTTGAAAATATGGCGCCTTCCCGCCTAATGTGTGCAAAACCAATATATATATATGATTAAAAATTCAGTCCGAGAATTTGGTGATACACTGGGATGCCGGAAGTTACACAACTACTGTTATCCTTACACCGTACTACAGCGAACCCTTTTCCGTGCTCTGTTTCCAGCCTCCGGCGGTACGGGTTTCACTATCTCACAAGTCATCTCGGTCTCCACCAAGGTAACTCTAGAGACTGCAGCCTTGTAACGGGCAGCCATCGTGCAATGTTACTTCCAGACATAGTGTATTACAACATCCCATCCTGAACCTTTAATGACTCCACTTGGTTACAGCTGGGCGTGAACCCAGCCAGTCACTTCGATATTATTTTAGAATTTAGATTATTAAGTACTTTTCATTACTTTTGAATGACGGCCTTTATTTGGCGGGAACCTGTGGTTAATTTTTTAAAATAATCTTCAAGTGATAAAGGGGGAAGTAAAAAAAAATCGGCTAATATATTAATCATTAATCTAACTTTATAATTTGGATTAGCTGAGTGAACGCATTTCACAGTTTATTCTCGGCAAAAATGTCTGCCCTATTCAATTTTCAGAGTATGATTGTGGTAATCTTGTTGTCAATATGTACATGCTCGTATTTACGTCCAAAAATCCCAGGTTTAATAGACAATAAAAAAACGGGGTTCTTGGGAATTTTAGGTAAAATGGCAGTAATTGGAGATAGGCTTAGCCCATATGTGTCATTTGCATGTATTTTTATGGCAGGAATGACAATATTCTATAGATAATATCAAATCTCAGTAATATTCAGACAAACAATATAATCAATCAAAATTTCAAAAGTTTTACTTTGAGATGATCAAAAATTATATAGCTTAAACAAGTATCCATAGTTAAAGGAAATTAAATAGATACTCATTTTAGATTAGATAACTTTCTAAGTACTAAATATTTGTCACAAAGTTTGTGTATCAAAGAAATAATTATAACTACTTCAAACCAAACCTTAATTTCCTTGCTTGGATCTTTTTTTCGTGATCTGGATCATTTACTCTTGACATTGTTCCAAATCTTTCTCTTCTATTTTTTATCTTATCAGCTTCTGATATCATCCCAAATCTTTCTTGTCTAAGCTTTCTCTTATCATATTCAGACGTGGCACCGAATCTTTTTGAACGAGCAAGCCTTTTTTCAGCCTCTGTAGATGGCTCGCACGTTCCAAACTTCTGTCTTCTTAATTCAATTCTTTCTTTTTCAGAAAGTTGGTTAACATCGTTTATACATATTGTTTGTCTTAATGAATCTGTTATGTTGCTATTCTTTTCTACTTGGTCTATTTGAATCTCACTATTCAGAACAGCTGTTGGGCCCTCTGGTTCTTCTTTCTCCGTTGTTACAGAGGTAGTAGTAAGAGTAGTTGCCACTGTACTATTTGCTTGGCTATTTTGGGTGTCATAATCAATCAATGCCTGGACTAGTTGTTGCTAAAAACAGAAAAAAATCAATTCATTTTAGACTTTTATATCAGCATAAGGCTTTAACCTAATCATTACTTACCTTTCTCCCAGTAACAGACAGACCCCTTTCTTTTAATAGCTCCTTCAGCTCATCAATCTTTAAAGTATTATAGTTCATTTGATCCAAAGTCTTCGAACCCTAATTAATAATATATACAGAGTCTCAATCTAATTCAATTTTCTTATTTATCTTTCTAAAGTACTCACAATCTCTGCTAACAAGTTTTTCATTTAAATGTAGTTTTTATTTAAGAAAAAAATAATAAAAAAGTTGGCGCCTTTTTTAAATATATTAATATGGAAATGATATAATTAGTATTAAAATATACGAAAAAAATGAAAGTTGTGCAAACAAAAAGTGCAAATATAGAAGAAGTTGACCAAAATAGGATATTTTTATAGTTGAGTATTGGATAGGCTGAGTAGTCCTAGCATTATTTTCAAATCAAAACGTATACTTTCCATGTTTTCCGTTACAAATGATCTCCTTTAGATATATTAATTAGGTTAGATTGATCTATGTATAATGTAGATAGGGTCTAAAACGGCTATTGGTTAAAGGACTGGCAGTAAATTAGTGTTCTAGGAGAGTACCCCACAATCTTTTAAGTGAGAATAAAGCTAAGAATTCTAGTATTTGTATATTAAAGTGTTGGAAATATTAGGAGATGTGTAAGGACAATATTGATGTAATTTAGTACTAATCTTTGCGTATTTGATTAGGAGTTTTTCGTGTTTTGAAGACAATTTTGATTTTTTCATCAGGTAATTTCTGGATATTAGATGTGAGTTTCTGATCAAATTGGTGCTCTTCAAAATTTCCTTCAAGTTCAGAAATGCAAGAGTAAACTTTTTGGGATAAGTTGTTCTTCTTAATTTGAACACATCCTTCAGTAAACTTAAATGGATTATGAGGTTGAGATTTTAAATTGGTATCCCCTAAAAAGGCAGATTCTGACTCTTTGACTTCTTCCCACTGTCCAATAATCCCCATTTGATTCTTCTTATCTGTATGATTTTCATTATAATCCTCACTTTCGAAGCAATTATGTAAATTTTCATGGGAATGACTATTTTTGAAGACATTATCTGCGAAAACCGATGAGTTTGTTGACTTTACCTTATCTATTTGTTTAATTGTCTTCTTTTCTTGGCTAGGTTTTTCTACAACTCCCTGTAACTTCATAAACTCCTTCCGAATTTCCTCCTCATTCTTCTTTTTCTGAGAATCTCTATAGTTTTCGCTTTTTAATAACTTCCTCAAATTGTACTTATGCCTTCCACCTTCCTGATGGCTTCTAAGATTATTTGGGTGATTTTCTATCCATATTTTGCAAATTTGGCAATAATGTTTGTTACTGACTTCTTTTCTCCCCCTCATATATTCCTATATTTTTAACTTCCACAAATCTATGTCTACCACCTATTCAGGTATCAGTATAAGTGGGTTTGGCTTTTCTCCTCTCTTTCTCCCTCTTATTAATAATCCTTTTATATTATGTAAAAAAAAAAGGCGCCAAATTCATGCAATGCTTAAATTGCCATGTTAAAAAATGCTGATAAATTAAGGAGAAAGAAAGTAAATAGAAAAAAAAATGAGTTACGTAATTATATATAAAAATTTTAATTGAATTGTATACTAAAATTGTAAAGGAAAAGAGCTAATGGGAAAGTTGGAGTTTTAATTAGTTTGATTTGAGTTTAAGCCACACCTGGCAGAGATCATACACAGTTGGCCAAGGAGTTTATCTAACTGCAAGGGGGTTGCACACCCATCGAGCATGACAAAGTGGCATCTCCCAACCTCCTTTAGATACTCCAAAGTGGCCCTTTCAGAGAGCTGATATCTCTTTAACACGTTTCTCATAGTAATGACAATATCGAGTGGAGAATACCCTCCAATAAAAAGTTCTTCAACAATGGAATGAGCTAATCTCCAGTTACATTTGACACACGAATCCAATATACTTTTAATTTTCTCAGGAGAAGGAATGTCAGAGACTTTTAGTACATTATCTCTGGAAACCATGGAAAATCCATGGTAAGTTGCTTGGAGATTATTAATGATAATTCTCATATCTCCATCTGCAGTAAATACAAGAGTATCAATTCCAGAGTCAACATATGGGATGTTTTCCATTTTTATAATTTCAAATAGTCTTTTCCTGATTTGTGCATCTGTTAGCTTCGAGTACCTTATAATTGCACATCTACTTTGAATTGGCTCAATAATTTTTGTTGACTGATTACAGGCCAAAGCAAAACGAGTACTTTCCGAGTATACCTCCATTAATCTTCTAAGGGCTTGTTGAGCTGAGTCTGTCATACTGTCTACTTCGTCCAGTATTACTATCTTGTGTCTTCCTTCTGGTAAGTCTATTTTTTCTCTGGCAAAAGTCTTAATTTTATCTCTGACAACATCAATACCACGATCATCCGATGCATTTAACTCCAAAACTGCTCTTCCGTATTTGTTTCCAAGCATTTCCGAGGCCAAACAGTGAATACTGGTGGTCTTTCCGGTTCCTGGAGGACCAGAGAGCAGCAAATTTGGCATATTTCCATGTTTCGCTAGCACCTTCAATCGAGTTAATACTTCTTCGTTCCCAACCATCTCATCCAAAACCTTTGGACGGTACTTTTCTATCCAAATTTGGGTTGACATATTCAATCTCTGGTAGTTTTTTCTTAGTTGTTGATGCTTTTTCCAGCCTCTGGCTCGACAAAACCCTAAACTTCTGATCTGTGCTTCAATCTATAACTAATACAATTCTGATATAAATAATAATATATTCACTCACACCTTTTCTTGTACCTTTTCCCCCTTTTTTAGTCATTTCCCTACTTGCAATATAAATATTACACAGGTACCTCATTCTTGGCGCTCATTATTTTGAAATTAAACAAAAAGTTAATGGAAGTGAAATGGAATCAGATAATAAAACCAACAGCTCTACTTCCTGAATTAAACAAAAATCTAAACTTAAGATTGTAACTTTTCCCAACCTTATTTTCCAAACTTTTCGTCTCTTTATTACATTATTATTATTCAGAAGTAAATTGGCAAACTAGCGCCACCGGTTCTGGCGGGCTCATGTGTGGGGAGATTGTTTGAAAAAAAATGTTTGAGCAGAAATTATAAAGCTGGGTAAAAACGTATTATTTCAATTCCTGCTTCTTCAAATTTTGCATGGGATTTGACTGAAAAGTGAACTAAAACGGTTTGGATTACTTTCTTTTCTAAAGAAAAAAGTACCATTTTATACTGGGTAGTAGTCTTAAGAAAAGCAAACATACTCATGTTCATCAAGTTGGTAAATGACCAAATATTTAAATAAGTACATACAAACAATTAAAACAAAGCTCAAGATTAACAGCTTTGAGATTCTAAAATTTGAATGTGAAAGCGAAACAAACGGTCAATTTTGACAAATTGGTAGATGATAGACATTCCAGAATTAAAGGAGACTTTATCTTGGGACGATATTTATAACTTACTCGAGTCAAGCCTAAGAATCAGCTCAAACTTAGACCCAAAGCTGTTGGTTAATACAATCTTATGTGAGTGCAGGAAAGTTATTAATTGCAAAGATTGTAATCTATTCATTTATGACTCTATTAACGATGTTTTCTACCATGGGTTTGATACAAGTAAGTATATAATATCTGATTCCTTGCTGAAGAAAGTACTCCTTAGCAATGAGTACGAAGTTCTAACTAACTTAGGAGACTCTGATAATCATCAGCTCGAGAATAACCATGATATTAAAACCAAGAGATTTTCCAATAACGCTATTTACCTCCCTATATATAACACTGAAAAAGAATCTCCAATAGCTGTTCTTGAGATATTGGACAAGTTCAATCTGGATAAAGACGGTATTGAAATTGAGGAAAGTTTTTCTCAAATTGACATTGTCAAGTTAAGGTGTCTGTCCAAAATATTTTCTATTTCAGTTCTGAATTGCGAAAAGTACAAGGAAGTTAGAAACACTAAGGAAAAAGCAGACAATCTACTTAATCTTGTTCAATCTTTAAGACCAGATCTGGGACTTCAGTCTAATTTGTTTACCCTTTGTATTCATGCTCAGGAAATCATTGAATCTGAACATTGTATTGCTTTAATTGGGATCCCTGATAGACAGCAAATCATATCTCTCATTTCAGACACAGGAAATGAGCTTCTTTTCAATTATGAGATAGGCGACATTATTCACAAAATCATTGAAACCAGGCACTCCCTCATCATCCAAAATACTGGAGATGATAATGAACCCCGGTTCGTGAATAGGCTAGTTGAATGCTCTTGTAGCTCAATTAGGATTGTGATAGGAAGTAGCTCAGTTTCTACGAACAATGATGACCAATTCATCCGCCTTCTACAGAAGGTCTATGGAGGGGAAAAACCAATCTATAATGCCTTAGTATTCCCGATATATGCAGAAAGAGACAATTGGTCCTGTATCCCAACCCCCAGCCAAAGAATCTCATCAATTTCTTCCCTTTCTTCTGCGTTCTCCTCTTTTGAAATTGGACACGACTATGAGGATTTGGCTTCAGTATCCCCTAGAAATAACTCGATTCTGAACTCTTCAATCATTTCTTCCAGTGTTGTTGCTCCCAGCTCTCCAAAATCTGACAGAGTGGGAAGAAGCAGCTTGATTAACCAGCCTCACACTAACACAAGATCTTCATCTCTATCTCCAAGTACTCAATTTGTTCAAGGAAACAATACTCAAGCAATATCCCTTATTGTGCTTATTAACAGATTAGGTGTTTTCAAAGAGAAATCTAAATTTACTGAAAATGATGTCAGACTTCTTGAACCTTTTGGCAGAATTGTTGCTCCTAATATAGGTACCTTGTTCCAAACATCTCTGTTTTCTTATCTTCAAACAATCTACAACACTGACAGAAATATCAGCTTTAATAAGTATCAGGACAAAATGCCACAAGATCCTCCCCCATTTGCATTTCCCCACAGCAACTGGAAAAACAGACATTCTGATATAATTTTCGAGGAAGATGAGGATGGAGCTAAAGATTTAGAAAAGTAAGGAGTATAGTTATTCGGAAATTAGATGTTTCTTATTTTGTATATATAGATTGACTAATGTTTACTTTAAGAGAGACAATACACATCTAACAATAATTCTAACTTTGAATTATTAAGTAGAAAATTTCATAAACATATTGTAACAACTTATTTGATTCTCCCAACGTTTCTTTTTAAATGAGTCTGGCATGGAATACCCTGTTGAGCATAAATTTGGGTCTGATTAGAACTGGAGATTTGTTGTTTTTTACGGAATATTTTTGCTGAGGTCAAGAACAGCTGATAGTTATATAACTGATTTAAGAAACCAGGGTTTGGCGCCACATACGGTCTAGACAACTTAATTAGATTTAAAGCTTGTATAGAGCTGATCCCCAACTCTCTCATTAGAAAAGCTGTACAGATTGTTGGAGCTCTGCTAATTCCTGCAGCACAATGTATATAAACATTATTAGGTTTTTCCACAGTAGAATTACATAATGCATTATGTATAAAATCATAAGAAGAAGAGAAATATTTACTAATATCCTCAAATGGAGTATCGTAGATAGGAATATTCAAGTATAGAAATTCATTTTTAAACTTGCATGCACCCTGTAAACAACATACAATATGAGTAATTCCAAGGTTCTTGAGCTTTTTAAGGTCACTTGCAACAGCACTTCCTCCCAAAAAAACACCCGGAATAATCCTTTGTGCCTTATGCAGGTCTAAATTCTCTTTATTAGAGTATTGGACCTCTTTTTGGAAAACATCTCTAAAGCCTAAAGTGTTGATTGAGTTGATGATAATCCTCATATTGTTTTCAACTTTCTCTTCATAATTTTCAATATCGCTTTTAGGTGAAGTGACCAATGCTCCATATACACTAGTAGCCTGATCTAGGGCGCATATCAAGCTAATTATTTCTTGTATTTGCATCCCTTTGACTGGCTCTGGTGTTTTTTTTCTCAATTGATGGAGTATACGTAGAGTGGCAAAGTAAAAGTTTACTCTTTCTGGTAAAATAAACTCCACTTCGGATGAACTACCGATCTTCTCCACAACTGCAATCCTTTCCGTTCTCTTTTCTATTAACCGTTTCAAAGCTTCCATTTATTATTTTGATTTCTTAATCATTATAGGAAACCTGGATCATTAATTATTTTAATGCACACATTAACCCGCCAGAAAGTTTGAAAAAAAATTTTTTCTGGCAGTTCAAGGTAAGGGAAACTATTTTGCATGTATTTAGATATGTATATATTTTTGCAATATTTTTTTTATTAACATAAGTATTTAGTTATTTGAAATTTTTTAATTTTAGCTTTCTTTTGCATTTTTTAAAGCTAATTTTGGACTTCCTGTTCAGGAATTTTTCATCATAAATATTTTACTCAACCTTTTTTTTTAAAAGTTTTAAATTAAGACTATGGTTGTACTTGTAAAAAAGCAAAGAAGAAAATTCGTATATTTTTAGTCCACCTAATAAATTGTGCTATGCAAAAAATTGCATGCGACTACCGCCAAAACAATTCCCCACATGTTTAGTTTAAAAAATAAAAAAAACAACGAAGCAGGAAAGAAAATTTTTGTTAAAAAAAAAATAATTATTAATTCTTTTAGCCTTTGGGAAAGATTAAATTGTGGGAATCATTTTAACGCTAGATTAAAGAAGAACAGGATTTCAACTCTTTGTTTGGAGCATTAACAAGAATTTCTTGAAAAGTTAATTTTCAGAATTAAAAATAAAAATCAAGTTGGGTTTATTTTCAATAGTTACTATGTATAATATAGTTAGAAACAAAGTCAGATTTTTACCATTGGGAAGAAGATTGACATACCAGATGAAGTCCTTTTTAAAAAATGAAAAATGCATTTCAGGGTATGCCACCGCTTTTTTGGCGGGAGGACTTTCTGCATGGCTTTACTTAGACTCCAGAAAGAAACCAGAAAGTTATTTATTTGGTAAACTTGGGAAGTCATACAAGGTAGGGTGTGCATCTCAGAATAATACAAGCAAAAAGCTTCACCATAATCTGATAAACCAGAATGCAAAATTCAAATTTGAAAAGTCTAATTATGTGGAATTAATTGGAGATCAAGGCCCAGTTAAGAATGGGGATCTAGGCCCTAAAAAAGGATTAGCAAAAGTATCTATTTCAGCCATTCAGGTCAATGCAAATAATCCAATAGAAGACAGATTGTTAATACAGAGGATGAAACTCAATTTTCCTGATGGGGAGAGTAAGGATTTTGTGATTTCAGCAGTAATTGATGGTCATGGTGGATGGCAGGTTGCAGAATATGTTCAAAATAACTTTTTGAGAGTTTTCCAGAAGGAGTTGAATCAATATATGTCTTCACTAAAAATAGAAGAAAACTCTGATAAAAGTAAAAAAACTTCTCATATAGATGAAACAGACATTATAGCAGGATTATTATATTCCCTAAAAAAGACATATTATATAATAGATGAAGAACTCAAGAATAAGCTAGAGGTAGCCTATAATCTTGGGTTTTCTAAACTGGCATCAGTAGGTGCTTGTACAACTGTTTCTATTATTACAGAAGATGCCATTTTGACGGCCAATTCAGGAGATTGTTTATCTGTGTACTGTAACGAAAATGGAATCTGGCTTCCTTTGAATGAGCAGCTATCAGCAATGAATCCTCAAGAACAGAGAAGACTGGAGGAAATTCATAAGCATGAGAAGGATAGCCTAATTCAGTGTAAACAAATTCTTTATGAAAAGCTCTTAATGGGATTGTATACTATTCCAAAATATAAGGGCTGTTATATTAAGGGGATCTTGCAGCCTTCCAGAGCAATTGGAGACTTTAGATTAAAATCTATGGACTTTAACTACAATTGGGAGAAGGATTTAAGCACAGAAAAGTTAATGCCTACATTTTCATATGTACTTAAAGACATTGGAGGCGAGAAATCTGAAAATGAACGGTATGGAGAAAAGGAAGATCTAAATGAAGACGAGTTTCCATACTCTTATGATCTCATTAATGGAAATAAATCGATTAATATGAGACGAGACAGTTCTAGATACTTTGTAAAGAATCCATTAAGTTTTCCTTATGTAAGATCTGAGCCAATGCTACACCTCTTCTTTTATAACTCTTTAAATAAACACTTAAGCTCAACGAACAACACCAACGTGGAAAAGATCTCTCCAAATGAATACTCTTTGACCCCAGTACAAACCAATTCTTCACTTAAGGTTGAATGTATTACTCCAGAATACAAGCACTTGCCTATATCAGAATATTCAAACTCAAGTGAATTTTTCAAAGATTTCACTCTTTCCAAAATGAGAAATGCATACTCTTATATTCAAACTCCCATTGACTCGTCTAAAAGAAGTTATCTTATACTTGGAACTGATGGTGTCTGGGACTTTTTGACTCCAAAAGATGTTACCAATATTATATTAAACTCAAAATCACCAGACGACGGTATCAGAAAGATCCTTAAAAAAGTCCTAAATAATGCAGGAGTCGATAGTGTTGAGAAACTCAAGAGTCTGCCTAAAAAGAGAAAGGTATTTGACGATACAAGTGTTATTCTGGCTGAGATCACTCCAAATAAACAAGATAATAACTAATTTAGAGACATATATTTATAGTTCATCCTCACGAAAATTTCTCGATCTAATAATACTATTTATCCACTCATTTTCTGAGTCTCTACTTTTGTTAATGCTATCTGAAATATGAAGGACCTTAAACAAACCTTCATTCAGTTGACAAACAGTTGAAATATACTTCCCCTTCTGAACTAGCTCTTCAACAAGTCCTCTGTAAATCACTACGGCTTTCTCATTAAAACCCTCATAATTTACATCCTTGAGCTTATCCTTTATTGAAATTTTAATGCTTGAGGTTCCATCATCCAGTGTTATCATCTCCAGCTCCCCACTTTCCCCCATTTCTACGTCCACTACAGAACCCTGAATCCAAAAACAATCTCCATCTTCCACAACTTTCTCTGGAACCTCACAAATGAACATCTTTGGAGTCATTTTCATTGTATTTCCTCCTACATGCAGGCACACGCAAAATTAGCTTTTTTTTCTGAATCCCTGTTTTTCTTGCCTTAGTAGTCAGGGACTTCGTGCACTAATTAAAACTAAAAAAACAAATTCCACATATAAGCTCTGTATAGTTTTTAAGGGTGAAATATTGTGGAGAAAAGAAACTTTCATTTCAAAAATCCCCTTTTATTCTTTCTTCTAAGCTTTATTTTTGTAATTCATTTGGTACTCACAATTTGCCGCGCATTTATATTATTTTTTAGTTTGAAATAGAAATTTTGTTTTTGGCGCCAAAAGTAATTAAAGATGAGGATGGAAAATGCTGGAAAAAAGAGAAATTTTGCAGAAAAAAACATTATGCAGATGGTAATTGCTTGGTGAGAGAGCATTGATTATATTTGATATAAGCGGAGTTTGCACACATTTAATTATTTTATTTTGTTTGTTAATTGGGTGAACCGAAAGTAAATAAGAGGTTAGATGGTTTAGCCTTCAGTCGTAGGAAGTGTTATTATCTCTGACAAAATTTTCAAAATTATTTGAGAAGAAGCCAAAGTAAAGATGGAGGTAGGTGTTTTTCGGTGTATAATCTTTTATATGTGAAATAACTTCAATTCAAAATGTAATATATTTTAGTATGAAGAAGAATACCAAAAATTAGTATCTAAGTATAAGTGTTCTTCTGAGAATATAAGGAAAATAATAAATCACTGCAATTCAAAGGTATGTTTGATTTTTAAAATTTTAGTTTGAACTCTAAATTATCTACTTCACAAATCCAGAAATTTGCGACTAATGATTTAAGTTCTATGATTATCCTATTAGAGGATTTGGAACAGAGGGGGATTTCTATTGAGGTAAGATAGATAAAATAGGAGATTCCTATGAGTGGAATGAAAGAAAAACTTATTTTCAACTAACTTATATATGTTTTTCACAGGGTTCTGACATTGAATTTGAGAGGAAAGTGTTGGAGCTTCTAGAGTTCGAAATGAATACTATGTTGAGAGAATGTGAGCAGCTTAAAAATAGTATTTTGGAGCTAGCCAATGGTATTTTGAATATTTCTGAGAATAAGAATCTTCCAATTTTATTAAATATTTTAATGGATGGAATAGGTGCATACAATTCGATGATAAGTAGGCAATCAAGCTCCTCAGATTCCCTATTAGAAATGTCATTTTGGTCCATTGAGCTCATGGATACAATTTACGCAACTAATGGAGGAAGTACAACTTTATTAGATTACACCTTGGAGAAGATACAAGATCAATTCCCATCAATACTGAATACTTTTGATGAAATTAACTATTTGGAGAAAATTTCGACTAAATGTAATATTAATGAAATTTATAGAGGCATAGTGAGGATAAATTTTGGGTTGGATAGGAGAGTTAAATCATTAGAAGAGGGAATTAATAAGCATATAAAATCTGTGAATGGCTCAAAAACTCAGAATAAATATAATGGTGAAGAGGTTTTATTGAAAATTGACCACTTAAGAGAAGTATCAGACTTTCTCAAGAACGAATTTATTTCTTTGATAAAGGAAATTCTCTTTTTTTCGAAGTACCTTGGGATAGATGACGGGTATAACAAAGTAGTTGATATTACGCCTGAAGCTGATGCAGATAGTACCAAAGGGACTTACGATGACTTGATTTCTGAGATTGAGACGGTTTGTGAGATGTTCCAAAATGGGCAGATTCACAAAACCAGAGAGATAATGGATAAGATCATCTCAAATTTAGAGATCGAGGAATTTGAAGAAATTTTAGGAGCTTTTAATCTTTTAAATTGGCTAAAAGGTAGAGTTTCCATTTGTTTAGGACAAAACCTTGAAAATAATATTGAAAGGATCTCGGCAATTTGCAGCAATAAAAGGCAGGAGTCAAATAGCGACCTTGAGAAAGAGGAGGAGAAACTTTTAAATCATCAGGAGACTCGGTACTACGATGAAGATTGAAAAATATGAAAGTTAGAGTGAGTGTGAGAGTAGAAGAGAAAAGGAAAGTTTATGAATAAGAAAAACTGTAGTTTTATATTGCCTATTCATATGAGAATAGTTTCAAGCACTTATATATCTGCCATTATAATACAAATATAATAGTTTGTATGCATTAGGATTACATCCTACTAGCTATTTTACATCAATTAAATTATATTTCCATTTCAACGTTTATGTTTTGAGTATTAGTGTTTAACCATGGATGCTGGAGAGCTTCCAAGGCAGTAATTCGTTTCTTAGGACAGTATTGTAATAATCTAGACAAAAGATCAACCCCAGCCTGATCTAGGTTTGGAAGCAATGCGTGAAGATTCAACTTTGGATTCACCTTCCATTGAGGAAAAACACTTTTATAACACGGAAGTTGAGTAACTCCTGGCCAATTACTTTCATTTGCAGTTCCAAGGAGTCTGAAAATATAAAATAGTGTATCAATTTCACTGTCACCTGGGAAAACGGGTTTGCCAGAGATCATTTCTACCATTATACAACCCACACTCCACAAGTCAACGCTACAATTATAGCATCTCTGTCCGAGAAGAAGCTCTGGAGCGCGGTACCATAAAGTAACGACTTCATGAGTATTTGGTTTTAAAGGTGGGGTAAATGTTCTAGCAAGGCCAAAATCTGCGATCTTAAGGGTGTTACCTGAATCACTTAGCAACAAATTTTGTGGTTTTAAATCACGATGTAAGATCCTTCTCCCATGGCAGTAAGCTAAACCACTGAGGAGTTGTCTTAAGAGAGACTTAACCTGGCTGATTGAAAGACCTTTTTTTCTATTTATTCTTAAATATCTTCTTAAGTCAGTTTCACAATACTCAAAAATAAGCCATATTTGCATTCCTGTACATGAAACCTCTAATAATGCAACGATATTTGGGTGTTTCAACTCCCTTAACAAAACAATCTCTCTTATAGCCGTGGAAGGTAGCCCAACTTCATCCAATATCTCATCACTATCGAACCTAATTTTTTTTAAAGCAACAACCTCTCCAGTATCCTTTCTTAATCCTTCCCAAACAATACCATAAGTACCTTCCCCAATTACTCTTACCATACTATAGCTTTTTTCCAAACCTTGCATATCCTCAAAAGTACTGGTACACTCTGTTTGGCAACCTACTGTGCTTGAATGGATCTCCATTTTAAATTCTCAGAATCCCAATTTATAGAGGTTGAGTTTATTTATCTATTTTTTCTTGATTACTATACATATCTTTATCGATGCCTTGTGGCCAATCCTTATTAATATTAATTCCCTTGTTATTAATACTAATATTCGGATACTAATATTTCTCTCCCTAATTTCCTACCGGTTAGGCTTTACTATTGCTTTTTTCCCACCCTTTGAATTTCTTCTATAAAACAAATTGGGGGAGCAAGTGGAGGGAAATTTTTTAAATGCTATATTTGCATTAATTTCTATTATTACAACAAAAAAAGTTCGTATTTGATCTTTTGTAGCTCTTTGAATACTTTACAGTAAACTTTTTTACCTCAACTTAATCCATATTAATTAAATCTAGTTTGCTAGCTTCCAGCTCTTTTTTCTATCTTGTAGATATGATCCAAGAATTCATATATTATATTGAATTCATGCATTTATTTGTGTTTAAATGAAGCTTAAAATGTTTGAGTGGGAAAGAATTTACTCTGTATAATATTTGAATTATCATATCATATAATTTCATTTTCTTTATCTTGTTCTTTCAATGCCATGCTCTCGTTTCTATTTAAATCCACTTCCTCCTCACCACCCATTCTTTGTTATATTTTGAAATTCTTAACTTTATTAAAAGACTAAAACATTTCTCAAATTTTCCATTTTAATAATAATTATTATTATTGCAGTAATAAAACTGCTTTCTTATGTGCATGCATTATGTATATATTTATGTGGACAACCGGTATAGGAATCAAAAAAACATGTTACGTGTGAAAATATATTAATGACGGGTTGGAAAATAAATTATTTTATTAACACAAATAAATGGGAGAATAATGAGAGAAATTGATTAAACCTAATAAAGATCATATAGAAAGGAATTCGCTAGCAGAGAGAATGCAAAGAATGTGGATTTATAATAATTAATAAAATAAAACGATAAATACAAGGAGCAGATTGTATGTAAATAAAGCTAGAGTTGAAAGAATGGAATTCGAATTTCCAGAAATTGAATGATTAGATTCAGAGTTAATTGAAGATTGGTTGTAGTCAATCAAGGAAATATGAACTTCCGAATCACATAATTTATTTATTGTATAAGTTGAAACACGGTCTAGATTTTTATTGGTATTCTCAGAAGTAGCCGGACTGGATTGGCCAACAGGAGATTCACTATTACAGCATGTGGAAAATGGGCTTGTATGAGAAGAAATTGAAACAGAGCTTGTGTCTTCAATGCCAGTACAACAATTTTCACTGGGTTTTGTAGAGAAATCACAGTAATTAATGATTTGATTCAGCTCATTTGGAAGCTTTTTATTAGCTTTCTCGATAAATTTAGTAATGTCCTTTCCAATAAATGCCAGAATCCAAATTATATCAGAAATTTCTTGAACTTTTCTAAATTTTTCATACAGTTTTGTGGATATCTTATCCAAAGTATCCCAAATGAAGTAATCATAATCATTCAGATTGCTACCAGGTTTAACTTGGATAATATTTAAAAATTCAAATGAGTTATTCCATTCAATTATACAGTTTTCAGGGTCCCTATCTTTTATTGAAAGTGCTTTTGTGATGCTTGTCTTTTGGAGATGATTATTACTTATAAAATTATCATCACTTAATTTTGAATGTCTAATTAGGACAGAACCCTTAATAAAGTTCAGTGAAAATGAATAAATTAAAAGACCTAGCTCATGAAGACTTAAAAAAGATATTCTTTCATTATCAAGGATCCAGAAAACCCAGTTTACAGGAAATTTAAGCTCTGCTAATGAAAATGACCAAAAAATGTGAACTAATGCTTTTGGACTAAATGAACTTATTTCCATCTTGGAAATTAACTCATACAAATCTTTTGGAACAATGTCAGCTAATGAAAATGCATAGCAAAGCATTGAAATGTGTATTGGAAGAAATTTATCTATGGTTTTAATGCTTCTCCTTTTAAGATTCTCAAATAGGTGAGGTGAAATAAGTCCAACCTTTGAATATGACCATGCAATATTAGAAATCTGTTGAGGTTCTAAATTCTCAAGCTCTGAAAGTATCTTTGGAATTGCATAAACAAACAGATTTTTATTGAATTTCTCGGCCTTTGCAAAGGACCACAATATTATACTTAGGTTAATTGAGACAAATCTTTCTAATTGTATTATTGATTCATTACCTACTATTTCAAACAGAATATGATTATTCATTCCAAGTTTTACAAGTGACCAAACGATACTCGAAAGCTCTTTTGGAGAAAATCTAGATGGAAAATTACTTCTAAATACCATTACATCCAAGAGAAACTTAAATCTTTCGTCTCGTTTTATCCTCCCTTTCGAATTGTTATTTTGGCACAATGTAGCTATTTTGTATAATATTGATGCCATATTTTTTTCATTTAAATAGTAAATATGGGAATTAACCAATCCCAAAAGCTCTTTAAGTGAGCTAGAAGCGGTTATTATCTTATTCATTTTCAAATTAAACACAATATTTTCATTCCTTGAATATAATATTCCATTATAATAAATGGTGCTTGAGTGGTCATAAGGATTCAAACATTGATTATTGTAATAGTGAGAAACTCTCTCGAAGTCATAATGTTGACAAATTTCTGGGCCAAGGAAAATTTTTTTTGAATTTGTCAGAGCATGTTCATCATATTCAGAATGCAGCATTGCACTATTGCATGTCTGCATTTTCATTCGTTCAAGGTTATTGTTGTAATTCTAAATGGCAGGATAACTTACTTTTGACCATAAAGTCTTGCAAGATTTAATCAATTTCCGAAAATTCCTGCAATAAAATTACATTTTTATTGCAAATTCCGGTTATTTTGATTTTTGAATTCTATTCAGATTTTACCCTTTTTTTTTTACATGCTCGATGCCACTATTATTAATATGAAAATTAAATAGTAATTAGTAAACAAAATTTTGGCGCCTACTACCCAAAAAATAAATTATGCAGTTTGTGAAATATTAATAAAGATTTGAATACAAATACAATAGAACATATATAGAATTCCGTAGATCTGATTATTTAAATACTGTGACATTAGATGAATTGAAAACAATTCTTTGATTGGTTTGATGAAAATATTTAAATATGAAGTTAAATTTTGATTTTCAAGGTGTTTTTAAAAGTATAAACTTGAAAGAGAATTTTAATTTTCATAATTGCATATCTGCATATAAAAATATTAAGAGCTATGCGGCAAATGCATTCAAAAGCTGTGAAGATGATATTAGCTTATTTCTGGAAGGAAAGCCCTTTGTTTTATCAAACATTAACTACAATGAAATAGGAAATAAATTAATTAAGGTTAGGAAGAATATTGAAAATGGCCTTAAGGGTGGTAAAGGAGGTTTCGGAGCAACAATTAAGAGCCAGAAGAGAAAAGTGAATGTAAAGGAGTTAACTGTTGGTCTTTGTAGAGACCTAAAGACTGGGAAACGTATCAAAGACTTGAATAATGCTAAAGATAATTCGGGAAGTAAAACCAAGGATAATACTGTAGTGAAGAACTGCAGTTCTGTGACTAATAGCAATACCGTTAGCTCTAAAACTTCCGAAAGTTCATGTTCTATAATTAACTATGAAAATGATTTACCAACTCAATACCAGTCGCATATTTTGAATTTAGAGGATAAATGGAAAAATATCTCAAGCTCTGTTGATTTTGGCATGAAAAACATGAATAAAAAAGTTGATGTTTAAATTTTTCTCTTGTTTTTTAAAGAAAGGGAAATCATGGTTTTCTGATTCGCTCATCTTTTTTTTTATTTTAAATAAAACAAAATTCACGTTTTAATCAAATTTTAACTAATTTTAATATTTGTTCATTCATTCGTTTCTTAATACCGGTATTGTTTGTATGTGGACATTTTAATTAGTTGTCAAAATGCATGCACGTAATTTTTTGTTGTCATTAATTTACATGCAGAGGAAATAGTTAACCAAAATCGTAACAAAGAAATAGAAAACTATTTTTTTATTAACTACTTAAAAAATAATAAATTTTTTGTAATAGAATAGTAGGTATAAAAATAAATAAATATTAGTTCTAAGGAATAAAGGGAGAATGTTTTTAAGCGAAATGCTATATTTGAAGCTTTTATTAAATCTCGCTCTTTTGGCAGGCCAAATACTTTCAGAACCTCTTCCATTTTCATCGGACGAAGTCACTGTGGTTCCATTTCCGCCTTTCATCCCAGTGGCAGGAGGATATGTACCAGAACCAAAAAGCAATGAAACTATTGAGTATGTCCAAAAAAGCAAGAATGACTATTTTGGAAATGAGCTGAGTCAAATAGTGGATTCCCCAGACTTTCATCTGGTTACTTTTCACAACGGGGAACTAAATAAGCAAGTTTGGGCATTTGTACTGGGAACTGAAAAGAAAGTATTCGCGTATAGAACAGAAAGCACAAATATTATAGACCCATTGCATTTAGGGAGCAATTGGAATGTTATAAGTAATACTGAGTCGAAAGTATGGCCAGTTCAGATGGGTTTTGTATACCCTTCTTGCCACAACATGGTTAAAGACAGTGGTGAAGAAGGGGTGGATTGTGGAGGTCCTTGCAGACCCTGCAGTACATTCGCAAGCTGTAGAATCGGGCTGGATGATCTAAGAATGCATAAGACTTTAAGATATTCAACGTGTATTGGTGAATTGAGACATGGAGAATTTTGTTCTTTAACATGTCCGGTGGGATACAGAATGAAGGACTCGACCAAGATGAAGAGTGAAATTTATTCTCAATGTTATGATGGAAGACTCAACCAACTAATATTTGGAAATATGCAAGCTCCGATGACAGGAGAGAACTATTATTCAAGGGAATACAGAGGATTTAGAAGTATGTTGGAGAGTGAGGTGAGCCATTTGGGTCAAGAGTTCAATGAACTTTGCGAATCACCCTTTGACTACATGTGTAAATATATTTCCTTAAGGTTGAAAAGGTCAAATTTAGATGAAGATGGAGAAGGTATAAATTACAGGATGCCTTGTGAGGGGATTTTTACGGCCGTACCAAGATACCATGGCAAAAAGAATTATTGGGTATCAGTAAATTCAAGGGGCGAAAGAGTTACTTTGTTTTGGAAGGAAAATTCTTGGGTATGTATAAATACTATATCAAATACTGTTTTGGGTTATGTTCAGGATTCTAATCCAGCTTTATTACTATCTGAGGAGCATAAGAGTACTTTAATTTGGATTCCATGGTCAGAAAATGGCCCATTAAAGCAAAACAGGGCATATATAACCTTAAGATGCAGCAACAAGAAGCCAAGAGAAATTCCAGGTAGATGCAATTCATTAACGATGCAGGGTTGGAATTATGGAACCAATTACAACGGGATATGGGTATTTGTTGGAGAAAGCACTGATATTTTTAATGGTGATGTAAGGGGAATATACATAAAGCCATATAGTAATTTGGTTATGCTTTATAATATGTACAAACTACAATGGGAGATTTACGAACGTTTGGGGGACGTCTCATATGAGAAGTTAAAGCAAGTAATGCGACAAGATGGAAAGATTAAAGATAGAGTATTGAATGAAGAAAGTAGTTATCTTATGGAAAACAATAAAGGATGGGTGCTTAGAGCAATGAACCCACATCCAAATCCTTCTCCTCCTTCAGGAAAATGGATTACTACACCAAAGAATAACTTTGAGGAGGAAAATCTACTAAGAGTTAAGTATTATCATATTGATATATACTGTGATTCCAAGGTGACGACTCTTTCTGGTGGAGAACTAAATCTTAATCCATTGAAAATAGTAAGAGCAACTGATGAGGAGCCTGTTGTATGTTCATTAGAAAAGCCAGTAACCAGCTTTTTGTTAAATTTGGATTTTTCAAACTTATCATTCAAGCCAAAAAATAATTATATTGATAGGAATGAAGGTGAATTTGCTAAAGATAGTTGCAAGTATATGGAGGTTAAGGGAACTACAATAGAGGCAACTGAATGTTCTGGAATATTTAGGAAGGTGGATTTAAATCAGGGAGAAACTGTTTGGGCTAAGATTGCAAGTAATTCCAGAATTGTATTATTCTATTGGACAGGAATTAAATGGATTTGCACAAGAAATGACAGCAGTAACACCATATTAGGGTATGTTGAAAATGAGAGACTGGAAGAAGGGTATTGGTTGAATAAAATTGATTCTTCAAAGGGGGCTTATATAAAAACCAGGACAACTTTGAGGTGTTTTAGTAGACATTCTCAGGAGTCGGGAAACAAACATGCTTGTAACAGGGCCTTATTGAAGGGTTGGCCAGTTGGAATGGAGGCTTTAAATGGAAACTGGGAGTTGAATAAGTATGAAATCATTGGAAAAAATAAAAATGAGAATGAATTGGGTAAAATTAAGGAAATCAAATACTATGAACACAGGAAATCCGATGGATGTAAATTATATCTTTATTTTGACGACGAGGTGGGATATACAGTTATTACCAATCATCATCCAAAAAGTAGAACCGATTTAGAAAATAAAAAAGACAAGAAAACCAAATATATTGCAATATACAAAGATGAACTACAGGGAACTCCTATATTAAAGGGACAAGATTCTCATCATTCACAATGGTTACATTACCCAATAGATGGTAATTTGGGAAATTCCAATTCACCAAAAGCACTTGTTAGTACATATATTTATACAAAATGCCGAGATAATGAAGAGCATTCATCAATGCAAAAGAGTCAGTCTATAGCTTGGGATGGGGAAGAGAGTAGTACTTTAAAGAATAATTTGGAGGGAGAAGAGAAGAAGAAATTTCAAGAAAATAATACAAAGAAATTTCACAGAAATTCGATTTCAAACAGAAGACTGGCAAAAATTAAAGCAAAAAATAGCTCCTCATGCAATGAGTATAAAATTACGGGTTTTAACAAACCATTGGAAGCCTTTAATGGGATTTGGAGAAAGGAAGAAAACTATAAAAAGGAAAGGCAATCATCATCAGAATCGATATTAGAGCTCTATAAGTGTACAAATAGTAATGACAAGGATGTTTATATTTACTACTCAGAGACTTCATTGAACAAAACTGGATGGTTTTTGGATTACGATCTTGATCCAGTGAATGGGTTCATTGCATTAGGAACTAATAGTACTTCAGACGGTATAACATCTTTTTGGAGGCTTTGGAATTTGACAGAAAAAAAATGGAATAATTTTGAGCTCAATTTAGACTGTAATGATCATATTAATTATTCTAATCTCGACAGTAAAAAAACCGTTTTTACTACCACTGACACAAAAATATTGGTGGATAGGTCTGAACTCTTGGAAAATGAATCCCCAAAGGAGCTAAGTATAATTCCTTTTGAGGATGTGGAAGATCATATCAAAACAGCTCCAGTTCGTGAAATGCCCATACCATTTTTCACGGCAAGTTTACCTTTAATAGGAGAGTTAGCAGGGAGAACTTTCCCAATGGTTAAGGATTTATCAAATTTGGTTCCAAAGAGACCAAAACCAACAAATGAAGATTTATTAGGATCATCGGTAACAGCATCTGCAATATTGCCAAATTTAAATATATTTTCAACAGCTGAACAACTGAGACAAAACATTACAAAGTCTAGACAGAATGAAAGACCTAGTGTATATTATGATCCATCTTTACTTCCTCAAACAAATATGAATAAAAATGGGATTCCTTCGGTAATGCCTTATGATCAATTTGGGCCACCAATTAATGTGTACAACCCAAGGAATGATATTCCAGGTTATAACTATTTGTCAGGGCAACAGAATATGTTTTATCCTCCAGTAGTACCTGGAAGCATCAATAATAACAACATATTTGACCCCAATACGAGGCCAAACAACAACTTTTTTTATAATCCATACAATAATAACAATATAAATGGTAACCAAGACCAACAGAACTTTGGGAATGAGATGAGAGATATTTCTTACTTGAACTACCAGCAACAGCAACAACAACAACTTCTTCAACAACAACAACAATTACAGAATGAGCAACTTCAGCAGCAACAACAATTACAATCTCAACAACAACAGCAACAACAACAGTTGCAACAGAAACAGCAAAAACAACAACAACATCAACAACAGCAGCAGCTTGAGCAGTTTTATCATCCCAATCAACAAAATCTAAGCTCACAAAACATGGATGAAATACCAACTTTGGCAGGAAATCCTGGGAATAATAATGGGGAACTTGTATACTTTGCAAACGGCAATTTTAGCAAAGGAAGCGATAATTTGGAGATGTCTGTCTCTACTACTACTAGTACTACTACTACCACAACAACAACAACTACAATAACAACAACAACTACTACAACTACAACAACAACAACTACTACTACTACTACCACCACCACCACCACCACTGTCAGTACTGCTACTGCTGCAATTTCTCCAGCTTCAACTGAAATCTCAACTGCAAATCCTAATGAAAGTAACCTAATCCTGGGAGTTCCAGAAGAGAGAAAAGACTGTCTTGAAGATAAAGAATGGGTTGTGGAGCATGGGAAACTGCTAAGTGAATCTGGGGGTATAACAAACAAATACAAGGTTATAATAGTGAGTATTTTGGATCAGGAAGATTCAAAGTTGAATTATTTGCAAGGAGTATACAGTTTTAATGGGATTTTCAATGGTAGACCTTCATATAGACATTTTGTAAATGGAATTAAAAATGAATCAAATAACCTTCCAGAGTTAAAGGCCTCTACTGTTGAAGTTTCACTGTTTTATGACAAGAGATTAAGGTCTTGGATATTTGGAGATTTGGAAAATATTGGGTATAATACAGAGGAATCAATATATTTAAGAAGCTCACAAAGTAACTGCCTTGTTCCATGGGACTCCACAATTACATGGAGAAATGCGACCAATACAGCTTCTTTGCCATTAATTATTTCAGTGAGAGCAGGAGAAAGTACTAATATATAAGATAGCATTGACAAAATTTTGCAGCTTAAATCATGAAGAAATACCAATGTTTATTCAATTATGCAATAAATCTATTTAAAAAATGGCGCCCTGCCGTGGCGCCGAATCAACATAATAATAAATGCAATAATATTTCTTTTATTATTAAATATTATTAATACATATGTTGAGCTATTATTTAAAGAAAAGGTGAAGAAATATTAAAATTTAATAGAGGAGATAAAATTAAGGAGGTTTTCACATATTTGAATGAAATTGGAGTGACCTTGTTTAACTAAATGCTCAATTACAGTACATAATTTTCTGGGGAAAACTATAATTATAAAATAAATGCAAGGACCATTTAGAAAATTACAGAGTAAAGGGAATCATTTTTAAAAAAAAGATTAAATTGTTATTAGGGACTTTGCTCTGGTGAATTTAACATTTTCAACTTGGTAAATTAAAAAGAATAATATATATTTCCTTTTGTTGTATTTATTATTTTGGAATCATAAGGAATTTGGTGGAAATCAAAGATTTAATTTAAATTAGATATGCATAAAAATAAATCTTTAAATAATCATCAAGAATGGGACAATAAATTTGCAGAGGAATATAAATATGCTCCATTGATAATTACAGAAAAAATAAGTGAATATACAATGCCAAGCGAGATTTTGCTTTATGATCCAACAGAAGATGATATATTTACAAAATTTCATGTGGGGTCTTCAAACGAATTTAAAATCCGTCAGATATTTTTGCATGTAGAATTACTTAAACATGAGGAAGAAATGTTAATTGAATTTGATAACTTTTTAACTGAGAAAAATATAAAGTTACCAGAGTTCATTAATCCTCTAATTTTAAGGGTTCTAATGTTTAATAAAAGACGTCATCCAAATACTTATATACAAAGATCAATGAATCATTTAATAAGCATGTTTAAATGGAGGGTTTCAATGTATCCGTTAAGTGATATGGAAAGTGATTTAAGAAAAGATTTAGAATCTGGAATTATTTATTGGCATGGAAGAGATTATTGTTTAAGACCAATTTTAACCATAAGATTATCAAAAGTTAATAAACTTTTTCCTTTGGAAAGATTTATTAGATTAATAGTATTTTGTATGGAATGGGGAATGAGGTATTTAATGTGTCCTGGCAAAGTTGAAACATGTTTGGCTCTTATTGATATTAAAGGAGTCAGTTTAACTTCTTTTCCTATTTCTACAATGAGCGAGATATCATCATTATTAACCAATCAATACTCTTTCAGACTTTATAGGATGTTTATATTACATGATTCACTTTTCATTCAGACTGTTTGGAGTCTAATGAAGCAATTCCTTACGGACTTACAACAACATAAAATCATATTAAGTAGAAACGAAATCAAATCACAATTATTTAAAACCGTTCACCCAAATCAAGTCGAGGAACATTTTGGTGGGTTACAAAAGAACATAGTTGCTCCATTTTACCCTTTTGTTTTCCCACCTGGGCCTTTTTCAGATCCAAAATTACATCCAAAAAATGGTGTTACACGTATTATTAATCAATTTAATAACATTCAAATGGATAGTTTTAATAAAGTTACAAATTGTCATCTTTTATTCAATCAATTTAATGTACTTGGTAAGCTATTATACAACAATAGTTCACAAAATAAGATCATTTGGGATGAAAAAGGACTTGAAGAACTTAAGAATTCTATCTCATCCTATTTAAATATTAACCTTGAGAATGATAAAAATCCCAATAGTTTAAATAGTACTGCTAATTCAACTAACAATCGCACACATAATAATCATTATAATCTTCACAATAATAATTATCTGGAAAATAACTTTTCAAAAAAAAATATACAAAATTCAAATCAAAAATATAATTATGGAGATATTGAACAAATAGAAATGACAGAGTCAAGTAGTTATTTAGAAGAAGATACAAACAATATGAAATTATCTACTTTATCATTACCAGTAAAAAAAACATTATCTAATCATAAGGAGGAAAGAAATTTATCAGCTGAAATTAATATTGGTATAATCAATACAATTAATATTAATACAGATATCACTAATATTGGTGACATGAGCCAACATTTTATCAGGGAATATTCGGTATTATCAGAATCTCCAAATTTGGCTGAGAACATTGCAATGATTATTGAAGACTCTCAAAGTTTCTTTTCAGCTTCTTCAAGTTTGTATATTAATGATGATAATGACAATGATAATGATCAGCATATTGAGGATTTGCATCACAGCTTATTAATAGATAATCCTTGCTATGATCATGGTATATTTCAGTCTTTTGGAGTATTACCAATAACTATGGAGAATTTTAAGCATTCTGGAAAAAAAGCAAAAAGTTCTTTAAAGTCATTAGATTCTCGCAAGAATAATGTAATTCACCAAAGTAGCAGCGATTCATTAAATTTAAGTAATACATGTAGTTCGCAAGTTTCAAGCCTTATAATATCTGACAATTCTAATGAGATCAATTGTAATACTCAAATTGTAGAAAATACAAAAAGTAACGAAGAAATTTTAAACCAAACACAAGATTTAAAGAATTTGAATGATATACCATATAATAAATGTACTTTACCACAAGAGGATGATAGCCAAATCATAGTTGAAAGATCATATCTGGTTTTATCTCCACCTATTATTGATAATAATAGACATCCTGTTTCATCTTTAAATACTTCTTCATGTTTAAGCTCAATGGGAAATACCAAATTAAGTGATTCTTTTAGTTATGTAAGCAAATCTAATGAGAATCCTAGAATTTCAAGAAAGAGCAGAATTAAATCAAAGATTTCCAAAGTAATTAATAGAATAAAAACTAAAAGTTCTATTATTGAACATTTCTAAGCTCAAAAGTACGTATTAAAATAACTTTAAGAGCGTATCTTTATGTATGTATTTATGTACATATGTATATATGTATATCAAGTAAAATGTGCTTTAATATATCTTCTTTATATTAAGAATTTTATTGCAACATTTAACAAATCTTGTGAAACTTAAAGATTCAAATTAATTTCTGTCATTTTAATTATTTTCGATTCTGAGAAATTTCAAGATTTGTTAAGTACTAGAAATTACTCAAATTATTATCTTAATAACATACTACTTTGATTTAATAGAATATTAATCTATTCTTCAAATAATCTACTTAATCCTTTTATTTGGTATTTCAGAGACTAATTAATTTATTAAAACTTTTATAATCTGTACATAAATTAATATTAAAGAAATTATACTTACTGACTTGTAGTTAAAAAATTGCATTATAGAATTATATTAATGCAACAATAAAACTTTTAGGCGGGAATTGATTTAATCATAATTTATTAATTAATATAAATACAAATAGTAAAATGAATAGTAAAAATAAAATGTGGGTATGAAATAGGTCTGAATAAAGGCGGATGGATAAAAATAGACTATAAATGTTATTTATAGTGAGGTAGAAAGAGTGATACTGAAGGAAAAAGATAATTAGGAGTGCTGAGAATCAATTTTGGACTACTTTCTACATGAATTGTTTAGATTAGGTTTGTATTTTAAGCAAATACAAATTGAAAGATGACCTCTGAGGCAGGCCTGACCACAGTATACTATTTCATACCATTAGATGGCGACAGGGAGGATAATCCGAATACATTTAAAGTTCAGGGTGATTATTCATCCTTAACAATAAAACAGGTAAAAGATTCTTTTCCATTACCTGGAATTTACTACTTTAGATTTAAGGTGCGTATAGGAAATACTTATGCATGGATGGATCCTTTAAGTGATGATGATATTGTGCCTTTATATGATGATGCAATCATAGCAAAAGTTTTAAGGATAAATTGGGATTACAATTGTAGACTCACCCATAGATCAAAAAATAAGCAAGACGCTCATTCAGCCACAACAAGAGTAGTTTCTCCGCCAAGCTCTTTAAGTGGTGTTTTTTACCAACAAAAAAACCAAATTCAACACCAACCCCCTACAAAAACATCCCAACCCCACCCTCCACCACCACCTCCGCCACCTCCTATCTTAAGGCATTCAATGACTTCTGATACAATTCCATCAACCTCTAATAATGTCGATTTAATTGATTTAAACTGTGATTATCCTAAGTGGAATTCAAGTTCTGGATACATATAACATTGTTGTAGGCCAAATATTTTAGCTAAGGTTTTTCTAGATGGGAAATAAGCGATTAAAAAAGTATAATTCGAACTAAAATAGTTACAAGAGAAAAAATTTATTCATAAAAATACTATTTGATTTTTCAAAACTTGGTATTTCTTTAGATTTGAAATTGTGCAAATATTACCTTTGAAAATGTAATATTTTTTTTTTTTAATTATTTCGTCAAATTGTTTATTCATGTGGAAATGCATGTTACAGACTCTATCTTAGTACCGGTGCCACATAATTCGATTTTACTTTAAATATTAAAATTGTACTGATCAGAGGCATTTTCGATATATTGGAATTTTTCTAATTGTATATTTTTGTTCTTAATGAATTCAAAAATTTATCCGAATATTTTATTCTTTTCAAACAATTATTATGTTGCTGAACATGTGTTTACATTTAATATAGTTGAAATAGTCATTTTAAGTACTAATTTCCCATTGAGCTAAACTCTATTTTTACATCCATAGACTTGATTAAGAAAATGCGACAATTTATCAAATAAAATGAGAAATATAATATATATAGATAAAACACAACAAAATTATAATTATTAAGGTAATTTACATTTTTAGTAATTTATTCTTTGTCACGTAATTTAGTTACGTGTAATGCATGCAATAACGGAGTTAACAACATAAGTAATACATATGTTTTTTAAAATTGTATACAATTTTAAGAAAACATTAACTAAATATCTTCAAAGCAAATTCTTTTAGTGGCAAACAAAAGAATAAGCAAAACATTCAAAAACACTCAAACGATAGTGAATAATTAGCCCTTGATTGAAATAACCTTTGAAAAAAAATAAAGTATTAGAAAAAGCACTTACTCATTCTTTTCCTAACTTCACCTACACACCAAAAAAGATGCATAATAAGAACTCATTTCAATTTGGTCCAAAGGCTTTAATACATATGAAGATGCCAAAAAAATGTGGCCAAAACAGAAATTCGAATCATGAAAAGTTAGCAGAATAATGGACTACTCCGAAATCCGAAAAAAAAAATCGATCTTCCAATTCTCTCTTTTTCTAATTAAATTCACAAAAGCAACACTAATAATATTACAAAAAACAAATATAGGGATATAATTATTACTAGCGGCCTCGTTACCTGTTTGGTATGAATCATATGAATTTTAAAGTATTTTTCTGGTCAACATTCTTGGTAGAAATCATCCAATAATCTGCAAAAAAGTAGCCACAATATTAATTTAATTAGTAACCCTGTGATGCAAGGTACTCTGCAAGATCCAAGGCAACCTTTTTACAATTACCTGATGATTGATCCTTACACTCATCATAAACTGCAACAACAACATTGCCGTTTTTAGTGTTAACTAAAAAACAACCACCTTGGGATTTATTACAAAAAATAACGTCGAGAGTAGCATCGTTCTGCTGGAAATCCTTCTCAACTCTGATAATTTTATATTTATTTCCACCAAGCCAAACTCCGTTGGGTGCTTTACCTTCAGAAATAGCTTGGAATATTGTTGATTGATCATTAATTACTTCGGCAGCAACTGAGACACCATCGGGTTGAATAACGTTCTCTTCGTGGTCATCTCTCACAAGTGTTTGCCAGGCATCACCTTGGTCGGCTGAAGCGGCATAGAATGCACCGTCAGAAGAGCAAAGACCACCAGCACATACATTACCAGTGTCAATAAGCCATTCTTTAACCATATCGTCCCATTCAGACATCTTTAATTAACTATATAAAACACTGAGATGATAAACCAAAATAAATAAAGGTTTGATTAATCAAATGAATATAACTTTCACTAAAGTGTTTGATTTTTTAAATCACTCTTGATATTACTTTTTTGACATGTATTTACTATGGATTTTACACGCATATACGCGTCCCTAAAAAATTAGCAAATCAGCGTCTTGTCTCCGGCGCCAACACTGCAAAATTAATAATAAATCATAATTTATGTTAATGTGTAATAGGCAAGATATGTAGAAATGAGAGAAAATTGATGTATATCAAGTAATGTATTCGTTTTCACGTAAATCCGGTTTTTTTTTTGTAATATATTAAATGAGTGTAGAATTTTCAAATATTTATTTGTAAAGAAATATTTAGTGATGGGTAAGGGAAGGGCACAGAGGAACATCCTTTTAACTATCTTGAGTAGTTTTTTTTTAGTTAATTTTTGAAATTATTGGGGTAGTGGTAATGGAAGTATAGGTGTCAAACTAGTAAAAATGTTTTGAATGTCCTTAATATTTTGTCTTATTTATGTGTTATTTTTTTTTTTAAGTAGTGATTCAATGAATTGGAAATGGCATATTTAGGATTGTGGCAAGGAGTGGAGAGTTTACCCAATTTGAATGAGATAGGAGTATTGTTTATATTTAGGGAATGGATTTGTATTATTTAAAAAGCGATGAATTACTGAACATTAATACTATTCAAAATTAACTCTAACGTGAAATGTCTAAATCAGAAAATTATTCAAAAAACTCGGAGTTAATTCTTCATTTTGTTACTGAAAAAAAAAATTTGCGGAGAAATTTATCTACTATTTCTTTCAAATAAAATGGTAAAATTTTAAAACATGTATGTTTGTAACACCGGTATATAACATATTTAATAATATTTCCACATGAACTGTCAAAAATGCATGCATTTTCTAAATTAAATTTTGCTATTAATTAATAATTTCAGATATTATTATTGGACGATAAATTTTAGTTGTAATTAGAGAAATATAATAAAGATACCGAAATAATGAGTAGTAAGTAAAGTAAAACTTGGGGATTGAATAAATCATAAAATTGGATAAATTTCTAAAAGTAAATTACAAAAGTAAAAAAAATTAATTTAATTACATGCGAAAAAAAAGAAGCGCTGGAATCAGAAATAATATGAATTATGTGAAATATTGAGGAACAGTTAAATAGAAAAAAATATTAATTGGTTTACAAGTAAACGATAGCTAAGAATTAAATTAAGGACAAAGTTTTTTCATAATTGATTAAGGAAGTCCCTATTTCTCTGAAATATTTGTATATTTCAAAGTGCGAATGCAAGGAAAACAAAACATCAGGCATTAAACGAGAAGGCTATATCATGACAATAAAGTAAAAGGAACAAACAAGCAATTAATATGAGATCTAAAAAAAATTATGGTCTTTATAAGTTTGCAATGGCATTAAGTAAAGCAGCAAGATCCTTTATGGGAGTTGTACTAAATTATGCAAAAAGGAAGAAGCAGAGGAATGAAGAGACTTCTCCATTTGCTATCAGGTATAGAGCTTTCAGAGATTTGATCAATAATATTAATTCTGGAAGTCAAGATGGTGAGTTTTTCTCAATTTGGTGTGTAGATTGGGATTCAATCATCATTGGAGAAGATAATATAAAACATGGGAAGCCTTCTACTTTATCTTTTATGTTATTGAATACATACAAAAGTGATTTACCCCCATTAAAAGTAGATATAAAGTTATATTCGATTGGTATGGTAAGATTTATTGTGAATGAAACTGACCAATTTATCAAGTTGGATAGATTTCAGTTACCATATAACGATATTATTAAAGATAAATTTTTGGATGCTCATTATTTAATTAAGAGCAAGGACAAATTAAAGATAAATACAGCAAAAGATGAAAATTCGATTTCAATTGAATTTGAAATTGTAAATCTTTCCACAAATAATGATTTAGATGCCGAGCCGGAAAAAATCATAAGTGGGAATATGGATAGAGTTCAACAAAAAACTTCAAAAAAAGTATTTAAGTTAGTATTAACGTGTAATCACTTTAAAGTTGAGACTTTTGTAGATGATTGTTTAATACATTCCATTAATCCAAATGGTAATTTTAATTTTGAGAGAGTTAGGCCTTTCGTTTCAAAATCTCACCCAAATATTAAAAGGAAAGATTTAATGAAAATTGCAAATGCAAAAAAAGCTTCACAAATTGATGAGGAAGTGAGCAAAATTTATGACTCCATTGAAAAGAAGATTGGTATTACAAACTACTTTGAGGAGATATCCAGTTTACTAAAGGAAAGAAGGTATCACAAGAAAGGATGGGGAGCTTTTGAGTCAAAACTTAAAGAGTCCTACGGAAATGAATATGTTAATGGTGGAAATATTATGGAAATCATTGATTCCTATGATGTTTATAGCAAGAATTCTTGGCATGATATATACGATAGGTACCCAGATTATAAGATCTATGGACCAACTTGTATTGGAACTGACATTCAAATTCATAACACAAGCAACATATATGGTGCATCTGAGCATTCTACAGAAATTAACCTACCAGAATACCCTAGTTCATATAGATTTTATAACTTGGATGTATTTACTTACAAAAATGACAGACCAGATGCATTATATGGTTCCATCCCACTTGTGTTAAGCGTTCACAATAATGAAGATAACTCATTTATTTCCGGAATCTTGTGGTTAAATCCCTCAGATACTTTTATGGATATTAAAAGAAAATTGAATAAAATTGATACTTGGTGGGTATCTGAAACTGGTATAATGGATTTTGTTCTTATGGTTTCTGACAACTTTGATTCTTTTTATTATAATTATCATATACTTACTGGGTTCCCTACTCTGACTCCAAGATTTGCTCTTGGAAAGCACCAATCAAGGTGGTTTAATTGCAAAGATTCAGATGTACTTGATCTATCATCGTCATTTGAAAAGAGCAAGATTCCCTTAGACTCCATTTGGTTGGATATTGAACACTTGAACAAAAGAAAGTGCTTTACTTGGAATCCTGATCATTTTAAAGATGTTTCGGAAATGCTTGGAGAGCTAGATATTAAGGGTAGAAATTTAATAGTTATAGCAGATCCCCATATTAGCATTGATGAAAGCTATCATGTATACAATAAACTGCAAAATCAGTCCAGCTTACCCAATACTATCATTGAAGATGGTAATAAAATTCTTATAAACCAATCTGAAACATTATCTAATTCTTGGATTAGGATCAGAAATCGTCAGGAGTGGGAAGATTTTGTTGGGGTTTGTTGGCCTGGAAAAGTTAAATACCCAGATTTTTTGAACCCAAGTATTAGGGATATATATTCCACATTTTATACTAACAAGCACTACCCAATAATGAGTTATTCAAACATTGGATTTTGGATTGATATGAACGAACCCTCAGTGTTTTCATCCTCTGAGTTAACTTTGCCAAAACACTCTTTCCATTATAATGACATAGAACACAGACAAGTCCATAACTTATATGGCTATTACCACTTAAAGTCAACATTTAATGGACTTCTGACCTCTGCAACACAAAGAATTCTGTCTCTTGACAATATTTCAAATACAAATGAAATAGTTTCTTCTTTTCATGGGAGTCATTCAGCAATAGATAAGGCTTTAGCCACTGAAAATAAGAGATTGAATGAAAGATTGAGACATGATAGGTCTATTTTAGAGCTAATTTCTTCAGGGAGAAAGATTGTAAATCCAGATAATTTACTAGACTTGGGAAATACCATCAAGAATATACAACGTCCATTCATTTTGACTAGATCATTTTATATTGGTTCTCATTGTTATGGTTTCACTTGGACCGGAGATAACAAAGCTGACTATGATTCATTTTCTTCAGTTATATCAATGAATGTCTCAAACTCTGTTTGTGGATTATCATACACAGGTTCAGATGTTGGAGGGTTTTATGGCCATCCATGCAAATGTTTGTTTTTGAACTGGCATAAACTTTCAATCTGGATGCCATTTTACAGAGTTCACTCACATATTGATTCACCTAAAAGGGAGCCTTGGGAATTTGGACCTGAGATACTCAAATATATCAGAAAGCTAATAATCATAAGGTACGAATTGCTTTCTTTTTGGTATACAATTTCCTCAATATATTCATTCCAAGGCAAACCAATGCTACAACCATTAAACTGGCTATTGTTTGAATTCAAAAACCACGATTTAATAGGTAAAAATGAATCAATTTTAAAGATTTGTGAATGCCAATCTTTTGTCTTGGGGGGTACCTTTTTAATATATAACACTCTACAAAACCAGTGTATTTGTAAAAACAATATTAATGGTACAAATTACAATGATTATAATAATGGAGACTACAAAGTAAAAAATAAAGACCATAACCGTATGGATGGATCTAATGCTTTCATGTCCCTTAATATATTACTGCCTTATAAGTCAAAAAGAAGGAACTACAAGTATTCCTGTTCTTGTAATGATGACAAGTACAGAATATGTAAGTACAATGATAAAACATTGTGGTACGAATACAATTCCTATAACTATTTTGTATTGAGTAATAGTAATTACATTTATGAGTATCTACTAAATAAAGAAACTCCTTTTCCATGCTTTGTAAAAGAAGCGTCTATTATTCCCTACCAAAGTGGAGATGTATTATCTTCAGCTCAACAATTACAGATTACCACAAGACTTAAAGTTTACTTGGAATTAATTAATACCTGTGGTGATTACAATCTTGATGAACAACAAAAAATGCCAATAAAGTGTACAAATAAAGAAACTAATTCTGGTAATGAAAAGATTATTTTAGCTAAGGGAAACCTATTTTTGGACGATGGAGTTTCTTACAACTATTTAACAGGAGAATACTTAATGAATACTTTCTATTTTGTGAAGAATGAAAAAACTAGAAATAATAGCTTAATACTTTCCGACTCAGACAGCTCTAGGCCAGATCTTGATTTGGATTCAGGCTTTGATGCATCCTCGGTTTCATTGTCATCGTCATCCACCTTAATGGCCAATATAATGCTTAAGTCTCCTCCAATGACTCCAAGCTCTGTATTTTCTTCAATCTCGTCCTCTTCATTTTACTCCTCAATGACTTCTCACTCAGAAAATGCAACAGTGATAACTTCTGTAACTGAGTCCTCGATTATTTCCAATTCAAAACATATTTACGAAATATATTGTGTTCACAAAAGCATTCAAGTTTACAGTGCAATAGCAAACCAGATAATAAAAATCCCCACTAACTACGAGGCAATCAAGAACAATTGGATTTACCGAAATGATATTTATTTGGAAACTATAAGCGTCTTCGGAATAATCCACAAACCCAAAATTATTCTACTTAGCATAAACAGTGATATTACAAGTGAAAGTAACATTAATTCTACTAACAGAGTAATTAAAAAGTTAGATTTCACTCTTGTAAATTTGGAAAATGTTAACAAAAGCGAGTCCAACAACCTAGAGCTTTATAACATTGAAATAAATATCGCAAAGCTCGTAAATCTTATTAATAATAATTGGAAAATATCTATTTATGTTTAATTGTTTCGTAATTACCGAAATTTCCCGCCAAAACCAAATGAGGGAATTGTGCATGATGCAAAATATTCAAGTAAAAAAAAGAGTTGAAAAAAATTATCTTTTTTTCTTGTTTTTTTTGCCTTGGATGACCCATTTAGGTATTTTTTGCTTGTTATTAACATTTAGTGTTTTTAAGTTTGAGTAATTTTTACTGTCATTATCTGTAGAATCGTCAGAATTTGGATCCAGAGAATCGGAGGACTCTTCATCTAATGGGGCTTTATGAAGTGTGTTATTGTTTTTTAGGGTTTCTTCATTTAAAGTTTCATCATCTTGGTAAAACTTGTTGAGCCTATTTTGATATTCTTTGTAAGTGATTTTACCAGTTTTTAACTTTTTGGCAAGATTGTTTTCAAACTGTAGAGTTTCCCATTCGTCTAGTTCAATTTTGCGTTTAGTGGCTCTTTTTTCACTCCTAGATCTTTTTGAGTTGCTGTTTTTCTCGGAATTTATTGAAGGATTTTCGTTTTCTTTTCGCTTTTTTGGGTTTACAATAGTTTTACTGTTTTCTGAATCTGTATTATTAGAAATATGAGTTTTGGGATTAGGGTTGAAATCATCAGGATGAATATTTTTGGACCCTGTAAGGAATTTTCCTGAAATATTGGACTTTCCAAGAATTTCCTTCACTCTTGGAATCCTTAATAAAGCAAAAGAGGCAGCAATCTCCCCTATAGAAAGGCTTTTAAAAGGGAAAAGAAACGGAAGTTGGTATTCTTTGTAAGCTCTAATATAAGATACAAAAGCTTTCTTGGCTTTTTCATAAAACTCAAAGTCACTAAACATTAACTTTCTGATTGTACACAATCCTATTCTGTCAATATTTGAATGATTAATTAGAAATTCATCTTTACTCATTATTTCTTTATTTAGTTTAATGCAGTAGCATAATTGAATTTGGTTAGATTCTTTATAGAATGGATCTTCAATAGAGTTATAATTTCCACAGTATGTACTTTCGGAATTTTTCTCTCCTTCTAAATGGTTGTAATTAAAAACCTTCCTCATTGTCTTTTTTTCAATATAGTCAATAAAGGCTCCTTCATGAGGCTGAAGCATTATTATTGATTTTCCAAGCTTACCAGCTCTGGCAGTTCTTCCAATCCTATGTATATAATATGAAGGGTCCTGAGGAGCGTCAAATTGAATGATCCATTCAATATCAGGAATATCTATTCCTCTTGCTGTAAGGTCAGTAGAAATAAGAACTCCACTTTGACAGCTTTTAAAAACCTCATAGGATTTCTCTCTTGATCTTTGGTACATTTGGCCGTGTAACTTGCAAAGCTTTCCAAGAGACGAATCTAAATAGTAGTCGTTTTTTGGTGGATTCTTCTTGTTATCTTTAGAATGGATATGAAAAAGTTTTGAAAGGTATTTAAAATAGAACTCAACAGAATTGCAAGTTAGAAAAAAAATAATACATTTGATTTGCTTTCCAGAGTTAAGTTGTTTCCTCAAATTAAGTAGAAATCTGATAAGAAACTCAATCTTTAGTAGAGGGCCCAGCTCAATATAATAACATGTTAAACCAATTGGGACGCTTATATCGCATTTTGTATCTTTAGAAGAAGATTCATCTTGCTTCTCGGTAATGCTTTGTTTGTCAAAATCATTGCAAGCTATAGATACTTTAATAAACTTTGGATTTCTAAGACCAGTCTTAATAAGATTTTGAACCTGTGCATTCAAAGTAGCAGAAAATAAGCCGGTTCTTCTTTGCTTTGGCATTGAATGAAGAATCATGTTAATGTGATTTTCAAATCCCATGTCTAAAAGCCTATCAGCTTCATCTAATATAAGTATCTCTAAACTAGACTTAACATTCCAATCAATACCATCCTTAAGATTTTCAAATAAGTGAAAAACACGGCCAGGAGTGCCTACTAGGATGTAATATTGATTACAATCTTTCAAAGGTTTTTCTTCTGCTTCTTGTTTAATAAATTCAAATGTCTTATTAACATTTCCTCCTCCAATGCAAATCAGGCTCTTTAGAATATTTCCAGCACCTTCTTTTTCCCTATATAGGCTGATTGTCTCCAAATACCGCTCCAGAATCTCAAAAACTTGGATTGATAATTCTCTGGTTGGAGTTAGAATGAGTGAACCCATATTAAAATTAGAAATACCTCTGGACTGAATATTACTCTTTAAAAGAATCTCAATAACTGGAACCAAGTAACTCATTGTCTTTCCTGAGCCCGTACAGGCTTCTACTGCAACATCTTTGTGTGTAAGTAACTCTGGAATAGTTACTTCTTGAACAGGTGACATAAATGTAAATTTAAGGTGGTTCTGAATAAAATCTAAACTTCCTTTGCTAATACCAGGCTTTAATGAACCAAATCCATGGTAGTTTGTCTCCTCATTCCCCTTGTTTTTAACCACTTGCTTTCTGTTCTTCATTCTTTGACATAATACTCTTGTTCTTTTTAGGCCATAAATATAAATTAGCAGCTGCTCAAGCTCTCAAAAAATTGCTTGTTTCTAAAATAAAAAGAATTGAGTATTATGTGTCTATACCAGTTTTAAAAGCAATTGATTAATCTTTCCAATAAATTAATTTTTTTTTACTCAAATTTCCAACAATAATAGATTTATTTTCTTACTTTGACACTTAATACGTGCCCGCCACATTGTGGCGCCTAATGCCGGTACTAGTCAAAAATCTGTGTACTATAAAGAGGAGTGGGGAGAGTGTGGCGGGGACTTAATTTAAAAATAAAGTATGAAGGATAAAATAATAGGAAGAAAAAGTGAAAAAGGAAGAAGAAAAAGGATAAACAAGGAAGAATATGCATTTTAAATGACTGTTCGTTGCAGCAATCATTTGGTATTAATTTTAAGCTTTTTAACTACCCAAACTAGAATTTTCGTTCTTGGTAATTTAGGCGGTAATATTCTAAATAATATACAAGTATATTTATATACTTGTGATCTTGTCTATTTATTAATGTAGTAAATAAACTAAAGTAAATAATTTTTATTAAAAAAAAATCAGATACACTTTTGCAAAACTTTTAAAATTATGGCTATTTTAATTGGGATTTTATCTGGAGAAGTAATAATAGAAATTAAAAAACAAATTATTTTTTAGGCGGTACCGGGATCACTTCTATTGTTTTTCTCACAGTAAATAAACAAGTAATAATATTGAAAAAGTAAAGAGGGAAAAATATTGAATAAAGAATAAATATATCTTTTATTTAGAAAGAGTTGTGTAGATATAAGATTTTTGATTGATTTAGATATAATAATTAAGTAGATAAATAAAGGTTCTGAAGTTAAGGAAAGGATCTTATTGAGAAATTGAGAAAAGACTAATTGAAACAGATTTCACAAAGTGAGAGTAATACTTGAGAATTTCGAGTGAATAAGAAACTTTGTATTACAAGAAGAGAGAAAACTTAGTAATCGATTTTTTGCAACAGATATTAATTACATATAGTGTTACTAAAGGAACTATGAGCTCCATTAAAGGCAAGAATAATAATATGTCTAATCAAAATCTCAATGACTCAAAAATTACTATAATACCAAATACAGCACCTTATAAATTTATGAGAGGATTTATGTGTTTTATCATAGTTTCCTTATCAATGTTATATTTGATATTTAGCTGTTCATTTGCCATTAAATATAGACCTATGGTTTTTGATAATATACTAACTGAGACTATAAAAGGTACTATTAAAGGTTCAAATGGGGAATATATTCAGTGGATTGCAACGATACCAACAGGATTAGTTACGAGAACTGTTGCTATCATTTGTGTGGTTATGTTTTTGGTATTTGGAGTATATACTATGTTATTTTCATTCTACACTGCATGCAAGAAATACAAGTTCATACAGCCATGGCATTTTATGTTGTTATCTGCAATGTCTTGCATAGGAGGGCTCATTTCAATTTTCCTCTCAAACAAATTTAAGGCTGTTGAGGAGTTTACTCATAGAGAAGACTGCCTTCTCCAATCTGTGGTTTCAAATGACTGTTCTGTGGCCATTGGAAATGATGAAATTTACGCTTATGATCTCTGTAAGGCAGTTGAGTCATTTTGCCTTGATGAGAATGCATCAATGTCTGGATACTATACCAAGGCAATAATAGTTGCTGTGGTTTCTTTCCTTGTTGCAGTTTTAAGCTTTGTTTACGGAATTATCTTGCTTAAACTTAAGATGAAATATACTAAGAAGTTAACATTGATTAACGAGAAGGTTGAGATTGCTGAAAAAACAAAGTGCAACTTGGAGATGTCCGATGCATTAAGTACTTGTCAATTAGAAAACAAGGGTGAGTCTGGAATTGACTCTTACCAAAAGAACCAATTAGATACTGCATCCTCAACTGCAGAGAATACTAACGTAATGAACTCGACAAAAACTAATGTATATTGCCAGAATATGAATAATGATTCGTGTAAGACTATACAACCTTATCAAAATGGAATCAAAACTGTTCCAATGGGTATCGTTGTAACCACAACAACTAGCAAGCAATGCCACATAGCAGCTCATCAAGGCGCAGTTTCGCAAGCTAACTCTTCAAATATGGGTAGCATTGGTAGTTCAGCTATTGGTTGTATAAACTCCTTACAGCATTCTTGTCACAATGGCAATTTGAATCATAACAGAAATGTTCATTCTGGGATAACTTTCCAGCATCAACATCATCATCATCACCATCATCATCACGGCCCTAACCATGGTAATAGACAGTACCACGGCCATTTCCGATAAATGGTAGACTATTCTGAAATTACTATGAAGAGGAGGAGCTAAAATTACCTTGCATAATTCACCATTAGTTTATCAAATTATGAGAATTTCATTCAGTTGAGGAATATGAAATAAACCTCGATTATATATTAATTTGGTTCGCGTATTAATCTCTTGGATTGCCCAAAAATCATTTTGTTATTGTCTTCTTTTGATAAATTAAATTAAAATGTATTCTAGTAGAAAAAATAAGCAAATCTGATCAGTCCATGTTCATATATTAGACATTAGATCGAATTACTGGTACTAAACAATGAATTTTTTCTGGATAATATTTTTCCCTTATTTTCGTTTCTTTCTTTTATTTATCTATTTTGTTACAAATATTTTCAAAATAATGCACACCCTCCACCTGCATTTAGAGCACGTTAGTGTCTTTTAATATACAAATTTTCTATACCGGTATTTACATGCATTCATGTGGACGTGCAAGTAAAATCCACATGATAATTGACAATGAAAAAATTAGTGAAAAAAATAAATATAAATTTACAATTTAATCTAAAGATAATAATCGTGCAATGACTGTTATATCACTGACATCAGTGAGGTAAGAAGCACCGAAGTCTTGATATAATTTACAAGAATTAATGAATAAGTTGTAAAATCTTTTCTGAATGGTTATATTTTGACTACAAAAAGTTAAGTTATTATCACCTTCTGAAAAAAAACTTGACCTGCTTTGGCTTTGTTTATGATTAATAATATGGGTAGTTTCGGAAAATTCAAAAGAACTTGGCCTTTCAATAGATGAATTACAATCCAAATTTTGTGATTCATCTGCACTTAAAACAATCTTATTCAAATCAATTGAATTACTGCTACTAATATCAGCGATTTTCGGTAATTTATCAAGTGAAAAATTGTAAACTGGAAATTTTGGGCATTGCTCATAAACTTGCCGAACAACATCGGTATTATTATAATCAATGGGCTTGAAATGTTCAACCTCTATTTTAAGATTGTTGGGTATATCAGTATTTGAGCTAAGTGAATCTGAGTTACTTGAAGATAAAATGTTAGATGAAGCAGATGATATATATCTATTAATTATTTGTACGCTATTGAAATGTTCGATGAATTCCTGAAATGAATTGGATTTATAAGTAGCAATAAAATCTTGGATACTCATCATAAGTGGCTTATTCAATAAGCAAGATAACCTTAAATTGTATTTGTTATTTTTGGAATCATTAATCAAATTACTCGTCCCATTGTTGATTCCTTTACTATTTGTAGCTGGATCTTTTTGAGTATTACTAAACTCGAATTTTTTTTGATCAAAATATATAGTAGATAAAGCTCTATAGCAGAAACCAGAAAACGGGCGATTGACTTTATTTTTAAAAGGAAACTTATAAAAAGTTAACATCGATGAAATAATGCTTTCAACCGAGCCTGGAACCATTTTTGCAGCGATCATTTTAGTTACTGAGGAAGGAATCCATCCTTTTGGGCTTGCTTCATTGAACATGGAAATACTACTCCAAATGCCAAATGGAGTTTTTATTGGGATTGCCATATAACTACCAATTGATAAGTCCATTCTTACATATCCAGGGCGTTCAGGAGCATCTGGATGCTCCGTTGAACAAGAGCAAGAACAACAAATCACATCCTCTTGGTTTATTCTTGTTGAAGAATTGCTTAATTCATCCCAAGTCATAAATTTGAAGCAATTTTTTATATTAAATCCATGTAAAAACCGAATGTTGACGATATCACGTGGGTATACTGTGGCTATTCTTTTAGTTGCAACGTACATAACATCCAATCCTGGCGAAACATTTTCAACAACTTTGAGATCTACAGTATTATTGTCATAAACTCTTCTATTATTACTATCCGTTGAATATTCAACATAATCAAGAGGCGCAACTGGTACAATAAATTCTGTTCTAAGTAAAACCCTTCCAGATTTATGTTCTTTCTTCCAGACACGTACACCATCTTTATTATAAACCAGTTGACACATTAATTCACTTGGGGTGCTTATTAAACATTCAAAACTGACTTCACTTAACTTGTTGGCAAGCTGAATATACATACGTAATCTTTGATTTGTATTGGCAAATTTTAATTGATAATTTTGTAAAGAGCCATGGTTTTCTTCAGAATTCTTAAGAAAATTGTTTAAGATCTTTCGCGTTTTCTCAAGTTCTTCAAATTTCAATTTCAAATACTCATCAAATTTCCCCGGCTTGGCTAATATTGATCTTCTCTTCTTTAACAAGGCATTTATACTATTAATATTAATATGATTATTTGCATTAATATTACTATTATCATCACTGGAGATATTTGGAGTATTTATTGGCTTTTCAATACTTAATAAATCAAAATTTTCACTTTTTGTACATGAATTTTCAGTAAGTTTTGGTTTTGTTGGAAGAATTTCAAGTATTCTCTTAAAGTTCTGCCCTGCAGAGATGACCTCGTTAAAGTTGTAAGTTGTCTTAAAACTTTCCATTATTTGGATATCTACATTCTCTGAAATGCAAATATTATTAAGTAAAGTTGACCTAAAATTCAATTTCCTTGAAGTTCTTGAATCCGATTTCTCAAATTCTTCAATTGACCTCTCAATGGTTCTTAATTTTTTTGAATTTGTTTTATCATTAAAACGGTTATTTTTCGAAAGTTTTCTTAAAAATGAAAAATATTTCGAAGATAAAGAGGAAGAAGTGGGTTTTGATTGAAAAGCCAAATTATATTCGAAATCCTGAGAACTTTTTCTGTGACTCAAATTGAATTTTTTTCTGGATTTTTTTGAAGATAGTAAAGCTCTCAATTTTGCAGTAATCTTATACCTAAAACGTTTTTTTTTGAATAATTTCTCCATGGAAGCTACTAGTTCAGAATCCATCTTATCGTTATTCTCATCCAAAGAGCTACTTAATTCATTATTCAAACTTTGAATTTGATCAGTTTTGACTGTATACCTACTTTTTTGGTCATCATCAAATTCAGAAGGTAATGTAATTGATTGTATAGAATATTCAGTTTCAAATTCTGCTCCACTATGTGTTTCTGCAACAATTAAATGGTCTGAAGAGCCCATATTGTCTGAAATTTATTAGTCAATTTACCAAATTCAATTTATATACAAGATTTTAATAATATTAAATTATAGTCAAGCTGAAATATTTATTAATCTCTATTTGTGATTATTGGTAATGTTTAACTAACCATTAATTTTGAAAGAAAAAGTTATGTGAAATGCAGGTTGAATATACAACATTATATATTAATTAATATTGCATTTTATTATGTTAACATAAATTAATATGAATAAATTTTCCAAAGACCAATTAATTAATTGATATTAAGTGTTTCCTGACACTCTTATCAAACCAAGGAAATATTTTTAAAAAAAATTTTGATGTTTACTGTAAACTTTAGAATTCGCCTTTACTCAAAAGTTTATTATTATTATGTAATATAAAAATAACAAAATAAATGCGATAAGATCAAATAGACAGTTCAATTCCAAGGAGCACTTGAACCTTCAAAACTGATCTCTTCTTTCCACAAATCAAAGAAAACACGAAAAGCAACACCAATTGACTGTTTAATTTCTCCTTCTTAACCTTATAACTTAATAATGGTCTTATTCGACATTTCGGATTTTGACTCATGTTAACCGCCTAAGGCGGCATTTATTGGATACCTAAAATGCCAAATGTAATAATCAAATAAATATGGCGGGCACAACGGAAATATTACATGTAAGATGAATGAATACTAAATAATGTGGGAAAAGAAAGAAATTTAAAGGTAAGAGTATTATTTACTTTATAATTAAATGTATCCTGCAAATAGGAAGCATCCTAAGGTTATAAAGAGTATATTAGATTGAATTCGTTTTTTGGAAATTAAGTTGTTTGGCCCCCAATATAAATACAAAAGAAAAATTTGGAATTTTCTCATGAAATTCTCATTTCTTGATCAGAATTTTCTTCTTTTTTGTTGATTAAAATAACTGAGGCAAAGGAACGCCTATTTGTCCCTTTTGCAAGGGCTTTAATAGTATTATTATTAATGAAATCAAAAGAGTTTATTTTGACCTTTCTGTCAAAATCTAGAGATAGAAGGACATAACAAATGTTGGATAGGTCAATCGGAGTTTTAATATCCAATGGAAATGATGGATTACAGGTAATCACAATATTTTTGTGAGGAACATGTCTAGTAAGTGTAAGAAGATTAGAGAAGAAATTACGTCTTGAGTTACCTTTATTTAGTAGACATTGTGAGATATCAAGCTCAAAAAAAATCCCTCTTGAAATTGCAAGGTTAATTTGGGAACGCTTTATTATAAACGGAAGCCTTGGGGCAGATGAGATGTCAATAGAAATAATATCACATTCTACAGATGAGATAGCAGAATTTAATGCATTTTGTGTTGTTGGCCTTACAGACACCAAATCGTAAGGTTGATTTGGCATTGATGAAAATATAGCTTTGCTCCAACTATCCGAAGATTCATTACAAGGACCTCTGGACAAAGCATTTATGTAAGGAACACAATCAGGATCATCAAATACTATACTTAATCTTCTTAGTTGGATAAATTCAAGGGAAGTATCTTCTTCTTTTCCAAATCGGTTATTAATTTCTATATTATGGCAAGAAAGGCTCAGAGGTAAATATGCATTTTTAGGAACCAGTGGCCCACTATTTGACTTGATGATACTACTTGTTTTTCGTAGCCTACATAGCTCTTCTTTTTCTAATTGAATATATTGGATGGGGCAAACGTGTCCTTCTTTGGCTAGAATACTGAGAATATTACCAGTAATCGAATTCTTCTTGGAATTACTTCTCAATTTGTTGCATTTTTCTACCAAATTCAGATTATTATTAAATGCTATACCAAGGTATCCCAAACTATAAGCTTTATGTATCAGTTCTTTTGCCTTATTCAAGTCTCCTGGCCAGTTTACGCATAACTCAAAACTCATTGAAGGTTTTTAATATTTACTCTACTCCATATACTACTCACTGTTTTCTCGATAGTACTTGGATTTTTTTCATGAACGCTTGTACTTAAATTGGAATTATATAGTAATTCTGACAATTAATATAACATATTTTTGGCGCCGTTCAAATTATAATATATATTTAGGCCAAAAATGATTATAAATATTTTTTAAAATAATTTGTACTTTTTGATTTTGAGTTAAGTTCAGCTTAAAAACCGGCTGTTTCTTTATTTAATTTCAAAATTTATATGTTAAAATGACAGTCTTTGTTTTGTATGTACAAGCAGATTTTGAGGGAATCGAAGAACTCATTTTTCCTGAAAATTATACATGGTGTTTTGATATAGAGCAAAGTGCTGGCTCATTAACTAAAGAAAGGATTACTGTTGATCCCAATGAAAATATTGAGATGGAAAATAGCAGAGGCGTTGTAAATTTTGCAATGAAATGGGAATCAGATAAAAGACAGTCAACAATTACTTGTGTTAAGTTGAATAATATCTCAAGGATGAAAGTAACTAGCGAGGATGAAGGGAAACTAGTTCCAGTTGCAGCTTTTGACTGCAGAGGAATCAACTTAACTAAGTGGAATCCAAGTTTTGGTTATAATGTAATTTCAAATACTGGGAAAAAATTTGAAAACATCAATTTAGAGGAGTTTGAATGGTGCGATTTTGATGAGAATTCCAATGAATCTGTTGGAATTTATAATTTAAAGAGTGAATTTAGAACCCACAAAGTTTAGGCCACTTTACCCCAATCCCCACATTTTGCATATATTTTTTCACATATATATACCGGTTTTTACATGCAAAACTTGACACGTAATTCATTTTCATTAATATTTTTAATTAATTTTTTTTTTTTTTCAGAAGTTCAGCATGCAAGGTACGGTTATTATTTTTAACATTTTTTTTTTGTTTCAAATTTGAGCTTCTTTGTTAAATACTTTCCTATTAATCACTCTCGGAAAACCTAACACTACTGTTAATCTAATACTATCACAGAATTACTGTCGATGCTAAATCCAACAAAGTAAATTACTAGACAAAATCAGCTTGGCAGTAAAAATATAAGATTTAGCGGGCTACATATGCTTTCCTCTTTGTAAATTTGTATCCAGTTCTTCTGGAAAACGTTTTCAAATAAATTCAACATGATCGTTTCCGACCATATCCTTTATCTATTTCTGGAGTTGTACAAAAAAAATCATTTTAATAATTGCATGTAGTAAAACACTGAAATGATTCTTCTGTCAAATTTTATATTCTAATAATATATTACCACAATTCAGCGGGAGTTTTGGCGGGAAGTAAGATCAATAAACATTAAGTAGAAATCTCCTAGATGTATATAATACATAAACAGTATTAAGTAGGCACATTACAAAATATAAAAATAAGTTTTCTAAATTAAAAAGATAATTTTTTTTAAAAAATCAAAGCATACCAAAAGAAAATAAGTAAATAAGTAACAAATATATTTATTTACTTACTTGCGAATTATAAAGATATATTTTTGTGAGGTATTCAGTTCTTGTGAAAACAAATTGAATTACTTCAAGTGTCTAAGGAAAGTATTGTTGGAAAATAATTCGTGAATTAGTTAACAGAAAGTTAACAATTTTTTTATTCCTTAAGTTGGCTTCCTCCAATTATTGAATTAATTACTGTGAGATTGCTTCAAAATTTGTAGTACATGGTTTATTTTACCAAATTTGGCATTTCTCCTTCATTATTAAAATTGTATATTTAAACAAGAAATATTTAACTTAATTAAGAAATATCAATATTTGAACATCGGATTATTATTTTAATTATATGGGAATTAAACTCTAAATATAGTCAAATTTGAAGTAATTGTTTGTCATTGCATTATTATGATAAGATAGAGATACTGAATCTTTCTGTTCTCATACAACATTTACAACACGTATATATGTATATATATATATATTATATCATATTGCATTATATTATATATATATATATATGTATGTATGAATAAATACGATATTATAGGTAAAAGGTAACATGGAAAATGGTGAAAAGTATATTCAAAAAGTTGGGATGAATGAGGGAAGAGTTTCTAGAACTCAATATTTGTTTTTTCAAGTATATAACAATACAAAGAGGTGTTGCTGGAGTATATCTATACCGAGAGAGTGTATTGGATTGTCTAGGATTCTTCTTGAATATCCATATAGCTACTTCCTACCTCTATTTTCATGTTTTCAATGTATTCTGACAATTATTATATGCCATCTATTCTCAGCAGCTCTTTCTCATTTACCATATTATAAGCTGTTTCTTCCATTCACCTACTTTTTGACAATCCATTCCCCAGAAAAATACATATATATGTTCGGATTGTTGTCTTCATGGATTTTATTTGTGTTGTCAGTCCCAATGCTATACCATTTGCTTTTCTATCATCTCCCACAGCCACTTGAAGTATGGGTAACTCCTCAATATTCAAGGATTGGTGACTTTATGGCCAATAGGGAAGATGGTAACAATATATTTGACTCTGAAAAGGGAAACCATAATTACTACTTTGAGGGAAATCAGAAGAACACAAACAAAATCAACAGACGAAATGAACGTTGTCTTGCCGAGGAATATTGCACAGAAAGTGAAACAATGCTAGATATTGATGAGTATGAGACCAACAATTTAAGCTCACCAAATTTGATTCGTGTTAAACAAGGAGTTTTTCATAGAGCAATCGCAACCTGGACTTTGAGGATTACATTTTTTTCACTCTCTTTTGCAGTTTTCTTTGCATTTTTGGCTTTAATCTTTCCTTTTGGACTTAATCTTAGAAGAATTATTTTTAGCGAAGTTGGCGCTTCTTCTGGTATATTATATTACTTATTTAATGCACTATTAAGTATATCACCAAGCAATTTATTCATATTTTTCTCATTTATTCATGCATTACTCATCTCGATCTATGTATTTGTCTACAGGAGACCAGTGATTTCTAGATTGTCCCGTCTTCTAAAGATAGGATGTTCTGCTTTCATGGTTATAATCATCCTTATCAGGTCAATATCCACATTTATTATTTCCCATTGTTATATGAACAAGTTCAGAAGTGGAAGACTGTTCAATGATAATTATCCGAATCTTAACTCATTCTTGGCTGACTTCATCATTAAGATGAAAGCGAATCACTCCTTTTATATTAGAATGGCTTTTTCAAGTAGCTCCCAGTATCTATTTTTGTTTGTTATTATGGTATTTATTTCGAGCTACTCTCTTGATATTCACCAACTACACTTATCCTCTATTAATGCTTTTAAGTCCACAGAGGATTCCGGATCCTACTCTTTAATAAAAAGAGGTGAGGATTTTGTATCTAATAATGATGAAAAAGAAAGTATTCTATACTAGCTCAAATCTCACTTCACAAGAGAATTATATATTATTTAGTCCTGTTGATATATCAATTTATTAACCCGCCTAATTGTGTGTGTTTCTATATTTATTAAACATAGTTTGCCAAATAATTACTTATAAAAAAGATATATAGCAGATTTTTGTCAACTTCTTCCTCTAGAATGCAATATAAATTTTTTGTCTAAATTCTGCTCTATCTGTGATTGCTTTCTTTATTTGGCTACACTAACTTAAGAAGATTCAAAACCTAAATAATTATTTTGCATGCATTACAGTTGGCGCCAATAGCCATTATGAAAAACCCAAAAAAATGTACTGATTAGTTGCTTGATTTTACAAATAGAATGTATTATGTTAAAAAATAAAATAGAAATAGTAGTATACAAAAAGTTAGTAAAAAAATGGAAAACGCTTGTAAAAATAGAAATTTAACTCTTAATAATATATTTAAAATGTGGCGCCAATATATTTAGTAGTCATTAATGATTCTAACAGTCTCTCCAGAAATGATGTCGCCAAAGCCAATAAGTCTCCAGTGTTTGTCGACCCTCCTGGAAATAGCGAGCTTATCTCCTACACTACAGCATACAGGGGATGAAAGTTGGAAGGTGGCGAGATCATCTCTGATCTTTGCGACTCTTCCTCCTGTAGTTGTGGACCCAATGTTAACCATAAGAAGCTCTCCCTCCCTAAGTTTTGAGACTTTGGCCTGAGCTTTAGATCCATCATGAGCACGCACTCCTAAAAGTCTTCTCATTCGGTATAAAGTAATGTTAATAGAGTCATATATTTCAGGCAAAAAGCCTGGATGCCCAAGAACTTGTCCAGAGAGTCTGTTTGCTCTGGTCAAAGTTGGGTCAATCTTTGTTCCAACCCCAATTAGTCCACCTGAAACTGCATATTTCAAGTCGTTATGCTCGGCAAAAAGACTAACAATCTTAGATCTAATTGGTCTGCAAGTAAATTCTCCATCAGCATCCTTATTATAAATCCCAGGTCTTACTTCGATTTCATCTCCAATTTTGAGAACTCCCCTAATAATTGACCCCCCTGCAACCCCACCTCTCATATTTTGGGCATCTTCTCCCGGTTTATTCACATCGAATGATCTAATAATAATCATTCTGGGAGAAGATGTAAAGTCTCTAATAGGAATAGGAATTTGCGTACAAATATATTCACAGAGAACATCAATGTTGAACTTTAAGACAGCAGAAATAGGTATAATTGGAGCATCTTGAGCAGAAGTACCCGCGACAAAATCTTTAATCTGTTTATATTGTTCTTGTGCCTGTGCCTCCTTAATTAACTCTACCTTGTTTTGAAGGATAATAATATGCTTAAGCTTCATGATCTCTACGGCAGCTAAATGCTCAGAAGTCTGTGGTTGAGGACATGTCTCATTACCTGCTACCAATAAAAGTGCTGCGTCCATAACTGCTGCTCCGTTCAACATGGTAGACATAAGAATATCATGACCTGGGCAGTCTACAAAAGATACATGGCGAAGAAGCTGCATTTTATGATTGCATGAAGGAACTTCACACATTGGTTCATCTTCTTTATTTGATCCATAGCTACGATAGCATTGAGGAGATGGGCAATTTGGATTGGTACACTTATAGATTTTTGCATTGGCATATCCCAATTTAATTGTAATATTTCTTTCCTTTTCATCCTTAAATCTGACAGTCTGAACCCCCGAAACTGCTCTGACAACTGTAGATTTCCCGTGAGCAACATGCCCAATAGTACCCAAGTTTATTGTGGCTTGACGAGAAATTACTTCTGGAGTAATTGGAGTTAACTTTGTTAAGTCCAAATTATCTGCATCTTGTTTAGATAAATGATCACTAGACATCTCGATAGATTATGTATCTTCTAATAACTTTTTAACTAAATGTTTATGCTTTATTATGACTCCTTGTGCCTAATCTCTAAGAATTTTGTTCATTCAATGTAATAAACAAGAACCTACAATAGACTGAAACCCTGCGTTGAAATTCTTAGCCTTCCAAAATTTACCCTTTCTTGGCTCTATTGCTCAAGTCCTTTTCTTGTTTACCTTTGCTTTTTCCAGTCTTTTTCAATAAAAAATTGTTGAGGCTTCCCGCCCACTATATTCTGCTGTCTCGTTACCTTTTTGGCGGCACATAGCTTAATTATTAATAACTGGGAAAAATAGTTACTTTGTAGAAAAACTACAGATTTAAGTATTGAAGTAATAGCAATGGATTGATAATTTACTAATTTACATGGGCTTTTTTTTTAAAATTCACCCATTATTTTTTTTTAGTATAATTAGTAGATGAGCTTAGGGTTATAGACTTCATTTGTGACTAAAAGTGATAATATGAAGTTTTATTCAACTTTCTGTATAAATTCTAATTATATTTTCTCATGTATGCCTCTAATGATACTAACACACTTAAGTAAATCTACTTGAATTCTAATAATGATATCACTACAATTAACTTTATTCTTACTTAAGTTCTAGAACAAAAAAAAAATCATTCTTCCCACGCTTCTTATTTTATGAAAAAGTTAAGGAGCGATTTATTAGGAAAAAAAGGTGTAAGAGGTTGTTGCTAGCATCTATATTATCAATGAAATTTCAAATGGTTTTTTAAGATGGATAATTGTAGTTCAAACTTTAGGTTATGGACTAAGTGTATAAAATAGAAATGAATACAGAACCTAAAGGCAAATCTAGGTTAAATAAAATTACAATTTTTAAGGAATTAAGAATCCAATTGTGGGTGAGTGAGTCTACTCTATATACAGAGGTTTAGATGTTTCAAATTTATTCTGTTTAAATTTCTAATTTTAAATAGAATGCATATTACACTGTTCAAATAGAAGTGCAATAAGAAGTATTCATAATATTCTTCAAGAACAAACCGATTCCAAGGAGTTCAAATTACCACTAAAAATGTGCAAATAATCAGTTTCTCTAAATGCTAATACTCGAGCTAATTAAATATTTCTAAATTTTATCACTAACATTATATAATATATAATATCTATATAAAAAAACCCGCCTATTTTGGTTAGCTTTTGAATAGATAGTAAAAGCCATGCAAAAAATAAAAAAGTATAACATTTAAATAAACGTGTGATTAAACTGTGGGGAAATTAAGAGTTTATTGACCTTAAAAATGCTAAAAAATAATTTTAAATGTTGAAAAATAATAATTCGGGTGTGAATTCATTTGTGTTTGGATAGCATCAGAAATAAGAGTAAATTGGTTTCCTTTCATATAAGTCAGCTTACATGTAAGCGAACGAATCAGTATAATACTTCCGAGAATGAGATGTAAATACGTTATTTTTGTTTTAATTTTGTTGTTTGTTATAGTAAATGCCTTTATGTTACAAAAAAGAGAAGGAGTAGACTTAGGTTTGAAGAAAAGTCTCATCCAAAATGCAAAGGCTTCTAAATTTGAGTGTAATGTAGCAATGGAGTGTATAAATATATTTAGGTATTATTATTTTTTTGTGGCAATGGTTTATGAGATTGTCTCAACATCTAACTGTATGTCAAGAAATTCTGATAATGAATTTAGAATGCTTTTATCACAAAAGCTTTCTGAGTTAAATTACTATAGAAACTACTTTGCCGAGTATGCAATGAACAAAGGAGAAAATGCAGCTTTGTTTGTAGTTATTCACGAATTCCCAAAAAGAAAGGAATCATTTTTGGATGTTTGTTCTCAAATAAAATATATTGATGCAAAGGAACTTTACAGTATAGAACTTAGAGTTATATCAAATTATTTGGCAGCTTTATTGGAATTGAAAAACTACATTCATACTGATACCAATATTTTATCAGACTCTTTCTTATTACTAAATCAAAAAAGGGAAGTAATTAGAATCATTAATAAAGCAATAGAAATTATTTCATTCACTCAAAAAGAGATACAGAATATAAAAGAAAGTTCTTTCCAACCTAAAAGTATTTACGAATTATCGAGCATTCCTCAAAAGTTACAAATTATCAAAATATATAGGCACTATCTTAAAGTTCGTATCTCTCATGTGGTCAAACTAAGGCAATATATTAAAAGCGATAAAAGCAAATTATTCATTATGCTAGAAGAGCTTGAAAACAGCAATAATATGCCTCCAAGATACTAACTCTATGATTTGTATATTAAGCAAGCTACTTTGAATCTTTCTAAAAAAAATCTTAATTCATTTCAAAACTTTGTTTTTCTAGGAAATCATTTTATTCAATAATTTGTAATTAAAATAATTCAAGAAAGAAAGTAGTAGATTTTATCTAATAACCGATTTGTTAGTTGATAAAAACAGAGAAGAATGGTTTTACATACATAATTAATAGTAAACTAAACAATAAGGCTTCAACTATAAACACATTCTCCAATCCAGACTTTATATGGTTGATTAACCGCAAAATTTATCCGTAATTCAGTTTCTTGCATAATTATTTTTTCTTTATTGTTTCCTGTAATGAATTGTTTCTTGCCCCCCCATTCCCGCCCATGTACTGCATTAGTGCATGTGGGGTATTTTGACATTAAAATTATTGGCGCCATTACACTGTTTTATTAAAAGAAATATATAGCAAATTAAAATCTTACAGACATAATTTAATGATTTAATTTTTGTGCTGAATAATATGAGCTCATCAAAATTATTCAGATATATAAATTCAAACTAGGATCGAAATACTTTTTCACATTTTTTCCCCATTAGAAAACTCGAAAATTCATTCACAAAATAACTTGTATATATATTAGTTAGAGTTCAAAATGTATTGATACAATTCGACTTTTAAATTTAAAAGTGTGATTGTTCTTCAATACGTAATTATTGGGAAGAATAAATTTCCCAATCTCTCATGGTTTACCTGCGAATCTCAGCATATATATTTTAAGGATATGCATTATCGCTCAATTTAATGCAAAAATCCCTTTTAGGATTTATTTAAACATTTTCTTAAAATTAATGTGTACATTTAATAGTTACAATAACTATTTCAGAAAACAAAACCAAAAAAATAATCAACAAAAAAACAACAAAACAATGCAAAGTAATGAATCAAAAAATCATATAAATTGCCAAACAAACTTGTATTTCTTCCAGAACACATCTATCTGTTTATTCACATTAATACATCATTTTTTTACATTCCACATAATAGCACAAAATCTGAAGATATCAATTTCTAAAACAGCTTTGGCGCCAAATCATGTGCATGAATTTCTGCCATTGGTCAAAATTCCATATATTAGACTGTTAAAAATGTTGAAAAATTTTCTACCTAAAGTTCGTAAACTTCCGGAAATTTATTTTCCAATATTTTTGTGCACAAGTGCAATACTGCCCACTGTTTAAGAATCTCAAATTTTTAATTTACAAGAAAACCGACATTCCAACAGGGTAAACAAAAGAAAAATAGTTACCTGAGCTTGAAAGAGATAAAACTGAGTGTTTAAATATATCCAGTCATTTTAAAAATTTAAAAATATTAGTAATAATGCGGAAGCTTCTTTATTATTATTTTTTTTATTTACACGAAGAAAACATTTAAACTTGAATTGAATATTAGGGAAATTACTTACAAAATTAACCTACAAAATAATACAAGTGAAAAACAAATTAATGGCAGAAAACTATTTTTGAAGAGTTCGGATAAACCAATAACTTTTATGTTCAAAAAAATTGCATGTATCCTCGCTTACGCGTGTGTGTATTTATAAATATATATTTTTTTTAAATGACTCTCAGAAATTGGTATAAAAAAATATAATAAATTTTTTAAATGCCTGAAAGATAAATTTGAGTATTTTTTGTCACAATTAACTTCCTATCATCAATGATTTGTGCATTTTTGTCCTATTTTTCGTTCATATTAAAGAAAATTTTTCACAACTAAAATATCGTGTTTAGGATTAACCAGCAAAAAAAAAATATGTATACAAATATATTTTTAGTAGAATTAATCATATTAATTACTTAAAAAAAATTGAGAACACTACCCTGAAATAAAAACATATCAATTAGTTCATAGAATATTCATCATAGCAATTCTACATTACTAATATTGAAGGTTTCAAACAACTTTTTACCACCATTGACTACCCTATATTCCTTAGGCTTCTTTTCTAGAAAAGGATTCATCTAATCAGGTATTTCTAAAATATTTTAACTAGGCGCCAAATTATAGCATGACTTTTTGCATGCAAAAGGTTAAAAAGCCATTAATGGATCTGCCGCAAAATTATATAGATTATTAAAAAGTCGAACGACTTAAACCAATTCTTTTTTTTACTAGAACAACATGGGATTAGTTAAATTTAAATTAACATCTTTTTGTTGCATCCTTATTGTTTTGACTCATTTTATGGTTGAATATAATCACCTTAAAATTAGTCTCGAAAATATTAGTTTAATTAAACTAAAGGCAGTATACAGAGGTAATTTTCATGACAAAATAGAAGTACTCGAATCTGACATAGATGATGAACAGTACTTAGATTTAATTGATACAGAAAATGTTCAAAAAACAGATTTAGTTTCTCGTGGACTGACAAGTTCATTAATAAATAACTATCTCATTCCAAATTGCGGAATTTCTGTTTTACAACCAGCAATCAACTCATTTTTGTTAAGACTATACAATTTTCAAGACAAAAAACAAAAACTTAAACATCTTGAATCGAAGTTTAATGAAAGAAATTGTCATAAATTGGGGAAATTTGCATATTTATTTAAAAAGTGTGCTTGTATTAAAAGAGAAATAAAAAAATTAGAGAAATTATTGCAAGAGTTAAGAAATCAAGTCAGGCGGCTCGAACGCTTTATTTTGAAATGCTTCATAGTTTCAATAGAAAAGTCATGGCAGGATTTACGCAAAGAAGATTTTGCAGTCATTGAAGAGGATGCAAAGGAATGTACTTATGAACAACTTTATTCTATTTGGAAAAGTCTAAATTTATTTAAAAAATTCCATATAATGTTTAACTTGTTGGTGTTCTCAAACTTGAGAAAAGACAATTCAAAGTCAAATTTTGGTTGTTTTGGTTGCTTTGGTTGCAGAAATACTAATAAGAAATGCAATAAATCCATATTTGACGAATTTACTAAAGCTAAAGAAAAGCTTCAACTTCAGATTGAAAGCCTGGAACGTGAATTCGGGAGTTGTATTTCCTACTTGATATCTAATAATATGTTTAATGTAGAAGAAGAATTAATTAGTGAACACAAATTTACTTCATTGGTTGACTTAATAGAACTAATGGAATGATGTGATCATCAATGAATTCAAATTGTTGAAATGGGTATAACTAACACTAAAAGTTAAACTTTTGAAAAAAAAAAAATTTGTTTCTAATTTTTGTTTTGATTGGTCATGCATTTTTTTTGAACATTAATCTAAATAATCCCATTTAAATTTCAAGATCATATTGTATTCACAATTTACCGCCAATTTACTTTAGTAAAAAAAATCTAAAATCCCAAACAGAGAAAGATATTTTGAAATTTAACTAGGGTAAATGAATTTAATCTCGTTTTTTTTAATTTTTTCTGTCATTCTTGTAAATGATAGCTACATATATAGTAAAAGGCATGGCCAAGACTTTAAAGCAATCTCATTTCTAAAAGTTAAAGAAGAAGGTGGTGGGTTTGGAGTATCAAAACTAGGTTCAGACTCGAAAATTATCGTAGATAAGGGAATTGGAAAAAATGATAAATCAGTTATTGGTATATTTGGTGATACCTTTTCTACCCAATTTAATGGTATCGGATTATCAACTAAACTAGAAAAGGAAATGAACGAGATATTCAGTGTTGAATGTAATGCCGATGTGTTTAGCTTTTTGATTAATTTGTTGGGCAAATTATTTGTTCATATTAAAGAAATTGAATGTGAACTTAAAATTTTAGAAAATGCCTACAAAAGATGCAAAGGTTATGGAAACATTATGAGAAGAATTAGAAAGTGTGTGCAGATTGAGGAAGCTTACAAAGGAAAAAGAAAAGTTGGTCGTGATTCTTTAAATAGACTTAAAATTTTTGGTGAAAAAGTTTCAGAATGTGTGGCCGGAATAACAAAGGGTTTGTGGATAGTAGGGAAACATGTGGAAGTATCAGATGAAATAAATGAGAATGAGTGCAACGAGCAAAAACTGTTCGAAGAAGCTTACACACTAACCAACTACAAGGTTTACCATCAAGTTACAGTAACAGCACACAGTCTTTTTTCTGTCTCACTTTCAAAATGTAAAGAAAAAAGGTGTAGGAAATTTAATAAAAAGTGCAGGTGTATTTTATCAACTGCTGATCAAATCGAAGATTTAATTAGCTATTTTGAAAAAGTAATTATTGAAAAGAGTTCTTTCATTAGTGGGTGCACCAAATACTTAAAAAATGTGCATGGGTCCATCAGCAAGAATTTAATGCAAGTTCCTACTAGCCCCTCCAAAAAAGGCTTGGAAGAAATTACCCAAGTTAGTCCGTTGTTAACTGAACTTTATTAATTTGTTCCTATTTAAGTATAATGTTTGATTAGATTACTAGTCAGACTTGTGGTGTCCTTCCAAATGGCGCCACTGGCTGAAGGCATATTTGTGCATGTATTTTTGTTAATGCCAAGATTAATTTTTATGGGGTTTGATCCTCGAAATTTAGAGGGAATTTTTAGTTTTTTTGACTTAATCTTGCAAATTTGTTCTAAGAGAATGTGAATTGTAAGCTTTGACAAATATTTAGTAAAAAATGTTCTAATTAACAATTGTCCCCAATTACGAGGTATTTAAGTAATTTGAGTAAGCTTAGTAGAAAAATCAAAAAATTAAAATCTTCATTTGAAAGTCTAATTCAGACGAAAATACACTAAGGGAATTTACTTGTAGTTGTCTGAGTATTTTGGAGAAATATAATCCGTCTGAAGAGAAAATAGTGGTTAATGTTGCCCTTATAAATTTTCCTCCAATTAAATGATACTTTTGAATTTTGTATTCTCAAATTTCACTTTCTATTACTCGGTGCTAAATTGGATGCATGCAAAACATTAGATTACGTGTCAAATTCAAATAATTTATTGTTTTGAATATATTTTGTGATAAAAATCAAATCAATTTCAATATTCCAGTTACCTACATTTATTTAAATACAAAAACATAAGAACTGAGGAAATTAATAGGAAAAACAAAAATTTACCAAATAGATAATAATTACTCAGGCTTCCATTAAATGTATCTTTTGGCGGGCTATTATTTATTGATAAAAATATTAGAATGGTAATTAGCTGTTTCTCTTAATTATAATAATTTTGGTAGAGAAAAAATTATGCTTAAAAAAATATATTGAGGAGTGTAAATGTTATTCAGAAAGTTGCTGTAACTGAAAGTTATTTTTAACACTTGGGTTGAGTTAATAAGATTTCAATCATTTAGAATTGATCTATAAATTACTGCATGTAAATGAAAACTCCAAGATGACATGTAATTTGATATTTTTTCTTTTTATACTAATCTGCAACATCTTTATATTTAAGGAGTCTAATTTTTATTTGGAGGTGGGTTTCATTAAAATAAAGGCTGTTGGTGGGGATGACTCAAGCCAATATGATAGCTCTGTAAGTACTAATAATGGTGAAGATCTAAGCGATGACGAAAACAACAATGAATACGACGAAAACTCTGCTACAAGTTCTAATAGGAAAAGTTCTGTATCACTTGAACCAGGAAATAATTCAGTATATATTTCTAAGGGAAATGCATACTTTGAAAAATGTATTGGGAATGTTTGTATCTTTAGCTCATTCAATGATTCAGTTAAGTTCCTTTTATTTGAAGCCAAAATTAGAGAATTGGATCTTTCCCTTTTAGAGTGCCAGAAAATTGTTCATTTTTATTTGAAATCGAAATTTACACCCAAAACCGCAGTAAAGAATGAACTTGTTATTAACATCAAAGATCTGATTAATCTTATGATCAAGTATGTTAGGACAGAGGGAAGATGTCTGCTAAGAGTCTATCAAAAAGAGTCATCTAAAAAATCAAGAGATAGCTCTAGAAGTACTAATAAAGTACATGACAAATCTGATTCTGACACTGATTCTAGTCTTGAGTCTGATCCAAAAACTAACTTTGGTGCTGCACCAAGCATCGCCATTGGCCCAGTTGGCAGTAAAATTTACTATCTCTTAAGAAATTTCTCAGAAGGCTCCTCAAAAGCCTCAAATAAGTCTTCAAAAGGCCATGTTTCTGAAGGCCCTTCTGCATCAATACCTTTGGGCAAAGATGTTATATCGAGTACTCAAAGGGACGACATTTCAAGCAGAGATTCCTCCCAAGCCTCAGTCCCAGTTTCTAATCTTGATCAAGAACTTGAGTTTGAAGAAAGCCCAGAAATGGAGATAGAGGAAGATCAGGAACATATCACCCCTCAACAAGGAGAAGATTACAATATTGAGTACGAGGATGAGGGAATGGAAAGCCAAGTGAATCAGGAAATGATTGTTAAAAACTTGGACTTAAATACTAGAAGCGCTATTCCTTTGAAAGAGATTGAGATGGAAATTGATCTTGAAGATCCATGGAGGAATTTGATCACAATGTTGTTATACGAACCAGTAAGGAGATCTTCTTTAGTATATAGAGAAGAACACTGTAAAAAAATAGTAAAGACAACTGGGAGGATTATAGCTTTTTTAGTTAAGGCTAGCTGCAAGTTACGCCTTTCTTTGAGTGATTATAACAGGAAGAAATGCAGGGAAAAAAACAAAGTTTCAGGACTGCTTACAGGATGTCATAAATTAAGAACTAATATCAAAAAATATCTCAACTTGTATTCCAAATTCAGATACGACCTAGTTGATTCAGTTGTAGCTATTACTCAATGCTCAATTGCCAAAAATAACTACCTGTCTCAAACTGATCAAATAATTCTGAATGATTCTGAAGACAGTTTAACTATTCAATGTACTTTAAAAGAATATTACTTTTCTATTGATTTTCATATATTCTTATCATTCATCATTAATGCATATAACTCTGCAAAGGAAAAGTTAGAACAATTTATCTCAAGTGGCTGTGAATCAACATGTTTAACAAGATGTGGGAAAAAGCCACGACTTTGCTCTTGTCTGGAGCATTCTTTCAATAATATTTTTGCAGACAAAATTAATATGGAGTCTTACAACTTTTACCTAAACAAAAGAATATCTATGTGTAAAGACTACCTAGTTAGGAACTATTTATACTCGAATAATATCCCTGAATCTGCCGAGTATATCTCAACTTCCGGAAATAGATATAAACTTGAGCAATTTGATTATATCCAGTTAGTACAATTCCCGAGAGTGTATCCATTCAATCTAAAAAAACTTAGTATTATCAAATCAAACATATATGAACTCTTACTAAATCATATTAATACTCGAGAACAACCTACTCAGCTCCCCGTGGCCAAGGAAAACTCTACAAGTGGCACTTCAAAACAAAAACAAAAATCTAAATCTAAGTTCAATCTTAAATTAATGCGGAAAAACGGAAAGAAAGGCACCAATGAAAATAATAATGTTCATCCTTCTGTCCCCCAGGCTAATTCTCAAGATAGTTGGACTTAACTCACATATTTAGTACTTCTCCATGCGTTCTTCCATGCAATTACATTTTTTTTTGAGCGGGAAATTTGTGTGTAAGTTGGCAAAAATTAATACAATAAAATGTTAACTAAATATTTCACACTGATTAGCCACAATTTCTGTGTGCTTAAGCTCTGAAGAAAAAGAATACTTCAAATTTGTAAGTGTGTGCCAATAACTACGCATAGAAATGAATACAAAACACAGAGCAAAAATCCTGCTTATTTAAGTTCTAGATAAGTTTATTAAAACTCTGGAAATTGTAGAATAGGTCTCATTTTTCTATTAATTATATGAAATGAAGCTCCTTATTTCTATTGGAATCAACTTGCTTGTATTTTTTAGCAATTCCGCAAACGATGTTCAATCTTTTCAGGAATTTAGTTTTTTAAACCTTAAAGAGAGCAGTAATGGAGCTCTTCGTAGGAAAGATGCCAGAATAGCAGTGAATGAATGCAGTATGGAAACTTTAAATATTATTTTAATGAAGGACCAGGTTTTAAAGCTCGAATTATCATCTTACTATTGTTACTTGAAAAATCTTACAAAGGCAGTAGAATCATGCAAAAGAAGATGTAGAATTTCTCGTAGTATTGGAAGATGCAGAGGAATAGAAGAGAGATTAGCCACTGTTAGACAAAAGTATGAAAGGCTTAAAGGAGAGCGAGCTAAGTGGACGAATTACCTGATTTTCTGTATTAGATGCAGAGCACTTACAGAATACAAACTTATTCAAAGCAGGGGAGGAATTGCAAAGAGGGGTAGAATTGGTGGTAATGAGTCTGAAGATGATCCTGCATACACTCTTGTTCATCTATTTAGCTCATTTGTTACCAAAGATATTTCGAATTATGAACTTTCGTACCTTTTAACAAAGATGAATGTATACAACTCTGTAAAGGAAAAAATGTGTAAACAAAAAAGCAGGGCATTGTGCAAATGTGCTAGGAACTCCCTTAAAGAATTATTGAACAACGAGAGCTCATTAAAAACCATTATACATAATCAAGATGCCTATCAAAGAAGGTGGTTTACATTTAACACAAATGGTGAGAATACCATTCCTTCATCAGGAGAACCAATTAATTCAATCCAAAGTGAATGCAGTAGTGTATTAGAAATGGATGCTCAAGTTCAGAATGAAGCAGAGGGGGTTACGAATGCAGGATTCTCACGTGAAGAATCGAGCCAAGTGAGCACTTTATAATTCACTGTCAAAACATCATTCATCCTTGATCAAATGTAAGTTACAAATAAACAATGAAACGCAGATAAATCTATCATTTAAAAATATTCAATGTATTGGCAATTACTATTTCCAACTTTAAGTTCAGATGATCATTTTAACGCTAATCAATTCTGAAAAATTTTAAGGTTTGTGTTATTTCTATTTTTTTGTTACTTGTTTTAAACTAATGGCGCCAATGTTATTTTTTGTTTTTCGAGCATTAGCTGAAATATTCACCTAGAAAAATAAATATTAAATTTGAGAAAAGTTTTCTGTTGATATTAAGGTATTCAGACGGAGTTTTTGTGAGAATTTTTAGTTGATATGTAAAGTTCTCCTGTTCTAGATGTTCTATCACTTCTCAAGAATAAATCTTGGCAAATAACTCGATCTGGTTTTGGTGGTAATATTATATGATAAACTTTTCCATCCTGAATTTCTACAAAAATTTGTTTAAAAATGTGTATTTATTTATTTATATTGACTGCAATATTTTACTTTTGTAAAAACCGTTCCACAGCAGTATTGCTAACAGAGCAAGTATCCTTGTTTCAAGTTAGTAGACTCCAAAATCAACCATTTCTCGAATCAAAACCATTATTTGATGGAAAAGGAAATAAAGAATATAAAATTTTTATTTCTGAATTTGGTATTTCTGATGATTTAACCACTGGAAAAGAATGCTCAAGCAATGAGTTAAATAGTCTATTTGAAGAGCTTAAACAAATGTTTATAAAGTATTATTCTTTAAAAGGCTCAATCCTGGATTTAAAAAAGAAATCAATTTCTGATCAAGTCCAAGAACAAATTGAAATGGGTAGTAAAATGTATCAAGAGGCCGATATTGAATTAAAAAAACTAATTAGTAAAATTTTTGCATGTATTATAATCAGAACAGCTCCTGACTATATAAATCATAGTACATCCCAAAACCACATTGGTTGCAGTATTCATTCATATGTTTATTATTTGTCGATGAAAAGACTAAGCAAAAAAATTATCAAATTATTAGAAGAAACTCTTTCAAAATTTTCCAAATCAAAATCTAATTGTCAGTTAGTCAATGCAAATTTTAAGCAAACTTCTTGCCATTACCTACTTTGTTCACTAAAAGCTATCAAAGCTTCAATTATCACTGAAACCTACTATTATTACCAGTACAAACGAACTCAAAAGAATTGCAAACCTTTTGTTCAACGTAATATTTACAAACTGTTTCTTTTTAAATGATTTAAAAATTGTTACTCATTAGCACGAGAATATGGTAACCAATGCAAATTTTTGCCGCCGAAATGTGTTTTCTGGATTTTCAGAAACGATAGTTTTATTTCCTGAATTGAAATATTGGTAATACTCCAAGCTTTATCAATGCTATTTATATTAGTCTTTCAAAGACTAATAAGTTATTCTTTTTAGTCCGTAATATCAGATTTATGAGGAAAGCCCATTTCTCAAAGCAAAAATTGGAGAATGATTTCTCTCTATGTGTTTAGTGAAAATAGTAATAAAATTCTGCACGTGTAAATCAGAATTGTAAGAAATGACCAATAAATGTTTGATTTAAAAAGTAGTCGTAAAAGTCACTTGAAGGAAATAATAAAGAGAAAACCACCAAAAAAGAAATAGATCTATCGCAATATAGTGTTAATTAATTGATTAAATAGAAAAGTAAAGTAAAAGACTTTGAAGTTATTATGGGTATTATGTTATTTCTGTCAGCATTACTGAGATTTCTATTCATTTTGAATTGATCTTTTTTATCAAAAAGAAAAAAATATTGTAGAATTGGAAATGTAAGAAGATCTGAAAACATAGCAACTTCTACAACTTGATCTAGCATAAACCTTTATTATTAATTAATTTTGCAATTTTCTGATAAAACTAAATCATTAAAATAACCGCTTTGTATTGTTGTGGTGGTTACTAATTATTTGTAATATAGAGGGATTGCAGAAATTTGCTTTTATACGGACAAATAAGAATCGAATATTATTAAAAATAAGAAGAAAAAGTTTATATGAGTTGTATATGTAGTTCATTAATTTCTTGAAACTCCTATAATATAAACTCAATCGTCTAAAATCTTTCTTTCATTTTCTAATCAATCTTTAAATACAAAATTCGTATAGATTAGTCCACAAAAAAGAAAGTACTGACATCCAATCCATTATTCAATCCATGCAAGAGATTATTTTAAAACTGCGTTTATAATGCTTTTAGCATCTTATTTTTAATATAAACAAAATTTTTTTTAAAATAATGAGCTTTTATTCTATTTGTATAATTTCCTGACCCCAATATTCATTAACTAAATTTTAAATTTAAACAAATTCAATGCAAATTGGAAAACTTGATAAATGAAAAATTCTATTTCTTGTGTTTTGTGAAATTTTATGCCAGTTTATTTGTAAACACTCATCTTTTTATGAGTATGATTTATATTTTATGATACAAAAAAAATAATGTAACTAATAACTGCTTGAGTTGATTTTGGTTTTTTTTTAATTATTAGAATTACAAGAATCAAAATATCATACTCTTACTAATTGTGTATAAGTATTCATAAATTTTAAATAAATTCTTTCTTTGTTCCATTTGCATAAAACTTAACTGAAAAGCTTAATTTTGCACTCAGAATCAGTTAATTTACAATTTAAGTAATATTTTACATTTAACACAATTATCTTTTGCATGTTTTCCCCGCCATTTTGATTTGTAATAGTCCATACTATAGAATTATTTTATTGTATTTTTTTTCAAAAATGAAATTAATCAATACTCAAATTTGCATTTAATTTATTAGAGTTCAGAACAAAATGATTGACTTCAAGCCAAATAAATATGAGATATTCAAGTTTTTCATCTAAATTAATAGTTAAGAATTGTGAAATATAGAGTTTTTTTTTATAAGATAAAGTAGATTACATTCAAACTCAAATTTTCCTAATTTAAAATTTATAGAGCATGCAAGAGAGAGAGAATGGTATTCAAATTTAATCAAATTATTTATGCATGTATTAGTTTTACAAAAAAAAATTCTGAAATTTTATTTGACATTTTAAAATACAAAAATTAAGTTCATAGCATAAAATAGAGAAATATTTAGCTTAAAATGTGTGGCTCATCATAATTTGTTTTTATAAATACGTCTTAATTTCTTAATTAATTTGTGTGCATGTGCAGTACCAAATAGTAAATTGACTCATTATTTCTACCTTTATTCATTAAAAAAAATTTAACATATTTAATCTAAATCAATTTGGAATTATTAACGACTATATTATTCTCTTTTTGAGAGAAATTTCTATAGATTATTTTTTATTTTTAGAAAATGTTCAAGTATCTCATTTTATTAAATACTTTAGTTATTATCTACACCTTTTATTTCAATTCAAATAAATTGGAAGAAAATTTCATCTTAGATATATCTCTCATAAAAACAGCAAACACAGAAACTAATACTGGAGCTCCACTTGTTTCGAATGCTCAAGTGAGGGAATTTGGGGTATTTACAGGAAAAGGAACAAATACAATAAGCGCATATGTCACTAGCTTTGGAATTGGCTTTGACTTGTCTGTAAATAAAAAATGTAGCACAAAAAAAATTAAAATTTTGATTCAAGAACTAGAAAATTTAATGCTTAAATTGTTTAAAAATTATGGAAGAAATAAAGAATTAGAAAAATCACAAGTCAATGAAGCAGTCCAATCTCCTCAACTCCTAAATGAATTGAATAATTTAACAGAAGAAATACAAAACCAAAACAGAGTCTTGGAGAATTTACTTACTGAACTATACGCCTGTATTTTAAGCAAAACTGCAATTAAATACTCTAATAAATCAATGAGAAAAAACAAAAAGAGTTGCAACCTTGTTTATTTGGTTTACCATTCTTCTCTTAAAAGTATGAGTAAAATCCTTATTTCTATTCTTAAAGAAGTACTCGAAGAATTATCTAAGTCCTATAACAAATGTCTTAAATCGATTAATATAAGCCCAGAAATGTGTTATCAACTTGGAGTTTCAATTTCGAGTGTCGAAAGCTCTATTTTGTCACAGAATCAGGTTCTTACAGAATCCAAATCTGAAAAGAAAAAGTGTAAACGTTATCTCCGAAATAAATTAATGACTAGAATATTAGGTCGAAATCAAGGTAGAGTATCTGGAAAAGTAATCTCTGAAACTGAAGACTCTATTACTACATATTTATAATCAGATCTAATTCTTCAAACCTAAATTAAAGCTCAAGCTAGTACAAACTCACCTTGGTTTAATTTAAGTAATAAAATGTTTCATGCTCACAAACATGAAATTAAACTTTATATAAACTTTTGTTTTTAAAAATACGAGACGAAAAAAATTTAGTTATTTTGAAAAAAAAAAATACATGATTACTTTCCTCTAAATGTTACATGTATTTGGCGCCATACAAACTAGTGTGTTAGACTTGAACTAAATCTAAAAAATTCAAAAATGAATTAAGGATCTTAAATCAAAAATAAATGAAGTCAAATTTTTTAAATACTAAAACTTTCAGACCAATTTTTTATTTAACTCTTTATTTGAAACAAATTTTTTATTTAAAGTTTTGATTTTTTTCAAGAAAAAAGTTTTAATGAAGTTTTTTTTACAAATTTATTCAATTTCATTCTTATTATATTATTTTTACATCAAAATTCATGCTCCTCAGTCTGTAGAGAGTCATTATCAAATTGAATTTAGCCTCATTAAATCTCGAGCTAGAAGTTCAAGAAGTAGATCAACGAATAATGGGAGAAATTCAAGACAATCATCCGAAGCTGCTGCCGTTCAATTTCTTGAAGATCAAATGAAATCACCGCCATCGCCTTTATCACCTTCAAAACCCTCTCATTTGAGAATTACTGAATTTCTAAGTTCTTATGGCGTAGATGATCAAATGTACGTAGGAGGAGTATGTGATGACCAATTAAGAGAATATTACTATTCTAAACTAAAAAAGATAGTTGGTTTTTTTTTCTTGGTTAAAGGAGAATATAAACATAATTATGGAACAAATGGTCCTGTAGGTCGAGACCGTACTTTGCATTCAAAATTCCGATCTCAATATGCCACATTGATCACGAGATTTGATGATATCTTTACAGCACTCAAAAACTATATGGAGTTGTTATTCAACTGCTTATTATACATATTCTCGCATAGCTACAGAGAAATTGAAGTAGAACCAAATGATTACAATTGCACAAGAATATCTATTTACTTCTTTCTGATGATCATGGAGATAACCAATTATATGTTGAAAATATTTGGCTATTTAGAAAAACAGTTTGCTAAGCTTATTGCTCAACTTCTTGAAAAAAAACATGATGATGTCGAAGCAAGAATCCAGGCTATATACTTTGCTCTTGAAATGATCAGAGAAACGAAGAAACTTGAAGAAGAAAAGTTTTCCAGATCTAAAGATCAATTTGACACGTGTAAAAGCTACATAAAAACTGGAAGTTTACAGTCAGAGTCCGGACATAAACGAAGTATATTCGACGATTCTGTGAGCGAAAGTTCCAGTTCAACTAAATCTAGTACCTTTATGAAACTGAAGCTTGGAAAAATGTTTAAGAAAAAAGGAAAGGATAAAAAAGGGAAAAAGGGTAGAGGGGATCAAACAGAGGCTGAACAAAGGAGAGATGACAATGAGGACAACGATGAAAGTCCATTTTGGAAACTTTCTCTTCTTACCTTTAATCCCGATGATGTTCTTGATGATGATGTGTTTTTATAAGAATTCGTTTAAATATTGTATTTTGAACAAGTATTTTGGCGCCACATGGAACCTTAAATTGAGTCATTTTACCGCTAACAATTGGATGGTATTTTAAGATCTTTAAAATTCAATAATTGAGGCTAATCAGTGCAGTTCTTATTTTGTGATAAATTATTCTTGAAACAAGTTAATATTTAAACAGTATTTGTACTGTTTGATACAATGATTAAACCGTTTTTTTTGTTTCCCATAATTTTTTTTGTATTTTTTTTTAAGGATGTTAATGACGATCAAGAAATCTTAAATTCGAAAATCAGAGAAGTTTCACTCCTGAGGGCTGAAGGTGGTAAGAGCCTTAAGTCTAGTCTTTCTTTGCTTTCACTTGAAGATTCAATTTTAATGGATTTAGAGAAAGCACAATCTTTTCTACCAGCTAGTTGGTTTACTAAAGTGCTAGGAACCGAGCCAAGTGGATTTCTTTTATCTGTTGGAATTAAAAGCGATTTAACCAGCCCGCTTTCTTGCAACAATAGTATGTTAGAAAAAACATTGAAAGAATTAAAAAAATCCCTTCAAGAATTGATTCTTGTTCATGCCCAAATACAACACTATGAAGAACATAGTGCATCCGGAAAATACTTGACAAGTTCCTTCAATGATTATCTCGCCGAAAAAAGAGAAACATTTTCAAAACTAAAGAACAAAATTGAATCAATTTTAGAGAAAGCAATCCAGTGTATAATGTTAATAAACCTTGAAAAATACTCCAAAAAAAAATTTGCTCAAAACACAATAAATTGCAACTCTTCCACTCTTCTTCTTTTCTCATCTTTGCAAAAATTATCTGAAGATGTTTTAAAAGTTTTAATTAAACTGGTACAAAAATTTAAAGGCAAATACAAAAGTTCTACCAAGATTAAAACTGCATCTTTTGATCACTCGACTTTAAGTGCTGCTGCTGAAAAAGCAAAACTTTTGGCCACTGTACAAAAGGTTAAAACTAAAGAATGTAGACATCATAAAAAAAAATGTAAAATGTACCTTGTTCATTCATTCGCGGATATTAATATCCAAATATAGTCGGATACTACTAAATGGATTTCCAATCCAAAAATGATTAACAAAAATAAATATGAAGAATGGAAAAAAAGGGGTTAAATCTTATTTGTATGTGAAAGGAAGATTAACTTTATACTTTAACTACTGAAAAAATGCATTTCTTGAAAAAAAAGAAATTTTCTGGTGATTAGCAGCACTTCTCCAACCATTTTACTCATTAATATTGCAGGTAATGAATTCTACAAATAATTTGACTAAATTATGAGAAACTTCCGGATTTTACAATTTTCAGAATTGATTAATTTTTTTGTTGAAACTAGAACTTGTCAAATAAAACAACCAAATTAATTAATGCATGCAGACTGTGGGGTGGACAGGGCGCCATTTTTTTATAAATTATACTTAAGCTAAAAATGACAGATTGGGTTTAAGGATATATTCCTGCAAGGAATCCTACTCAAATATTCATTTCAAGATTTAAGTTGGGAGATTTGAGTTCAGCAAACTCCCCTGTTTTTTTTGTATAAATCAAGAGAATGGGAATCTCCTCTTGATTTAAAAGTAGAAGCTAAGAAAAATTTCGATTAAGACACTAAAAATCTTAATTTTTAGCATTCTGTTGAATTTGGTCATCTTCTTTTCACAAAAATCTTCGAAAACTGATATGAAGGAAGATTTGTTCATTTTTTAAATCAAATAATATTTGGAATGGTCAGATTTTTAAGTGAAAAATATGGAAAATATTCTTCACTAAACTCCCATGGCCATTTGGAAATTTTAATACAAGAGCTAAAAATGCATTTAACCAAGTAAATACTTTGGCGGCAAAAACACATTTTAATCTTAATAATAAAAACCCAGTGTTTAGGTTTTGTGTGTATCAACTTAATGATTGCAGCAACTTGTGTGTACAAAAAATCACTTATAGACCATTTGCGCCCAAAATTTATTAGATCTATCTAAGGTGCGTAACTTTAAACATTTATTGTTGATTTTACTTGAAAGAATTTTTTTAACTCATTAAATTGCAACAGGGTCACTAATAATCGTAAATAAGAATTAAATTATATTTATGCAACCGAATTTAATCATGAAAAATTTTAGGAATCTATTTCTAATTATTACTGTTATAACAATTATTTTAAACAGTTTCAACGACTTATCCCAAAATATAAAGATCCAGTCCATTGAATACTCTTTCTTAAATGCTCAAGCTCCAGAGTATGTTTATGAAACATATAGGTCTAATTTCTTTATAAAATTGGATTCAGCACTATTTGCTGGTAAATCCCAAGATGAATCAGTCCAATCATATTTAAGTAAATTTGGATATAATGGAAGAAAGGATGATTTAAAACCTGTTTGTACGAAAAGTGGATTGGAAAGTATTCTCAGGACTTTGAAACCGGTTCTCTCGGATTACTATTCACTTGTAGGTAAAAATAATTACTTTAAAAGTATTGATCCTATTTCAGAACAAAACTTAGTCGCTCAAATTGATATTTCGAATTATAAATCCAGTACTTATCCTCTTTTAGTAGAAACTGAACAAAAATTAATGGGAATTTTAGCCAATTTATTTAGATGCATCTTATCTGTGAAGGCAAAAAAGTTCCATGAGAAGAGTCGCAGCCTAGATTCGTCTAGTTTTCTTGCTGAGAATATATATCGTAAATCTATGTCAAGTATTAGTAAAGAACTGATTCTTTTACTGAAACAAGTGATAAGTTATCTCCAACGTATTTATCCAAAATGTTTAAAGAAATCTGTTGGGGCAGAATTAGTGGAGTGCAATGCTACAGGAGAAGCACTAAAATTTTGTAAAAAACATTTATTAACACAAAAAGAAATAAAGAATAATGGAGGATATCAACCATCGCCCCCTTTAAAAGGTATCTTAAAGAATCCGAACGGTCAAAGAAGCGCTCCCACTTCACGTTCAAGTAAAAAGGTTCAATTTAATAATGATGTAAGTTTGGCTTATATTGACTAAATGAATCTTAAATATGGAACTTGGTTCATGAAGATATAACTAAACTACTTGGTTGCAAGTATTTCTTTTCAATCTGACTCTTCGTATCAATTCTATCCATGGTTTCAATATTAGAAATTCACTATTTTCCCTAGTTAATGGTGGAATTCAACAAAAATGTTTATTTATTTTTATAATGGGGATTTCAAGAAAAGAATGAGTTTTCTGGCATCTATAAGTATTAATTGCTTTAGTTGTAATTATACTGAATTAGAGAAGGGCATTTTTTTAAAAATATTCCCAGTATTCAAGCTATTTTAATTTAAAATTTTAATTTAAAAGTTTAATTTTTAAAAGCTATTTGAATACTTGATAATAATTTGCATACATATATATGTACGTATATATGAATGTGGAGCAATCTTTAAGAGGTTTTCCTTCACCTCTATTTTGATTTGAAACAAATGAAATATTTGGGTCTGTTAATTTGCGATTTTTGCCAGCTACTGGGGAATTAACTCACAGATTCCGTGAATTAATTGTAAATGAAGTTTTTTAATGTTTAAAAAGTTGAATTGGAAATAGTCTATACCTTATAAATCTAGTCCCGTAAGTTTTTTCCGAAGTTTTATGTGAGTCACTGATAATTTGGTGACTAGATATCTAAATTTATAAGACTAAAAACCTAATATTCTCTATTATTGTAAATCCAATTAAGTATTCCGTATTTTTTTTTAGTCACTTTTTTTAATTAATGCATATTTTTTTTGTTTGGTTTTTTCAGTGTTGCATGTTTTCCCCGCCATTTTGGAAATGACTTAAATTTTTTTCACAATTAAATATAATTCAAGGAATATGAGGAAATTAGAAAATAAGTACTGTTTTGTTACTAGCTATTGATTTATTTATGTAAATAATAATCTAATCATTCTATTTGATACAATTCACACTATGTGTGAATTATTGTTATCTTTTTCAGAAACACACTAAATATCATTCATTTCCCCCGGTCTATTGCAACATCACTTTCATTAATATATCATGCCAGACTTCATTAAAATATTTGTCTCGATTAATTATTTTCTCCCGATATTTTCCGTACGGATACAGCCAGTTTAATATTTGTTATTATTAGAAGGAAGAAGTCATTCAGAAAGTTTGTACTGCAATTCCAAATTTAAAAAAAAAATAAAATGAAACTTAAATTTTTAAGCTTAATTCATGTGCCTCTGTTATATTTGATATTTCCTGGCAGTAATTACGAAAAAAATAACTATATTCAATTAACCTTGCAATATTCATTTGTTAAGCTTAAACTTAAATCATCATATAATCTTCAAGGCAAAGGCTCAGGAAAAAAAGATGATAAAGGAAGACCTGAATTACTATCATTAGTAAGGAGAGGCTCACCACCTCCATCACCAAGAAATATCAGACCTCGTAGTGAGCAAGCTGGTAGCAGAAGACCGCGAAATCAACCACTATATAGAATGCCATCATGGCCACCTACGGAAGGTCCAGGAAGACCAATTACTGGTACATCTAGTAGGACTACTGGGCTTGTTTCTGAAGGATATAGTTGGCCTCCAGTAGAAAAAAGAAGACCCTCACTCAATTTAAAGAGTTCAACCCCGAGTGTTAAATCCCCATATAAACAAATGGAAGATAAGGAAGATTTGTTCACTGCAATCAGAGTAGAAGTCAGAGAAGATGAAGAAGACTTATCAGATATTCAAAAACCATCTGATTCAGAGAGTGAATCTGATCCAAGCACTCCAGGAACTCCAGTTGATAAGAAAGCTGCTCTTGAGGAAGAATCTGAATTATCCCCAGAAATGGTTGAAAAGATTCAGAAGATGAAGGAAAAATCTACTAAAATTGTTAAAGCAAAATTATCAAAAAATAGGGTTTCAGAATTAATCAGGGATCCAAACTTGGATAGAAAGATCATGCTTATTCCAATTCCATTACTAGTTTCTCTCTTGGAAGAAATTTATAAATATTTAACTTCTGGATCAGTGACTATTGTTACTATACAAGATATCAAAAAAATTGATCTTGAAGTATCTTCTTCAAGCTCCTCAAAATCCAGTGTTTTTCTTACTAAAATGAAAGAAGGAAATAATCAAATAGAATCATTGAAGACAAAATTAAAAGATGAATTTAACTCAAAGTACAATGTGCAATGTGATTTCAAACTTTTGAAATCTCTAGCTAGTTCATATAGAGAAAAGTATTTGGAATGTTCTGGAGTTGATCTTCAAATAGCTGAAATGTCCAATCCGAGAAAAGGAATGGTCGAAAATAGGGCCCAAAAATTAATGGATTTATATTCAAAACTAAAAACTTGTTTGCCAAATTTAAAAAAATTAGAAGCCAAGTTTATGGATTGTTATTTGACATATTTGGAAAAAATAAATTCAACTCAATCTGAAGTAAAAAAAAAAGAAATCTGTACTTGGGGAGAATTACTTTTATTAGAATTCTTTTTGACGGCTTTCAAAGGCTACGCAATGCTAACTACAGAAGCATTAACATTGTATGAAAATAATATTAGTAAATATGAGCGTTTGAAAGAAAAAAGCGAAACAGAATTAACTGATTCCGAAAAACAAGAACTGCTTAGTTTGAGTCCAAACATGGAAAAGTTACTCAAATTGAGAATAAATAATGAACTAAATAAAATGTTGTCATTGGCTCTTCAAAGCATTATTCAAAAGTGTATCAATTACCTAAAAACTGAAACTTAATTATTTAATTTTTAAATTTACAGAGATCAGGGCACCATATTTTGATTTATGAATCAATTCCGAAATATTTATTTAAATAAATATAAAATTTTGACTTTTTAAGTTAGAGGAACTTCAATAAATTAGCTTTTATTAATAAATGTTTCCTTTATATGGACATCCCGTGTTTTCTTGCACCAGCTAAACCTTAAAATTCGATTTTCCTTTTTTCTAAATTTTGTATTTATAATTTCTCTCGCCCCAATAAAATAGTGTATCCACGTAACTATTACGTGTGTAACTACATGCATGCAAATTTGCAATGTGGGGTAAAAATGTGCATATAGTTCTGAAATCATACAAAAAAATTATTGAACGTTTTTTATATATAAAATTAGATTTTTTGTTATTACTAATTTTTAAGAAGGTTTGGCATTTAAATAAATATAAACAAATAATTGGACTATATTAACTCTTAAACAAAAATGTTTGAGAGAAAATGAATTTGAATTAAGAAAAATGAAACAATTACGGAAAAATAATTCCAAAAAGCTTTGGGAAAGAAAGAAAACGAGAAATAAATATTAATGGTTTTATATTTATTAATTAATATTGTTTTTGAACATTTATTGAGTATAATTTGGTTTACTTACACAATAATATTTTACTTGGTGCACATTACACACGTGTGAGAAATGTAGCAAAATATTAGAGAACATTTTGCAATATAAATGAAGAATAATGATATAAATGACTATTAAAATGTAATTATGAGGCTTAAAACTGCAACTTTAATCAACATTATTTTTCTGATAGATTTGTTATTTGGGTTTTATTATGACAGAAATATAAAACAAATAAGAAAATCTGGTGACTGTAACCTGGATACGATCTATTCTCTGTTAGAAATTTGGAAGAGAAAACCAAAAAAAAAAAGTGAATATGCAAGTCCTATTGAGGAATCTGATAAAAATTCAGATTCAGAAATTGAAAGTAATGATCAAAACTCAAAAATGAATAACAAAAAGAAAAAAAAAAGCAATAAATTGAAGAAAAGGCTAAAAAGGATTCCCAGATTCTTTAGAAGAATATTTAGAAGAAAGAAGGGTAAAAATAAGATTAAAAGGAGAGTTAAACACAAGAAAAAACATTTGGATGATCATTTAGTTTCAATTGAGAAGCCACAAATTAAAGTTGAAACACCAGACAAACCAAAAACTGACTCAAAACCAGAAGTTGAGATTGAGTCAAGCTCTAGATTTAAATCTGTGTCTATTGGTGGAAATGATATAGATTCTAGCCAGAATAAATTACTAGATGATAATTCCCCTGAGCCGCTAGATGCTTGGAAAATTTCGAGACCAATTAGGCAAGTTGATTATGGAAATGAACATTTTATTAGTGAACTGAAAAATAAGTTACTCCTTCAACAAGATAAATATGGGGAAAGCAACTCTTTAATTACGGGAGCCCTCCAAAATAGAAAAGGAAGGATTAAAGAAATGGCAAATGAGCAGTTGTACTCTTATTTAGATAACCATATTTCTACTAACACCGGTGGGATTAATCTCATAATAAACTTGAATGAGTTAATATCATCAACAAGTATTGATCGAAAGTTCCTTGAACAGGAGCCAATAAATAACAATATTGAAGAAGCAATCAAGAAAGCATTCAAAAAAGAAGATGATAGCTACAGAGTTAAGATAGATACACTTTATAACCTTTATAATCAAAATGTTGGCCACGAATGTACATTTTCATTTATGGATGATTTGATTAGGATGTATTACAATGCATTTATGGAGTTTAAATCTGTGGAAGAAGGATACTATTATCTATTGGACCCCAGAAAAAACACTCAAAGCGATAGAGCTGGAAGTATTAACAAAACTTTTTATGGAATGAAGGATGCAAAATCAAAAATGAGAGAAATCCTTATGAAATATGTAAACTGTCATATGTTAACATTCTTCTTTATTAGAATTGATGATATTAACATTGGAAATCACGAAGAAAAATGTACTACAAAAGATTTAATTATTCTCATTTACTATCAAAACGTCTTTCTAGCGTTGAAAAAGTTAAATTACTTCACATTAAAAGAAAAAGAAAATGAAATTTCTGAGTTAAATCAAATGTTTATTTCAGGAATAGATTCATTATCAGAAGAAAAAAGGATTAAATATAATATGTTATACAACCTTTCAAATAAGTTATTATCTTTAGAAAATAATGCCACTTTATATGGAGAATTGATCCAAGTAATTGATCAGAAGCTTTCACTATGTTTGACTTATATCGTAAGAAATTACGAATCAAACCAAGAATATACAAAGCTTTAAAAAGAGAAATGTATCTCTTTTATTTACAGTTATTTGAATAATTATTGACAAATCTTTATTCTCTGCTTATCTTCGAATACTAAGTCAAAATTAAAATAATCCACTCATTTTGAAAACTAGTATAATTATTGTATATAAATTTAATTAATTTCTCAAATAGAAATTTATAATCTTGCCTCCAATTACTTTTGACAAAATCTAATATACTAAAACATTAATCTAATTGCCAGTTGTGTATTATTTAATATTCAAACATTAAATGTATTGAAATATATTAATTCTAAATAAAAAAAATAAAATAAATGTAAAGAAAATTCTCTACTATCTACTATTCCTATTCTTATTCTAACCTCACCAATTATACTCGACCTAAATCACTTTAGACTTGCTCCTTCCCGAATTTTACTTAAGAGAATGAATGAAATTCTGAATGTTCTGATCGCCAATAAAGTGATTAGATATATCACTTAAATATGGCTGAAAAGTTATCTTCATCAATTTTAAGTGCTCTGAATTTCTTATACATTCAACGAAATTGCATGCATGCATATTGTTGGCGCCAACGCCGGTACCAGGTCCACTGATTGTAAGAATTTGTAAAATTTCTTTTTGATTGGGATAGGGATTATTGGAGGAGTGGCAAGAAGCCGTTAAAAGTTTGTGATAGTTTATTTCAAACTCATCTTGAATAGGGTTTTGTGTGTCAATGCTGGGATCAGGGATGATAGAAAGGCAGTCGTTGTTTAGAGCAGAGCCATCAGAAGTGCCACTAGGATCAGACACTGAGTTTCTTCTCTGAAAGTTTGGATCATCAGAGAGCTTTATTGCGTTAAAAAGGAGATAAACTGATTTAAAGGCTTCAAGGATAAATTCACTGCGTTTATTCTGATCAAAAGTTAGTTCGGAAACAAGTTTTAATAGAGCAATAAAAATAGTGTATCTGAGAGGAGGAGATAACGTGGCCTTTAGCAGGTTTGGGAAGACGACCTTGCTGAAGAAAATGAGCGAAAGACCACTCTGAAGTGTATCCAACACATTAAGAAGGGAAGCTTCCGGCATCTCTCCAAATGGTTTTTTAATTACGATCACTGAAAAAGCTCCAACGACTTGAATTATTGTTTGGTGATCACCAATCCGATTCCACTCCTGTGACTTGGTTAGAAGCAAATTTGCTAGTGCGGTTAAGTACTGAGAGTACCATTTGAACGGAAGAAAGCGAACAATATCACGAAGGAACTCAAAAGATAGAGTTGATTGGAATCTTCTGTGGCTCAAACAAAACTGAAAGCGTTCAAATACCTGTTTAACATGACTGGAGATTGTAGCCTCAAATAATGAATGTCTCCTGAAGAAAGAGCTGCAGAGTCTGACGATCCCTGGAACTACTGATACAGGTCCATGCCAGATCTTTGGATCAATAAGATGGATAAAAAGCTTATTATATAATTCGTTCTGACTAGTTAAGTTGTCCAGTCTAAGAGCCAGTAACTGCAAAGAGTAGGGAATGAAGTCAGTCAGATTCTTCTCTAAGATCCCAATCAGTATAGGTAAGACAAAACTATCAAGTTTCTCGCAATCTGATGAATTTCGAATGCAGACTCCGAGAAGCTCAAACAAATAGTGGTTGAATGACGGGTTCTTTGGATTCTCCACTGCAAGTTTTGTGCAGTCCACTACGGTCGGAGTCAGGGTATTAATCATTTCAGATCCAAGCTTTCCCAAGTACGTCAAAAGTCGCATCATACACCTTGGAATGAACTCACTCTCAGTCAAATAAGTTCTCTTTTCTCCTCCCTGGCAAGCTTTTTTAAGCAACGGATGTAGGATATTCGCAACCATTTGGAAGCATAAATTGTATGTTTCGGTTGGAGGAAGCTTAAATACGCACTCTTGACTACCCAAGCCTGATTGCGCATTCAATAGAGCTCCTCCTGAATTTTGCACATTAGATGTGCGAAGACTGGGAGCTGTCCCCGTTCCATTACCACTATCCTGAGTTGAAGAGTTAACAGAAGATGAAATTGCTTTTTGGGTTAATATCCTTTCAAAAGCCAACAAAATCATCATTTCCTCAATACTGGAAGTTTGGGTGGAAAGCCAATTGTAGGACTGCTGGAGAATATCCAAAGAAGATTTATTATTGAAATGACTCTTAAAAACGATTAAGTACTTTAAAGCACAGCAACGCATTAAGGGAGAGTTCGTGAATGACTTAATATAGTTATCGTAGAATCCGACTATGTCTATGCCATGCTCCAAATGTGTAACTCCTCCAATTTTTGAAAAAGATCTCACTGATAGACAAATGAACAAAAAAACGGAGGCCTCTCTAGTTACCTCAGAATTGGTAATCTGATATTTATAATAATTACCACTCTTCTCATTAAACTCCTCCCATTCAAAGATGGATGAATTCCCGTGTGCATCATTTGAAATGCTATTCAAGAGACTGATGATCAAATTACTTAATAGTTCACTCAGCTTTGTGTAGTAGAACTTCCCCAAATTCTTGATGCATTCCAAAGCAGCAGATCGTTTAGAAGTTGAGTCACATACATCATTTATATCCCAAAGATACTTATATACAAAGTCCTTTGGAGTTTCTTCAATAATGTTCAGATCATTAATATCCAAAAACGTGCAAGGTATGAGTATCTTCTCAACAAGGTGGTCCAAAACACCAGAGTCCAAAAAGGCATTATCAGACCACTGTGTAGCAGCCAGAGAACCAATCAGTCTTAGTCCTTCATCAATCAAAGAAGATATGGAGCTAGATAACTCAGGATTTGCATCCAGTCCATTTTTGTTTTGAGAAACCATCTTTGTAAGCAGAATAGCCACAGTTGAAAGTGATTTTCTAGCATAAACATCAAATGGTTCTTGATATCTATCAGAATATATTCTCAAATTTTCAAATATCTGACTCTTGATATTAAGGCAAGTAACGAGCTGATTTTCTGAATCCACCAACCCAGGAATAGTCTCTAATTCTAAAATTGCTTGGAAGGACTCCATAAATGGCCCAATTCTGTCCTCGAAGAATTCTGGAATATCGCAGCAATGTAGAATATAAAAGAGCTGACAACTAAGTAGACAAATATTCATAATCAATTGTCTGCTTGTAGTATCCTGAATCGCCGGCAGATGCCTCAAAAGACATTGAGAAGAGTAAACAAACATTTTGTACATAGGCTCGCAAACCACACCTAGAATATCCTTCAACTCAAGTAGGACTTTGTTTGAGGATTCAGCATATCTGTACTTGTCCAATATTAACTTTATCATAGATAAAGTATGTTCATACTGCTGTAGTTTGGAAATCATAGTATTCAAATCGCCTTGTAGAAACATCCCACCATTAGAAAGCAGGTCCGTTTGTTCACCAGGTAAGAACTTGACTATATTAACCAAGAGATCATTCCAATATACTGGAAAGTCTCTAATTGATATATAAAGGAGCATTTCACCAATCTGAGACTGAATTATTTTCGGTGTACTCATATAAACATTCACAATATTGCTTTTAATGATATCTCTGTCATGCTTGTTCATTCCACCATGTTCCCAATCAATATCCCATTTTCGCTTCACCAAATTCTTCATATAAATACAGCCAACCTGTCGAATATGTAATTCAATATCAGTTTTAGTAACAATCATGAACAGAGTCTCAACAAAGCCAGGCATTCCCTCTTTTATGTTTAAAGAATTCTCAGCCATCTTTACATCAACAGGGTTGATGCTTGTGCTAAGACTTAATAGATTCACAATCTCTTCCATTTTTCCTATTCAAAACGATCTTAATGTGTTGAACTCTGGACACCTTTTATTTGTAACTGTCCTCTCTGTACCTCCTCTTAGTTCCCTGAACTCAAATATAGGGGAAAAATAAACTTAATTTCAAAAAAAAAATTAAATTATTTCTGCCCCTGTTTCAAATTTTATCTTTTAATAAGTATTTTTTCTTTTTCCTTGAAAAATTTCCGATTTTGTAATCTCCTATACCGGCATTGCCAATGTTTTTTTTTGGTAAATGGTTGTGGGGTTGCCGCCTAAATGCAAATTTAAAAAATGACGTAATCATAGACTAGAAAACATTCAAAGGAGAAATTGAGTAATTTAGAATTCTGATTCTTGTTATTTTAGTCTAAGTGATATATTTGTAGAAAATACGGCCTATAATTTTCTTTTAATAGCTAGTTTGTTTGAATATTTTCTCTTCGTGATTATTATATACTGGCAAAAGCTCAAGTGATGTTTGAAAATTGCCTTCATCAATAGAATGCTTAACCATAAAAATTCCCGTGTAAATTATTCCAATGAGAGTCATTATAGTAATGAATAAGAACTTTTCGGAAATACTAATTAACTTAAAACTGTAATTGTTTATAATTTGGTCTGCTATAGGAGCAGTTAATACAATAAAGTGGATGATTGCTAGAACCATTGACTTTATTTCTGAAGGTGTGAATTTGATTGCGAAGTAAATTGCATTGATCGATGGAACTACACTGCTGATATGGAATATTCCATGGCAAAGTGTGAAGGCAGAAATAAAGTCAATAAAGGTTTTTACTGGAATTTCATGCATCATATACGTACATAGTGTTAGTCCAAACGATACCATAGACAAAATCACAAAACAATAAACCTGTAGAATTACTGGGGAAAATTTGTTGGATATGAATGCAAACAAAATAGATATAATTAGTGAAATAACGGATTCGTAAATAAGTAAATGAAGTTCCCATAACTCAATATTGAAGGTAGATTGGTCAATTACTATCCACTTGTGAAAGTTATTTCCAGATTGGATGAAATAAACAATCCAGTATGGAATTACTAGAAACCAGAACATATTATTTTTATCTTTTATAAAGTCTAAAATGCTTGCCAAATAATGTTTGATATTTGTGTGAGTAATTTGGTAGCCAGAATTATTTGTGGAATTGAATACTAATTTGTTTTCAACCAAATAATATCCGAATGGAATCATAATTAGTAGAGCCAACAAATTAAAACAATAAATGTGAATATAGTCAACTTCCATAGTTAAGCTCTTATTTGGTGTATCTTTTCTGGTTATGAAACCCAAAATTGATATAAACATAACTCTTGAAATTAGTAGACTTATATAACTTCCAATATTATAAAAACAGATTTCGTTCCATCCTGCAAAATTGTTATATGAGCTGGAAAAACTAAAATCTGAATTTTCTATGCTACTATCTACAATTAAAATATTCAAATTATAATACATACTGATGGAGCTTGACTGTAAAATACAGCATGTGATGAATAGTATCAGTGTAAAAATCAGTACAGTAACATCATCCAATTTTGATGGTAAATTTGAATTATGGTCATTCAAACCATTTTTGTTTTTAAAGGAAATTTCAGAATTTTCCTGAACTACTTCAACTTCTTCTCTGTGAATATTATTCATAATATTTGCTGTCTCGTCAAAAATTAAAATATTATCATATAAAGCGTCTTTATTAAAACCATATAAACTCTCATTTTTCTTAGAATATCTTAATATATCCAATTTTAAAAATTTGATCTCAAAAAATAAGTTTATTGTGACAATTAATAGTACGGCCAATATTGATCCTAGCATTATCTTTAAAGAATACTTTATAGACGTTTTTCTAGACTTCAAGTCTGAAGTCATACCCAAGAGAAAACAAAACAAACCTTCAACCAAAAACATTGTCAGCTGAAAGGGAAGCCTTAAATAATCACCGACTATTAATAATGGCCATATCATTGTAATGCAAGAATTAGCCCAGGAAGAAATCAAAACCATCGCCATTAAACAGAGTTTTGAATTTCCTCTTGGCTGGGTAAAACCCCCTTCCGCTCTAAGCAAGGAAGTATTATCCATTTTCTATCATCTCAAACTAATAAAACTAATTATATATTATTAATTCTAACCGCTGTACTATATAATTTTACTTGTGCATGCACCCACACAGGGTCCTTTTTATGTATGCACAGAGTAGATTTTCATTGAGGAAATTTAAAACTATCACTATTCAACTCAATTACTCAACTCAAATTGTCTCTAAGTTTCAGAAATTTTGTCCCTGAGACCTTTGCCATTCTTTGAACTACTTCGCTGTCCTATTCTGATTTAATAATCAACGCTTTTGCGAGAATATGAATGCTGGCGCCCCCAAAATGTGTTGTGGAAGGCGCCAACAATAATTCATCTTTATAACAAAAAATAATATATTGGATTATTTAAAGAATGAAAGAAACGTAAAAGATTAGAATAATCTACATGAGTTATTTGAATATTTTTTAGTTTACTGGATTTGAAATCTTGGGTGTGTGAAGATTTTTTTTGAGGTGCAAATAAATGATTAATATTTGGATACATAAGCTAGAGAGATGATATATTCAGAATGAATACAGACTCTCAAAACTAATAATCTAAAAAAATATTTGTTGTACTTAAAATTGTTCAAATAAAGCTAATTTTTTTTTATTTAATGAAAAATATCTTTAATAAACAATATATCCTTATCTGAGATGGATAATAAAAAATACATAATGCCAGAATACCGCCAAATGCGGCCCGCCTTCCGAGGGTTTAAAACAGTTTAAAGCGAAATAATAGTGAACAAGGATAAAGGTCCGATTTAAGTAAAGGAAATTAGGAAATTTTTGACGGAAAAAGTATTTTAAAAGGGGGGTTCATGTATTAAGGTGAATTAATTTACTGTTATCCCGAAATATTCAAGTTAGAAAAACAAAATAATTTCTGAGATTTAATCAGTAAGAAAAGGTGTACATAGCCGGAGTGCGACAAGGGTTTGAAAACTAAATATACGATTAATAGTCGGAATATAGGGAGGAGATTTGAACGCAAATAGTTCGAGGTGGTGAATTTGAGGTGACAGTGAGGAGAGAATCGAGCAGGGGCTATATGTAGGCAGCCAAATAAAAGATCGTACTCGGTTTATCTGCGTTCAGTAAATAAGGAATTAAGGATAATTAAAGAGTGATTCAGCAAAAAGAGAGAGATGGAGGTTCGAGTGGGAGGAAAATATAGGTTGGGCAGGAAGATAGGAAGTGGTTCATTTGGAGATATATACTTGGGTACAAATGTAACTAACAGTGAGGAGGTTGCAATCAAACTAGAAAGTGTTAAATCTAGGCATCCACAACTTTTATACGAATCAAAGTTGTATAAGATTCTAGCAGGTGGTATTGGAGTTCCAACAGTTCATTGGTATGGAATTGAAGGAGATTACAACGTTATGATTTTGGATCTTTTGGGTCCTTCTTTAGAAGATTTATTTACTATTTGTAACCGAAAGTTCTCTTTAAAAACGGTTTTAATGCTTGCAGATCAAATGTTAAATCGTATAGAATTTGTTCATTCAAAAAACTTCATACATAGAGATATTAAACCCGATAATTTTTTAATTGGTAGAGGGAAGAAACTCAATGTGGTGTACATTATAGACTTTGGACTTGCGAAGAAATACAGAGACCCTAAATCCCAGGCCCATATTCCCTACAGAGAAGGTAAAAACCTAACTGGAACGGCTCGTTATGCTTCAATTAATACCCATTTGGGGATTGAACAAAGCAGAAGGGACGATTTGGAGGCATTGGGTTATGTTCTCATGTATTTTAACAGAGGCACACTTCCCTGGCAGGGACTTAAAGCAACGTCAAAAAAGGATAAATATGATAAAATTATGGAAAGAAAGATTGCAACTCCAATAGAAACCCTTTGCAAGCACCATCCATTTGAGTTCATTACTTTTCTTAACTATTGTAGGGCACTCCGATTTGAAGATAGACCAGACTATGCTTATTTGAGACGTCTCTTTAAAGATTTGTTTTTTAGAGAGGGTTATCAGTATGACTTTATTTTTGACTGGAGTTTCCTCCAGCCAGAAAAAGACAGGAGAAGAACAGGCAATTCTGTAGGTGTTGGAGTGGGTGTTCCAGCTGCAGCCGCTATGGCAAATACTGGGGTAACTGGAGCCATACCTGCAAATGGAATGGGAGCAGGAATTGGAGTTACACAGGGAAATGTACCAGTCACACAGTCTACTAATGTAGTATGTGCTGGAACAGGAGCAGGTACAAGTGCTGTTGTTGCCCCAGCCGCAGGAGGTCTTCCTAGTCAAGCAGGTCCTTCTCATTGTATTATACCTGGAGGTGCTTCTAGTCCTGCAGGGATACCAACAGTTGGAGGGGCAACTCAGGCCACATATACTCAGACAAATGCAAACTGTGTAGTAGGTAACGGAGAAGGTGGGCAGAACGTTTACCATGAGTCACGGCAGGATGAACAATGGGGGGGAGTTGTAAAGTAAAGTCACTCAAGTATGCTAATTTTTCTAACCTATTTGTATCCAAATCTAAGTTTCAGGCCTCGTATTGAATCATGCTTTATATTTTCTAATCTATATAATTGTCAGCTTTCTAAATCTGAGAGTTTGCACATTTTAATTGTTTAAGGCGTGATAAAGTGTTATAAAGTTTTCAATTTTTACAAAATAATTTGAAGCTTTATAGTTTTCATGATGGTATGATATCTTTACCCTATGTTGGCATCCTTGCCTCTAATTACTTGATTATTAATGCTCCCAATTTATCTAATTATAAAATTTACAACACACCAATTTTTGCTTTCATTGAAGCAATAACATTAGAACATAGTAATAATTGATTTATTGAGTTAGCTTCGAATATCAGAGTTTATTTTGTTCTTTTTCTGTGCATATACGTCAACCCCCGCTTTAAGGAGTATCTGACACCATTCAACTTCAATGATGTGAGTTTCATCTCCATTATTTTCCCTCATCTTTTCTATAAAGCTAAATTATCTTTTTAACTGAACGTGAGATGAGATTATGTTATTCACTTTATTAATGTTTTTAATAACTTGTTCTAATGATCTTTTTTTTTGCAGATTATTGCAATTCATCCCCACATTTAGTTGTTTGTTTGGCGCCATAGAGTTCACAATATTAAATAACTCTGAAAATTTGTTTAATTAAGGCACCTCCCCACTTACCGCCCAAATAATCTATGAACCCCAAATTTGAAGAGCAAAGTAATCTTTCCAGGTATTGGAATATCTATTGAGAGGTATTTTTTTTGTTCTTTTTGAATTTTCATAGGAAATATACTGGAAAAGGAAGAATACTTGAAGTCCATCACACCATTACAAACTAGTAAAATTGACTTGGAAATAAGAAAAGCACAAAATTAAGACTGATTAAAAAACTTAAGGAATAGAAAGTGTCAGAATAGCTAAGCTAGAGAATGGATTACCAAGAACAAGAAAACCAGACTGGAGTCCGCTTCAATTGGAATATCTGGCCATCAACAAAGCTGGAAGCAACAAGAGTGGAAATTCCTTTGGGATGTTTGTTTACTCCACTTAAGGAGAGCAGTAAGTTGCAGCTTGTGGAATATGAACCAATTCGTTGTAGAGCATCGGGTTGTATTTTGAACCCTTATTGCCCAGTAGATTTCAGATCTAAGGTTTGGACTTGTCCTTTTTCTTTGCAGAGAAACCCTTTTCCTCCTCACTATGCTGAGCATATTAGCGAGACAGTACTACCAGCAGAGCTCATGTATCCTTCTGTTGAGTATATATTACCTGGAATTCCTGCAAATAATGTTAGCCCTCCTGTCTTCATATTTGTGATAGACACATGCTTAATTGAAGCAGAGCTGACAGAGCTTCGGGATTCCATTCAACAGGCAGTATCTCTTATGCCTTCCGACGCTTTGGTCGGTTTAATCACATATGGAACAGTGTGTTGCGTGCACGAGCTGGGATTCACGGAATGCCCCAAATCCTATGTCTTCAGGGGTACTAAAGATGTAACTTCTCAGCAATTGCAACTCCAATTAGGACTAACTTCTCGCGGAGACCCTCGTAACCAGATGAGTGAGGGGTCTTCCAGAAGGTTCCTCTTGCCCGTTTCAGAGTGTGAATATTCTTTAATGAATATATTAGACGATCTGCAACCAGACTCATGGCCAATTCCTGCAGATACCAGACCCCAGAGGTGCACTGGAGTGGCTCTTGCAGTAGCAACTGGACTGATGGAAGCTTGCTGTGTACAACAAAGTGGAAGGATCATGCTTTTCGTTGGAGGAGTATGTACCGTTGGTCCAGGAACCATTGTATCTCTTCCATTAGCTGAATCAATTCGTCATCACTTGGACCTTCAAAAGAACTCAAACTCTGCGAGGCACGTTCAGAAGGCCCTTAAATTCTACTCTTCCTTGGCTCAGAGAGCTGTTCAAAATGGCCATGCAGTTGATATACTTGCTTGCTCTCTCGACCAAGTAGGGTTACATGAAATGAGAGTTTTATGCGATCGCTCTGGAGGACATATGGTAATGAGTGATTCCTTCAGTATGAACATTTTCAGAGACTCTTTCAAAAAAATGTTCGAACCTGATGCTTCTGGCTACATTAAACAAGCTTTCAACGGTAGAGTCGAAATACTTTGCTCAAAAGATGTTAAAGTTAGTGGCGCCATTGGTGCATGCACCGGAACCGGTAAAAAAGGCACCCAAGTCGGTGACACCATGATAGGGGAGAGTAATACATGTGAGTGGAGTTTTGGCGCCATGGATAAAAACACAACAGTTGCGTTTTATTTCGAAATAGTCGCACAGGGAGTTAATCAGATTCCACCCGGAAAGCAATCTTTTATACAATTCCAGACTCTTTACAATCATCCATCCGGACGAAAGAGGTTGAGGGTTACCACAGTTTCCTACAGATATTCAGAGCCCAACATTTTAGATTTGGCTCCAGGATTTGACCAAGAGTCTGCTGCTGTGCTTATGGCAAGACTAGCTGTATCTAAAACAGAGAATGAGGATGGATTAGATGTACTTCGTTGGCTTGACAGAAAGCTTATCAGACTTGTTTCGAGGTTCGCGGATTATCAAAAGGACGATCCCAACTCTTTCCATCTTTCCTCGGAGTTTAGTATATACCCACAATTTATGTATCATCTCCGCAGAAGTCATTTTCTCCAAACATTCAATGCCTCGCCAGATGAGACGGCATACTACAGAACTGTCCTTTTAAGAGAAAATGTTATGAACTCTTTAGTAATGATTCAGCCAGCGTTATTACAATACTCCTTTGAAGAGGGTCCTCCACAGCCAGTGCTCCTTGATGTACAGTCCTTAAAACCTAATGTTATCCTTCTTCTTGACTCCTTCTTCCACATTGTAGTCTGGTATGGAGAAATGATCCACCAGTGGAAAGAGCAAGGTTATCACGAGAACCCAGAATATGAGAACTTTAAGAATTTATTACTTGCCCCAGCAGAAGACGCAAAGTCTATCCTTCAGGATAGATTTCCTGTTCCAAAGTTTGTTCTATGTCATGCAGGAGGTTCCCAAGCAAGGTTCCTTCTTGCTAAGGTTAATCCCTCTGCTACTCACAACACGCTTTCAGGAGCTACTTTTGATTCTGTCTCTGACGGATCAATTGTCATTACTGACGATGTGTCACTTAAAGTATTTATGGAACACCTTATTAAGCTCGCTGTCCAGTCATAAAATATAACTATTAAATTATTATACTAAGTTTCTAACAACTATCAGTTCAGATTAATATTAAGAGCAATACTAAAAACATTGTTAAAACCCCAGATTTTTTTATTTTTATTGAATTGGATGTTATCAGCCTCTGTTTTATACAAGTACCAGGAATATTTGGAGTGACTGAGTAATTATAAGAACTTATTATTTCACTAAAGAACTTGTACTTCAATATCAAAGGTTGACTGGAAGTTTTCTCATGAGAGAGAATTGGAACTTCTGGAGGGCATACCTTTAATGCTTGTATGCTTGAGGGTACCGTATACAAATTATAATAATGACTTGAAATTAATGCCTTTTTGAATTGATAGTAACTCTCATAATAAATTGGACTAGGATCCAGTCTTAGTTTTCTAGTATTTACCTGACTTTTTTTCTTTACGATAAAATTATAATTAACTCTTTCATTTGGACTTATATCTTTTGTTGAATATATCCCATTATCATAAATTTCTACTTCATCCTCTTCTACAACCAAAGTAATCAAGTTCATTGTGAAATTTTTTTTTGAATTCATGAACTTGGAGAGAAGTCTCTTTACTAAAGCAAAGTTTGTATTTTTTGATACACTATCTTTATTTTCGTCTCCCTCCTTGTCTAATCTTGAGTATTTTACGGCTTTGTCACATTTTGAATTCTTGTAATACCCGTTCCCAAGAATGAGAATAATTTGACAAAAAGAGGATCCTAAATTACCTATTTCTCTGGTGACTATATCAATTTCCTTACCATCCAAAGAAGGTTCTGAAATAATATACAGGAACCTGAACTTTTCCATATACATCAACTTAGTAACCAAATAATTAGGCGAATTTGTTTCCAATCCTAAAATTTGGTCTTTGAGCAATGGAAATGGATGGAAAGATGAGTGACTTTGTTGAACCGAGATTACCTGAAAAATATGGTTCTCTTCTTTAATATATTGTAATTTATTTGCAACTGGATTTAAATAAGGTCCTTTGTAGTTTTCATGTACACTTAGAAACAATAAAGATGTGAGATATGGTTTTTCCATTGTAGAGAACGAGCTTGAAACATTAAATTCAACGTACTCAGTTAACTCAAATGAATTACTTACAATAGGCCTTGTTATGTGAACTGAAATTCCCCACCATCCTTTTCTAAACCCTTCATTTGACTCCAATGTTAAAGCTAGAATTCTTCCGTTTGCATGTTTTGTAACTTTGATTCCTCTAGGCAAAGTTGTCTTAGTAATATCTTGAAGTTCTGGAGGGATGATCTTAACATTTAAATCTGTATTTACGTACTCAGTAATGGATTTTGGTATAAACATACTAATTGTCATCATTTTGTTATACTGATGTCCCATCAAGAAGAAGTAAATTACCATCGAGTATTTTTCTTCGGAATCAACAAACACAAAAGGGCCTCCAATTTCGGAAATTTCAGTTTCCCTTGGATCAAGAATCTCTCCTAAGATTATCTTTTTTGTGATAACTTGAATATTTTCTTCTTTAGTTTCAACAATTTCAGAATTTGTTGTAAAAATCTCTACCTCCCATTCCTCTTTCCGAGGTTCAAATACATTTCCCTTAGATTTTGAGTTTCTCTTGGAGTCGTAACTTTCTACTAGTAAAATGCATTCTAATGGATTATTTGAATTCACATTTCTAAGCAAAACAGAATCGCTTTTTGGCTCGAATTCTATTGAAAAATCTTCTTGAAGTCTAGATTTGTCATAAATCAAAGCATTTAATAGAATACTTGAATATGCGATTCTCTGATCAAGTCCCTTATTAACAAACTGAATCCCTTCAACAAGAGGTTTTACTCTAATATTATAATTCCCTTGTATTTTTTCATTCATTTTCCCTAGCCTTAAGAGGATTGGATATGTTTGTGAATTGCTAATTCTGTACCTAATTTGTATACCAATATCTTTCATCTTTGGAAGTTTGTATGTCCCAATGGAAATAGTAGAATAATATAAGCTAGAATTGTTACTATTAATTAAATTTGAAACAGATTGATTTCCAATCAAATACTTAATCCACTGACCAATGCATTGGTTTTTTTTTGTGATTGCTTCAATGGTAGTTGCATTTAAGCTTAAAAATTCAGGTTTTGAAGAAGGAGCTGAAGGGATTAAAACTTCAACCTTAAGTTTGTAATTTGTTTCAGACTTTACTGGTGTTATAAGATCCTTTATTCCAACTTTGAGTGGGAAAATACTACTGAGGTCATTATTATCTATTGCTTCAGAGAGCCCAATAGTTAGCACAAGTTCGGGCCTAGTTCTCTCCAAATAACATTCGTACTTGTGTCCATATATTTGACAAAATGTCTCACTATTTTTTGGATTAATTGAGTAACAGTCATTTTGGTTTTCGCATGTAGGAAATGTTAATCTTATTCTCATTGGTTCTGAGTCTTCAGTCTCAAACTTCTGTTGAATGGTTTTTGTTGATCCATCCCACTTTAATGAGTCAATAATAAAACTAAACTCTCCTTTTTGGCTGGAGCTATAGTATGAGTTAAAAGTGGTATTCCTGATATTTATCGGACCCAACATGGGGCCGATAGTCCTGGTAACTGAAGTCTGATTAATATAAGTTAAACAAAAAGGTACTGTTGGCATGTTATTTTTAGTGCTTGTAATACTCAAATTCCAGTTACCAACAAATTCTTCTTTAATTGGATTTTGCAAATCAAATCGAATAACATAACTTCCATTTACAAGATTACCCATCATTTTAATTGTTTCTGTACCTTTTGTTTCATAGTTTGGAAATTCCAAACATTTACTCGAGTTCTGTGAAACTACTTGCCAAGTTTGGAATCCCAATGAAGTAAAAAGTTTAAGCATTTCATTCTCGGCATCATTCCCAAGATCACAAGAAGGAAGTTGTTTATTTTGGATTTCACCAAATGATAAAGAATTATCTTTAGAATCAAAAGAACTAGATTTTTCAATAACTCCTTTCTCAACTTTATATTCCAAATAAGAGCTCTCTTCTCCCATACAGCTAGTGTCATAATCATCAAATTTACCAATTTTGTTGGATGGGAGTAAGGTAAGTTTATTAATCTTGTAACTTTTTGGAACAGAGACACTTATAATCGGGTTATAAAATGTGCAGGGTATTTGAAACTCAAAGTCCACAATATTAGATTTTGAACTATAAAAATGGGTATTTAAATTTGACACTACTGGGCGGTAAATACATGCATTGCATGCAATTCTTGTTGTATTTTTGCAAAATACATTATTAAGTAATAGTAAACCTGAGCAAAAAACAAAAAATAGTTGATTTGGTCTTTTTTTAGAAATGCTTAGAACTTCCATAAATTCTTTTAAGATTTTTTCTCTTTTTTTCACGGAATTTTACGATTTGCTATTTTTCTCTAATTCAAATATTAATCAAGACAATTAAATATTCAATAACCTTATCAAGTATATTAAAAAATTCAATCCAAACCCCAAACAAATATAGAAAAAAATGAGTTATTCCGGCTAAAGCTTTTAATAGAAACAAAAATTTTCACTTGAAAATAGAGTGATAATCAGGAAAAATTTTGATAGACTTGTATATAATATTCCAGAAAATGTATTTTCACAAACACTTAGAAAATGAATTTCTAAAAAATCCAGAAAAAAAAGAATCTAGAAAATTATTATTAATCCCACACTTAAAATTTTACAATACACGTGTAATTTGCAAGTGTGGGGAAATTGCATGTAAAACGGATACTTTGCAAGTTTGCATTCAAGAGAATGGTCAATGCACTTATATAAATATCAATTAATTATTTTCATTACTAAATAATGACTATAAATTCTAACTCTGTAATTCAAGTTGAATATTTTCGACAGTATTAATAAGTTCTTGAGATTGGTCTCTAGGATAAGTTTTTTGAAGATAATTTAAAGTACTAATTAAAAAGTTATTAGCCATGAAAATATGATTTTGGCTAACTGGAAAGAGTTTTCTATTTTCTAACCAGCTTTTGAGGATTCCAATAATACACTTTCTTAAGTGAAGAATAAAGGAGTCATGATAACTGGAAACAAGCTCATTCTTAAATTCAGGTGGTTCAAGGATTTTAATTCGATTAAAAATGAGCATAAATGGATCTGATGAGGAGTTTGAGCTCAAAGAAGAGTCTAGTAATGAAAGATAAACGTCAAATAACATATCATATGGAACAGACCAGTATTTCTTCCAGAGCTGTATTGAAATGCATTTTGGGAGTTGAGATAAGTCGTAAGGGTCTATATTCTGAGACGTCCTCAGAATGTAATAATTAACAAATTCAAGAATTGCAGTAATAGAATATATTTGTTGGAAAAGATCGTACTTTTCAAATATTTCCTGGTTTGATAGCCCGACACTAAGATAAGTTTTTGGGGCAATAGAAAGCGATCCCAATAAAGAAGATCCCGTTATGTTGATTAAAGGAGCCTGGATAAACTCTAAAAGCATTTGAATAGATTCAGAAAAGTTGTCATAGCCATTAAAATCAAAGAATGTGTTCAATATGGGGAGTTTAAATACAGTATCACGATCTTGGAAGTGACTATAAATAATATGATCTTTAGGAGGAATGAGGGTTTGAAGGAGATAGTCTGATATTTGGCTACAGATATCCTCTATATTATTATCTTCTTTTTTAGTGAACGCATTCGATTCAAGTAAAGTTGAAATAATCAAAAACGGCTCTATATATTGGTTGCTGTTAATTAGAGAGACAAGTTCTGAACACGTAAATACTTGTCTAGAAAGAATTTCTATAAGTTGATTTAAGGCTTGACTTTGACTAAATGCAAGTTTTTCAATATATTCTAATAAGGGAAGCTGAAGACTTGAACAAACGGAAATGATTCCTTCTGTATTTGAGATCGCATATTCAAGAGAATGGTCCAATTGGAATTGATTTCTATCCAAGTTGGGTTCAGTTAAAAGCCTTGGAAGTAACTGTGAAACATTCATATCTGCTGAAATTAAGCCTTTCCCCATTCCTGAGATACAAATTTCTTTCAGAAGCTTTAAAGTTTCAATTCTGGCTCTGAAGTTCGTACAATGACTTCCACATAATACATTATTATTCAGAGAAAGCTCTGATAATATACTGGCACATCTAATATATCCAGAAGAGCTCTCATGAGGATCTTCTAATAAGTAAATGGCGGAAAGAATGAAGTAGTAGGGTGAGTAATTACTGTCAATCACTAAGCCAGATAAAAATGAAGAAAAACTATTCCAGTTATAGTCTTTGAGTTGTTCATTTGTATTCAGAGACTTGAATGGTTTAATTAGAGAGATAGCAATAAGACCCAAAAGTGACTTATCCGAGTATTTGGTCCTTTGGGTTGAATCATATTTGCAAATTTCAACCAAATCTTTCAATAGGATTTGGCAGCAGCAAGACTTTCTTTTTTTATCTTCACCAAAAGTAACAATTAGCTTGTTTATCATTACAGGAATTAAATCTTTTAAAAGGTGGCCTACACATGTTTCCAGAATTTTAGGATTAAAGCAAGATGAGAATAGTGTTTTGAGTGGCTGATTTATAGTAAGAAGAATAAGAGGCCTTATTAAATTAGTGTTCATTTCAGATGATGATTGGTTCCTAACGTCAATTAACTCAAGAAATGTATCACATAAGGAATTAGACCAAGCCTTAATCATTTGTTCAATATGTAAAAAGTAAATGTTAAAGTTTTGGCTGTTAAATTCATCCTGGGAATCTGAGCCAATAAGATTTTGCTTGATCTTCAATTGTTCAGTCAAAAGGTGTTCAAAGTGGGATATACAGTCTAAAAGCAGTAAAGTAGTTTCTTCAACTTTATGTAATGGTTTCAGTAATAAGGATGAAAAAATTTCTTTAAAGTATTCGTTTTGGGATGGGTCTGCTTGAAAGTACTCCCAGTATTTGTAAGGTGGAAGTGAAAAACCTCCAATTGGAGGAAGGTTTCTCGAAGATATTCTCTCAATCATTGTGGCCTTTTTAAAGTAATTATTATATTGCTGATCACCAACTTCCATAGACAAATCTGCAATCAATGCAAGTCTTTTCATAATTTGGTTGGATTTTGCATTAAGAAGCCAACCTATCTTTTTGTATAATAACTTAATTTGGGTAACAAAGTTTAAATCAATGATTGGATTATCCTGCTGAGAAATTCCTTCCAAAATATTTATTGAAAAAGATTCGACCAACTTCTTAATCTGAGAGACTCCTTGATTTGAAACAATTAGGTATAAAAGTGGCATTTCAGTTAATAAATTCTGGTCATGCTTTTCAAATGTTTTAAATGTATAATTCTTAAGTTCATGTGGGGAGGCAGCAAAAACAGTAAGAAACCTGACTATTTGAAGTAAAAAGTTGGTTATATAAGTGATAGATTTCAATAGAAACGTGGTTGAGTCTTTTAGATGCTTGCTGTAGTCTTTATCCAACTCTTCAGACAGGATTTTATCGAAAGGTCGATAAATACTTGAGGGAACAGTGGGAAGTACAAAAGGATCAAAAATCTCATTCCCTATTATATTTTGTGATCTTGAAAGAATATTCAGCAGGCTCTGTAATTTCGAAAAACAAGTCTCCAGAATTTGAGGAGTTAACTGTAAGTACATGTTATTTTCATACTTATAAAAAGGAGGAAATTCCAAAACACTTTTAAGGTCAAAAGCTATCGCTCCAGAAAGCGCTTCAATCCATGGAGATGTCAAATAAAGGTGCTCATTAGTTAAAAATGAGTCTTCAGGGTGTACAAGTCTCCTAAATTGGCTCGAATTTGTGTTTGAAGAAAGTGGGGATTGTAATAGCTGCATAAATAATCCACTTGCTCCAATTATTTGCTGAAGACCATTCCATTTAAGAACCAAGAAAAAGTATTTGGTTTCACCTAAAAATACAATGCACCTATCTTTGACCCATCCAAGTAAGTCATGCTGTCTTTTATTGTTTCCTAGAGGGTTTCCTCCATACTCAAGAAATACATTTGGAGAAGCTATATTCTTTTTTCCAGTTGAAATTGGGAAATCTTCTAAATTATTATTGTTATTATTACTATCAATATCTTCTGAGAAAGAATTGAATTCATGGATTGCTTTAACTTGTTCATCCAATTCAATTATGATTGGCTCTCCTCTGGAGGATTGGCTTGTAGAATAAGAGAAATTGCCATTATATCTGATATTAAAAGCTGGACTATTTTGGTTATTCAAGATACTATTCCCAAAGTTTGAGTTAGAAGTAATTCCAATCTCGGCAGGAAGAGAACTAAACAGTCGAAGCTCAATTTGAGAAATGCTTTTGTTTGGTGCTCTTGAAAAGTCAGTGTTAGTATTCAAATTTTGGAATGTATAAGATGTTATATTCCTGGTGATAATTGTAAGTCCATTTCTATAATAAGAGTTTGAAATGCTGGAGTTATCATTACAGGAGGTTGAAATGGGAAGAACATAAGTCAGCCAGAAGCCAAAAATCAAATCATCAGGTTGAGAAGAACTTGATTTTGGTTGATTTTGAAGCTTTTCTGTTTGGATTTTTTTTTTTGGTGACTCAAAAAAAGTCTCTGGTTCAAATCTAAAGCCATTAATAACGCTCTGGATAGACGGCATTTCTTCATTTGGCTTTTTAGAACACTGGAATTGCAGCCTTGTGCCATTGTTTGTAAATAGAGAAAGTGAAAGGTTGTATTCGGAAGTAAAAAAAAGTTGAAGGTCATTTATTTCAAATAGTTTTTGGTATTCAGTTCTTACTGATTGCATAGAAGAAGATTCTTCATTTTTCTTGGAAAGGGGGTTTCCCGGTACCTTTGAAAAAATGTCAAAAAGGTCCTTTTTCCTTAACATTGCGACAACTCTCAGTGAGCTTGGAGAAGAAAATTTCTTGGAATCATATTTATTAAGGAATCCCAGACCAAAATTTTCAAGATTTAGGTTTTCATTTTTAACTGGAAGTTTCTCAATATTCTGTAACTCGGGTGAAATATAGTCATCCCAGTCTGTAGGTAAGAAAAAAGTACTAATATCCAAGTTAGATGCCCAATAACCTAAAGAATTCACAGTTCTGCCCCAAGGTAGAATTTTTGAAAGAGCTGCCTTGTTGTTAATGTCGTTCACATAAGCAGCAAGATAGATGTTTTGAGATGTATCAAGAATAGCCATGAAACCACATGGTGCTAAAGAAATTTTCTTTATAGAAAATGATCTTGGCATAAATCTCAGAAATGTATATTTCAAAAGCAGCTCTTTTGCAAATGAACTATAAATCTGATGAGAGTGTATGTAGCAGTAAGGAGTTATCCAACCTTCACTTGACTGGTATACCAGCTCATAAATACTTGAACTGTTCTCTTCTAAGAAAAAGAATCTACCGTCCAATGTACCATGTAATGAGTGGAACTTTGAAGTCTGAGAACCTGGAAGAGAACACTGAAGCATTCCAACATCTTTCCCTCCAATCTTCATAATGGGGACTTTAATTAATCCAGCTCCTCTTGAAACAACTCCATCATCGTTATATACCTGAGAATGATCGTTATTTAAATTAAAGTTATCGAATTTCAGAGCCAATATATGAACTGAATTTTCTGTAATGACGCATAGAAGGTATTCAACATCAGTATGGAAAATTCCAACTCTAGGAAATGCTCCTGTCACATTCTTTATTGAAAATGGAAAAACTATGGTAAGAACTGATCCGTCACAAATTGCCTTGTCATCAAATTCTGGGTCAAAATTAGATGAAGTACTTTTCATTCTACTAATACTGCGTCTATCAATGGAGGAGCCAACTGATGGATCTCTTTTTGAGATTTTTTGTACAGTTTCTTCTAAGGGAAAGACATACAAGACATTTTCCAATCCTATATAGCCATATTTAATATTTGGAATCACACCATATACAAGAGAGGGTGATTTTCCTATGAGTAGTTGTACACGTTTGATATGTTGAATGATTGTATTATGAAGAGGAAAAGGCCCCTTCCACTCGATTCCAATGTACCCAACCCCCTCACCCTCGCTAACAGAATCGCTATATTGCCGGAGAATGTTTGATAGGGTACTAGAACCATTTGACCTGGATCTCATTTCTCCCGAGCTCAATCTCATCTTTGGATTACTTCCCCCACATATTTCATCAAGCTGGTTTACTATTACCTATGAAATTAATAAGGAAAATATTGGTTTATTTAATAAAGAGTGTTTTAGACTTAACTTACCTCTGCTCCTTTTCGGAAGTGAGAGATATTTATTTCATCTTGCATCTTTACAAGAGAAATATGTATTTAGGTCTTGCAGAGTGATACTTCACAAATTAACATAAAGTGCAGTTCCTTTTAACTACCTTTTTACAAGCTTATGTCTTTATTTCTGTCAAATTACCTATAAATATTTTCATTTGTTCTCATGCCCGCTCATTTTACTAATTAAAAGAAACCTTTTTTGAGTACACAATTAAATGTCAAGAAATGATTGTGAAATAAGTGAGAACGGAAATAATTGATATTAAATCAAGTTACAGGGAAGTCCAATAAAAGATAAAATGGAAAGAACAAGAACAATTCAATTGGAGAAGAAAAGTTCGGGGTTTACAACACAAAACAAATATTAATTTATATAATCTTGCAATTTAGCAGTTTATACAGTGTTAAAGCTTTATTCCAAAAATGTCTATAAACTTCATTAATGCGTTATGGAAATACACGTATTTCAGCCATTGAGCCACATTTTGGATTTGAGTATTAACCGGCACTCCCAAGAATTATTATGGTACTCTAAGTTAGATAAGCAGAGAAAAAGTTACATGTCAAACTCTGTCATTTCTTTTGAAGCTAAGTAATTGAAATAAAAATTAATTTGAACAACACAGTAAGTCATTTGCAATAAATAATCCACGATCGGTGTGGCGCTGGCGGTATATAGCTTTTGGATAACTAATCATTAATTGTTGGATTGGGCTGAAAAAAGAATAAAAGACAAAATTTTGGGGAAATTACGAGGATTTAGGAGTTAATTACCAACAAATTGCGCCGTAAAATCTATTTTGTGAGGATCTTGAGCTTTTGAAGCTGGAGTTCAACCTATCAGATGATTAGCTTGATCAATGAAGGTGACACGTCATTAACACAGTGGAACAATATGATGGGGATAAATAGTGATAGCGATGAGAGTGAAAATGGTTGGGTACATTGGTATTGTGGATTGAGGGAGCATTATTTTTTCATAGTGATACCAAACGAGTATACTAGGGATGCTTTTAATTTGTATGGTTTGAGACAGTACTTCCCAAAGAACTATGACAGCCTAATCGAGTTAATTTTATCATCTAACATCCCGGATGAGGATGACTTAGCGGACCCTGCTTTGCAGGACTTACATAGGGAGGCAGGAGAACTATATGGTTTGATCCATGCAAGATATATTACTACTCCAAGGGGCTTACAGATAATGAAACATAAATATGACAAGGGATGTTTTGGAAAATGCCCTAGAGTCTTATGTAATGGATACAAAGTACTCCCTGTTGGTATTACTAATGAGTTGAGAAGTAGGAGAGTTAGAGTTTATTGTCCCAATTGCCAGGAAGCATATGATCCTAGAAGCGTTAATCTAATCGATATTGATGGTGCATTCTTTGGCACTTCTTTCCCACATATTTTCTTACAGGTATACCCAGAGTACATTTCAACATCCTGTCCGGAGCCATATTATCCGAAAATTTTTGGATTCCGAGTTTCAGAGAAGCTTAGTATAATTGAACGAAAAGGCATCAACGGTGAATATGGTAAAAGAGCACAAGCAGAAATGTTTAAAGAAAGGCCCTCATCTGTAAAACATATAGAGCAACCACAACAACTCAGCATTGGTACTGGAAAGTTTCAGAATTCAATAGCAGATGGCTCTCATGCGAACGCATCTTCAAACCATGATAATGTGAATTCCAGAAATTCGGAATATAATTCAACAGCTTCTTCTAAAACGATTAAGTCTTCCAACACTTCTAATGTGAATGGTTCTGCTTACCACCCTGAAGATATAACTATGAACCAAATGAAATATAGTTTAAACTCAGCAGGTGGTAGTTGTAGTTACAGTAGGCAATGAGTATTTAATATATGCTTAATTAGATAATTATAATCACAACTAGATGCTTAATCTTTAGTGCATTTTATTTTAGTCATATTTTCGCGCACTTTTGCAATCACAAATGTGCATGTAACATTACATGCAATAGCTTTGTATTTGCTTTTACCGGTTTTACATGCGTACCACTGTAGGGTGAGTTGAAGGGAACAAAAAATTATATGTTTGAAAATATGTGAATGAGGAACAAAAGAAATGAATTTTAGATAATCCGGAGCATTTTCTAAATAATATGAAGAGAAATGGTACTATTTATTTCTTATATAATTAGTATTTCTATATGGTTGTTACTTTTTGAAAAGACATATGGTTCTTTTTTAATGGGGAACAATGCTGCTATGGGAGGGGCAGCAAAACCTGCAGGGAAAAGCACGACCAGCAGTATTTTAGGAAACACTAACAGTATGGACACATTGTTGATGACCGCGAAAATACTATCCACGGCTGAGACCATTCAAAAGTCAATTCAAAATGAAAACAGAGATCAGAGAGTAAGGATGAGCGGGGCAGAAGTTGGGCCAGACAATTACACCACTTTGAGAGGACAGAATTCTACAAGTGATAATTTAACTGCGCCAGGGATTCAATATTGCGACATTGATAAACATGGTCTTTGTTGCTTAATGCCTAATTACTGTTCTAAGGAGGCAACCTGTAAGTCTGATATTGTGGGCCAACAAACTTATATTGACTATCTAAATGCATTACCAAGATGTCAGTGCCTGCCAGGATACATAGGAGATGGAAGAACTAAAGGTACTGGCTGTCAAAATGTGAATGAATGTTTAACAGGAGAAGCCAAATGCGAACAGTTATGTACAGATTACTCTCCTGGGTATGCTTGTAGCTGCAACATGGGATATAGGCTTAATACTAAAGACATGAAGTCTTGCATAGACATAGATGAATGTAAGGAAGGAATTCATAATTGTAGTCATATTTGTGTTAATACGCGAGGAAGTTTTGTTTGCGAGTGCCCTACAGGGTATATCTTGGGAGAAAACCATCTGGACTGTAAAGATATTGACGAATGTCAAGAGAATTCAGGGCTTGGGCCATGCGAGTTTGGATGTAAGAATCTTCCGGGAGGGTTTGAATGTCAATGCCCTGCTGGTTATAGGCTTGATAAACAAACTCAAAAGTGCATTGATATTGATGAATGCAAAGAAAACAAGAATTTGTGTAAGGGGTTTGGTGAGGTTTGCTTGAACACAGAAGGCGGATTTGAATGTAAATGTGGAAGTGGATATCAATATTATGAGAATGAGAAAGCTTGCAAAGATATTGACGAGTGCCTACTCAATACCCATGATTGCAAAAATGATTCAATTTGTGTGAACCAGGATGGTGGTTTTTCTTGCAAATGCTTGGAGAAGGGATTTGAGTTTAATAAAGAAAAAAGAATTTGTGAGGATATTGACGAGTGCTCTAATGGTGATTCTAAGTGCGACCAGCTGTGTTTCAATACCATAGGAAGTTATAGATGTGGATGTTATAAGGGATTTAGGCTGAATTTAACCGGCCCAGAAGAAAACACAGTGGAAACACAATCTAGAGTTTGCGTGGACATAGATGAATGCTTAGAATTCCCAGAGTTAACTGGATGTTCTCATGGATGCATAAACAAAAGGGGAGGTTTTCAATGTACCTGTCCAAAAGGGTTCCAGCTAGGAGAAGACGGGAAAAAATGCAAAGATATAGATGAATGTAGGATGCCCGAAAATCCATGCGAAAACAATAAGCAGTTTCCTTGCTGTTTAAACACTAATGGAGGGTTCAAATGTGTAGAAAAAGTAGTAACTGGAGATCTATTTAAGAAGCATGAATGCCCTAGGGATTATGGAAGCAACATTCAAAGAGAGGGGTCTAGAACTGGAGAGGGGAATAACAACGGAATATTTAAGTGGTTGAGAACAAATACAGATACAGGGAAAAGATTGAAAGTAATATAAGTTAATTATAATTTATAAGTTAAAAAATAATATAATAAAGTCTTTGATAATAAAAGGAGACTAAAATACTATCAGTCTTCTTTGATTGGCTGGTAGTTATTATCTTCAGTCTCTTCTTTTTTGGGTTCAAATGAAATATTATCTATATCAAAATATGGCCTATTAAAAATATTAGAGTGATCGTCATTATATTCCATTTCGTCATCACTCTCTTTCCCTTCCTTAACCCACTCTCCACAACTAACGCAAACAAAGACTAGAGTCATAGCTTCTGAGCATACTCTCTCAGGGAGTTGGAAGAAGACGGCAACATTGTGACCACATCCTCTACAATTCCATTCAAGAGTTCTTCCAAGTGTTGGATCCTGGTGTAAACCTCTGGCGACAAGAATATCTTCCTTTCCTTCATATTGATAGGTAATACAGTTTACAACGTTCTCTTCAGCATTTGTCGGATCAGCATAACTAAAATATTCACAATTCCTGCAAGCATACAAAAGTTTCCTTCGCTCAATATCTTCCTTTGGACACAATATATTATTGCATTCTGGACAAAATCTAATATCTCTTTCCATTTTAACCAAAAAGACGTTCTTATTTCGCAGTTGCCAGTAATTTCAAGGAAAGAAATCTTAACAGATTCTGGTAGAACTTACTTGCAGGAACGAACGAAAGAAACTTTTCCCAATTAATTAAGTTGGCTATCTTTTTACCTGAAAGTTGTATAAAGTTGTAGAAGACAAACCTAAAGGAATAAATTGCACTTTAACCGATAAATATTATCAACAAATTGTTTTTCAGACCAACTTGTTAAATGAAATCAGCACTATGCCGCCAAAACACATATGGTACCACATATGTTTTGGCGGCATAGTTTTTAGTGGGCTGTATGTTTTAGCCAACAAAAATTCCAGGCATTCAGTTTAATGGGATTTGAAAGTGAAATATACTCACTTTACCCAGCAAATTTGTAAGTGGTAACTTTTTCAGTTTTAATGCCCTAAAATTGGAAGAACTAGGAGGAGTTAGCCGTGAAGTTTTGGAATTGGGAAAATTTTGGGATATCTGTAAGCAAAATAACAAACTAAAAAGCTATAAAAAATAAATGAAAGCACATTGTTGAAATAATAAGCAGATTCCGATAAAAATTAGGATGAAAAATTTAATAAAAAACATAGATTTGAACCCCACAATAGCAGAAAACCATTTGAGATTTATAGAGTTGAGCATTAAGAGTGAAACTGATTCAAAAAAGGTGGAACAGTTATATGAAGGTGCCCTTTCTGTGTGTGGATTGCATCCTACCGAAGGTCCAATAATATGGAGTGAATACCGACGTTTTCTAAACCAACAAAATGAAGAGAGCTTATCTTTAAGAGTAAGTAAAGTTCGAGACTTATTTTACAGACAAATGTCCTTGCCTTTAAGTGGGCTGCCTGATCTTCTGGATGAGTACAGAATTTGGGAGGAGGAACTTCCTGAAGAGAATAGGGAGTCTTTTAATATAGCAAAGGAGCATTACTCAAAAGGCCAACAGGAATGGAGTTTAAAAAAACCATTTGAAATGAGAGTTCAAACTGATAACGTATCGAATTTACAAGAATTATTCGATGCTTGGATGCTATATATTAACTTTGAGAAGGATAGGATGCTCTCAATTGATTATTCTAGTGATGCTGAACCTCTTCGAGAATCAAGTTCTGGTTGTGATGGCTGCGATTCTTCAATTAAGTACAAATTTGACACAAAAGATTCGGTTATCATGGCTTATAGAAGGGCTCTTGATGATTTGGGCTCAATAAGAATTGATCTTTGGCTAGAGTTTGCAAACTTTATTTCAACAACCACAAATTGTCCTCATTTGCTTTCTGCAGTATATGCATCTTCTCTTCAACATTTTTCTGGCAGCCCAAAGCTCTGGATGTTTTACCTCTCAGCTACAGCGGAAGCTATAAAAGATATGACATCCCATTTTTACCAATTTAATCACTTTTATGGACCTGGATGCAAAACCCGTTCTAGCGCTACTTGGTATCCACAAAATTGTCAAATCCTCAAGATCACTAGTCTGAAGGAAATGCTTGAAACTCTGCTCGAAAATTACATTTCTGAGCTTTCTCAGTCCCAAGAAATCTTTTCAAAATCAAAACAAGATGCTCTTGAGCTTTACTTTGTTGTTACCAACTCACTCATTGACATTAACAAATCTCTTAAATTTCACTCTACCGCCAAAAAATGCAGTCATTTAGAAACTGACGATAATAATGCATGCAGTGTTGTATGTGAGCTCACGCGTGGGGGAGCGGATAGTATATTGGAATTGGAGAAGTTAGTATTTGGAGAATTGGAGAAGTTGTATTTTAAAGGGGAAGAGTTATTACTAGAGAATAATGTAAGATTGGTAGACAAAGATGTTGGTGGGATGAAGGAGGAGTTTCATGTGTTGGAAGAGTCAGCTGTGTTGTTCTATTCAAGGTGGTTGGATTTCGAATTGTCGAGATCAGCAAATACAATAGAGGTGGCTATTTCTATGCTTGAAAAGTTTTTGGATAAAGAAACAAAAAATGCTGAGAGTTTGTTGCCTTTGATCATTTCAGTCATAAAAGGAAGACTTACAATGCAAGATCAATTGGAGCTTAGGTCAAACTTGATGGCTAAATTCAGTAGATATTCTCAGAAAGTTCAAGAAAAAGTTTTGAGTGAGTGGGAAAATGCTGAAAATGATCTTAGATATACAAACAGTAACAAAAGACAGCGTTTAGATATAACTGAGAGAGATCCAAATGTATTGTACTCTCCAAATATCGGAAAGATTCCGTTGGGAATTTCTTCCTCAAGCTCAGAAGTGATGCCGACACAAGAAGTTTCTCAATGCATCTTGCCTTCACCTATCCTACAGCAAGGACCAATAACTAATACTAGCTTAAGATCCTCTGGTCTGGGCTTTGCAACTAAGACTAATGACAATGAAGGCGACTTTGTTTGCTTAAGTGAGATAAGACTAAGGAGAGATAAAAGGAGGAGCCGGAGAAATTTTACTGAAAGTGATCACGAAACATCCAGTGAATGCTCTTCTGAAAGCAACAGTTTTTCGGCTCTACTTAGTGGTTCAGGAACAAACGGAGGCAGACAATTTCTCAGAAACTTCACTCCTCCAGGAACTCCTAGCTATGCAATGCAGAGAATATCAGCTTCTATAGCGCTTCAGAATCATAATATCAGATCTCCCTCTTCTCCTACAGTTACAATTGGTGTTCAACAAACAGCTTCACATTTAGATCAACTTAACTCAAGCTCGTTTACGATGAAAGGAAATCATCTAGTGAAGTCACCTGGGCTAGCCTATCAAGATCTGGAAGCAAGGACACAGTGCACTTGGGACGGAAGAGAAGCTATTGAACCTTCGATTGCCCCTCCGATACCGCCGATACCTCCATTATCGTCAATTTCATCGGTTTCGTCAACTTCATCTCACTCTTCTTTAGGTACTAGGCAGTTTGAGAAATCAGTTTCTCAGATAGCTTCTGTTGGAGAGCAACAAGTATTGAGTACCGAAAGGACGGTTGAAGGCCAAAATATGCCTCCACCTCCATATACTCCTAAAAAGAGTAAGTTGGATCGTTCAAATGGGAAAGATGGAACACAGAAGGCCCCATCAATAGTATCAGTATCTATGGTAGCATCCGCCTCCGAGGACTCTGATTTGAATTCAAATTCCAATGAAGATCTGAATATAGCTAAGGATTTGCTTTCAAATTCTCAGGAAGAAGGGACATTGTTTATAAGGTTCCCCCAAAACCAAGAGATGGATGAAGAGAAACTGAGAGGAGTTTTTTTGGAACATTTACATATTCAAATTAACCAGGTAAGGATTGTTAGGGATCCCAAAAAGAATCCTAGAGGTTTTGCATATATTGATGTTGATACAGAAAGGGTTTTCGATATTATGAATAGTTCAGAAGAGTTAAAGAAATTAGAGGAGATTGGAATTCAGGTTTCAGTTTCCAATCCACCAAAACCCAAAGCCTCGAAAAAGAATTTCTCGTCTAGGGGACATTCCAGGAACAAAAGACATACTAAAAAAAAACAAATACAAAATCAGCAGGATTCGAGCAACACTATTTTGATTAAGAATATTGATAAGAGTTTGGATGAAAAGCAGATTATTTCTCATTTCCAAGATGGTCTTGGGCTCAAGGTAAAAAATATCAGCATTTCTAGAGACCAAAATGGAGCATCTAGGGGATTTGCTTTCATGGAGTTTTTCGATTCTGGGGACGCTCTTGCTGCTCATATGCTTAACGAATCAAGGCTGGGCTCAAATAACATTACAGTCAGTTCTTCTACTCGTCCTTTAACATTTCCAAGATCTGCAAATTCGGAAGCCAGCTCACCTGATTTCTTAAATGCCAGATTTGCTCCTAGAGTAAAAAGTAAGCAGAAGCTTCCTCCTGGGTGTATAGGCATACGAGATCAAGGAGTTCAAGAAGATGCCAATTCTTCTTCAATTAAGGAAGATTTGGAATTGGGAAATATACGGGAAACAACATGCAAAAGCTCTTCCTTGACAAATGATGACTTTAGGAAATTATTTCTATAGATGTTAAACATAGGAAAAAGGTTACAACTTTGTGTAAGATAATTAGATTCCATAATTATAGATCAAAAGAATAGATAATAGTTAAGTTATAACTTTAATATATAAAATATACTTAGAAAAAGTTATCTAATGAGTTTTTCTGCTCATTTATATTGAAAGGTTACATCTATGCAAATATTTTCAAAATAGGATGATCTGACGTCGATTTCTTTCTTATACTTGAGGGAAATAGAAAGGAAACAATCTCGGATCAACCAGTTCTTAGCAGAAACATCCCATTCCAGAAAGAATGTCCAAAGGTTAGAGTGGTTAGAAGTATGTATAAGAGCAGGGTAAAGCCAAAAGTGGGCCAAAGCGAAAGAGGAATTTGAGAAGCTGTGTCTAGAGGATCCCCACTCATTAATCTTTTTAATTGGGAAATCAACAATATCTTTATAAGGGGAATTCATTGCTTTGATTACATGGTTAGAAAGCTCTTTTTTGCGTTCAGGATTTGAAAAATCTATAAGAGAGATGCTTCGAAGTATATGAGTATTTTCCCCCTCCTCTTCAGATGACCTAAAGCTTTCGATTGGCTCATAAATCAAAGAACTCATTTCATTTGGTTCTGAATCGATTTCATTTCTCTTATTCCTAAAATTTGGTGAAAGAGAATTTTTCTGCAGGTGCCTCTGGGGAGATTCGTACCCAAATATCTTAATAACGAACTCTCTTTCAACCCAAGGTTTTGGACGATCTTGATTAGTTCTAGAAATAATATCTGGGGAAAAGGGTTTGGTTTTTAGGCTGGAGACAAGTTGCTCAATTTGTAATTTAGCAGAATGCATAAGTTGGCTTTGATCCTGACCAAAATAGTTCATAGCTTGGTTATTTAGATCAGAATCGAGCAAAAAGATCTGGTAACCCTCTCCTTTTGAATATAAAGACTTGTTTAAATGAGTACCAGTTTGACGTGGATTCCAATCAAAGTTTGTAGTTAAACCACTGAAAAGGTACTCAGCATCTCGATTATACTCTGAATGAAGACAGATTCTCCATTCAAAGATATCATTCATTTTTCTCTCTTTATTTCTGACAACAATGGAAACTGGGAAAACATAGGTTGGACAAGTTAAACATTGTGGAAGGTAGATACAGTGGTCTCTAAGTAGTTCAGAAATCTTCCAATGCCTTTTTTCGCATTTTTGATTGACCCTTCTCAATTCGGAATTGCAAACGTTCCAGAAGTATCCAGAACGGAAGCCTCGTTGAAGGTCTTCCCAAAAAAAATTTGAGCCTCGTTTGATTACGGATTCTGGGAAGGCGTTTTTGAGAAGGAAGAAAAAGTACTGAACAAATCTGATTTGTGATGGGTTCTTGATCGTTTTGATGCGCCCTGGAAGACTGAAATCCGTTCTTCTGTTAGAATAATACTCAAGAGCCTCTTCTAAACTTGAACAGAGCCGTGAATAGAGTAACCAAGAAACCACAACGATTCCAGTTCTACCTTTACCACCCTTACAATGGATTGCCACCACATTTTTAACATCACTTACCAAGTAATTGAGGACAAGGAAACAAATTATAAAAAGTGATCCAAGCGTAGGAACTTGGTGGTCTGGAAATGGACAAGAGACAATACTATGAAAATAGCTGAGAGAGTAGTGCTCCCGTTCATTACAGAGATTAATAATCATATGGTTACGAGGATACTTCGTCATGAAAAAGGTTGAAACTTCCTCAATGGGGTTTCTATAGATGGCTTCTATATTAATTGCAGGGAGCCCCATAGCAATTACCCTGTCTGTAATATATACCAGGTCCAAACAATATTCTCCATTTGTATAAAAACGCTTATTCTGACCAACTTGTTTTCGAAGAAAAATAGAGAGACGTTTCCAATTAGCAACATAGCCAAGAATTTTACCAAATCCTACAATATCAGTATTAAGGCCTGTAATGCTTGACATACCAATGACCAAGTTCAGAAGCAACTCGACAGAATTCCTCAAAATAATCGACTCATCCTTCAAATTACCAGAAACTTCATACTTTGCTCTCAATAACTTACAAATGTATATTAAAATAACCAGTGAATCATATACACAGTAAACTGAAATTACCATTCCAATCGGAAGATATATTTCTCGACAAAATTTGTATATACTTGTGTTTTGTGTTTTGTCCATGAAAATTGTTAAAAAAATTGACATATGCAAAATGCACAAAAAAATAACAAGCCAATGGACCACTGGAGAGCTTATAGCTCTATATACTCTATTCAGAAATGTCCCTACCTTTGAACTTGTACCATGGTCATCAACCTTGTTTTGGTGAAGTAAGCAAAGCAAGTCTACTCCACTTCTCATTTGGTCTTTATTTTGGTTGCTTAAGGCTAGGTATCCAAGCTTTCGTATTCAATTGACCTCATTATATGCTCTAAAGCATTCGAATTTTTTTCTAACCTTAAGTAATATAGTATTTATATTAAAACGTCTATTGAAATTTTTTTTAATACACTATTATGTAATATTTCCGATAAAATGCCGCCTAACATATTTTTTAATGCATGCGCAGTAATTATATACCGGTGGAAAATATTTGTGGGGAGTAAAGAAGAAGTCTAATTTTTGTTCAAATAGCAATAGTAAGATTTTTGCATCAAAAAAAAGAATGATAATAAAGGTCTTATTTCGAAAACACTATTTTCCTATTGGGTCTGGTGCAACCAAACGATAGAAACTCAAAATTCACCTCCTAAGAATAAACTTACTGATCATGGAAAACTCAGTGAAAAATGGTGCAAGAATTAGCTGTATTGATTTTTCTATAGAGGTCTTTGCCTCCAAGGTTATACTGTACCAAGCTACTTTATAATCCTTCCAGATTTCTATCTGGGAATAATTTTATAGACAAATTGGGCTACTATCCGTTGTATTTAAACTGCTCCGTGTAAAATTAGTATACATTAAAGTGGCCTTGCATTATGATCAACTATATTATGCAATAATTATTTTAGCGCCACAATATACATAACTTTTCTATTAGTCCTCATTGAAAAAAACAATATGGCCAATTTGGCGGGAAATTTAAAATGTAATATACAAGTGAAGTGGGGAAATAATGTAATGTAAAGAAGTTCAATTTTTTTTTTTTTTTGCAATTAGGAGTTAATTGGAGCATTGTTTCCTTTCCAATTAACACTGAGAACAAGTCAAGTTTAATCAGTAGGAAGTTGTTGGGAAATAAAAAGTAAGGAGTGATGACAGGTAGCAACCCATATGGAGGTTACGACCTGGTGATAAGAGAGTTTGAACCATCCGACAGTGATGGAGTGAGGCGCGTATGTTTTAAACACTTTCGTTCTTTGACATTTCCTTCAGTCTTTTTTTATTTAAGCCAGCATCTGGCGGATATGATTGCCTTGTTGGTAATTGGAAAAGTGTTTATGGACTTCAGGCAGCTGATTTCAATGTTAGTTTTATTTTGCGTCTATTTGACAGGTAGATCTATATGGGAGGTTGAAACTTATATCAGGAATTGTTGTACAGATTTGAGGAATGTACATGAGCTCTATATGATTTCCCCAGGATATCACTTTTGGGTGGCAGAGCTGGTTAAGAGGAAGAACTCCATTAGAAAGAGAAGGAGTATGGCTTTAGGGAGTGCTGGAAGCAATTCTAGGGCGGAAGGATTTGAGCAAAATGATAGTTTTTCGAAGAGTTTTGAATGCGAAGATATACCAAGCAGTAAAATGGAAGGAAATGAATCTATCTTGGTTGGATGTGTCGGTTTGGCTCCTTATAGAGATGACCCCAAAATAGGTCGTCTTGTGAGGCTAGTTGTTGGGGTAGAAAGTAGGAGAATGAGAATAGGAACAAGGTTATTGGCTCAGATGGAAAATTTTGCTAAGGATTACGGATACAAGGAAATCCACTTATATACAAACAATTTGAGTACTTCACCAATTAAATTTATCAGTCAACATGGGTATCAACTAGTTCAGGTAATCAGTAGAGGACTTATGAGGGGTGATTTGTTACTATGGAGAAAGTCTTTTGAAAAAAGCAGCTCCGATAATTCCTACTTGAATAATGAGAGGAACAGTGTAGGAGAGAGAGTTATTTTAGATTAAATAGTTTAGGTATAAAAATACTATGAATTTAATTAATTAAGAAATAGATTTCAATAGAGACTCCATATTCAGGTTTAAATTCAACTCGTCGAGTAACGTGCAATTCTTGTATTTAGTTTCAGTGACAAACTCGATACATTTGAAGAATATATAGTCAAAGTTATCTAGACTACTGGAATATTTGTCTTGAGAGCTTACATTCGATAATTCAAACATAATACTTTTAAACTCGTTATGGTTATTACTAAAAATATCAAACGGGTATCTGGATGCTATGAGATCCAAGAGATTAAGTATGTTCTCTTTTTCGAACTTAACTTTGACGAAAACAAGACCGTATTCATTCATTAGGATTTTCTGGTCATTATCTAGAGATAGACTTTTATTAAGTATTTCTGGATGATTTACTTCCCCAATTAGAACTTTGTCCTTTGTATATAACTCATTTTTTTCATTTATATTCAGTCTGAAAGTAAGGCCATTAGGCTCCTCTTCTTTTTTATTATAATCTTTGAATGCTTTAATTACTTGACCACTCCATATCAGCCAGTTTTGTTGAGATAGTGTGCGATATTCTTGGCATTGAGAATACAATTTGTCGAATTCTTGTTCTGTATCATACATTGAATCTTTTCTTACAAATACTAAATAGTTAAAATCGGATTGAGGGCTGCTAAATTGGTCGCCAATTCTAAATAAGCGTAATAAATTGTTTTTGGATAAAGGAAGATACTGCCCCAATTGTATTCGAATATTAGGAATAAACTTTGGGTCAGAACCCGACATCATTGAAACATCAATACTTTCTACAGTTTTATTTGTAACCCCTGACTCTTCAATTCTACAAGACAGGAAATGCAATCTACATTCAGTTGTGGAAGTGCATATATTCAAATTGTTCCAAACGATTAAATCATTACATTGAAAAGTATTCTGGTCATGATTATATATTCCATCTATTATGGTCAATCCTGTGTGAATAAATGGGGCATTCTTTACAGTAAACATTCTCCATCCATCTTGGTTTCTTAGTTCACAATATCCATTTCCCTGAATTAACATACTCCTTCTTCCTCTGTAAATAGGAAGAACAAGCCAATTTTGGGGATTCTCTTGCATAGATTTATACCCTTCTGAAAGTTTGGATAGCCATGCATACTCTATAAGTTCCCGAGACCAAGTTCTTGAAAGTTTCCAATTTTTTATAAATTTAGAATTTTTTCCTTTATTTTTGTTTTTACCTTTAATCTTGAAATTCTGATCATCCTCAGCCCTCTGAAATTTAAGAAATTCCTGTCTCCTTTCTGCTCTCAGTTTTTCCAACATATTCCTAAGCTTCCTATCTATAGAGGACATATCCGAAGGTTTTTCCTTTATAAACCCATGATTGAGCTTGTAATAACTGCTAAAACTTGACATTATCCTCCACTCAACCAAAAATGGTTCCTTCTACTAGAAATAAAGCTCCTCAATCTGAAGATTCTGAACAAATTTATCTAATCGGAGATTTATTAGATTTTAATTTATTTTTGTATTATTGGCATAAAATTTACCTTTGGACATTTGGCGCCAAATTATTTGGATGCATGTAGGTCAACCAATTCTTAAATTGAGAAAATTTTGAATAAAAACAAAAAAAACTAGAAGGTAATGGACTTTTTAATAATATAAAAATTACGGGAAACAAATTATTGTACTGTATTTGTGAGAGAAAGATGAGATTGTTGAATTCTGTTTTGAAAGTAGTTTGAATAATTTGAGATGAAAACTATTTTAATGGCTTCAAGCCTAGCTTTTTCCTGTAAACATTCCACTGCTCTACAGACAAACTTATTTCACTTTTGGAACAGTATGCAGACATCTTGGAAGCACCTTGTTTATTCTGAGTTTGAGCATCATTATTTTCTTCGAAAGACACAGGAGATCTGGAAAGTGATCTTCTTCGCTTTCTGCAAGAACTTTCCTCTGTTTGAGAAATAGGAGAAGGGTAACTAGAGTCCGAAGGAATATATTTAAGCTTTGACTCTCTTGGGAACTTCAAATGACCTTGTTTAATCAAAACTTCCCTTTTATGAATATATGGAAAATCCAAATCCAACAGTTTTTTATCACGTAAACATATCTCAACTAGCTCATCTAAATGAATAATATCAAAGGATCCATCCAAGTTCCGAATCCGAATTCTTCTATAATCTTGATATAAATGTTCTATAGACCTATGTATAACGATAGAAGATTCAGTTAGCCTAAGATAAACTATTCCCAATGCTGTCAAATATTTAAACCTTGGGTTGTTAATATATTCCAAGACTATCTCTGTGCTGGGCCTAATTTGCAACAGCTTTACTAATAAGCACAGAAATGGTGTTGCTTTTCTATCACCACCATAAGTTGTTCCAATATAATCCAAAAAAACTGCCTTGTCCAAAATAGTTTCACTGTCCAAGGCAAAACATTCCCCTTTCCAGTAAATACTTGAAAACACACGATCTCTAAGGATTGAGCTCACTGTAAATAACTTATGGTGGCTGTTTTGCTCATCTCTCATGGTATTTTACGCTCAGTGAAAAAGTTTGAGATCTAAAATTGAATGAAAGATTAGCATCATTAATAGGAATCTATAATTTCTTCCCAATAATTACAAACCTAATGTTTTTAACCCTAACAATATTTTTATTTTTATAGGCCAAATGGCCACTTGGCCCGCCAAAATGTGTATACTTAACACAAATTAGATCCAAAATACAATGTAATGTTCAATCATAGAAAAGACACAAATTTACTAACTGAGAATTATTCGGTAGTGATTGATATCGGTAAATTGTTATAGAATTAATATTCCTAGTTCTCTGGAAAATGAAGGATTCAATGTTAATGTCAAACTAGACATATAATATGTACACGTCTAGGAATTAGAAAAAAAAATGTGAGTAATAGAGAATAACTTGCCATAAAGATAAATGGGAGTATTTGGAAAAAGGATTGTAATTATATGATGGCATCAAGAAAACAAGAAGAAGTTCTTGTAATATATATTAAATCAGTGATTCAATTTATCTGTTCATTGTGTGTAATTATAACTATTTTTAAAAAAGATTGGATTTCGGGTCAAAACACAATTTCCGAATCCTCTGTGATCGTTCTCTTGGATGAGTTTTGTATAAGGAACTTAATATTGCCACTTTCAAGACAATCATGGCAAGAATCTGATGTGGGGAAAGGTTTTAATTTAAGTGAATTGAATAATTCTTTATCACAAGCCAGAGCTGGTAGTTCTAATATTTTTGAGAATAATTCAGGGGAGGCTCTAGACTATGAAACTGTAAATAGCTCTATGTTGAGGCATAAGAAGCTTTATAATCAACTTAACTTGAATTCGGATACAGAAAACGATAATAAGGTATTTCAGCAAATATTACCAAATGAACATAAATCCAGTATTGAAGGAAAGAAAAAAAGATTGAAAAATGTGTTGAAAAAGAGTGGTTTTCATTTATCCTCTTTTGACCAGATTCAATACTGTATTAGTCACAAAAGTAATAAATTGGTAAAAGATTGGTATATACATCCAAACTATTTGAGTTTTTTGATTTTGCTTATTGTTTTAGTTTCAGTTATTTTTAGCTTGAATTTGATTAAGATGAAAAATAAATGGTCCCCATATGAATTATTAATTCCATTTCTGGATTTTTTAGTTTTCTCAATATCTCTGGTCAGCCTAGCTCAAATCCTTCACATTTTAACTCCATTATTAACCTATTTACAGAAACAAAATTTCATGGCATTTTTTTCTACCAACTTCTTTATTTGTTCAGCCTCTATTGGAGGATTTTTCATCATTTTTGCTTTATCAATAGGAATCATCCACTACAGATATGAATCACATATGAATCTAAAAAGATTTGAAGATCATATTGAAAATCTACAGTCATTCAGTTCGTTCATCCATTTAATTTCAAACAGTAACTAACTATCATAGTCACAAAAAAACTCAAGGAGCAAAGAGAATCATACTTAACTTAGAACTCAACGTCTAAATTCAGTAAAATCTAAATCCGTGTTATGACGCAAAACTATCGAACTTGTTTCGTATTGAATATAAACAGCCATTGAGTAGAAGACAGATTATTAGAATCATATCTACTAACTTAGTATCTTTCTTCATTCAAAGCGTCCTTGAAGTAAATAAATCTGGGGGCAAGATCGCCATCTTCATAGTAACCATAAACAACTATTCCTTCGCAATCGAGGGATGGGCCCAAGTAAAACTCCAAGTCATCAAATCTCTCTAATAAGTATTTGACAAAAGCTTGAGCATTCTTCATGAAAGTCTCAACTCTCTCAGGGTTTGATTTTTCCATACTTTCCTTGATTCTTGCCAAATAAGCCTTGATGTAAACCATGTACTCCTTCTTAGTGAATGGGGTTGACTCTAATTTGAATGCATCAATGATGTCATTTACCGTCTCAACATCAGCATCAACAACCTCAGCTTCTCCCTCTTCAGTGTTATGGGCAATTCCAAAATCTTCAGCAGACTTTTGGACTCTCTTACTTTGTACCTCAAATGCAATTTCGTCAAACTCCGCCTTTCCAAATGGAGAGGATTGTCTGTAAGAGTCAGACATGACCTCGTCTCCTGTGAAAATGCATTTGTAGACCTTCATGTTTCCAAATTAATTTTTAAATATCCAAAAGCTAGTAAGTAGAGAAAAAAAGCAAATGTAATGCTGAAAAATTTGCCTTTAATAATAACTAATAGGGAAAATAATTTTAACCAGATATTCAACTATATTAAAAAAATGTTATTACGTATACATCTACTATGAACTCTTAGTATTTAAAAAAAAGCTATTTAGTTAATTGATTTATATTTATTTCTTTAATATTTAACTAACTCCGCGACAAAAATAATAAATATATACTTTTCTTGATAGGAAAAAAATGTAATTAGTGGTCAACTTAGGCGCGCGAGGTTTTAGGCGGCATGCAGACTTAAAATTAGAATGACTGTGTGAAGGGCAAAAAAAAAGTCAGAGTGGTTGAAAAGGAATGGTAGGTATCATTATATAGGGCAGCTCTAGTGGAAAGAAAAAACGTATAAAAATAATTGGAGCTTCAATTACTCAATTAAAGGGTCTTAATTAAGAATTTTAAGATGATTAGAGGAAATACAGAATGGACAACCTTGGCAGCAGGGATTATACTTTTCAAGAACGACATAGTAAAAAATGAGTCTGGAGAAGATATAATCGAACCAAATTTCTTGTTACTTAAATGTTCAAAGAACTTTCACTGGAGTCCTCCAAAAGGTAAGAACTAATAAAAACTATTAATTTTACGCAGTTTACTAGGTAAAAGGTATTTCAGAGAATGATGAAGAGAACGATTTATTAAGGACTGCATTCAGGTAAGAAATAAATAAGACTTGTTTGAACTCTTGTTTATGCGGAATAATTACTTAGAGAAACACTAGAAGAAACGGGAATAGATCCAAAGCAAATTAAACTCTATAATAACTTTGTAAAGGTAAGCACGTAAAACACGATGTTTACTCTTCTGAAATACCAGCTCTCAGGAAATACATTATGAAGCTTGGAACAAAAAGAAAACGGTGTTTTACTACTTAGGAGAATGTAGTAGTAATTCAAAAGTAGAGATTTCACATGAGCACAGCGAATATAGATGGGCAAATATTAACCAAGTAAAACAACTAGTAGAATTTGAATCACTAATTCGAGTATTCAATGATGCATTTGAAAGGATAATGAAGGAGAAGCTTTAAATATAGTGAGCAGAGCTCAACGGTAGAGTAGTGATAATCTATAATATCAGTACTACCTTCTTCCACGATTAGAAACGCGTCCTTTTCTACTATTTCTTGTGGACACTCCAATTTCTGCATGGTTATCCGCAATAGAAGAATTTTCTGATTTGTATTCACCTTTATAGGAGTTCGCACCGTTTGCATTAGCTTCTGTGTTATTTGCATCGTTACCTACACTTCCAATGTCCTTATTAGCGCATCTTCTCCCTCTAGTATTTCCCTCGGAGGATGGATGTATATTTGGTTCAGGAGATTGTGCTGGTGACATCACAAAATGTCCATGCGAATGCTCTGAGTTTTTTCTTAAAACCAAAAAAGTCCGAATAACATCAACAGGGTTAATTTCAAAACCACTAAAATGTTCATTAATTTTCTTGGAAACTGTAATCTTGTCCTGGGACAAATCGATTTCATTGGCTTGCTTATCGTGGAAAAATGATTTGTAACGTCTGTATAAACCTTCTTCAAAGACAGAGAAGTCTATCTTAGAGAGATGCTTGTTTTTATTCTCACTCCCAGAGCAAGGAGTATCCTCCATTTTTGTGCTCTCTTTATTTTCGCCCAGTTTCTCACTCTTTAGTGTACTTCCAATATTTGAATTTGATATGTTTGAATTCTCCAAACATACAGCTTCTTCTGGAGACTCACCTGCATCCCTATTTGGCTCTTCCCCAATAGCCTGCTGAGATTTAAGTTTCTCCGCATTGTCTTTCTCCATTGTTATTGTGGTATTCTCTTCCCCGACAGACTGCCCTTTAACTAATACTTTCTCTGGATTATCAATATCATGTTTTTTCACCTCCTCCAAATTCATTGGGCAAGTTAAATTAGATGTATTTGTCGTACCAAGTTCCTCGTCCTCCATTATCCTGTTCTTTCTATAAAACTTCTTTTTCCCTTTTTCTTATTCTCTATCCTTCTTTCTTGCTTGTATTTGTGATCAAATAATTAGCACTAAAGGGCGCCAAAATCTCCCTTTTTAGTGGCTATTTCAAAAATGACGGTATAGGCACAGTTTAGCATGTTTTGGCGCCAAACTGTTTAGAGTGTACTACCAAGAACGCCAAGTTAATATATTTCTTTTATGATTAGAAGGAAGCTCTGGTAAATAACTAACTTACTTAGTTATCAACAATGAGTCCAATTACTATTGAAGACCTTTCAGAGATTGATGACGATAACATCAGACAGCTTGCTACGACAATTATCAAAGGAAACCTTAATGAGCCATCAGAATCGAGATATATCAATGAAATCCTAAATTCCACAGTTGAACAACTTAATCAAAAAGCTCAACACCTTAGTCAAAGTATTAAAGAAAAGAACAAAAAACTCCAGGAGATGACCGACGAGCTCCAGTTTATGAACATTAGTCTACAACAACTCGACTCACCTAAAGCTCTTAAAAAAATGACGCTAAAGGAGCTTAAACAACACTGCTCATCTCTAAGATCTATTATGAGCAGTTACCTTGACTCCTTTAATCAATAAGGCCCCACCTTTCAGGTTCCGCCTTTATTTGTGGGTAATAACATCTAATCCTACTAATTCATTCACCCTTTTCGCAGCCCCTTGCTGTCACACAAGCCATGCATTCAAAAACCACGACTAAGAATAGGTGTTATACCTAAATTATATTCCTTTATCTACACATCTAACTACTTTATTTTTATTTCCAATGTTTTTCTTATATCAAATTAAACATTGCCTTTTCATTTCTTTCTACACCTGACTCATATAATTACCAACTAAGCGGTAAGTGTGATCATATATGGCGCCACATTCGTGATCCCTGCTATTTAAATTATTTTGTTATAGATACCTTCCAGTAAAAAAAACAAAGGAACTTAGATAAAATTAAGAGCTAAATAAAAATTGAAATTTTCCTTAGCTTTTTAGGACTATTACTGAAAAATAAAAATTAATATTTAGCGGTATTTACTTACTTGATATGAGATTTATATTCAATGTTTTTTCATAGGAGTGTCTAAATAGAATTACAATAAAACCTCCCTAGCTAATAAGTAACACAGACCTAAATTAATTTTAGTCAGTAAAACGTCACGTCTCACGATCCTAGGTACTCCATTCGACAAATTTCCAGTCAGAAGTGTCTATTTAGAGCAAGTTGAGGGTCCATAAAATGTAGACAGTACAGATTATTGTTCCGGGATTTAAAGTGGATACAGTATCCCCACGCAAATGGACACAAAGGTATTTATTGGAGTGATTAGGCGTATATCAAATAAATAATTATTAATTTCTTATACGTAACAGTCTATGGATATTTGACTAGTATAGTATCTGTTTCTTCCTCAGGTTACAATTGACCCCTCCAATAACTGTTCAATAAGAACTGGATCCGAGGGGATAATATGTGACAATCGACTTTTTGACAGGATGACTGATTAATTGGTATTAAATGAGTAACAGATCATTTTATAGTTAAAGTTGTATAATCCGATGTATTAATCCTGTTTCCAATTGAAAACAACAATCTTGGCATCTTAACAAAAACATTTGAAAGAATTGAATCAAGAAGCTCTGCTATTGTTTAAAGCTACTTGTTAATAACTTAGTTTTTGATGCCTTTTTAACGCATTAATTCTTAAAGGTGAGTCTTTTAGAATATTATAAACACTTTATTAAGAACTCATCTAACTAGGTTACTCTACTTATTATATAGAAACTAACTTAAATACAGATTTTGAATTTTTATCGCTCCAGTTTGTGGTTATTTAGACATCTGGTTTATTTATCATTGTTTTTTTAATAAAGATCACAATAGTTCTATATTGAGGTTTACTGTGATATTTAATTTATTGCTTTAAATACAATCATTAATTATTGAGGAGGGTATTGCAAATTTGAGTTGGAAGATTTTCACTGATTTGGAAGACACCTTGAGAACAGAGAGCAGTTTTCACTTTGGCCTAAGCGGACTAAAATTATAAATTTCTTAATTCATCAAGAAGACGATGTCTTGTTTGGAAGAAGTTAGAGCTTCCGATCCTGGCACCAAAGCCTCGATAACTACTCATGGGAACCCAACTAAAAATGAGATATCTCAAACCCAAGTAATATCAATAGATCAAGCAAAGAGTTCCATACTAGAACTTGACCCAGAAATTGTAGGGAATTCTGCCAATCAGACCGAAAATGGGTCAGGTAGTGTAGTCATCACGCCAACAGGGGTCAGTAAAACCAGCTCCATTGACGATATCACAACATGCACAACTAGTAGTGATATTTCAACACCAATGGAACTGAGTTTGACGGCAAAAAGGCCAAGAACGGAGATTTCTTTCTCTGATAAACTCGATTCTGACACCTTAGAGCCAACAGTGAAGGCACAGAATTTAGATCTCTCCATTGAAATCGCATCCAAGAATGAGACTCAAATGCAGAGTTCATTTATCCAAGGCCCAGATATGACTAATACTAATACATCATCTCCAGTTCCTAACAACAGTATCGTGTTCAAGTGCATTGATGCATCAGGAAACGGAGTTGATATCAACAATCGCACAGAATCAAACTCTACAGAGGTTATTCCCACATCTGAAGCGTCAAAATCTACCACAGCATCTGCTTCTCCTTTGAACCAGAATCAAGGTTGTAAAGATGAGTTGAGTTCCGGTGTATGTATGGGAGCCAAACAACCCGCCTTACTTTCTTCAAAGCAACTTTTTGACGAGCTTGTTCAACTGGCTGCAGTTTCACCTACAACTGGAACAGGTAACATTGCTTTGATGAACCCGCAACAATTAGCTTCCTTAGACAATGGAGTTCTCCAACAATCTTTGCAAAACTTTGGGCTTTTAATGGGCGCAGGGCTAGGAGTCCCATCACTGGGAGCAACGGGAAATACGACACCAATCAAGGTTCAATCTCCATCGGTTACTAAAAGCCAGCTAATAGGAGGGGCAGTTGGATCGGCCTCAATGGGAGATTTTCATCAGCAAACGTCTGTAGGTACTGCAGCCTCTGCTTCTACTGTTCCTTCATCGGTAGCCTCGCCTCTGACTTCACCAATAAACCTTTCCTCAGGTTCAACAGGTCATGGTACCACTAGTCCAATCTCGGGAATGGTTTCTCAGAATCAGAATCTCGCTCAAAATCAATTTATATCCCAGTTAATGGCAAACCCACTCTTCCAAACTCAAGCCATAGCCAGCCAAAGTTCTCAAAACCTAAATAGAATGGTTTCAGCGGCTTTCGGAGTTGGGTCTCCACAGAATACTTCCACTTCTACCCCTTTTGGCTGGCCATCCACAGGCACGACTGCTACCCAGGGGTTTTGTCCAACCGGTACCCAATCAGGAATTGCGAATTTTGCCACCCTTCTCGCTGCAGCGAATTCACAGTTGCACGCCCACACACCATTTCCTTTGGTCTTCCCCACACCTGTAAACAGAAGTATTGGTAGTGGGTCGAACCCCATTCTTATGCCCATGCAATCTGCGGCTCCTTCTGATGGATCTGCTTTTGAAGGGGCCCAGACATCAACTACTGCAAGCACTGCGCCTAGTGAAACCGGTGCATATCCTTCTACAATTGGACAACAGAACGATCCTTTACTAAGGCTGAGTACTGGTCTTCCCCACAACTCTTCGGGAGCACCCTGTATCCCACCATTCTGGCACAACCCTGCTCTCCTCGCATCTGCTGCCTCTTTAATAGGCTCTGGAGACCTTTCCCAGACTATGGCGCTTTTAAATGCTGGTCCTTTGAACTTACAGACCTTTGTTCAAGCACAAGCTGCAGAGCCATCTAATGCACAAAATTCAAATTCCGAAGAAGAAAGTGTTACGAGAACGCAACAAAACTGTATTCCACTCTTGACGTCTTTGCAGCAGCCTAGCTTTGACTTCTCTTCACTTTCCACTTCGAGTCCAGCGGCACTTGCTGCTCTGGCCAGCGCTGCAACAAATGCGCAACTTTCTTCTAATGCTCAGACGCAAGAGACTGAGACTACTGCTTCGAAATCTGTAACCAAGGTCTCGAATAATGCGAGAATTTCTCATGGCTCGGGTTCTAGAGCCTTGAATGCAAGCTCATCAGTTACTGCTGCTGCTGCTGCTCTTGATCATCTAGACGTAGATTGGGATAGTGTTGGACTTCGGGAAGCGGAGCTAGCTGCAATGGAAATTTGTAAGACTGCAAACACTCTTTTCGACACTACAGATGGAACAACCCCAGTCCCCAGTTCCCCAGCTGCTGTAGGGGAAGCAGTGCTTACTGCGGCCCAGCTTACCATTTCCGCCAGAGCAATGCTAAAGTTCGTCAAGGGTCTTACACCCACCCAACTAGGTATCAACTGGCACGCCTGTACTCAAAGATTTTGTGTAACTTATACAACTAGGGATGAACAGAATCCGCGGAGTTGGACTCTAGGTGCATACTCAAATGGAAAACTACATTACAAGTACTTCGGGCCAAGATCCTGGACCGTCATGGGTTTAAAGGAGGCCTTGAGAAAAGCCTTTAAGGCTAGGACTTCCCTACTTCTTGGACAAGGAATTATTGAGGAGCCGGAAGACACGGGGCTCAGCAAGGAAGAACTGACATACCATGCGAGACAGTTACTCCAACAGCTCCGAGACTCACTTGGAGTTAAGAAAGGCAATGTTCACAAAGGTCTCTATATATCTTGGCATCCCAAGACAAGGAGATTTGTGGTCGCTCTAAAATCCTGTGAGAGTGGTAAGACTATCTACAAGTACTTTTCTCCAAAGGAGAGGTCAATAAAGGGGATCAAAACTGCTCTTCTTGATGCTCACCAAATGGTTGTTGCTGCTTGTCAGTAAACAAGTTCCCTGGGCACGCTTTTTATTGTAATTCTGTTCGGAAAAGTTTGAAAAAGCAGAAAGATTTTAAACAGTTTTTGTCAGCCTCTTTTTTTGTGAAACAATACCTATCAGACGCATGCACAAAAGTTTTTTGGAAGTTAGGATTCCCGCGTAAACATTCGTATATTGACATTAAAATTTATTATTAATTGGTTTTCTCCACCAATCCCTCCCTTCTGCGGAAATGAAAGTGAAATAACCGACATACTTTGATATTTTAGCATGGATACAAGTTTTATTATACTGAGATTTTTAGCTCGACTAGCGGATTAAATTCTCATTTTACTATTTCTGCCTTTTCTACTTGCCTCACTGCTTTGGTGCAAACAGAGACTCTATGCGCCATATTGACACGATTTTTCTATAAGATCTAGACTAATAGTTTGGGCGCTAGAAGCTTGTGATTCCTTAAAGACTTTGCATTGGCAAATCTTCCTCTACCGTATGAGAAACCATCTTTTCAGGATCACACGACTCCCTCACTACAATTTTCCCTTCATGTAGGGTTGTGTTATAACTTGGAATGCCAGGAACACCCAAAGTGCCCGCCGAAATTTTGGGATCATGAGAATCTAGTTTCGGAGTTTCAAGAAGGCAAGCTTGGGAATATTCTTTCAATTCCTCCGGAGGAGCTACAGAAGAGTCATCCTCAGAAATTGCCGCTCTCTTGCTCTTTCTCGGCTTTTGCTTTGGCTTTTCTATTGTAACAGGTAAACTGGAGGCAAAAAACTCATCATTAGATAACATCGATGACTCCTCGTGCGACAAAGAATTGGAGTTTGTGTTAAGATAGTCCATTTGCTTTTCACTGGAAGAATTATTGTTAGATTTTTTGGGCTTTTTGGGCTTTATGGCACTTTCTATGTTGTTTCCATTAGTATTATTGTTTGGGTATTGCTCTCCACTAGCCTTATTAGTATCTTTTTTTTGCCTCTTTTTTGTAACCTTAGACTCAGGATCTACTTTTGGTTTGCGAACGGAAATACTGGTAAGACTCTTGTAAGAGTACTTAATTTGAAGAAGCTTGATTTGATTAAGAAAGAATCTGTGGGGAATATCTTTTATCTTCTGTCCCTCAAAGCTTACATTTGAAAATCTCTTAAGAATATGTCCCTTAATCATTAGCTCAAGTCCTCTAGAGCCATTCACTGGAATGTTATCTTGTTCCTTCTGGACGGATTTCGTCATAACATTAGAAGATATCATATCTTTGTAGACTATTCTGAGCCGATTAATTCCGTGAATGTACTCAAGAAGAGAAATTCCAAAATCAAACACAAGATCACAGCTGACTGCCTTAATTCCCTGTGAACTTGAGTCACTGCTTTTTGCTGATTTAAACTTATCCAAAACCTCACCTCTAAGTGAATCTTGCTTTTCAGAATTTTCTACATTGTCGATCAAATCTATGTTTGTCAATGAGTCTGAAGGCTCAAAATGTTCGCTTGAACCATCGTTTTGTGTTTGAGAAGTTTCTAAATTCTCCAACTTGATGTCTTCCATATTAATCTCATCAAAATAAGAATTACTAGTGATTAAAATAGGCGTATTACTATTATCTGCTAATTCATCAGTCTTTGAGTCGGATTTCTCTTCTTTTTCTTTATTACTAGAGCTACTAATTTGTAAATTGTATTCATGAATTGAGTTCAAAATTTTTTGAACGTATTCTGGAGATTTGTTCTTTATTGGTGGGTAATTTGTGATTGACTCAAATGCATTCAGATCAAATTGATACAAAGCTTCTTGGTTGTGATTAAGAATTAGTCTAGCCCACTTAGTACGAAAACACTCAAATCTAGTAAGTAATTGGATTATTGTAGAAGAATCAGAAGAACTATGAGAAAGATTAAATTGTTTTTTTTTATTGTTGATTGGGACGCATATGTTAAGCCCTTCCCATATTATCCTAATAAGCTTCGAATCAAAAGGAGCCACATCAGCGGGATTTGAGTAGATATCTGAGAATAGTGATGGAATCCTCAGTAAAATTGGATCTTTTTCAATATTACTTATGAGTATTCCAAGAGAATCCATCAAATCAGGATCTTGATGACCCTTTTCACACTTTATATTCCCCTTTTCATTATAATAGCTTTTACAGCGGTTATAGGCCTCGATTACTTCCTTGATCTTTTGGTTTAGAGTCCTGAACCAATCTGAAACCACTCTAGGAGTCCTTTGTGGAAAAGAATAAGTACCAGAAATTACTTCCTTGTTGGTCTTTGCGGTTGGAGTGGTTAGATCTACTGTTGCCTGGGAAGAAGGAATACCTATGGGAAAATCAATCATTGGAGTAGATGAAGCTTGACCATTTAGTGAACATTGGCTGTTCTGCTCTAAATTTTGATCCTTGTTAGATTGTATATTTTTAGGAGAATAGTAAACCCAGCAGTCTGTACGTACTTGAATAAGAAGCTTAATTAGTGGATTATTGAGTATATCACGCAAAGATTGACTTTTCTTTCTAGGTGAACCATCATTCCCACCTATCCTTACATCCAATTCATCTTGGCCACCATCTGAGTATCTAGTTTCATCGTTGATTTCACTATCTTCGCTGCCTGATTCTGATTCATAATAAAGATCAATATAGTCGTTTTGTGGGTCATTATCACAGGAAAAAACAGTTGGATTTGAGTAATCGGCATAGATTAACTCTGAAGTTTGAACTGAAGTTGTCGTCACATTTTCGTCACCCTGATCAGCAACTTGGTTTCCCCTTTCTGTATTTCTATTATAAAGCTCGTCCAATGACAAACCTAAGTCATCTACCAGCTCTGAATCATCAATAAAATCATCAAATACATCATAATAATCCTCCCTGCTTCTATTAGCTCCACTAGATCCTGTCATAGTCATTGGATTGAAATAATAGTCCCTTGGATCGCATAGCAATCCTTGTTTTGAAAGTCTTGTAGACATTTCATGTACTCTCTTTCTCAAAACATTTTCACTCACATTTTGTGAATCTTGTTTACTATTTGACTTAATCGTATCTAAAAAAGAAGTAATATCTTCATACGTCCTTTCACTTTCCTCATTTTCCTTTTCTTCATTATCTCTATTTTCCTCTTCCTTAAAATCATCCCTTTCTTGTGGCTCTTGAGTTAATGATTTCTCCTTTATAATATTGTCCCACTTTCTTCTACCAGATCCAGACTGCCTTTTCTCCAATACATTCTCCTCTCCAAAAGCTTCCATACAAAGATCCCTAAAAGATATGATACTTGGTAATTGTATATGCTTATCTAGTCTATCGTTATAAATATACTTGATTGTTTCTTTTGGAATCTCCAAAAATAAACTCAGGCCCCTCTCAAATCTAAAAGAATCTATCAGAGACTCATACTCACTAAAATCTTCATCATCTTCTTCTGCGACGCTTGTGTCATCTTCCTGGGATGTCTCCTGCTTTGGTATTTCATGATTCTTCTCACTTTTATGTTCTTGATCAAAAGATGTTTTATGCAATTCAGTATCATTCGAAACTTTGAGATTTGTAGGAGTCATATGAAAGAATTCCTCTCTACTAAAAATACATCTAAATTAGAAAGGAATACATCACTCATTCAATACTATTATTCAAGCGTGCCCACTTTCAGTTGTTATTACGCCCATTACAGTATATGGTATAATTTTTGGCGGGAAACACAAAGTATTACAATGTAGAACAAAAGGCTAGCAAAGAAACTTATAAACAAAAAAACTATATTAAAGCACTTTAGAATGTAATCGAATTTAGATCGCCGTTTTAACCCAATTTATAGAGTAAATTAAAGCAAAATTCCGAAAATTTGTTTTCTCTTAATTTGGAAATTCATGCATTATTGAAAAAGGGTGAGAGAAAATCGGGATATCAAAAACCAGCTCTTTAATCTCAGTACAAACAAGCCAATTCCAGTGATGATCTATGTGTTAAAAACGGAAAAACAATTAGCCTTGGCATTATACTAAAATATCATATGCCAACTGATTGGCTGTGAGATCAAATTACAGAAAAACATACTTAGTTTATTGGTGAAAGTTCTGCAGTACTGCAATTTGCGGTGCTCCCTCCCTCTTTGTTCTTCTTGACTCTTACCCAACTATCTAATCTTCTCTGCTTGAACCCTTTATTGCCTTCTTCAAATTTATCATCATCGCGTAATATTGTGTTGAAATTTCTATCTAAAGATCCTGGAGTCGATACTTGAACTTGTTGAATAGACTCGGAGTATATTGTGCAATCAACTTCGAAAGATCCTGCTCTATCAATGCTTGGGCTTGCCAGAACCTCTTCATTTGACTGAGAAAGAGGAATGTGGATTATTCTGCGTGGATTAAAGTCGCATGAGTAGCTTGATGAAGTATTACCAGAGTCATCATTTTCCATCTCCAAAGTTTCCTTGGTATCCATTGAACTTTTCTGCGGCGATATTGGAGTTAGTAAGCTCTCCTGAGATTGTGTGATGTAAGTACTCTGACCTCTCTGTGGAGCAGGGTAACCTACACTGTCCTGAGACGAACCCATGAAGGGAATACTTCTTCTAAAAGGAGTCTTTTCTACACTATCCGGAGTCGGAGCAGGTCTTAAGAAAGCTCCGCCATCGTTTAAAGCCTGAGAATCCTTTTCTGAAAACCCAATTCCACCAACAGTAAGGAAACCAGTTTTTCTTTCTCCTTTTCCTGCTCTTGATTCTTGAAATTCCTCATTGTTTTCTCCATTCCTCTCATTCATATCTTTCAAAGTAAAATCTTCATCGTTCGTTTTATTCGCTTTACTCGGTTTTGGAAAAGGTACAGATAATGAGGAAGACAAAGATAGCTGGTTTACAGCATCCATGTCTCCATCAAAAGAATTACTATATGATAATGTTTCACCCGATACCCATCTAGACTTAATAACACTTTCATCACTTTGTCCAACGGTAGTTCTGCTATTGGTTGCATCCCCTCCTGCAGAAGCTCCAGAAAAGTTTGGCATAACCGGTCTTCTAATGTCTAACTGAAATTCCTTATTGTTATAAAAACTCAGCTTTTTCAATTTTGTCCCCACTGAAAAATTTAAACGGTATTCCCTCCCCACACAATTGGCCTCCCAGAAATTCATATTTCCTTCTTTGGGCGGGAAACCGCTATTATTCTCCACGTTAATTTTGCTTCTTTTCCATGCAAAACATTGAAAAATAGGTATCAAACTTTCTTCCTGTTCACTTTGTCCATAATAAAGAATTGAATTTTCTAAATCTGTTGAAGTTTTGAATATACAAAACTTCGATCCCGAATTTGATGCAGTAATTAGCCATTCTCCATCACTTGAAATTGAAGGTCTCTGGCTTGCATCCAACAATTCCACATTCTCCTTTTCATAGAATAACTTATTTGAATCTATCGTTATTGCATTCAAGTCTTCGCTACATGAAAGAATCCCGGACACGCTGTATATATAAATCATCCCCTTCCTTGTTTGAAGAGCAAGTTTGTTGTATAATTCATCAGCTTCCATCCATATAATGCCTCTTTTAGTATCTTCATCCTTCTGAGGAGCAAGCTTGAGCATGCAAGCTTTTTCTGTACTCCCACATGATGCTTTCCGAATATCCCAAACTTTAATATGTCCATCTGTACATCCACTGGTTGCTAAATAATTACCTTCACTAAGAAAAGTTACGCCACTCACCGAAATGCTTTTGTCACTAATCATCTTCTCTCTTCCTATGCTTTTTCTTCCGTTTTGTTCATGTATTCTATTTAACTCAAACATTGGAGCCAAACGGATTTTTTCGATAGAATCATAATAGTTTTCATTGAAATCGTCACTTCTTTCAAAAATGTGAGTATTTAATGTTGTTGAGATTCTACTAACTCTCGGTCTGCCTGCAATTTCCGCCTTATTTTTGTTACTGCTTCCCTGTCCCAAATATAAACATTTTAAGTGAAATGATCTATCGTCGTATATTCGGAGACTTCCATCGTTACCTACTGTAGCTATCAATGAAGAGGATTCTGCTGAAAGAGCAAATCTCTTTACCCATTCTCTGTGGGCTCTGAGCTTACAACTCTCTTTTTCGTGCTCTAAGTCAAACTTTGCTAGGAAGCTGTCAGTAGATGAGGAATAAACATATCTTTCAACCTTATTTGAGTAAAATCCTATGTTCTGAAATTTTGTATCTGTAACAGAGCCATTATGCAATTTTCTTGAAAAGATTTTTTCGTTCTTTATTTTACTACCTGAATCAATCAATTTTGCAATTTTATTTTCAGTTGAATAAAGAGAAATATAACCATCAGAGTCACCAACACAGAGTCCAGCTCCCCCCAAAAAATTCCTGGAATAAACCATAGAAATGGGTATCCCCAACCCATGATAAACTTCAGTGATGCCATATTTATTAACCACTTTATTTCTCTGCATTTTATTTGCAGATCTTTAATCGAAAATCATTAATCAACGGAAATTGTGTGAAAATATATGAATTGAGATTAACTAAACAAAATTGAACTATTATATATTTCTCAAATCTTTTGCTTTGCATTCTACCTAGTACCGTAATTCTCTCTTATTTCTGCCATGCCTTTGATGATTAGTAGTTATTTCCCGCCAAATGTGTGTATTTGTAAAATAATAAATTAGTCAAAATAGATATAAATATTAAGAACCTAAAGCTAAGGTAATTTTCTACCTATATTCGTTCAATAATTTCCTCCTCCAACTCACTATTGCTATAAACATATTCTTCAATAGGGATATCATCAACGTTTCTAGTATGATCATCCTGAACATAAATAGAGTTAGAGATCACAGAGCTGTTCTGGTCACTTCTAGAATGCTTGTTTGCATTCGAAATTATAGAGCTTCGATCGTAGCTAGTACTTGAAACACTGTTTTTAAACCGTGATGCAGCGATATTATTGGGGATACCGCCCTCAATTGTGACTAATTTATTGACAAAATCATTAACTTTGACTGAAAGCAGGTATTTATTCCTTTGTTTATATTCTGACTTTTTTGAGTTATTTAGAGATGAAACATATATGGAGGATAAATTTCTTTCTCCAGAAAGAAAGATCATTGCATGTCTTATTTGCCCACTTGACCATCCTAAATCAAGCTTCTTAACTAATGCTGTGAAAGTATTAAGATCAATTCCAGTTGAGGAAGCAGTATTCACCCCGAAATTCACCTCCAAATAATTTAAAAGTAAATTGACGTCCAATTCTCCCATAAAATGTTGTTGGATAGCATGGTAACAAATTGCAAATTCTGACTCATTCAACTTATTATCTTTGTCATAGTCGAAAGTAGCTAATATATCCTTTGCGTGCTCAGAAGAATAATATAGTCCTTCTGAAACTAAAAAGTACTTAATAGTGTATTCATCAATTCCCCATTTACCCACAATATTCTAAAAATTAATATTAGAATTAATTAAATCAAGATAAAGAATAATTAACTTACCCGTGTTCTAATAGGTGCATTGTTTATCAAAAAGTTCATTGTATTTCTGCACCTTATTTGGAGCTCCCAAGGAGCTGTTTTCGCCACAATACTGAATTTCCTTCTTTGCAACTCTTTATTTTCTTGACTACCTGAATTAAATAAATGAAGGAAGCTATAAAATCTAAGTGCTTCTGAAATTTGTGAAAGTCTTTGGATGTTTTGAGCTTTTTGAATGTTTAGGACCTCTTCAAGTACGATTTTATCGGCCATTTGACCTACTGAAGTACAGAGCAGTATTGGATAAATAATAAAAGGTAAGCAAAAATGCTGGAATCCAAAAATTACCCAAATAGTAAAAGTTGCAAGAGGGAATTCTTCGTACCATAATCTTTTTTGCAAATACGATAGATGAATTACAATAGAAATTAAAATAAGCTGAAGGAAGTATGATGCCTGGAACCACCTTATTAATATTGCAGGTCCATTCCGTTTGAAAAAAAACAAATCATCATGCAAAGAAGGGAAATTGGTTCCACATAGCTTAATCTTTAAGTATTTAGACAATCTCCCAAAGCATGATCTATTTTGCATGAACTCTTGCTCTTCTTGATTTATAGATGGACTACTTTGAGAAGAAATCTGTGAGTATTCACCATTCGAATTAACTCTATTATTTGATATCTTGTACCTTGGCATAATTTTATCATATTCAATTTCTTGTAAAGGCATTCCAATATCTAAGCTATATTTCATCTTAAGATACTCAAGAATATTCTTCGGTTGGAGTTGCCTTTTAATTAACCAAGCTCTCAGCCAAATAGTTAGAGTGAAACAAAGTAATAGAAGTGAAATATAAGTACAAATCATTGGTTCTGAAATATAGTGCTTTACATTATTAAACAAGATTAGATTTTGATAGTAATCATAAATCAGAAACCATCCTAAAACATTTAACCCCAAAATAAAAGTTAATGTAGTTATTGGTATTCTTATTAAGGTTACTGCCATAATTAATAGCTTTGCTCGAAGATACTCGGTGAAATATACACCTGCAACCAGGGGTGTTGTTGGATCAGTTAATGAAATTAGCCAAGATGTACTAAGTCCATCATCAGAAAAACCAGAATCACCGCTAATATTAGTACTGAACGATGATCCATAATTGTCATAAGCTGCAACTTCGTCCATAAAGTCATATCTTAAAGATATAAAATGAGCTTTTGTATATGTCAAAAATAACTGGTTGGGCCAGAGCCAAAGCTTTGTCCATAGGCTCTCTAACTTTAGTTTCAAGTTTTCTTTCCATGTAAATTTTTCTGTTCCTGTATCATTCCTTTTACGTTTTATAATGCTACTTTCTCTCTGTTGCTTCCCTTTTAATGATAAAGACTTGCCAATATCTAGTTCTATGCTTTCATTTAATTGTGACAAGGCAAGCTCGTCTTCAACATCTGTATCGCTCCTTATTTCTTCGTTTTCACTTCCTTCACCAGAGCATCCTCCCGAATTTGAGCTATCCATAGAGTCACAAAGGTTCTCCTCTGCTATATTATCAGATTCACAAGTAACACTTAACCTTTTCCCCTCGTTACTACTCTTCTCATTTCCTTCACAAGTTTTGTTTTTTTGGTTATCAATACGTCCGACCGACGATCTTTTATAACTTGAAATACTCTCATTTTCATTCAATACTGTGATCGGCACACTATTTTGTAGTACTGTTCCACTTTCCCCAAACAATTTGTCCTTGCTTTCAGAATGATTTAACCTATTATTTTGTATTTCTTCCCTTGCAAAATTAGGTTCTGAATTTTTGTTTAGTTTTAAACTAAACAAATTCTGGAGGTTAAAAATATTCTTAATAAGCACGCCAATGTCTGTTTCGTCAGCATATCTTATCCATTTTTCTAAAAACTTCACACATCCTGTGAAATATAAGACAAAAAGACAATACCACGCGAAAGATAAAATCACAATCGCAAGAATATTATTAAATTCTCTTCCTAGGTTCTCTGTTGTCCAAACTTTTGAATTACTTACTATTGCTCCGTCCAACCGTGTTGCGAGATTATTTATTATACTCTGTCTAGAATATTCTGCCATTAAACTTTCACAAAAATTTCTTAAGTGATCAATCAATCTGGATGTCAGCATACAGTAGGAGATTGCAAGAGATACAAATATACACGCTGCTTGTCTGAAAACTGTGTCCATAACAGTCTGCAAAAATGAGTCATTTTTTCTTCTTATTCTATCTACTATGCATTCTCTTATTAAATATGTGGAAAGAATCGTGATTATAACTAGTATCCCGGATAAGATAAAATATACTGCTGTGGAAGAGTACCTGCTCTTTATTCTATCAGTCTCATTATGGTAGTTATCAATACTTTCTGATTTCTTTTGTAAGATATTGTCTTCTATGTCTCCTTCATAATTTGCTTCTCTTCTTAAAGATATCGCCACATCTTTCGCTTCAATCTCAGTCCATCCAAATAGAAATAATAATAACAAAACCGCTAATAATGATAATAATAGAGATTTCTTTCTAAAAAATAAACTCATTTCAACCTAATACACTTTTCTGTTAATCACATAACTTTTAATTTTTTTCAACTTTGACGGTGTTTTAACTCCAATTCTTCCTTAAATGGTTAAAAATTAAATTGTATTGAAAGTCGGCTCTTAAACTCTCTTGTAATATTATACTATTATTGAATAATTTACATGGGGGAATTGAAAAGTGTATGTGTGCACTCTTTACTCTCACAATCTCAGCTATATACCCATTAATACAAATCAAAAATTTCCAATATTTCTTCAAAGTTTGTTAGTACTTAAAAATATGGGTTATCTAAATTTTGGAAACCCATACGTCAATCCACAATTATAAAAAGCTTTCATGAATTAATTGAGAAATAGATGACATTTTGTGTTCCCGCCAACCTCTGGAAGACTCCCCAATTCAGAATTAGAGAAAAATAAATGGAAAATAATGAATTAAGAACAGGGTATGTTAGAAACGTAATATGAAACAAAAATGAGGAGAAAGAGTCGTTGGTTCCTTATCTCAATCCCCAAAGATACTAATGCAACCGAATCACAATTCAGAGAAATATTTAATAAAACTATGAACGACTTATTTGGCGTCGTTTCTTATTTGTATACGATAAAAAGTAAGTTTAAAATAAAAAAATAAAATTTTATTCGAAAAAGCTGGTCTCATAAATGTTCATGTGTATCTCCGACTCATCTATCAATCTTAAATTTCCCTTTAAACATAGGAGGGAAACTGGGATGTTGGAAACTAATGGAGCACTGCACGTACACGTTTCACGTAATTTAAGTCGTGTATCGTGGAATAATACCTAATTAAATTAATAATTTGCCCATTAACTCTAAATATCTTTAGTAATTTATCTTAGTGCGAAGCTTGGATATATGATAATCAATTGCAATAGGGAAATAAGCAATTATGTCAGACTTTGTATGGTTTTAGCAAATGTCTCAAATGAAGAAAAAATACCATGCAGAGTAGTACATTGCAGTGGAACTCTGTGTTCAATTCAAAAGGTACTAACCAATATTTTAGTAAATGAGCAGATTCTTTTCGATGAATAAATTCATATAAGTATTCTATAAATTAAGGTTAATATATTTTAATATCTATTTTTTATTTATCTTCATTTTATCTATATTTTTTCCTTTGTTTAATTTCTCTAGTTATATTGATTAGAGTCTGCCTTCGGGAACATTGTCAAATCTACCATCATCGACTCCATAACCATATAATGTTACATTGAACTCCTTTTTTGGAATCCAAGAGACGCTCGGAAGGGGAGCATTTAATACTGCATCTGGAGCCTTTCGATTTTGTGTTTCCGTGCGTGGTGGCTGCTCATTCCTCAATGTTCCATCATCGTCGGAAGAGTTACCAGAATTAGAATCAGTTGGATTTGCTTGTTGCATTTGTGATATTTGAGTCTCAATGGCAGAGGCAGCAGCATTCAACCTCCTGGCAACAGCAGACCCAATTTGTGTAGATACCATACAGTTCGAGGATTTCTTTCTAATATTAGGTCCCAATTGGACGATCATTAATGTCATATTGTCACAGCCAATTCCCTCACTCTCAACAGGATTAGGAGCTAGGCACTCATCACAAATTTCCTCACAAATCTTTGAAAGTTGTATTGCAGTTAGAGCAGGTATCGGTAATGAACCATCTAACTTGGAGCTAATAAAAAGCTGCTCTTTTGATTCAATGGAACCAAATTCACGATCCTTATGGCCGTCCACATTTGTTTCTTCACTTTTTGAGGCATACTCAGACTCTAAGGCTTCAATCTGTTTTAAAATTTTACGACGAACAATATCAACACATAACTGATTATCTACCACATCCCAAATACCATCACATGCCAAAACAATGAACTCATCCTCACTGGTAAGGGGGATGATTCTAACATCTGGGAATGCAGTAATTTTTTGTTCTTCAGGACTTAAAGATGTGTCACTTTTATATTGAAGATCTCCAAGTGTGCGAGACATGTTCAAATTACCATCTACACGACCGTTTTCAACTGTTCCATGAGCCTTTAAAATTCTCTCATTTTCCAATGGTAATTCAGGCTTGTGATCATGGGAAAGTGCGATTGCCTGGCCTGATCTACTTAAGACTGCCCTTGAATCGCCTGCATTCGCAACAATTAAATAAGGGGAGCCATCATTTTCATCTGGAAGAATTACTGCGACAACTGCAGTAGTTCCACAATGCTCGGGACCGCATGTACCAGAATCAGAAATATCTTCCAAATAACCATCATCATCTGCAAGTCCATCATCATCAATAAATCCTGTATTTGATTCCTCAAATGTGCCATCATCTCGTTTTATGTCACTTTCAAATGGTTTAATCCCGTCAGAATAATTCCCGTTCTCATCAGAGCCAGCCGAGGAAATCCCCTCAGTTGGATGGCAATTGTGACTTGAATCTTCAACTCTATCAGAAGATTCCTTACTTTCATCCACTTCTTCCACCTTACCTTCTTCTACCTTTTCATTCTCAGATGAACCAGATTCTTCATCACCGTTAAAGGAAACAATCTGAAGGCAACGGTTTCCATTCTGCTCTACCATCCTCAATACTCTTCTTTGACCATCAATTCCACCCAAAAGTTCTTGGAGGAATGTTTTTGGGGGGTTGGTATCACTTGAGGATTTCTTCTTTTCATATATCGCTTTCTGTTCTGGTCTAGATGACGGTGAAGCCATTTGCTCATCTAGTTTAATATATGTTCTTTGGAGGGCTTCGGAAATAGCAACTACTTTATTTGGCAATTTGCTTTTTTCTGGGCCGAGATTAATTTCATTCGAGTTCATTTCTCTCAATACTGCGTCAAGCTCTTGCTGAAAAATAGAATCAATATGCCTTGAGACCCATTCTGATATTACAGACCCACCATGGCCATCAAAGACACCAAATAGAGATAGCTCTGGATGCCTATCTAATCTTGGTAATGCTAGGTGAGCATCCTCCATCGAAACCCTCCATCCTTGCATTCCACTAACGCCAAATCTGACACCATACTTATCAAAATCTCCACCTTGGTCAGAATGTTTATTTGTAGAGGGTTTCGTTAAAAACATACCCATCTTTATTAGCTTTCGTTTTAGTACCGAACACTGTTCTTATTAGCTTAAAGCAAAGACTATTTTTTTCCAAAAATTGTCTGCCAAGTGTATTCTTTTGGCCTTCTAGTTACATATAACTTACAGTTTGTGCACAATCTTTTGATTACCTTCGACTACAGCAACCTTACACCTTTTCCCCTCAAATAAATAACCTATCTAAGCAGAGTGGGCGCCACAAGCGGTAAAAAAAGTGGGCATTTAATTTTTTTTTACTTAAGGAGTTGTGCATGCAGGGAGTTTGCACTAAAGAAAACTCGGAATTTGAAGATTGAATCATCGAAAAAATTAAATAAACTTTTTCAAAAATTTGGAAATTGTTTAGAAAAAATATTCGTTGGTTTTCGGAAATTTTCCGAAAATTTAGGTAGCAATTTAACATTATAGGCTATGATTTTTAAGTAATATGAGGTCAAAAAAGTACTAATATTTATTGCTTACTAAAATTCTCTAATAGCCAGAAACTATGAATTAAGTATCCAACTGCTAAGTGGTAATATTCCCTGATCAATAAGTTCTTTCTTTTTTCGTAAATAGTGAATAAATCGAGTACTTGCATATTCGGTAAAGTCAAATTCAACAGAGTTTGGCTGGTACCCAGGAGTTCTCGCAATAGACCATAATCCCCATGTAATATGCGAGATTAGGGTAAATATTTCAACAGTTTTAGTCATAATATGAACAATATTATGACTCGGTAGGATTTGTTTTTGTAGTGTCTGAGACAAGTATACAGAAACAAATAGTTTTCGAAGTTCCTCGCATGGGTAATCTTCATAATTAAACTTGAAATACGGGGCCTTGTCGCTGCAATAATCGTATATATATTCACAGAAATAATTTGCAATATCAGCTCCTGCGAAGTTAATTGCTGAATACTCATAATCAATCATTCTGATATTATTTTGTGTTTGCAAAAGGTTGTTTTCTTGGAGATCGTTATGAGCAAATACCAAGGAAAACGCAGGGGAATAAGATTCGAGTTCTAAAGCTCTTTCCATACTGAATCTTTCCCCACCCATAATTAATTCTTCCAATTGGTCGATCTCTTCCAATATTTTGGAATACAATTCCTTATCAATCTGAAAGTTGTTCCCGGACATTTGGATTTTTGCTTCTTCTCTCCAAAGATATATTCTTTTGAACAGAATCGGCTCCTTGTCAAACCTTGAAGGGAAGTCTGCTCTCTTTGAATTGATAATATGCAAAGATCCCATGTTCTTTGCCACCTCAACGCATATATGAGTTAGCTGTAATTGGCTTGTGGTCAAAGGTTCACCATCAATGAACTCTTCTATTCGCCCTTCTGGGAAATCGGCGATAATGTTTGGAGCGATATTAATATCACTCAGGTACCTGAAGACATCTAGCTCCACTTTGGAATCATAGAATTTTCCTACATGCTTACCATAAATTCTAAACAGAATTCTTGGATGTTTTAAAGAAAAACTTAGACATTCATTTACAATACTTACAACAAAAAGCTGGTTTGTGAGCCCTGAAAAGATCTGTTTAACTTCGATACATGTCTCATTAATATCTTTCCAACCTGGAATATTTTTACGGCAGATACCTATTATTATTTCAGTATCCGTAATTGTTGAAAAGGATCTAATTGATTCTGATAGTTTGTCTCCTCGTTGGATTTTCTTGTTCGGGAACGGCATTATTTTTTATGGTTCAATTAGTATTCTTAAATCTTTTCTCTAGTTTTCAATAAAAAATAAGCAGAATCTGAATAAAAGCAAAAAATTAAATAGTTATTGAGTTTTAATAGTAACAGTAATAATAGAAATAATAATATTAGTAGTATTAGAAATAGTCCTGGAAGATGGTTAATAATTTCACTCAGTTGATATTGTTTATAAACTTTGGCTAATAACTCAAAACTATTAAACCCTAATAAAGTCAAAAGTCAATTTGGAAGAAATATTCCGTTCATAATCCTTAAAAATGAGTTATTTCTTTTATTGATAATATTTCATAAAATATTTTTAATATTGTGTAATACGAGGGTAATGTATTAATTTAAGCGGAAAAAATTACAGGAAATAATAATATAAATAAAAAATCTTTAGAATTAATTAATTTATATTCTTTAATATGTAGAAATATTTGTTAAAAATAATATTAATTTTTTTGTGTTGAATTTCATGAAGTCAAAAAATTTTCTTTAATATCATGTAATACCATTATTATTAAAAAAAAAATATGTCAAATCTTTCAAAAAGAAAGCTATATATTACTTCAGGTGACTACGAAGACTTTGTTTCAGAGAAAAAAATTAAAAAGAATATTGACTACAACAAAATATATATTGAATTAAATGAGGCGGAGGATGAGTTGTTCAAACTTCTCATTGACTATACGAAATTTAACAATTTAAAGACAACGGTCAGAGTTGCAGGGGGATGGGTCAGAGACAAGATCTTAAGATTTATTAACCTAAATAATATAAAAAACAATACTAATAAGGATGATTACGATGATCAGCAAATTGCAATATTTAAGAAGGATGTAGATATAGCATTGGACGATATCTCTGGTAAGGAGTTTGCTTTGGGGTTCAATATGTGGTTACAAACTTACCATAACTACCCTAAACATAGTGTGGGGATAATTAATAGAGATCCAGAAAAAAGCAAGCACCTAGAAACTGCAACACTGTCTTGGAATGATATTAGTATTGATTTTGTTGGCTTGAGATCGGAGATATACACTTTGGAAAGCAGAATCCCAATAGTTAGTCTCGGAACTGCTGAGGAGGACGCTTTTCGGAGAGATTTTACAATAAACAGCATTTTCTATAATTTGAATGAACGAAAGATCGAGGACTTGACATGCAAAGGAATCGAAGATTTATATAATAAAGTAATCAGAACCCCATTAGACCCAATGAAGACTTTCCTAGATGATCCTCTTAGAGCATTAAGGGCTTTCAGATTCACTTCTAGGCTACACTTTAAGTTAGAAAAGGAATTGTTAAATGCATGCAGGGATAAATCTCTTCACGATGCATTGCAAACCAAGATAAGTAGAGAAAGAGTAGGATCAGAGGTTCACGAAATGATTTCAAACAAACATACCGGGAACCCTGCAATCGGCCTTCGGTTAATAGTTAACACTAATTTGGTTGATTCCGTGTTCAAAATTCCTGAAAATGAGTTAATATATAGCTTCATAAATGATTCGAAGTATAATAGTTTTTCAGATTTTGGAGATTGGAGTTTCCAAGGCCCGTACTTGGTCGAATTAACTCACAGAATAATTGAGGCATTGAACTCGGATAATTTAAGTAATTGCTTTAATAATATGTTTGATTCTAAGAAATTAGAGGTCATTAGAAAGCTATTAAATATTGAGCATGAATCGAATTGGGGAGTCTCTACATATTTCTCTTTCCTGCTTCCTCTTTTCCACCATTATTATAGGGATGAAAAGAGTAAAGAAGTACCATTGGCCAAATACATACTATCAAGCTCATTGAAACTCTCAAACAAAATTACTAACTCAGTAATGAAACTATTTGATTCTTTATTAAGAATTGTTCACAGAGTCGTTAGAATAGATTCTTTAAATGAATTGGCCAACTTTACCTTAGTAGAAAACCAGAATAGAAACAAACTTAAAGTTGACATTTATTCTAAAGAATTCTTAAACTCTATTGGAGATTCACTTTTACCAGAAATTTGGAGCTTTTACTCCAAATACTTTAAGAGCTACTTAGAGGCACAGAGCATAACTAATAAACATACAAATAACAAACATGCCCAAGATCAAAAAAGATACGAGTTCTTGCAAAGAAGGGTTGAACTTGGAATTTTCGTGTCTTACACTGGGAACCTCTGGCTCGAAATGTTAATTGTTTTGTTTTCCCTGGATATAATTCACATTAGAAGACTAAAGACTCATAATTTAGGATGTTGGTCAGACGCGGAGCTCCTGGATTTACTTAACTCTCACCCCTATATGGATCTGATCAGACAAATTCTTGAAATCAAAATGGCAAATTTTTACAATTTTAAAAACCCGATAGACGGACATTTGATTTATAAACATTTTCCGCAACTCCAAAAAGGACCAAAATATAAATTCATTATAAATCTTAGCTTTTTGTGGTTTATGGCCTTTTCACAAGATCCAGAAAACCACACTCCCACAGAAGTTTCAGAATGCATGGAATTTATCCATGAAAATTTCAAAGAAACATTAGAGTTGAATTCTCTTTAATTAGCTTAAGCATTTAAATTTTGTTGCGAGTTCAGGAGATATTTTTGAAACCTCTCTAAAAATTTCATTTGCTTTCTCCAATTCCCCTCTATATATGAAATCCTTCCCCTTTAGCCAAAGAACATATGCTTTTTGGTCGGCCTCACTAGTTAGTATGGGGTTTACTCTCCTAAAAAGTATGTCTGTTCTTAATATATATTTCGTGTATCCAGAACACAAGGGTTCACCCTCGTGCATGTCTGCGATAAAAAATATCACAGCTCTGCCAGCCTTTGGCTGTACTTTGGTAATCACATTACTTGGGTTTGTTCTTTCTCGACCAGACTCATCAATAAATCGTTTCTGTGTCTTTTGGGATTCGTCCACAAATGAGGTTGCACCACCTGCTTCCTCTGGGACCGTGTTCAAATATATTAGAAGTGTCCAAAGAGTACGAGTGTTTGTGTCTATGCAGACTGAGCAGTCCGTGTGGGGCCCAAAATGGCCTCCGTCCTGGTATCTTCCAAAAAACATCTTTTCGTAAATCCCTATTGATTCCCATTTTCCAACATTATCTTCCTCACTATAACTATCATTTTCAGTTATCTCAAATTCATGAAAATTAAAAACGTTTTTAATTCTTCCCCAAATGAATTTGGATAGGGAATACATATTTCCCTCAATAGTATCCACATTTCTGTAACTCTTCTTAGCAGAATTTCCTGGATTCCAGAAAGAAAACTCCCCACTTTTTTCAAGAGACGATATCATTGCATTGCATTCATCTTCTGAGAATACTCCGTCCCAAATTTCCGCATAAGGAAACCCTGGTACCTTTTGTCGGGTTATTTTTTTCGTGTCAATACTTGGATCTTTCTCATACACGAAGTCAGCTAATACCTTTTTTTCGTCCACGGTATTCTTTTCCTTGACAATTGATAAATATTTCGAATAATTTCCCATATTATTTGACTTCAAGTTTTTTATTAGGGCTTTATTAATTAATTAAACTTTTAAAAAGTTTGAAAAACGTCTATTCATGTTATTCTGTTCTTTTTCGTGTGTAATTTAGTACAGTAATTAGACGGCGGCGCAATTTCTTATTTAGGATGGAAAAATAACAACGAGATTCAGTTTTGTGCTTCCTAAATTATTTTTGGGAATATTACTGCGTAATTCATTAACTTTTGTCATTAATAAGCCGGAATTTCAGTTCGGAATCTACTCGCCTAAACGAATTTTACTTTTAGATTGGCCAGGTTACAACTTTTTCAAAGTCTCTACTTAAAATTCAAGGAAGCTCGATTTATTGTCAAATATCACTGACTTCCGGTGCCTTGGCACTGAGAAGACATATTTTAGGTAAAAATTCACAACACTGATTCAAACGGTGCTTTAGGGCACGTAAGTGTATCAAACTCGATTTCCAATAGGTACTTTTGCCATGCCTGCCAAAATAATGTAAGAATTAATGAGAGTCAGAGTAACGATACAGATCTTACGTGCCCACAATGTGGGAGTAACGGCTTTGTTGAATTATTAGTTTCGGATACTCAACAAGGCCAGGGATTTTCTCTTTTTACTATTACAGACCCTAGTAATTTCCAAGATTCTTCAGCAGTTCTTCCTAGATCTTCCTGGGTAAACATCTCATCTTTCCCTCAATCAAGTACTGAATTAGGGGCGGATAATCTGCTCTCCAGGTTAATTTCAGAAGTTTCTAATTCTTTGCGGAACTCTCATAACACCCCAACTTCATTTGACTCTGTGCTGCCGAGTGACAGTACAAGAATTCACCAAGAACAACATAATTCTCATCACGCCCAAGCAATATCATTTTCCGGTGAAGTACCGACAGTGAATCCTGGTACAACTACATTTATGGTTGGGCTTAACGGAGAATTTAGAGAATTCCCTCTTGGAGATGTTCTTGCAGGAAGCACACTTTCGAACTTAGTTGAGAGCATGGAGAATGCTCTTGCAGTAGCCCTTAGTGCTGAAGATCCTAATAATCGTTTTGGAAGCCCACCAGCTTCAGTCCAAGTCGTCGAGCAGCTTCCTAGAGAAACCGTTTCAGAAGAAAACATTACCAGAATCAAGATGTGTGGCCCTTGTGTTATATGCCAGGACGAATATAACATTGGTGATGAAGTAATAGGTCTTTCAAAAGATGAGGAGGTTTGCCATCACATATTTCATGCGAATTGCCTTCTTCCTTGGTTAAACCAACATAATTCTTGCCCAGTTTGCAGGTTTGAGCTCCCAACGGATGATGTATCCTACGAAAATAGGAGAAGATCTTCAACTCAAAATGTTTCTTCAACTCTGGAATCTACAGATCAAGCAGGTACCCAATTAGGAACTCAGAATGAAGTTCAACATGATTCAAACTCTGTGACCGCTCCGAATAATAATATACAATCTACAAATTCAGAATCTCAAGAACCTCATATAGAAACTGAATTAGTTAATACTCAAATAAATTCTCAAGAACAGGAACATAGTCAAAATAGGGAGACATCTAACAACAATTTGAGTAGTGCCAGCTTTAGAACAATAAACTTCTCAACTCCAATAGGAGAAGTTACTACTTTTACATCTCAACTACCTGTGATTACAAGCACAATATCTACAACGGAAACTTTCCATACAACAACCCATCAAGATCCGATTTCTTCAGACGATACAATAAATGATTTTCATAATTCAGCGCACAGGAGAATTCACCAACTTCACCATTCTGGAATAGATTTGACATCTTACGACTTAGATCCTGAATCAATTTCAGATTTCACTCCAATTGATACGATTCGAAATTCGAACTCTTGTAGGATGATCTAGTTAAAACAATCCAGCTACAATATTTAATATTGAATTATATATAATTATTTATTTGTCTTAATTATGTCTGTATTTTTACCTTGAGCTAATTATAATATTGATTCTAAAATTTATTTTAGTATTTTTTGATCTTCAGATTGATCGGACAATAACGTAATTATTGGTTTCTTATATTATAAAACTGTCAATTATTAGCTTGAAAAGTAGCAATTAATCAGAAATAAGAGTAATTTTACAATTATTCGTGGAAAATTTTAGGGAAATTATATTGTTATTAAACTAAATAGTAAGGAATAACCTAGCTAACAAACTAACAAAGTAATAATTAATTTTCGAAATAATATCTCTCAAGCAAATCATCAAATTTTTTTTATTATGATTGCTCATAATTACCTTCAAGTTCAAACATGTTTATCTGATTAGGCCCAGCAGGATTTTCACGCATGTGAAAAGAAACAGCTCTAGTAGTTCTTCCAGTTCTTCTTGGGCCAACTACTCCTCTGGCCATTAATTCAAGGTTCTCCATAAACAAGTTATCAATGGATTCGGGAATGTATTCCCACCTATATAACCATGCACCTTCACTTCTTCCAAATCTCCTCTGGACTCTTTTCCATTTTCGAGGTTTTCCGGGAACTAATACTAAACTCGAAAACTTTAGAAATTGGTTTGGCTGAAAACGGCGTTTTATTCCTCTTTCCTCATTCTTGACTTCTATTTCAGAAAATGACTCCGATTTGGGGTGAATAGTTTCAAAACCATTTTCGGTTCCTCCATAATTTTTCAATTCATTCCCTGCTGGTACCTTAACATTTTCCTCCCTTTTTGTATCGATTTGATCTTCGAAATTCATCTAATGATGAGTGTATAAGAAAATTTCAATTTGAAGTTTTGGTTCAGAACTTAATGAAAATGATAAAAATTATGATGAATAAACTGTAGAATTCTTTTTCTCTCTTAATTAAGATCTCGTTTCATACTAATGAAATACTTCCTGGGTTTTAATAATTTAATAATATATTAATTAAAATTTTGTGAACTTCATAAATTTACTTATAGTAAGAGTAATTAACAATTGTTATTAAGATATATTGGATTCCAAGATGGTAACCATATAACAAAGTTATGTTCCTTTGAAAAAGGATAACAATTCAGCAGTTCAATGTTTGAATCAAAGTGAAGGTTATAACTAATTTTTTTAATGTGAAGCAATTTAGCACTTAAAGTACTAGCACTCAAAAAGGCGCCACAAATATTTAAAAAAGATTAAAACTAAAAATAATTTAAAAATCAAAATTAGAAATTCGTGTTATTCAGTATAGACTCATTTAGTGGGTCTTGTAAAGAGTTGTAACACCTTCCCCAGTCAAATTTTATAGGATTTATAGGTAGTATTCTCCTCAATTTTTTTATATACTTGTTTTTGAATAGTGAAACCGAATCATTAATCTTCGACTGGATATATCTTTCTTTTTCAGAGATCATTGTTGAAGATAGCTTTGCAAAAAGTGATGGGTCCTACAAAAGAATTTGTTTATTTAAATTTTAACATTCAATTTATCTTTCTACGCACCTTTATAAGTTCTTTTGAGGAATGCTTATTAGAGACGATATTTACGATTATGTTATCATTCTTATAAACAAAGTGAGAATTTCCACACTCTGAGTTATAGGAATGCATATATATACTTCCAATCCATTTTAAAGTTTCCTGTGAATCATTTTCAGGAAATTCAAATTTCCATTCACTGTGCCAAGATCCAGTTCTAATGTGGATAAATCAAAAAGACCAAAATGAAAATTTAAACTTACTTGTTAGAGCAATATTTTAAATTAGCTGATGCTCTCACTATTATTAGTGTTTCTTTTTTACCTTGACTTATATTTGGGATAAGTTCAGAATCGTAAACAACGGTTCTTCTTAAAGGGACTTTAAAATCTTTAAAATCGAACTTTTCAGAGTAGTTTCCTTGTTCATCTCCTAAATTGCTTTCAACCTCTTTGACAAAATTCAATAATTGGGTATCAAGAAATACGTTTTCAAGTTCTTTACGAAAATAACCAAGTTTGGATTTTGAAGAAATTTCTATTTTTTCAATATCAATAACTCCTAGCATGCTCGGTTGAATAACTATCTTAATAGAAAGTAATGGATCTAAATACTTGTATATTTTATTCTCTGTTTGATTTTCTTCATAAACTCTTGAATACTTGCTAATTACGCCCCAAAAAGTGGCATCTAAATTTATATCCAAATTTCTTATTGGGACTAAAAGTGAGAATTTTTCTAGATGATCCTTTGAAATTCGTTCAATTGCAGCTTGCCCTCTTTCTGAATCTTCAAAATAATATCTGAATTTATCCAAAATCCCAATTGCAACTCCCGGTGCAGAATTCTCACAAATGTTTCTATGTGAAAGTAATGTTTCTTTATTTTACGTATGAGTGGGGGAGCCTTTTCATTAAAAATATTATAAGGCAAGCCCACAACTCAACTACTAAAACTTACTCTAATGTAAATTCTAATGAATCGTCCATTTAAAGTGTTATTTCTATCAATTTGGCCAAAATATAAATAAGAATGAAAGAAACATATTGCGCGCCAACTGTGCATGTAAATAAGGCTTTAAATGAGAAAAGTAAATAAATTAGTAAAAACAATAATATTATATGTAAAATTCAATTAATATCTTACAAAAATAAATCATTAATTTTAGTTTTTATTTAGTATTTAAAGAAGAAGACTGTTCGAATCAAAAAATCTTAGTTATGGGCGTCACCACATAAATAAGATCATTTTTTGAAATAGTATGCTTTGGATGAGGTGATAATAATAAAACTCTATTGTTTATGTTAAATTTGGGAGAAGCTCTATTTAAATTAGGCCTATACGAATTAGTGAGTTTTGAGTAATTTGCTTGCATATGATTGTTTTCATCTAATTTAATTTGATTTATTACAGTTTCTGGCACATCCGTATTATTTCCAATTATTCTAACAATTCCAACTGTAATAATCCCACTTATTCTTAGCATTTCTTTGAAAAGCGTTGAAAAATTGCTCCCATGAAATTGTTGTGGAACAGAAATAAGCTCTAGAGAGCCCCATTCTGTATAATCTGGAAATGTGTCGTTTTCAGGCATTATTTTACTAACTGCAGTATAGAATCTTTTGATCCCAGAGCTCGGATAATCAAAATTTCTAGCCTGATCATCATAAGTTAGTGGGCTATTAAAAAAGTTGTATTTTTCGTTATATCCTAACAAAGGCTTCATCGAATCAGAAGTAGCTAATAAAGGGTTAATTCTAACGTTTCTGTAAACCATTGGAATTATCATATCAGTAGTGAGGACTCTCCCAGAAATAACTGTAGGGCATGTAGAGAAGTCCCACTCATTTAAAGAAATCCACGATGTGTTATCCAATAATGGGAGTGATTCTTCAAATCTTATGTCTGCAATTATAGCAGGGAAGAAACAGGGTGGTAGATGGCCTCCCTCAAAAAGCCACTTTTTAGTTATCTGTGCAAGGTTAGCTGTAACTTTCCACTGCCACATATTCCACTTGGCGTCAAATAATTTCAAATCCCTGTATTTTGACTCAAATCCATCCCTTCCTGGTTTTGATAATTCCTTTTTTTGGTATTTAAAGATTTTGCAAGCTTTGTTACTATATTTAGAGTTTTTACTCTTTAATAGAACAAATTCGGCTTGAATCTTCATATTGATTAGAGAATGAATCCTCCAACAAGTTGTTACTACTTTTGAGTCGCTATTTATAGAGTTTGATGAACAAACTACTATAGAATGTGCGTAAAAAAGCCCTGATCTAATCAAATCTTCATCATTTGAAGAGCTTCCCCTAATATAAACTCCAATACATCCAGGCGGAACGATGGATTTTTGTAAATATTTTTCATTGTGATCATTAGAAAGAAAAACAATTATTGTTGAAAGAATGAGTGATTGAGCTGAAGTTGGGACACTAGTTTTGAAGCTCCTGTTGCTATATCTATATGACTCCCAACCAACAGGAATCGATCTATTAAGAACAATCCCGTTTAGAAATTCTTCAAGGCATTCTGGCCATTCACAAACCAATAAAATAAAAGTTGTTCCATGAATATAACCTTGTATTTTTGAAGGGCAAAGTATGTCAATCTTTTCAATTTTGGATATTTTTGAATATTTTACTTCTCTGTGAATTGGGCTTGGTGGTTGTCCTCTTAATTGGTTTGAATTTACACCAAAAGTATCCTTTTTCCTTATTCTTGGAGTAATAGGAGTTTCTACTCTCCAAGAAGGAATAATTAGCTTGTTGTTAATCAGTTTTGTTTTACCCTGCAAACAAAGCCTTATATAATTCAATGTTTGTTTTGCACGTGGGATAATTGGTTCTTTGTATTTTTCTGTTCTTTTATCAAGGTCATCTTTTTCATGAATTAGTGAAAATACTTTTCTCCTAGAGTTAGAAATTATAAGGAGACTAATTTCTGTACTTTCTTCTATTGTCATGTCTCCATATTTCCACCCTCTTCCTGAAATAAAGTCACTTGGATTTAGAATCCTTTTTTTTTTGCATATACCAAAAACCCTTGATTCCTCTTTCTTATCATATTTTGGGCAGGTTGGACTTTCAAAATCATATTTTCCACCAATCTTTTCATCAATTTTTGGTTGTTTCAGTTTATTTGGGAATAATTTTAATTTCTTATTATTGGACCTTTCAGAATCAATATTCTCATTCTCAGTAGAGTCTTTATTCAGAGACGACTCAGGTGAATCTTCTTTTTCGGGATTGTTTTTTTCAGAATTGAAATGATTAGTGTTTGGATGATAATCATCATCTTCAGAAGTAATAATAAAATTGTAATGCTCATCATCCTCATTGCAATTCCCAATAATAGATTCATCAATCTCACTATTTAATTCTCCATTTGCAGAATCATCCTCAAAATTACTTATATCAGTTTTATTAATTTTTGTTTCCTCGCGAACTTCCACTGCTATTCCGATGCAAATCATTGAATAATTTTCGAAAATATATGATGCAATTTGGAGAAATTGCATTCCTTCTAAGTGACTTGGAAGAGGAATTTCCATTAACTCGCAGTGAGTACCTCTGATATAATCCCTAGTAAGAATTCCTGATTGAGAAGCCGTATCAAAGGAATTATATAAGAGTGTCTCATCTATAGTTGCCATTTTATTTAATGCACCCTTTTCAAGTTCTGAAAGTTCAATACCAAATACGCTAATTTTATCAAATTCCAGTTGATTAGTATCTTCACTGATCGCTTTAGACTGTTTCCTAGGGTTTTCAGGTACTGAAATTGGATATTCTTGGTTTAATCTGCATCCCCCACAATCGCTAATTATTCCGTTAATCGAATTATATAGTGATTCTCCTAATTCTAAGTCTTCTATTTTAATTGTATTAAAAAGATTGGTTAATAGAGTGGAAAAACCTGGGCAAAGAGCAGTTTTTGCAAGTAGCCTGGACCTAATCTCAGCAATGTAAACTGGAGTATACAAACTTCTTTGCTCATCAATTGCAGATTTTGGGTTTATGCTGAATGAATTTTGCTTGTTGTTAAATTCTATGGATAACCTATCTCTCACCATGTTTGTAATTCTTTTCATATTACTTTGATGGTCGGATCCGGAAACCTTAGACAAATAAAAAAGATAGCTACTAATTTCTTCGGGATTCTTTGGAGCTTGTAGATTTGGGTTGTTTGTTATTACGTTCCTCCTTGCTGTGTTGATATCTTGGATTCCGTGAAGATCATAAAAATGGTCGTCTCTAAGTACATTATCAAGCTTAAAATCTGAGTTCTCTCCGTTGAAAATAATTACAGAGTTTATATAAAGAGGGTCTGGATAACCATCCACTTTATTTTCAGAGTTCCTTCTGTTTTTCTTTCCTAATATTGAGCTAGACGAGTTGTAAAGTAGCCCAGTTTCTTTACTTCTATATAAAAGTTCGTATTCTTTCAAATCCAAAAACTTCCTAACTGCGTACCATATCATCATTGTGTTTCTTTCAAGATCTAAAACTTGATCAGCACTGAATAATTTTGTATCAACACCCTGGCCTATATTACTATTAGGAAACCTAGTGGATTTAGTCCCTTGGGAATTGTTGTCTTCGTGAGCTATATTTTCTGATAAACATACCTTTGCATTAATTGCATCACTCCAAAAATATATTGCATATATAAAACCCTTAATACTATCAATGTCTTCCTTTAAGCTCTCTATACTTTTGATTTTCTTGACAAAAAGCTGTGTATGAAGTGCTTGTTGTGATTTTTTTACAAGAACTGAATAATCACGTGGATCTGAGTTTGTTAAGAGCATTACAATTGGTTGATATCTGATTATTTTTCCAGATTTACCATTAAATTGTTTTATATAATCAATATTTACATTTAGTTGATTAAGTTCCATTAGCAAATAAGAGAGATGTTTGACAGATGGAGATCCAATTACTAATACTAGTGTAGTATGAATGTGATCCCTTTCAAAAATGCTTTCATCATATACACCAATATTACAAATTCCCATAGTTTCTGGAGGAGTCTGAGCTAACTGCACAAGCTTGCTGATTTGATTCGGGACATATATAATAGTAAAAATAATTAATATAATGCAAATTAATCTTGAAACAAAATTTGATGGTGTATAATCCCCATATCCCACTGTTGAAATTGTAATAATTGTATAGTAGAAATAGTCAAATAATGTTGTGAATTTTGGTTTAGGAGATTCAATGATCATCATTGCACCTGAAAAACCTAATACTACACAGGCAATTGTCCAAATAATCACGATACAAATTCTCATAACTTCCGAGGACCAAGATAATAAAATTGAAAGTATTGGGACAGGATTTAATATCCTGAAATACCTTAAAAATCCCATCATGAAAAATGTTGTAACAGATCCAGATCCAATTGAATATTTCATTAGAAGTAATATTGGAGATGTAGTCAGCATTTCCAGTAATGGAATAAATGTTGTTGAAGTTATTAGGTATTTTAAAGTTATAATGCCGTTTATTCCACGGCTTAAAACAGAAATTTCTTCCAGAATTTTGTACAGAAGAGAGATATCTGCGATCCATAGGAACGCTTCCTCAAATAGAAGTAGTGTTTCAACTCCTTTTCTTACTTTCCATGGGTCTTCAAAAGATTCTCTGGTTAAATATGAGGAATCTAAACCCCAAAGAAGAGCCCAAATTATATTGATTAGAAAGAGTGAAACCTGCACGAAGTCTTTGGAGAAGAAAGCTGTCAGTCCTCTCAAAAAATATCTGTCATACATGTGTATCACTCTACTTCTAATAGTATTCAACTTTTTTGAGAAAATGCTACCCTCTTCATCGAAATTCAGTCTACTTTCTCCAACAGAGATATAGTCTCCAATGAACGAAAAATACATACTCCCATGTCCAGAAAATTCTGAAGACTTTATCTTTTTGTTTTTACAAGATTTGGGTACAAATCCGCCCACATATAAATTATCTTCTGTAGATTCCTCATGTAAATTTGCATCTGAAGATATAAATGAGGTTGCGTTAGCCAATATATTCACGCTAGGTTCCGCATAAATTAATCCTCCGTTATGCTTGTTTTTCTTCGTGAATCCCGAACAATTACTCTTGCCACTAAGGGTTTCTTTACTAACTCCTATTTCGCGTAATTCAAAAAAATTCTCAGTACTTGAAATCGTTTCATCTAAAAAAAATCTGTTGCTATCAAACTTCCTTGAATTTTCTTTTCTCTCTGGTAGTTCTCGTCTATCTTCAGCATCATCTATAGTTATTCTTTGCACTTCAAAGTCTTGAAAATTTTTAAATTTAAAAGCTTTTTTTCTTGCTAATTTTCTTCTAAAAACATGTATCTGGCTCCTTATACGACGGAAAGTACTAACAGGGAAGAACAAAATTCTGCATATTGTTACGAATAAAATTGCACAGATGAATATACCCACCCCAATGAACAAAGTCACAATACACTCAATGCTATTGAACAATAGCCAATGGCAGACCAACAACAAAAGCCCATAAGATACCAACAAAAATGTCAATATCCAAGAAAGTGGTGAAACCATAATTATTTAATTCATTCACTTTTCCAATTTATTCTTTTTAATTCATTCTCTGTACAATATTGAATCACAAAATACAAAAATTTTCATGATTTATTTAGGCGCCAATGCATACTGCCAGGCTGCCACACAAAGTCTCTTGAGACCTAGAGACTGCCAAATATATTTGCAGATCATGAGTGGATTTGGCGTCTATGGCAAAGAATATACATTCTTAACTACTAAAATTTAAACATAAAATCCACTGCTTTAATTTGTGGATCTAGAATTTCTGTCATAATTCATTCTACTCCTTTTATCTAGTGCGATATCCACTACTTATTTTTCCTAGACGTAGCAAATCCGGAATAAAAGCTTATATATATAGGAAACAGTACGGTAGAATCGGAGAAGAATGTTTTCTAATTACTAGGTTGGAACAGCAGGTAAATAATCGACATTAAATAAAACTATTCAAAATTAAAAAATTTGAAACGTAGATTAAAGTTTAGGTATTATTATCATAAGGAGAAAATACTAATAAACGGTTTTGCCCGATTAAATAATTCATGGAGCATTTCTCCATTCGTCAGCCGCAGCTCCTCCCCAGCTTCCTGAGACACCACCCCATTCATTTGCAGCAGCAGCACTGTCAACAGCTGCACCTTCAACGTCAACTCCCATACCATCATTAAGCTCCATATCGGCTCCAATTGCAGAGTTCTCATACTCCTCTGGGTCTCTCCAGAAGAAAACGTCAACCATGACGTCCCATTTGTCAGTCTTACCTTTGAGGAAATTAACCTCACGAGCCAACAAATAGTACATAAGAGCAATGGATTCTTTACCCTTGTTGTTGCATGGAATGGCAACATCTACATATTGTAATGGAGAGTCAGTATCACAGAGAGCGATAACTGGGATGTTGGCATAAGAACTCTCAATAACAGCCTGTGAATCTACACGTGGATCAGTAACGATCAAAAGGCGTGGTTCCATGAATTTCTGAGTGATCTGGTTGGTGAGTGTACCTGGAGTAAAACGGCCAACCATTGCGTGAGCTCCTGTATGCTGTGCAAATTTGAGTGCAGGCCTTGAACCATATGGTCTTTGAGAAACCACAACTACATCCGCCAAATTATCAATAGTTGCTATAATTCTAGCTGCTATTTGGATCTTTTCCCAAGTCTTGGCCAAGTTAATCAAGAAAATACCTTCATGAGTTCTCTTATAGACATATGAGAGCATTTTATCCTCGACATTTTTAGTACCAATATGAGTTTTACATACGATCATCTTCGCGATGTCGTCTAATTTACGTGTTTCTGCTGGTGGCATATTGTTGTATAATCACTTCTTTCTTCTACTTTTTACTCAAGTAAAATTAATTACCAAGACCAAATGGCTAGGTTTCTTCTACGTGATAATTCCGACTGGTTTTTGCCTCCTTTAAATTGTTTGACAAAAAAAAAATAACTTTACTATACCGCAAGACAAGTTTATCTGTCTCCGTCTCTAAAATATATTACTGACGTCTCTAATTGTGGCGCCGCCTCAATAGTCTTCCCGGATTGAAAAGCCATGTTAAAAAGTTCTATGCATTTTAATTTAAAGTAATTTTCTCGTTAAATTACCCATGAATTTTAACGAGCATTTGGATCACTCCTTTCAGCTTTTTTACAATATTCGAGTTGGGCTTTCCAGTTTTTGTTGAATTACTGTTAGATTTAACAACACACTTCTTATCTCAAAAGAAACTAATAAACAATTTCTTTGCTGCCATTTGATCACATGAATTATACCTATATGTGTCGTTTGAAAATGTACTACGGGCTTATGTAATTGAATACTCTCGTATATCTGTACTTTTATTTTTAAAGCATTACTTGTGAGATTACTCATGCGTCTGCGAAATCGCGGAAATACCAATTCGAAGCTAATTTCTGGGTTTTTTCGTTATCAAAGTAAACAAAATAACCGAGTTCACCTAGTGTTCGTTGAATACCGTTTCTGCCGGAGGCTTAAATATCCTCTGAACTACGGCTCAGTAAGGTTGACATTGTGGTTAGTTGTTTGTCTAGCTATTAGGGTTTTTTTTTGTGTGAGGCACTATATATTGTCATTAGTTCAAGGGAGAAATCACTCAACATTTTAGCTCAATTAAAACACATTTCAGTAGATCAGAATAATTATTTAAGGAATTAGATGAATTCACGGATAAACATTGACGAGTTTGCTTTGAATGAGGATCAATTTTAAAAAGATCCTTTTTTTATCTTTAAATCAATCAAAAATACTGCGGGTAGGAGAGCAGTTTGGCGCCATTTGGTATTTTCCTTTCGTATGCCTGGCAAAAAAGAAAAAACAAATAGTAATGTTCAGAAAAAATAAACCTGGAGTAATTACTCAAGGGAACGGCATTATGAACAGTTGAAGTTAATATATGCCATATTTATTTTCAAAACGATCAATCTTTCTTTTTGGTACGATTGGGACTTATACATTTTTTGAAAAATTATTTATGAATAAAGCATCACTATCAAAGGATAGCGAATATTTTTCTGACTATAAAAAGGTATTTTCTTAAATAATTTTATCACAAAACTTTGTTAATTTCCTTTCAGATTTTTTTCTATAGATCACTGTTTGGAAGGTCAAGATCGAGATTTTTAGGGAAGTTATTTAATATTAATCTACCTGTTTCTTTTAGAAGATCAATATATGGATTTTTGATTAGCAATTATTTGTATACAGATTCTTCACTAGGTGGATGTTCAAAAGATGAAAAAATAAAGAAATTCGAAGAGAAGCATGCAAGCTCACTTGATTCCTACAGGTCCATAGGCGAATTATTTACGAGATCAATTAAACCTTCAGAGATAGTATTTCAGGATTTTGAAGATCCTAACTCAATTTCTTCTCCATGTGAGGGGAGGATAATTGAGTTTGGAGAGATAAATTCGGATAAATGCGTTCAAGTTAAAAGTTCAACGTTCAGAGTTTCAGAATTACTTCAAGAAAACTTTGCTTCTTTAGTAGAATCGTCAAATTTATATTATGCAATAATTTACCTTAGTCCAAAAGATTATCACAGATTTCACTCTCCAAGCAATATTGAAATTAGAAATGTAAGGCATGTTTCAGGAGAATGTTTTCCAGTTTTTAAAGGTATTGCTTCAAGACTAAATAATTTGTTTTCTATAAATGAAAGAGTGGTAATCAAATCAGAATGGGAACATGGAAAAATGTACATTGTAGCTGTAGCTGCACATGGAGTTTCAGATATTAAGTTGTTTTGTGTTCCAAATCTTAAAACAAATCAAAGAGGAATGGGCCCAAATTATTTACAAAAAGGCAATAGTGGTCAATTAATTGAGTATTCTGACTTTAAAGACTGTAGAAATCAAGGAAAGTACCTCAAGGGGGACGAGCTGGGTCTATTTAATTTAGGTAGCACGATAATTGTATTGTTCCAAGCTCCTGGAAACTTTAAGTTCAATGTGGATAAAGGTGAGAAACTAAAGTTGGGACAAATAATAGGAAAGGTATTTAATGATTAGATATATTTTAGTTGCATTAATCATAATATAGTCACTAAACAAAAGAAAATAAAAAAAGATTCTTTTATACAAGCTACTGTAAATATATAAAATGCGAATCACTAATGTTTAGCTCTTTTGTCTGGTGAACCTTCTTCATGAGTACCTCCCGATGATTTTCTCTTGCTTCCGACAACATCCATTGATGAGTCGTAAGAACCCAGAGCTTTAGATTTAACGGGGCTATATGAGGGAGTTGATGGTCTTTTGTTTCCTCCTGCAGAGGAGAGACGACCAGAAGTTAATTGGTTGCTAAGTTCTTCTAATCTTCTCTCAACATATTGTTTGTTCTCAATTGCTACGGTTGGTTCATTTTGATCATTAAGAGCATCAACACGAATACATAGTGAAAGTTTTGCTGCTAATATTCTGCTAATTTTACCTTTAAGTTTAGGTGCAGATTGTCCTACAACCGCCGCATGATATATAAGTCCATATTTTGGAGTACTTTTTTTAGTCTTAAGTGCCCTGAATAAAGCCTTCTCTGCCCCCAGAATTTGAACAGTACTAGAGGGATGCTTTGCAAGGTTCATTAAACTACCTGCATGAGAAATCAAACGTGCACCTATAAGCTCTCCGACCATATATGTAAGGTTTGGAGCAATTGTAGACATTCTTGTCTTCAAATATGTAGATAGAGATTCTCTATACTCTGAAAGCTCCAGCACACGATCACATAGTTCTATAATATTCTTCAAATCCTCCTCAGTAATTTCTGTTCCCATGGAAATTTCCGCAGCCTGTTTAATTTCAGCTTCCATTTCACTTGGAATATTACATGGTGGAGATTGTAAATCCGCGTCACGAGTACAATGTCTGAAACCAATTACCTTGATGCAATTTGCATATACATCGCGATCTGATATAATTTTTCCAAGTTCTGGAAAATGCCATCCATACCACTCTTTCAATCTCATTGCATAGTTATTCAATTCACGATCTAAGTCATCTAATAATGCTACAGCTTGAATAATCATTGTGTCAATTTTTTCTGGGCTAAACTTCAACTTAAATCTTCCTAGAGAATGAGATAAGGACAATGCCATAGTTTTCATATCTTTTTCAGTTAACCCAGTGAGTAAATCAGTTAATTGATTTCTGATTCCCCTCATGACTTCTTGCATTTTAGGATTATAAACAACGTCAATTTCATATTTTTGTTTTATAAGGCCGCCCAGTACCTTATCTGCAACAGCTAGAGATTCAGAGGCAGGGTTTGGAATATTCTTCTTAATGAACTTAGAAAGACCTTTACTTAATTTTGACTCAACTAAAGCTGTTGCCTCAACTAATGCTGACTTTGTGTCTTTAAATCTTAAAAAGGATTCCAAAGAAATAGACTTCTGAACCTTGTCCGGATTCTGAAAATATTCTGCAATTTCATCCGTGTCCATACTCAATAATTTTGAGTTTGTCACTCTAAACAGCCCGTAGCCTGCCGGTGTTTCAAGTAGTACCAACATTTTCCGTACCTACTTCTTTCTTCCCCTATAGTCGGCTTCTATTCAAGGTCTCTACCCTTTTCTTAAAATTACACAAAACCTTTATAACGAGTCTTACTAAAATGCTCTTTTATCGACTCCTGTCAAACCTTTTATTTTTTAAGAAACCGGTCACAAAATGACGACCCAATTACGTGTCTCGTACCGCCAACAATGGTATGACCTACTAAGCGGTAACTTATTTAATTAATATCCACGAATTACATGAAAAAGTGAGAATAGATTCTTAAGTTATGAAATAACTTAATTATTGATCTATTTTTTTATTATAACTAAAAGCCATTAATTTCACGAAAATTTGTCAATTTTGATTTTTAAATAAAAATAAGTAGATCTTTAAAAATGTCTTATTTTAATTTTTCAATCTTTCCACATTATAGATGATCTGTATACAATAATATATTGATATTATTCATTTCTGGTAAGAAAAATCTAAGCTTTCCTCTCTTGCAGTTCTTTTTTTGTTGAAATTTGCACACTAAATTTATGCATTTTTTTTTGTTAAAAAATTCTAAGTAAATTTTTTTAAAAAACTGGCATATTTAATTAATTCCAGAGTATCCAGTAGATGTTAAACTTTATAAACTCTTTAATAAACTTCTTCTCAATCAAATCTTGACCTTTTTTGCCAGGAATCTTCATCTGAATGTGCATATAAAAGCTTTATTATTAATATTATTCGTCTCAAAGAAATAAACAATTTATAAATGACTGATATATTGATTAAAACTATTAGTTTATCGAACTAAATATTAATTTTGCCTGCATTACTTAGAATTTTCAGCTTCGTCTAACTCTAAAACATTTTCATTGTTATCATCTAAAGACTTTTTATTCTTGTTTTTTATTCTCCTTAATAATTCGACGAAAACACTATCATTCCCACAGCCACTTCCCAGTACACGATGAGGGTCATGAAATAAATATGAAGGTATATAACTTTTTGGCTGTATACGATGCAAAATCATGTTTCTATTCATTACGATATTTCTTCTTTCTTTAACCTTTTGTAGTATATTCCCTTCATCCATCTTCATTTGTGAGTCGGGTGATACATTTTCCCTATCTAATTCAAATTTTTCATTTTCATCCAAATTATCGGTATCAATATTTGAGTTGTTTGTTTCTGATTTTGCTTTGTATTGAGAAATATATGTTTTTCTGCGATGTTTTACCCACAATATACTCATTGTAGAACTAATACTCGATATTACCTCTTCTGTTAATAATCCTGCCTTTTTCGTATTTGGTACGCATTTATATTGATACAGACTCGGTTCAAAATAAAATAAATCGTTTAAATTACTCTTGTATTTATCTGGAATACACAATACATCCAAGTCCTTGCAAAATTCTGGTAATAGGGTTTTTTTCTTATCCATAACATTCTTCTGTTTTTTCTTTGCAGAAATTAATCCACCCCAATTATCTAACTTATGCCCAGTAGTTAATTCATCTACACTAAACGATATTTTTTCAGATTTTCCAGCTTCTGTTCTTTTTAATGAAACTAATTCGAAACCATATAATTCACTATCATCTGTTATTACTGCAATTGAGTTAACAGTACAAGCCACCTGTGTTAATATTTTGTTCTCCCACAAACTGTGTCTAACAATTGTTGGGCATTGAATCGCCTTGTTTGAAATAGTAGATGATACTTGTGATTTTAAGTTAATTTTACTGACACCAAAACTTTTCATCATTGAATGCGGTGAATTACCACCTCCACTTTGTTCATGTACTGTAAAGTTTCCCCATAGATACATGACATTAAACCCGTCTTCAATTGTAGCACATACAAAATCTGGCCCAGCACTAATCGATGAAATAATTATTTTATTACCTGAAATCAACGTTAATAAACTCCTTCTTCTCACCTCTTTTTTCAATTCTTCAGAGTATTCTAACTTTAATAAATCAGTTGTTGGTAATGGAAGTAATGTTGGAGTTAATAAATGCCCTTTTTTATTCATTCCCAATTGACCCTTATCATTCCTTCCCCAAATAAATAAATTATGAGTACATATAATATTAAATCCATTTCCACACAAAATTTGCCTTACTCCTCCATTTTTATTTTTGCTGTATCCATTTGCTTCAGTCTTTACATTTTTGTTATTTTCAGTATTATTTGTATTTAAGGAACTATCTAAGTTGGGTAATTCTACTCTAAAAGGTTCATAGAAATTTGCAGTATTACTTACAGTATCATACTCTGCTAAATGACCATATAAAGTTCTGAATCGATTATCTTCCAAACATACATGGGTACCTGCGCCCCACATAAAAACTGCTCCATTTTGTGTAACTACACCACAGTGTCTTGCACCAGCCGAAGCCATATATACTTGTTCTTCTTTAAGTGGTTCAATTATCTTTGGATTTGGAATATAAGAATAGTTATGGCCATGCCCACATTGACCAAATATATTCTCACCCCATGTAAATAATTTTCCATCTGCTGTAATTGCCATTGAATGATCTGAGCCACATCCTACCCATCTAATTCTTCTCGTATAGTCTATCTGTCTTATTAAATAACGAACTGTTTTTCCTGTTTTTTCATTATTTGTATACCTATATTCTGAATCTAGAAATCTCACAGGTTCTCTAATATTTGATGATACCAAATCCATTACAGGAACTCCTAATTGTCCTTGATCATTTACACCCCAGGAATATACATGATTTCTATATTCAAAGTTTAATAACTTTCCAGAAGTTTGTCCTAGCAGTGCACCACTATTTCCGCTTTTTGAAAAATTATTATCAGATAAATCTTCATCGAACGAATCAAGTTCAATGCTGTCTTCTTCTTGGCCAGCTAAAATACGTTCTGCTATTAATACTAAGGTATGCCTTTGACCTACTGAAAATTGTAGAATTTTTAATGGTGGAAACTGTTTTGTTGGAGCAGTTTCAAATATTGCACCACACAATCTTCTACATAAAGTCACAAAACCTCTTCCCCATGTGCTTGGATAATAATCGCCAATGTCTTTAACAATATTTAATTCTACTGGGTTTAAAAATACGGTATTACTTTCAACAATTTTTGCAAGTGGTTGGAATAATCCTTGCATACTTAATAATGGATACCTCATCATATTAAACTGTTTTAATTCTCTTGAGATCAAATTATTCATTTCAATTGATTTTTTAACAGGATCTTTTGGAATTTTCTTTTGTATCTTAAATTTACTCAATGTTTTGATTAATGTATCCCCTGATTCAATATGTTTTCTAAGTGTAAGTGTAACTCGCCACCACTGTTGTAATAATGTTATAGACTTTATTGCCTTATAATATCTATATACCTCCAAACATGTAAATGCTCTACATTGTATTACTTGAGCAGAAAAACGTAATTTCATATATTGTCTTCTGCAAAAAGCCATACGGAAAACTCTTTGAATTACGATAGCTTTGTTTACAACCTCTCTATGTGCTCTGATTTGTTCCCTAAATACGTGGCTTCTTCTTAAAGTTCCTCTATACTCAATATGCTTTGCAATTCCGAGCCTAATTAATGACTTTCTCTTTAATGTTAAAATACATCTTTTCAGCATAAATAATTTACAAAATTTCTTTCTTACTAACCATCCACGAAACACTGCCTGAATCTTAACTGCTTTGAAATTAGGGGTCTTTGTAAATGCTAATTTTTCTACTAATATAGCTTGTGCCTTTAGTGTTCTCCATGCTGATTGTATCACTTGAATTGAAAACTCCCTGAATTCATTGTAACGATATAGAGTAAGTCTTCGACGAACCATTTCGCCTCTCCACCAAGCCTGAATTGATGTCGCTGCAGAATTTCTGAAGAATTTCCTCTCATCCTCTCGCTGTTGTGCTAATTCTTCGAGCTTATCAAAGATAGTAGATGTTTTGACCCATGGAATTGCTAGATGTATTAGTAATGCTAGTCCGCAAATAAATTGTCGATAAGGAAGTATTTTTCTCCATAAAATACAGACAAACCTCATCCTAATTAATGATTGTATTCTTACACTCATTAATCTTAATTTAGAAATGAATAGCCTTGGTTTTAAGGTTCTCCATGCGTTTTGAAGAATAATAGAAGCTGGCAATGCTTTTTTCAAATATTCTTCTCTCCTTCTCTCAAGAACCAATACCATTTTATTTCTAAGGAATAAATGTTGGGTTCCGATTAAATATTCAACTTCAGGCACCTCTAACCCATGTAAAAGTGTTCTTATTGAATCCCTTAAATTTTTTTGGGATTTTAACTTTTCTAAAACACCTTTTTTGTGTATTCTTGGAATATATATTTCACTAAATTTAAGCAAGAAAATTCTTAATGGTATTTTTACTGTGAACCCATACTGCTGCAATAAGACTTGAGATGAAATATTGTACATTTCCAGATCGTTCGTTATTTGAGTTTCAGACACTTCCTCTTCAGTTTTTTTATCCAGTTGATAACTACTTGCACAAATTGCGAAAAATAACTTCCCTCTTCTTAATATTGAATCCAGCATTTTACAAGCTTTTACTGCAATTTGAGACATTGATGGTGATCCTGGAATTGCACTTAATCTTATCCAAGTTAGATCCATAAAGTCTTCAGTTTTTTTCCAAAAAGTTTCGAATTTTATTATTTCAGGGTCCTCATCAATTGTTATCCTAGCCTTTTTTTTTTGGGCAGAACTTTTATGTACATTCTTTTCTTGTGTATACCTTTCATCTGTTTCTAAAATAGTTGTCCAACATGCGCAAATTATCTTATTACTAGACTTTTTAAATAATTCATCAACTTTCTCCGGAACTTGATTTAGGTTATCTTCTTCTGCCATAGCCATTATACTATAGTTACATTTTCCAAAAGAATGATTAATAGTTACTTCAGGAGGTAAATAGTCAGGTAATTCACCAGGTTGCTCATCCTCTACTAAAACACTTGAATGTAAAATATTATTATCGTCATATAGTTGAAAATCATGAACTATACTTGCGAATAAATCTTTGCCCAAAGAGTCTGTTCTGTTTACACGCTTTGATCTCATTTTTCTGTATTTCTTTATTTTTTCGGAATTGTTGTCGTGATATTCTTTGCAAATTTGTTTTTTTCTTTCTAGAAGCTCATTATATGGTTCTTTTTGAAATTTGGATTCTCCCTTAATTGTATATTCATCATTTGTTCTAATTAATTCATTTTTTGCAAATGAATTTACAAATTTAGAATAAATAGACTTTGATGGCTCCAAATCAATTCTTCCAAATTCATCACATGGAGTAGGTTTATGAAGTATTGATAAAGATTCCATTGGATCCTTTTGTATTTCCGAAATAAATTCCTCGACTCTTCTTTGTCTTTTCGAAGTAATTTTTAGTAAGCTCATCAACCCTTTTCCTGGTTCTTCAAACATATTAGCAATGGAGTCAATGTCATCATAATTTAACTTAATCATATTAAGACCTTCAGATTCAAGTGTCTTTTTTTCTGAATCAAATAATTCGTAAATATAATTCTTTTTTAATTTTTCCTCGCAATAATTTTGCATTGCATTCGAAAACGAAAAACCTTCTTTTACAAATCCAGGTCCATGTATAATAGTAAATACCTCCATTTCTAATAAATCGGTAGTAGTAGGGCGAAGATTTTCATTGGATATAAAAACAAACCAATCCAATAATCTGCAGTATAGAGTAACTTGCAATTGAACAAACTCATAACAAGATGTAACTTTTGCGTTTAAATCTTCAATCTCAATCCCCAATAACCTTGCTAACATAGGGAAAAAAATTATTTTAGAGTTGTTATTATCTTTAGTTCCTGGATTACATAATAATGATATGTACGAATCAATAGCTACTATGGCAAATAATACTTTAAAAAAATCAATCTTTTGTACATCATCCAATCCCAATGAATCTAAAGATCCAACCGTCATCTTAAACCCACGAAGTTGGTCAATGTAATTTGTATTCATTTCCGGAGAAACTTGAGTTAAATAGATCATAATTTCGTGGTTAGATAATTCTAACGATTTTATCAAGGGATTACTACTGTCCAATATTAATCCATGTGCCAACTGATAAAAAATTGAAAAAAATGGGCCATTTCTTGACCAATATGATACTGGGGATGTATTAAAGGACCACAAGTGTAGGTGTGATCCCATTAAACAACCGTCTCTATCAACAAAAATTCTCCAAACTTGGCCGCAGTAGCTTTGACCATAATGATAAAATTTATTATCACCACAGTTTCCCTCCCCTGGAGTTTGAATAAAACTTCTTGTAATATGAACAATAGAAGCAATTTTTTCGGAAATGGCATAAGAACTCTTTATGTATTTGTATAAACTGAGATTTTTGGTTAAAAACCGAATAAGCATGTGGACATTAAAACATTTTCCGGTATTCGGTGTTCCCATAATAACTATTGTCTGGTCTTGGTGATTCTCTGCCCAACTAACTAGTGCACGTCTTGCTAAAGAGAATATATGAGGTTCAAATTTAGTTTTCATCTCAGTCCAAAACCTTTGGATTTCCAAACTGCTATATGCTTCCATTAGTCTTGGAATTTTTTCTACTCTTGGCAGAACAAACAACAATAAATTCCCACTGAAAGTGTAGTAATGCCCAGCCGCACATCTTTCGCCAAGCATATGTGAAATCCCATGAGGAGTACAGACATCCAGCAAAGACAAATCTGGGCTTTTAATTGGATTGTCTATTATCAATCCTATCTTATGCTTTGGATAACTTTTTATTGCCAATATGTTTTTCGTCGTGATTGAGGAGAACTCAACCATAACATTTTCACCTAAATTAGGATCTCTTAAAAAGCCTCTTTTCACGTCCTCGGACCCATCATCTTTATTGTATACCCAAACAGGAACTCCAAATGGAATAATTGAGTCTTTTTCATCCACTGGACTATTCTTTTCTTTGAATTTTTTGTTTGTTCGAGCATTTATTAATTTATTTTTTTCGATCTCTAATTCATTACTTTCTTGAGAGTACATTTCTAAAAATACGGACAGAAATACTTAAAAGAAATAGATCTCTCGTAATAATGTTGCTTTTACTTCCTAAATTTTTTTTTTTCATATCAATTTATTGTTTGAGCTATTTGCATTACATTATGCAAATGTTGTCCACTTACATGCAGGTCACTTTAAGACAAAATGCCCGCCAAAATGATAAATTGAGGAACAAAATATATTTAGCAAAATCCAAGGGAAAATTAAAGAACACGTTTTTTTTTCAGAATAATGGATAATGAGTATTAGGTTAAGCTATTGGCTATATACCACTATATTAACCTTTATATATTTTGTTCATGCTTGCCAATCACATGAATTATATGATACAAGATCTCCCAATGGAGGAGTTACTTTAAATGGTTATCTCCAAAAACCAGGAATTTTTTATTTTCTAAATGAGGAGCTTCGTTGGAGAGATCGTGACTTTCCATTTTATAATATGTTGATGAGTATCATTGCTACCACCTTCATTAATCTCATTGACCACATTGAAAAGAGTGAGGAAGGACTGATGCTTTATTATAGTAAAGAAGTAGCTAGACTTGCAAAAAAGGGGGAGGTAATTAATTCAATTTACAAAAGTTTTTTAACAGTTAAAGGCTCGAAGGATGAGCTCAAAATTTATGAAGAGCAGTTCAAGCCTTTGTGTAAAAATTACAGAATTGAAATAGCAAAGAGCCCAATTATATCAATTGTATCACACTCAGCTTCTAGATTAAATGCATATAATTATCTAATTCCATTTATTCCAAATGAGGTTCTAGATCCAGTTATGAAAAAGTTTTCGATTGAAGTAACCAAGTTTTTATGGCCCCAATCTTTTGCCGAAATGTCAAATGGATTTATAACTATGATAGAGAAATTGGAAAAACTATGCAAAAAAATCAACTTCAATCTATTAGAGTCGTGTAATGAATATATGCAGCAAGCCAGACGTTACTTGATTGACCTTATAAATAATCATGAGTTGTTCTTAAAGTATTCAAAAATGAAAAATGCAAATTATCTGGATTTTTCCAACATTTTTAGAAAGCTGCGTGGCGAAATACTTTCATTCAAGCCTTACCAAATAGTATTAAGGAAACTAGACCCAGTTAAAGCAGACGCACTGGGAATCCCCATGTTTTCCGGATTTAATCACAGTGTACTTGATGAAACAATGAAAGAGTACTATGAACTACTAAAGGACCGAAAAACAAAAGGCAAATTATGACTATAATATGTATTTATTTAGACGTTGAATTAACATCAATTATATATATCGGAAGTACTTGTTTGGCGTTACTTATTGTGTATCGCCTTTTCGTAAAACATTCTACTGGTTTCTCAGTAATTAACAAGCAAATCATGAACCTGGAAATTTTTTTCATTTCATATATTGCTTCAAGTTCATAAAAATATATGTCTCCTTTGTTTTCAATAGGCTGTGGCCCAAAAGTATTAACTAAGAGTATTTCAGGCTCTTCTATGTAAATGAGTAACTTTAATTTAAGGACATTAAGCGAACCTTGGTATAAATGTTTGATACTATCTATAAATCTAGTCCTTGCGTGGCAGCAAAACATTTTCCCAATACTTATTACTTCAATCTTTGTTTTTGATGGATTAAAAATTTCGCCCTTGATCGAAATTAAATCCTTTAATATCTGTATCTCCTGCAATGTGCAATAGTATGGTAAAAACGAACTTTCAAAGCATGAAATTCCGTATGGAGGTATAACAGATATTGATAATAATTTGGATTCCATGCAATTAGACCTCTCTAAATACTCAGATGTATTTTGTTTTTGAAAATCATTCTTTTTGTTTGTTTTTATCTTTCTTTCCAAATTTTTAATTTTTTTGTCAAGGTTATCAACTATTTCTCTAGTTTCTAAGTCACACTGTTTTAACAAAGTTACATTGGGCGATTTTTGTGTTTCTATATTTTTTTTTTTATTACTGCTTTTGCAGTCCTTGCCAAACTTAGGATCACAATATGAGCCAATATCAGTATTAACGCTATTTAACTTTATTGATTTATTTTCAAAATCTTGATAAATCAGAGTATCCTCTTTTCTTTCATCATTTTTTCTCAATTTCGGAGTAAACAAGTTATTTGAACTCTGAAATAAATTATTTGCTTCAAATTGGTTGTTTAAATCAGGTAATCTTGACTTAGAAGTTGAGTAGTACCTTTCAATTAACTTGTTAACGAATGAATTATTATAACTCAATGAGCTTTCAGAGTCTATTTCTGAGCAAACATTTGTTTCAGGGTTGTAGTTTTTGACATTTTGGGTATTAAGCTTGTGATGTAATTTTCTTTCGTTCAAATGACTAAACATATCTCTGTATTTCTCATTTTGGGCTAAATATACCTGGTGCTTATTATTTTTAATATTGTAATCATTTGGCTCTCTCAAGAATCTTGTATTAATCTGATTTCTTGGATAAGAGGTAGATTTTATATAATTCCTCAAACCAGCCAACTTTTTTTTACATCTTGAAATAGTTAAATCGACATTTATCGACGCTGGGAAAAATAAATCCTCAGTTTGTTTATGCATTTCAAAAAATTCTACATTAGTTCTAAAAAAATATATTTAAATATTTAATCATATTCTCAGAATAATTTAGAAACAGTTGATATTGATCTGTTTGTACCACATTTCACAAATTTACATGAAAAAAACGATTTAATTCATTTTTAAATTTGGTGTGGTTTTCAAAAACATTTGTTATTATCAATATTTTATAATGAAAAAAGTAACTGAATTCCTGTTTCTTAAAAAATGGACTCAGTGTCAAAAGAAAAAATTTATTAGAAGCTAAAAATGACTTTTAAGTATTTGAATTTCAAATGATAACACTCTAGAGTAGTATTTTACAGAATTTAAAGTTTCCTATTAATTCAGTGCAAATAGATGTTTGTTATTAACAATCATTAGAATCGTGATTTTATTCCACCTTCGTATTATCACTCTCCAATTTCCATAAATTAATTAATGATTTCTTCCTTTGCTTGATCATATATGAGTACATAAATATAGAACCAGGGATATATATACACAATATAACAATATATAAGCATGCGAGATTTACTTCAAAATTCAGAGCATTAGGCATTTTTGAGGGGAAATGCAACAATCTTTGATATACTGGATCGTTTGAACTAGAGTTATTATAAATATCCGAGATGAAATTCGAACAAATGATTACTTCACTCAAAATACCAATTGGGTACAAAACAGCAAATGCGCTATATCTAAGCCATTTGAGGAACAAAGGCATTCTAATTGATGGAAAGATAAATGAAAATTGTAAAACAACATAGTATGGGTACCTGATTAATTCAGATAAAGACCAGGTGACTATCATAATATTTGAGAACATTGTCGAAATTTGGCGAGAGTTTCCGGGAGACAAGTAGAATACGATCCATACAATGTGCAATCTTGAAGATACTTGAATAATTGTGGGCAGAAATTGTGATCTCACGATTCCAAATGAAGAATTTATTATATCAAATACTGCCAAGCTTTGTGAGATTCTGAGTGCTATCATATGCTTACCCAATTGGTCAGAAACACCTTTTATACCAAGTATTTCATTAATTGTAAAATATAATGTCGTAGCCCATAGTAAGGTTGAAATAATACCATAAGTAATTAAATAGAGACTTTTAGGTTTGAATCTACGCATCTGAATTACTATCCCTCCGCACACTCAATAATGGTTTGTAACTGATCAATACAGATAAAATTTGAAGGCTTTCTATTTTTAAAATAAATTATTTACAAGAAACTTATTGCCGCCTAACAATTTTTTTTGGCGCTAGCTTTTACTTAATTAAAAATTGAACTATTGCATAAAAATAGCAAGCCAAATAAACTCACCTAATGAAGACTTAATTAGTGGCTTCCCCGATATTCACGAACTCCTTCTAGAATACAATGACCTATATTTCTACGGCTCCCTCGGCTCCGTAATAATTAAATGGAGCAGTAGAATGACATTGTGTGCAGGTAAATGTACATATGAAACGGGAGGAAGATGTGTTGTCAGCCTTTCGGAGCCACTAATGAAGTATAGATCTCTCAAAGAACTAAGAGAAACAATTTTGCACGAACTTATCCATGCATATTTGTTCGTGACATCAAACAATAGAGATAGAAACTCTCATGGAAAAGAGTTTCGCTTTCATATGAACAGAATTAATAGGCTGTCCGGTCTAAACATTACAATATATCACAATTTCCACGATGAACTAAACTACTATAGAAAACACGTTTGGCGTTGTAATGGTATTTGTAGAAACCGTCCACCTTACTATGGTTATATCCGACGTTCTATAAATAGAAAGCCCAGTCCAGCCGATTCTTGGTGGAGTCTCCACGAAAGAACATGTGGAGGTTGCTTCGTCAAGGAGAACGATATTTCACCAGAAATTAATAATTTAGCATTACCAGATGCAAGTTTAAACTGGCGGGTTCCCAGTCCAAATTTGGATCAAAATGATGTAATGGAGATTATAGAAATTAGTGACTAGACAATATTTATAATAATTAGATCAAAAATTTTACTTCTTATCTGTTCCTTTCTCATTTAGTTAGTTCATTTCTTTTTCATTAAAACTATACCACACTTTATTATAAAATAAGCGCTAAGAGAGAATTTGAGGGGTGTATGGATGCTTTTGTTTAGAGGGGTTAGGAATTTTGTCCATATTGAGGACTTGGGTTTGATTTAATTTATTAGTATACTTCATCAACTTTTTGAGCAGATAAAATGTCTAGATCATCTCAATCTTTGCATGATAGGCATATTACGATCTTTTCACCTGAAGGTAAACTTTATCAAATAGAATATACCTTCAGAGCCGTAAAGAACTCAAACTTAACAGCCGTTGCTATAAAGGGTAAAGATACTGTATGCATTGTATGCGAAAAAAAGGTCCCAAATCAACAAGGCCAGCAAGATAAGCTTCTAGACCCTTCTTATGTTACATCTTTGTACAAAGTAAGAAAGCATATTGGGGCAGTAATGCTTGGGCTGGCTCCCGATTGTAGATCACTTATTTCAAAGTAAGTTGAAATTTTGACTTGAAGATGATGAATTTTTTAATTATAACTCAAATTTTGATTAGATGTAGAGAAATTGCTGGGAAATTTTCCTTCGAAAAAGGGACTGAGATTCCTGTTTCATTTTTGTCACACAAAATTGCAGATGTAAATCAACTATATACTCAACATGCATCTATGAGGTTATTGGGTGCTTCTGGGATGCTTATTTCAATAGATGATGAAGATGGGCCTTCACTATACAAGATAGACCCAGCTGGGTACTTTGCATCATACAGAGCATGTGCAGTTGGTACAAAAGAGAGAGAGGGAAATAATGCATTGGAGAAGATTATTAAGAACGAGCCTTTAAACAACTGCAAAGAGGTCATTTCCGCAAGTATTGACTGCCTGAAAACACTACTTGGAGTGGATTTCAAAGCTGAAGACATAGAAGTAGGAGTTGTAACAAAAGACATGCCTGAATTTAGACTATTAAATATTGAGGAAATTGATAATTACCTAAATAGTATCGCTGAAAGGGATTAGGGATCATGTTTCCAGCCTAATTCAGAGAAGAAAATCTTGAATTTACAGGAATGAAGTGCTCTAGTTCGGCACATCACTTCTAAATTTCTGCAATAAATAAACTTTAATCCCTGTATTTTCAATACTCCTCTTAAGATATTAAATTTATACTTTTTTTAGTTTTTTTGATTTTAGTTGGTGCCCAATCCTCGAAAAATTGTGTGGGGTGCATTTCTACCGCTCCTACATTTTCTCGTTATTGATTCCTGGAAATGCTAGCGGCTATTTTGGAACCTTTTATAATCTTAAGTGAGGAGATATACGCATTTTTGTGTCTACAAATGCAGTGCTCACAGAGGATATTGATGGACGTGTCTGAATTGTAATAAAGGTGCATTTTTGCATTTAAGCTATTTTTTTTCAGAAAGGAGTATTACCTTTCATAATACGATCAATCTAACTGTAATCTAGCTAGAAAAGTACTTAAAATTGAATCCTGAGGTGTTCACAAAAATACTGGGAAATTTTGTTTGCATTAAAGGGTTCCGAGATAGTTTTATTTCAAGTTTAATAGAATTGCCATATTTTGTTAAAAATAACTAGAAGGATACAGAATTTATTCATATTTATTGTTAATTCAAGATAAGTAAGCTTATAAAAGTTAACGGGTTTTAACTAATATTTAAGAATACATTCTTGGCTATTTGAAATTGAATTCAATTATCGATAATTGTGCACTAATTTTAAAAACAAGTTATCTTAAGATTATTTACTAAAATTTTAAGATAATTATTACTTTATATAAAATTCTCACTAAACATTAGATTCTGTTTTTTGGCAATAGAATGCTCATCACAGAGGAGGAAGGGCCATGTATAAATAATACATTGAGTAAATCACTTAATAAGATGAATCTGGATAATAATTCATCCAATTTTCAAGATCAAGTTAGTTCGGAAGATTTATTTTCTCTTTATGGCAAAAACCCATTTTTTTATTCGCTCAAAGAAAATGCTAGAACAAATGGATTTAGGGATTGCTATTCTTGGTTAGGTTCAAATGGAGATGTAAAAAAAAAGTTTACTTTTAGAGAACTATTTGAAAAAGTAGTGGAATTAAGCTGGTATCTGAACAAAAAACTAGGGATCAAAGCAGGAGACAAAGTCATTTTGTGTTATACACCAGGCTATGATTTTGTTATTGCATTTATCACATGTTTAGTTAGCGGAATTATTGCCATTCCTGTTTATCCTCCTGATCCCATGAGAGGACAGAACGAAATACAAAGGTTTTGTGATATTAAACAAGTTTCGGAGACCGATATCTCTCTTACTTGCACATCCTATATGAAAAGTATAGAGATAGCTAAAACAATGTCAACAGATAAAAGATTTAAATCAATAAGATTCGAAGCAACTGATAACTTGAAAATAGGAAAGGAACAATATAGGACGGAAGTACAGAAGGTGATTGAAGATATTATTCAAAATGATTCCGATTATTCTGATTTTGTGGGTGTAGGTACTGATATTAATACCGTGGCATTTCTCCAATTTACTTCAGGTTCAACTTCTCAGCCAAAAGGTGTAGTGGTTACACACGGAAATCTTCTTTATAATATTCACATTTGTATAAGTAGCTACTCCTTCCCTTTTGTTTTGGAAGAATACTATCAAAACGAACTTGAAAGCATTCCTGCTGGGGTTACAGTTTTGAAAAAAACTGATCTTTCAGAAAATGAATTATCTTTCATTATTAACGAATTTGGAGAAGTAAAAGGATTAATGTCATTAAATGACATTAAATATGATAAATCATATTTATATATGAGTACCATTAACAAAGCCTTATATAAGAAAACTATGAGTTCTGCTTCAGTTTTTAGTTGGCTTCCTGTTTATCATGATATGGGGCTAATTGGTTTTATTTGTACCCCACTGTTTTTTGGATGTAACATCTTCCAAATGTCTCCAATTGACTTCATAAAAAAGCCCTACCTTTGGATGCAATGTATGGATAAATATAAATGTGGCGTAAGTGGAGCTCCTAATTTTGCTTTTGAAGTTGTTGTCAGAAAGACTCCAAAAGATATTTTAAATCAACTTAATTTGAAACATGTTTTTGCTATTTTGTCTGGAGCTGAACCGATTAGAAAGGCGACTATTGAAAGATTTACTGAAACTTTTAAATCTGTGGGAATTAAAAGTAATGTCATAAAACCAGCATATGGTCTTGCGGAGCATACCTTAATTGTTTCAGGTAGTAATAGCTTCCAGCAAGAAGTAAAACATATTACCGTTAATACCAAAAAATTAAGAGAGAAGAATATCGTTGAAATAAAAGAGACCAGAGAGAAAAACTCGATGGATACAACGTCATTTGTTTCAAGTGGTATGGTTTACAAAGGGATTGATTTGAGAATTGTTAATCCAGAAAGTTTAAAAGAAATGAATCCTGGAAATGTTGGTGAGATTTGGATTTCAAGTGATTCTGTAACACTTGGTTATTATAATAATAAAGTAGAAACAGAAAAAGTGTTCAATGCTAAATTCACTATGCTTGACGGGAAAACATCAAAGAGCACTTACATGAGAACTGGTGATAGTGGTTTTGTATTAAACAATATGCTTTATATTTCAGGGAGAATCAAGGATATGATAATTATCAGAGGTAGAAACTTTTATCCACAAGATATAGAAGAAGTTATTGATGGTGTTAGTGGAGTTAGACAAGGGTCTGTTGCAGTTTTCCCTGTAACACAAACTGATGGTGAAGAAGCTATTGGTGCTGCCGTGGAAATCAGGATGGAAACAAGCATACTTGGAAGAGTAAGAAGATTTTTTGAAAAACCGGCTTATGAGAATATTGTCAGGGCGATATCAAAGGCAGTATTTGTTGGCCATGGATTACCGGTACATTATATTTGGCTTCTTTCACCTAGAACAATATTAAAGACAAGCAGTGGAAAAATAAGAAGATCACAAACTAGAGATGCAATTTTTTCAAGGAAACTAGTTCCATTATTCGAGTGGGTTTGCGAACAGTCTCCAACTTCTGACACCTTAATTGAAAGATCATCGCAGTTCATTAGTCCAACATCCATGATTATCTCAAAGTCGGGAGTTCAAAATAAATCAAAATTCTATGAGAAAACTCAATCTGAGCAACAACCAGTAGCTGAAAAAGTTAATAATGAAAAAAGTGAATTTAATATTGATGAAGTCAAGATAAAAATCATTGATTTTGCTGCACAAGTATTGGGAATCGCGCAAAAGGACTTGGACCTTAATGCTCCTCTACATGAATATGGTATCGATAGTTTGGGAGCAATTAGGCTATCCGAAATGATGAATGATGAATTTGGTGTGGAACTTGACTCTACACTTTTATTCAACTATCCAACTGTAATAGAAATTGTGGATTTTGTTGCAGCACAAATTTCTGGAAAAGAGCTTCACAAAAAGAATTTACTAAATCGCTCAGGTAATAACAGCTACTCAGACATTGTGATTACTGGAATGTCATGTTCATTTCCTGGTGGATCTTCGACTCCAGGTGAATTTTGGAGTATGCTGCAATCAGGAGTGGACGCAATAGGGGAAATTCCAAAGAGTAGATGGAATATAGATGAATTTTATTCAACTGATTTGGATTTTGAGGGTAAAATGTATACTAAAGAAGGCGGATTTATTGAAAATATTGATAATTTTGGAGCTTCATTCTTCAAAATATCACATGCTGAAGCAAAATCTATGGATCCACAACAAAGAATATTTCTTGAAAAGTCATATGAAGCGTTAAAGGATGCAGGATTCACAATTGATACATTAAAAAAAAGAAATATTTCTGTATTTGCAGGCTGTTGTAGTAATGATTGGGCCCATATTTGCAAATCAGAAACAGGTTCACATATAGGTACATACGCAGCGACAAGTCATGCTGCATCGATCATCGCAAATAGAGTTTCATATACATTAGGCTTGACTGGCTCTTCTGTAACTGTTGATTCTGCTTGTAGTGCATCAATAGTTGCTCTTCATGTTTCTTTACAGGAAATATCTTCTGGGCAATGCGAAGCTGCAGTTGTGGGAGGTATTAATTTAATGCTTTCTCCACAAATTACTGTCGCGCTCTGTAAAGCCAGGATGCTCTCTGTAGACTGTAGATGTAAGTCTTTTGATGCAGCAGCAAATGGTTATGTAAGAGGAGAAGGTGTTGGCGTGTTGATTTTAAAGAAAATAGAAAATTCCAAGAAAAATGGTGAAAAGATTTACTCCGTTATTAAAGGATCTTCGGTTAACCACAATGGTAGATCTGCAAGCTTAACCGCTCCAAACGGTATCTCTCAACAAAATGTAATAAACTCCGCTCTGGAATATGCAGGAATAAGACCAAATGATATAGGGTATATTGAGGCGCATGGCACAGGTACATCACTGGGAGACCCAATCGAAATTTCTGCATTAAAGAGCGTATTTTCAAGAAAGAGAGATTCAGGAAAACCTTTAATTGTAGGCGCAGTTAAAACCAATATTGGGCACTTAGAAGGAGCTGCCGGCATGGCTGGCATTTTCAAAGTTATTCTTTCTTTACTAAACGATATCGTTCCTCCCAATCTTCACTTTAAAAATATAAACCCCCACATAAATCTAAAAGGATTCCCTGTAATTATTCCAACTTCTAATATTCCATTGCAAACATATGATGGCTCTAAAACCTGTGCAGGAGTTTCTGCATTTGGATTTGGTGGTACAAATGCACATGCAATTTTCGAAAAACCAAGTACAAACATTGATTTACTCACTAAAACTGAAAACTTAGAGACAAAAAAAGCAGTAAATAGTCCTGTTGTATTTGTGTTTGGTTTTCAAGGATTCCAAAATGTTAACATGGGTAAATATTACTTTGAGAAAGAGATTGTATATAAAGAATGCTTCTTGAAATGCTGTAAAATAGTTGATCCATTCTTGAAAATATCGCTCAAATCCTTAGTATATCCGGAAACTGAAGATCCGGAAGAATTAAGAAAGTTAAATAAAATGCTTGAGCAGACGGAATATGCTCAATGTGCACTTTTTGCTGTTCAATATTCTCTAGCAAAACTTTTAGAGTCAAAAGGAATATATCCAGGGGCAGTGATTGGGCTTTCCGATGGAGAGCTAGTTGCCTCTGTTTATTGTGGTTCAATTAATCTTGAGGATGGATTAAAAATTTGTGTGTTGAGAGCATCTTTATTAAGTGAGTTTTCAACTGCCGAAGGTAGAATGGCATTATTCAATGTATCTAAGGAAGATGCAGAAATGGCATTAGCAGACATTGGCCCCCAAAATAGCAACAAAGTTTTAATTTTTTCATCTGTCGGTCCAAATCAAGTTTTGCTCTCAGGAGATGAAGAAAAACTTGAGACTGTAGCTTTTATATTAAAAGAATATTATCCTAGAATTAACACTCACTCAATAGATGCAAAGTTTCTTAGATCCAGCTATTCATTTGGAACTGGCGAATTAAATAACCTCGTGGAACCTATCTCTGCTTTGATGGAAAATATTACATTAGACACTCCCGTAATCCCGATGATAAGTGGAACTTCTGGTAATTTTGTATATGAAGAGTTAACAAGTCCAAAGTATTGGGGATGGCAATTAAATAACCAGTTATCTATCTCCAAAGTAGTTAATACTGTTACTTCAAAAGGAAAATCTATAATAATAGACCTTATGCCAATTTCTAGATCAGATTTTGGAATCTCTGAAATTTTTAATTTTGATAAAGATATTGCTTACTATTCAGCCTTCGAAGATACAAACTTACAGAGCTATGAACCAAATAAATTTAATAATATGATCAAGACTGTATCTGAAATAGTGCTTAAATACCGAGTTAATAGCATTGAAGATGCTTCCATTTCTTGTATGGATAGTAATGGACTATCATACCATCGTGAATCATTCCCTTGGACTTCGTTTAAGCATTCAATACTTGGGGAATACAAGTCTGTAGAAGGTTCAGTGAAAATCATTTCTAGCCTTAATGAAAAATCAATTAAGTTGTTTTCTGACCATAAAGTTTATGAAAATATTGTTATCCCAGGATCAGGACTCATTGATTTGGCAGCAGCATCAATTTTAACAGTTTCAATAGATGATCAAAGTATTTTGAAGAACCCCAATATATTATTTGGGGAAAGCATGATTGTAAAGCTAAATAATGTGATTTTCGAGAGGCCGATAACACTAAATAGGAATAGTTTAATTGCTTTAGAATATCCTGAAGCTATAAATCAACTAAAATCATACAGCAAACTCGGTAGGAAAAATAATCAAAATACAAATTTAATTTGTAGTATCGAATCTGATGGAAATATTTCTATACAATACGGTAGCATGGAAGATCGGGAAGACAATGATTACGATGAGATTGATAATTCAATGGTTGATTGCTTTTCTTGTAAAGCAAAAATTTTTGAGGAGTTTATTCTCACTGAAGATCTTGCACAAATAAAAAATAACACAAATATAAAGGAAGATCCAAAAATTATGTACGATGAGTATGAAGAAATCGGTCTGAAATATGGGAAAAAGTTCAGAGTTGTGAGAGAGCTTTATAGAAACGAAACATGTTCAGTTGCTCTAGGAAAAATTCATTTACCAGATACATGCAAGCTTGGAACATTCGAATCAGGGTTTTATTTCCATCCTGCTATTTTAGATGGTGCTTTTCATGTAGCAGGTTCACTATTGAAATATAAAGATTCCTTGAAGAATAACGAGGCAATGGTACCAGTAAGTGTTGAGGAAATTGAAATCAAATATATGAACGTAAATCAGATTATTTGGGCAGTTGCATACCTAAACGAAACAGCTCAGAACTTTGCTTCTTTCAATTTGGTTTTATTTGGCTCAGAAGGTAATTGTATTGGAAAATTAGAAAAGGTTACTTTACGTCATTTTAACAATAAAAGCGTTTCAAAACCTAAAATCGCAGATAGAGAATTGCTTTGGAGGTTGGATTGGGAAAAGTCTGATAAACTAAAATTCTCAAACAATATTTTAAGTCAGAGTGAAGTTTTAAAAATAATCATTATACACTCAGGATCTGGTATTGTAAAAGAAAAATGTGCTATACAATTATCGAATGTTAACAAAAGTTTTGTTAATTTAGATACAATCAAGGATAGTGATATTGAGCAATTAGAAAAACTTATAGATATTCAATCAATCGATTCAATAGTTCTACTATCACCAATAGAGGATTTAATGCCTGCCAGGAAAGATATTGAGAAGATATCAATTGATATCCTAGAGGCTACGATGAAAATATTTAAATTGTACCTAAAAGTACTAAAGCAAAACAAACCTATTTATCACAACAAAAATAAAAATATCCCAAATTTCTGGATAGTTACAGCAAATTCTCAAAATCTGGCCAATTACAATGTTAATGAAAATATTTGCATTCCAAACCATTCAGGATTATGGGGATTGGCTAAATCAGCAAACCTTGAAATAGGTTCTTTAATAACAAACTTTAATCAGCCAATAAAGTCTGTGGATCTAGAAATCCCAGATTTAAGTGACCATCCAAATGTGGCAAATATTATAGAAAAATTCATAGTATGGGTTTTAAATTACGAATATTCATCCTTATTGGAAAAAGAAGATAAAATATTAAAACTTGAAAGAGAATTTAGCATTTCGTCGGAAAATATATATGTAAACAGGTTAAATAAATTCGATATGCCAATAATTGGGCCAATTGAACTATTTATGCCAAGTAGAGGTTCAATTTCAAACTTAGCATTAATAGCCTCAGAATCTTTGAAAATTGATGAATTGAATACTAATGATGTAGTTATGAGAGTGAAATCGATTGGATTAAACTTTAGAGATG